ATCTTTATATACTACCACCCAACCTACTTTTCCAAGCAGATTATGGAGTCTATCGTATTTTCCAAATCACCATTGGTCACCGGGATGGATGGAAGCATTCAACATGTTCGATATCGTATATGACGTCTTTGAACCGCGGATTCGATTTTCTTTTTGGCTATTTGAAGATACCCATCCCCGTTTATCAATCCTACCGAAAAGGCTTAAGACTGTGAGGGACTGCGCCTCAGAGTGGGAGTGGCGATTATACGTTGATTTGAAAAAGAGCCCCTTTTGACAAGCTTGCATCTGAACACATTTAGCTTGAGATCTCTACCATCACAAATACTTAAGGTTCTCAAGATGGCCCCCAGTTTGATTCTGGAGGATGGGTGCATTAATAAGCGCAAGGTGATGCAAGATGAAGGAGCCTGCCGTGAGGCATTGAGACGGTGCAAGGCAACGGACAAGCAGCTGTTTGATCGGACTCTCAACGGTTACCCTCCAAGGCAGAAGCTACTGCTGGAGAAGTTTGTAACAGGTGAAACAAAGGAATCCCTAACTGATCGGTTCGACGTCGTTGCAAAGCAAGCAGACCAAGAGAAAGTAAGTATCGGGGACCTCATTCCGATCGATCTGGATATCTACAATGATAAGGAGAAAAAAGATCCAATCGAGGTGAGTCAGCTTCTGCTAACAAACTACTGTCACTTGCTAAAATGAACACAAAAAAAAATATCGAATAGTCTTACAAGTACGCAACATTCTACAACTGGGGGCAGAATATCCTCAATGGCCCGTTGTATACTTGTATTCCCAAGACAGTCTTTGGAGTACAATCCATTGTGACTCTTGCAAAGAGCATCAGATGCGGTGTTCGCGTCGCTGGATACCGTACGTACTACCGCGAGGATGTTACGTCTATGCGCTAACAGAATATTCTCAGGGCATTCATGGTCGTCAATTTTTGGTCGTGACAAGAGCGAGGATAGACCCTTCATCCTCATCTCACTCCTTGCATTGGAAAGAGCAATTTTAGGAGCACAAGCAAATGAAGAGGCTCTAGGAAAATGGAGTAACATAAAAATTGAGCTGAACAAAATTGAAGCCTTGGACCAGCGTCCCAGCTCTATCTCTTCCGACCAAACTCTTGTTCGCATAGGCTGTTCTGCTACCAACGAGGACCTACGAAGGTGGTGTTTAGACAAGAAGCTCCTGACCTTACCACTAAATGTGATCATGGTTGCAATTACTCTTGGGGGAAGCAATGCTCCCATTTGGTAAGAGCGGTTTATTCTGGCTCTCAATTGAAGTCACTGACGGTCATCTTTGATTAGCCATGGTGCTGGAATTAAGCAGAAAACACTCAGCGATCTTGTTTATGCTGTGGAATATGTCGACGTGAACGGCAAGCTCCAGAAAATAACTCAGGATCAAAAGGAGTTTCTTTCAGTTGCCAGCGGATGCTTTGGGCTGCTAGGGGTGGTCACCCACCTTACACTTGTTTTGGATAAGATGACCTATGCTGCCATGAAACCCTTGAAGGTGCCTGTGTTAGAAGCTATCCCACCTCCAGAAGATATGGTGAAAGATTTGCCAAAGGAGCTCAAAGATAAATACGACAAATACAGGCCAGACCAAATTAAGAAGTTCGTACAGGACTTCGAGAAACGTGCTATGAATGAATATTACGCGGAGTGGTTCTGGTTTCCACTCCATGACCAAGTCTGGATCAACACATGGTCTCTGACAACAGACTCGGCTTCCGTTAAGGATTACCCTGATACTGACGAGATACTGAAACAGGTGAATGAGACATTTGCGCTGGAGTTTTTGCAGGAATCCTATCGTAAAGACAGGTTTATGTCACCCGAATCTGCAACAAAGTTTATCTGTGAGTAATATCTCCCAATGTTATGGCGAAACCAATGCTGTACTAACATCATGAAAAGCGCAATTGGCTATGGATGCCTTGCCTGCTGACTGCACGATTGAAACTTGGCTTCCAAACGCGCTGCATTTTCGACGTGGTATCCACAACGTTCGGGTTCGAGACGTCGAACTTGAAATACCCGTGAGTTCATCTTAAGTCCCTCCATATACTTGAAGTTCATATGTTTAACCAATACTGCCGTTGCAGCTTCCCAGCTCGAAAACGAATTCAAACTCCCCGGACTTTGGCATTGTCCGAAAGGCCTGGTGGCAAGCAATTCTTCTGACATACGAGAACATTGCCACATGCCCGATGCGGATGCCTCTTGAAGTGCGCATCATGGGCGGCAGCGATGTTTTAATGGCACCACAGTACGGTAACAAATTAGGAACTTGTGCTATGGAGATTTTAACTCCGCGGTTTATGGAAGCCGAATGGCACGACTTTGCACAGGCAATGATTGACAAATGGATGACTCTCAGGCAGTGGAATGGTCAAGATCTTAACATTCGCCCCCATTTTGCCAAGGAATGGTATGTTTTTACCCATCACATTACACCGAATACTTCAGAGGGACAGAATGAAATGAAGCGGGTGATTGACAACTTTCTACAGGGACGCATTCCGAGTTGATGGTCAGCCATGGCCGGAGTATCTGAAGAAGAAGAGCTGCAGCAAGGAAATTGCTGAGTTCACCTCAATAATTAAGAAAATTGGTAACGAACAGGGATGGACTGTTGAAGAACTTCGGAAGATGTTCTCGAACCGGTTGCTTGATACATTATTCTTCGAGTAAAAATGTTTCGTAAACCTAGAAAAATGGGCTTTCGGTTTCCTACTCCCATATATTTCGGTATATACTATTCCTTTTGGGCTTAATATATTTAATTAAAAAAAAAAAAAAATCTTTCGGGTTGGAAGGTCAGTTGCTGAACAATGAAAGTCACATCACATTATTTATCGGCAGTGGAATAGTCAGATCCTTCACCCGATCAGAGGTAAGTTAGCAAATATTACTCTGTACTCCATACTCCGTACATTCATGTCACATTGACATTCCATGCCGTCTTGTTCTAGTCTCCAGTTAGTTAAGAATATATATACTCCGTAGTTAGTTAGCCCCCAGCTTCTTGGCTCAGGTGCTTCTTGAGCCACGCCCGTGTGGCCTGTAAGTTCCGAGGGCCCATTACAGGCTAATTGAGAGCAAGGAAGTTAGCTGGAACGTCAAGGTCTACGGAGTAATGGTTTTGTGGTTCCTGGAGCTTCATGCAGGCTTAACTAGCGGGGTAGTAACTAAGCTTTTGAGGCGACTCCTTTTCTTTTCGTTGGGCATTTTCTTTCCACCCAGTTTGATGAAAAGCTCGCGTCTGGCTGACAACAGCAAAATGTGGATGAAATCACAGCCTGACAATTACCAAGTCTTACCGCTAGATCAAAGACTCCAAGCCCTTGTGAAAGAAATTCCTCGATGCCTAACATTGAAGTTGAGACCTTCGTTTTAAACCAAGCTCAAAGCTATCCTATGCTTAGCTACAAGCGAAGAGGGTGGCTTTTACATAAGATATGCCTTGAATTTGTTCAGGGCCGCCCTATGATGAACCTATGTCGTTTGCTGGATTTGGTTGAACCGACTTATCTCTCACAATATCTCCCAGCAACAAGTGTATAGTACTCTCTACTGCCCTCCGCTGATGAAATCTAACCCAATATTATCATCAGAGACCACATTGTATGTCTTCTGGATAATAAGTTCAACAAAGTACCTATGGATATTCCTTCACAGGTACTTCCGCTGCATCTTTCCAAACAATCATGAAACCCTCCTTTTTCACAAATTACCGGGAGAGACTTAGGACATTGTTCTCAAATACAATATTGGCTGCTTACTTTTGACCCTGAAAACCGCATCTCCGTTCGCAAATGAGAGGGATGATCCTATCAGCATACTAAAAAAGAGATTCACGACTGGAAAAATAGAAATGTGATCACCATTCATACAAATTCATCTTCTTTACATTGGAAGGTGGTTTCTGTTCATTATATCTCCACCCCTGCAGATGGCAATACAGGGGGTTACAAGTGGGAGCACTATGCACTTAACAATAGCAGACACCTTTTAGTCAAAAGTGATGGAGTATTGTGGACATCGCTTTTGAAGAGAGAACTGGTCAACCACACTGGATTCTAGACAATCCTGCTTAGCCCATCGTTGTGGAGATATCTGAAGTGAGAGATGCAGAAATCCAGTGCCTAAGTCTCATATGTGAAGTATGTAATGTCCTGATTGTGGGATGACATATCTGCTAATCTTTCATAGTCCTTAAAATGTCGCGCAATCATTCTATTGAATCAGACTGGGGCCGAGCCTTTCTTTTACACAACGCCTTACACCCCTAACAATTATCGGGTTGACTATGGATTTTCAGTAGGGTCAAGGCTTACCAAAATAGAGGGCCCTTTCATCTATTTTACAAAAGCAGCATACATTCCATTTGAGACTACGAACAAGATTGCATTGGATGTGGACATCAGTCGGCTTGGGATTACATAAAATATCAAAAGAGGAGTGAATTGTTCGGTTCCCTCAAAGCAAACTTGGCTCCATTCAATAGCAAAGTCGCTGCCCTATTCCAGCCCAAGTACCCTAGTTCAGGATCAATTCGCTTGTTTAGTGACCTCATGACAAAGTTACAAGGGGATCAGAGTCTTCCCACCTTTCTGCGGGCTTTCCCTTGTGTATATGCAAGACCCTAGGGGGGTTGCACAAACACAGTTAAGATACCGCGAACTCTATACACAAATCAGAGAAAGGAAGCCGGCATCTAATTATGGAGTAGGCAGCAAACAGCATTTCTGTAGGTACCTGGCTTATTATTACCTCCACGTCTGTCACCCATCCTGGAGACAACCCAGTGGGTAAAACCTCTTTGGTCGGAGAAATATCCCTGGCACCCACCATATAGTCAACTAGTGGTTAAGGACTGCCGAACAAGAGATACTAACATCTTAAAGGAGGGCTACTAGAGATGCTGAGGAGAGTGGCTGAAAGCCTGTGGGTACACTATTTATGCAACGCTTTCAATCCGCGTTATGGTGTGCTTGAAAAAAAGATCAATAAAAATTCCTGAAATTGATTCCTAGGAGCGTTAGATTGTCCAACTAACTGACTAACAAGCCTTATGCCCAGAAGAAAAGCACCGGAAAGTATCACAACAGCCTCACATTATTGGATTAGATTCCCATTTTCCCAGGTTAACTTTGTAAGTGGACTGCCACTTGAAGGATTTGTCTTGATTTCGGTCATCGGCAGAGAAATCTTGCGTTTCCTTTTTGGATACTACATTCTCAACCATTGTTGCTGTGTTGATCCTGTATTGATACCACCATTGCGCCATCTCAACAGGTTCGTAACTGACAGAGAAGGTGCTCTCAATTTGTTCGGTATCAATGTAAATGGGAGTAAAGTGGCCGCTGGAATCTTTGGCACCAACCAAGGAGTGGACAGCATTCGGGTAGCCGTTGTTTAGAGTAAAGAAGTTAGGAACTGGATCATTTGTTGATTTCTGCACTCTCCCTCTCTGTTCAGATCCCAGACTTCATTTGGATTAACCACCTGCCGCTCGCCGCTATACGTAACCTTTGCACTAGGTGTGGGTACATCCTAAGAATCTAAGGATGAGCACACACATCCAACTCTGGGATCAATTCAGGAATTTAGACCCTTCCCAAAACTTACCATGGTTCAGTTCACTGCATATTTAGCCTCCCACTGGATGTTCATGTTCGGGGCCAGGGACTGTGATGTATAAATCACATTGAAAGGGGTATGTGTACATCTGACTGTATGCCCAACATTCGGTGCTTCGATGTGATTCTTCCTAATATGACTGCCCAATATCCAGGATTAGCACAGTAGTCCAAGGTTGCTCCGGCACCAAACAGTTTCAATTGCCTGGTCGGCCGCTGAACGTGCGACTGGTCTATCCGCTGATCCAGTAATATGTCCATCATTCTCTGGAGACTTATCTGCATTGCTACAGACCCTTAGGCTGTTTCGCCCAATCAGCTATTTGCTGGTTCCATAGATAGCCGGTGAATATAGGAAGGATTGGATTTGCCCAAAGAGACTATCTGAATGAATCCACAAGGGCCACAAAGAATACCAGGCCATTGAGTCACTGGATTGGAAGGCCGGTCAAAATCCACCAATATGCAACATTGGAGCTCAGGGAAAGGGGGTCAGGATAATCTTGAAATGAGACGTTGCATGACTGGCAGATAAATTTTGACAATAGCAGAGTTCACAGAAAGACATGCACACCTTCATCTGCATGTCATGGGCAGCAATTGGTCCAGCACCTTGAAAGCCGCTGGCTAGGGGCCAGCATACCCTAATGGAACGGGGAATCCCAATGGGAGGCTCGCGTCTAGAGGTAGATTTGGAATTCTTCTCGGAACGCTCTCCGATATATGATTTTATTGAAATCCATCTCTCAGCTTGAGCAGAGGGGCTGATGGACTTTTCAAAACACCAACAGAGCTAGCAGTCTCGAAAACAATACGCTCCCGGCCGAGGACGCAGCTTTAAGCACAGCTTGGTGGATTGAAAGCCTTGTCTTCAACACCCTATGGTTGTAGGTGTCTTCTTTAGGCATCTCCTTCTTTCATAGTGCTTTCATCTTTTGGTAGCCGACCTTATAATACGAGATGCTGGCACAAAGGGGCAGAAATGGGCGGAATATAATACTTGTCGTTGGATTAAGAGGCTGAACAGGTACCAAAATATACACAGGAGCTAAATGGTCCAGAATTTATGCTCCGATGCGACTATATTTCTCTTTTCGAAGATGTCGCTCTCCGCATCTGTATGTAGCACCAGCCTTCCTCTCGGATCAATCATTCTCTCGGGCATAACTTTTGCAATATATTGCTTATCAACAGGCGGAACACGTTGTGTCCATGCTGGTAAAGACACGGGGTCATATGGAGCGTATGGATTGTTCACACCATCATAATTTGTTGGTGGAATGTGCTTACCATTCCTCCTTAGTCCGATGCTCAAGCGCCAGTTGATAGCATGTAGCAACGATTCGACTATACAAGCAAGGATCGCGTAGCGAATAGGATCAGGATCACATGGATCAGGAATACGGTGTAGTTCCCATGCCCGTCGGCCTTGGTAAAAGAAGTATTCAGTCTCGTATCCAACGACGGGCAGCATTTCATCTCCCCCCATCACTGCCTCATAGAGACGATAAAGCGAGCGGAGAGGTGTATCGCGAGAGCGCCAGATGGGAATTGCTTGCAAATTTTTTATATCGCCTTCACATCGACGTTTCCAACACAGCGGTGGATCGTTGACGAGGGATAGAGGAGGGAGGGGTTCAGGTACAGCGTATGACCAGGATAAGGAGGTAGTCGGTAGACATAGGCGAAGGAGAGCAAGATATGGCCACCTGTGGAGACGAAGACGTTTAACAGTTCCTCGAAGAACCAGTGGGCTCTCCATGGATCGCAATCGCCATTTCATTCGCGTCCACCAGCTTATCTTTGGGCGTTGCCGCTGTGGCCTAGGGGCCATGGTCCCATCCGAGAGTAACAGCCCAGAGCAAAATTCGAGTGAGATGAGCAAAGCCTTCTGGTCGCGAGAGCGAGAGGGACTTTCCTGGCAAATTTCAAATTGGAAGAGAGCACAAGAATGCAGTATTTGTCTGCTGAGTAGGTTACCTGTGCTTGTTGGGCATCGCATGTCAGGTGGTCAGCCACAATTGCCCAGGCACTGCCATAGCAGAAACGACGGACTTTTCCACTGCCTTGATATTACATAATACCGACATAGCATCTGAGCTCTAACTAATAGTTATATAGATAGTAAAAGTTGTTTTATAGTATCTGTGCGGTAACAGACCTCAAATGTAATATTTTACCTCTGAAATTCTTTACCTATTGAAGTTTTTCTACGGAGTACGTAATATGTACGGAGTACTCCATACAGAGGAGTTTGTTAACCAACCTAGTTAATTACCCTCAGACAGCAACAACAGGGCACCATTGCCAGCGGCCTGCTCGACTGCATCTAACAACTCACACTAAAGAGTGGTCCCACAGTCACATTGCATCATGTAGTACATATGAGCTGTGTGTCCCTGGTCGTGAGGCCACTCATTTGGTCAAGCTGTCCTTTAGCAGAAAGGCTGCGTTCCATATTGTGCTTGGTATTCTGCTGCGGCCTTTTTTATTACATCATCCTTGATAGCAACATCAAACCCGTTTCTGTTCAATGACTGAATGGTATTTTGCTTTAAGGGGGCCCCGTTTCGATCTATCAGGAATTTCAGAATCACAACGATGTCATTCATATCGCTGACCACCTTTGGATGATTTGGCGTTGTAGAAAGGCGTCGGAGTTTGGTTTCTAGGCCCCATTCCAGCGGTGCTGCCAACACCCTTAAATGTGGTCCATCCCAGAGGACGATGTTCTGCTTCGTTGCATCTTGGAAAAGAGACTGACGAGCCTGTGGTGTAAGGAACATGGAGACATCCTCGTTGATCCATTTTCTTCCAAAGAGTAGATCCTCGCCTACTTGCTTCATGGTATTACGAATGGCAGTTGCAACGTCTTTATCAACAGCATGCTCCGGATCAATGATGACGTCAACATCTTCTGTGGAACTCCGATTCTGAAAATATGCCACCGCGGGATAGCCACCTGGGGATATCATGGTGATCGGCGAGAATGCATAGATCATTGGCTCTTGCCCCATTGCGGCATCAAGTGCGGCAAGTCCTAAGTTATCCAGTTAGATAACCGTTCAATAAGCGTCGCAAACCTTTTACTCGCCCTGGTTCAGCTTAGCCTTATCAAGCAGTATCCTTTGGGGCTCAGCCATTGTTCATCTTCCAGTCGAGAGACCGCGCTTTGAAAATTCAAAAAAAGTATTTAATGCTCCGCACGGCTTGAGGGGGGAGGATTGAGATTTCAAAAATATGTGCTATCCGTGCGGGGCATATCTCTAGGTATTTATGCATTTGCTGGCATACCCAGCTCGTATCTCTGCATTCGAATGAAGACGGGACGGGGCCCAGCAAGTGGCCTGTGGAGGGTGGACAAAACGTTACATTGGACATCTTTCTCTGGTAACCGCCGGTGATAGGAGAGCCCCCCTTCCCATCAACAAGAAGGCTGAAGTTCAAGAAAGGCCATTACTAGTAATATGATTAATACGTTAGCATTCCGTGGGTATGAGGAGCAGCTGTCAGAGGGAATAGCGGCGTCTAATCCAACGGGCTTCTGTTTTGGTGTAAAACCCAAGGATCTGAGGCACACGGTAACTCGGGACTCCGTACTCCTTAAAATACCGGGATTCTCCATCCACCGGTAACCAGCAAAATTCGTGATTGACCGGTTAAATATAAAATGACACACCAAAATAGTACATACGAATTATCCAAAATTATCTGCTAGCAACAATAGGGTTGAACCGATAAGTGTGCTGTACGGAGTACTTACTTTCGTATGTATACACTCCGTAGCACCCGGCGCCTAAGAACATGTCTCGACGGATAAATTACAATCCCAGGCGATGTGCAGGCCGTGGAATCGTACTCAAAAATCATCGATAGGAGGACCTCCACTCTTCTCGTCCCATACATCCCTTCACATGTAATACAAAGGAAGGTGTATCCAGCTCAAGATCAGACGATAGAAACGCAAACTGACCGAGCGAGGCAAGAGACTTGGCCATCCGATGCCCGGGCTTTGTTTACGGGCCAATATAAAACCGGGGGAAAAGCTGTTGCCACAAAGGAGCGAAGAAAAGAAAATGAGCTCAGGGGTCATGTTGAGAATCGTTTCATTTGCAAATCTGAACTCCGTAATCGCCACTTAGCTGCCCTGTATTCCGCCCACAGTTGGAAAAAAATCTTGAAAACAAATGACATATTGGAAGGAGCCCGTAGTTCACAATTATTAGCACTCAATTGGACGCATATGAAAACCCCAAACCAGGACGCCAACTAGGTAAAATCGAAGATCAATCGTTAGTAAGCCACCTTAGTACGCATATCCTATGTTCAGAAACCTGGTCAGCGCCCGTACTAATGGATATTCCTAGGGATGAAGCAAAGGGCTTACCGAAATTTTCCTCTCGATCTCTCGGACAGACCGGTCTAATTCCCCAGCGATCATTAATTTCTTATCGTTCGGCAATGTGAAATACGTCTCACAGAGGTCTCCATCAATGGTACCTTTCGCTGGTGCATAATAGCTTCGATAGATTAAATGGTCGCGGCCAGCAAGTGGTGGTGTTTGCGAAGTAAGCTGCATCTCAAGACTCTGGAAGAAATCCACGTCTTCACGACTAACAAACGGCACCAACATTCCAACAGTGCCTTGTAAGCCGGTCCAGACCAGGATGTCCCGTCCTCCAGCCACTAATTGCGTCTTCTGAATGCTTGTAGGAATATCTTGAGGGTAGAAGTGAACCATCAGGCTGAGCCTGTTTGGTGCACCTTGGAGATATTGCCGTTCGTGGATGAGATGTGCTCCAGAGCCATCTTCATCAGCCTCTTCAGATGCTTTCTGAGGGCATCTCAGGAGCCAGAGGTTTCCAAACTTATCTCCACCTGCGACGGTCTCGTAATCGACCATCGCTGTACACGTTGTCCAACGGGCTATTACGTCGTCGGCAAATGGGATAAGGCGGTTTTCCTGATATTTGTAGACCACGTACGTGACGCTTTCTTGAACGTCGCTCACGATGATGCGACTACCTTGTGTTTGAAGTCCAACAATCAATCGTGGGACAACTTCAGCTTGGCACTTGCGGAGTAGCTGCTTCATACCCAGATCATAGATCCGTAAATTGCGACCGATGCCGGCGAGGAGACGTCCCTGGAAGGCCAAGAGTGCGTGCGGTGGGGATTCAACTTTGGTTTTGTGAATGAACTCGAGCTCTTTGCCATCTTCCTGGAATCTATAGATATGGATGAACCCGCACGACGAAGACGGAGGATACACCACCATATCTTTTCCAGTTCCAACCACCAAAAACGTTTCATCGTCTTGGCTGGAAAATGGGACCGCTGCCACACTAACGGCCGCTTCATTTTCTTCTAGTTCAATACGGGAAATAACTGCCTTACTGTTGATTGGATCAACAACTTGGATGCATGATGCCCAATGGCCGGTGCCGCGTGGATAGCCAAAATCTTCGGGTGGCAGTTCGGCCACCTCTCCATTAGCTGCTTTGGAATCCTGAAGGAGCTTGGCTTTCGTAGAAGGCGAGAGTATATTGTTGTCAGCCTCGATAACGTAGAAGAGAGGTTGTTCAGGATGGCGGACAAAATGGCGCGGGGTATAGGCGAGTGGAATTGTCTCTTGGAGGAGATTGTTGTCGAGCTTCTCAATAGAGAAAATCCTATTTGGGAAAATTAGCATGGTGAGGCATTGACAAAGGCAATAACCAAAAGAAATTGAAATATGGCTTTCAGTAGGAACAATTGGAAAAAATAAAAAGCGTAGTTCCGCAATGTCAAGTCGACTCGGATAGTTTGTTGTCATCATGAAGCACCACAAAGGAGTATGCATGGGGAACATGCGTCTTAACATACCTTAGATTCTGGCCTTGAATTCCCACCATTCCCTCAACGCATTGCTCGCTGCTAAAGTTCCAGCTCCATTCTAGTGGAACATAATCCAGGGGTGTGAGCATGAAATTCTTTGTCTGTAAATCAGAATATCCTAGCCATGGACGTGAACTTAACGCAAGGACAGCCCTCTGCTCTTTAACAGACACACTAAATAGCTTGACGGGCTTGAGGCCAAGAAAGCGTGTGCGCGTGTCTGAGAGCTCGCCAGTAACTTCGTCGAGCACTGTGCGAAGATAGATGCCCGAGTATAATCCAATATGAAGATAAAGCGTCGAACCGCCCGACGTGGAGTCAACCATTGACATTATTGACAAAGCGGATGGTGCAGACGTCAGAGCCTGGACCGATTTATTTTCTAAAGTTGAATCGGGATCTAAACTCAAAATGCGAACTGTGGAATCATCACATCCCACGGCAAGGAACGAACTTCTCACGCGACCAGGAGGGACCTCTCCGAGACTAAGGCACGTAACAGTTCCTGACATCTCACGCTTTTCATCGTATTCTGCTAAAGAACCATCGGTATCCATCTCGAAGTAGACAATTTCGCCAGAACTTAGAGCCACGGCAACCTGTCTTTCATTTGTAGCTGCAGCCACAATCGATCGATGCTGTGGCGCGGGCCATTCATTCACCCTACGGTCGGCGTGGATGTGTCGGATGCCTTTTGGATGAACTTGAATGAGCGAATCTTCACCAAGTTGCTGCACAGCAAGCGTTGGCGCAGAGGAGAGGAAGCCGGTGTCCGTCACCTCTTCCACCGTTTCGCCAATACTCAAAACCAACGTTCCATTGGAGAAAGATAGAATGATATATGCATCATATTGGTCGTTGCGAGTGAGTTTTGTCGTCCAAACAGCGGAGGGAACACTGGGTAACTCGGATTCGACAATTTCCGACACTTCTAAGCCGTGTTTCAAGGTCCTAAAAGTGCTCCGTGCACCTGTCCCGCTCAGTGTATAGAATTGAGGGGCATCGTCTTCTGTAAGGTTTGTGATTTTGCAACTCATCAGAGGATTAAGTGAGTTGATACTCTCCACTAAATTCAGGTTTTCCGCTGGCCGTGGACGGAAATATACTGGAGCGAGTGGCTCTGACGGATCTGCCGAAAAATCATCACTTGAGAATTCTGTTTCTTCATCATCGTCACCGAGCTTCTCGAATTGGTAGAAATGATGATTACCGGTTTCGCTGGCCACGAAAAGGAAACCGTTTTTGAGGATACAAAGACTTGATGCGACGGGCACGGTGTCGAAGTATTTGAGCTTCAACCGCTGTACTTCGCCTGTTAATTGCCCATTTTCATCTTCCACCATGTCCATTGTAACTTTGAACAAATCTCCATCCTCTGTCTGTAAAAGACAAAAAAATGCCCTCCGCATTTTATGAACCACACCCGCCGTGATATACCGCTTCCTTTCAGGATTTTCGGTGGGACCACTCCGACGTGGAATCGGCACTCTGAAGGCGTCTTGATTGGAGTGACGATATGTGATGTTACCTTCGCCACAAACAAGAACTCCACTTGGGCCGTCTGCTCCGCCAGGTACCTGGAAGAGCATTGCTGCAGAACGATCGACAGGGTCCGCCCATCTTCGAACAACATGATTTAAACCGAGATCAAGCTCGTAATAAACAAGAAGCTTTTCAGCTTCTTGGTAAGCTGCTCCCGTCGGATCTTGGTCAGATTCTGTATAATCCACCTCTAGTGCTGCAAATATGGGGTTCTCGTAGCCCACATCGAGGGCGGTTAGCGCGAAGACTAGGGTCTGAGGTCGATGCGCTTCGAGGGGAGAAGATATTGTGAGCTCGGCTTGAGCATTTCGGTTAAGAACATATACCAATTTGTTCTTTTCCACCGATGCTATCAAGCACGCTCGGCCTTTCGGATCCACAGCGAGATATTGGCCTGGAACAACTCGTCGAATGCCAGATTTACCAAAGGTCTCTAGGTGAATTCGATTGAAGCGATTCTGGGATGGGACATACTCGACGATTGCGATCCGACCAGAGTCAGAGCCGATGATAATATAGTCTAGCGATACAAGTACTTAGCATCACTCATCAAAGGTACTAAGCAAGGATACAGCGTGCCAGTCCTTTTCGCAGGGGAAGGTAATTTGCGCGGGACGAAGAGGACGTCATGCTGCTCCCAAAGCTTTGAAGAATCACTATATTGGTCTTTTTGACAGTTGTATTGGGTGCAAACATACCTTTACTGCTGCCCGCAAGCCTAAACGCCGCCAAAGATCTGATTATCCCAAAGACATCCTGGGAGTAGAGAGTCCGAATCTTGCCCTGGTGCGAATCTGGTTCGTGGATTGACAGCTTAGAGCCGGATGCAATCACGATCTGTTGCTCCTTAACACCCGAAAATTGGCCAATTATTGCTTGAGTAATTGCTGTTGGTGGCTGGATGGTAAGAGAGTACATAAACATGGACGAAGTGGTCGCCATGGCTGCTGGGTAGGGGCAAGCAGCAGTGCACTACCTGCTCATAAAATTTGCCACAATCTCATAGGGAAGACTCGTCTCATTGCACAATAGAAGAGCAACAAGGCAAGCCTGTACAATTAGATCAAGTGAGGTTGGGAGCCGAAAATTGAGACAAGTGAGTACGGATGTGAAATTTTCGTTGTGGTTTGAGGTTGGGAGTTCTTTTGACTTCGATGCGCGTCCAGCACCTCTGGGCCCCCGTAGCCACCTTTGAGTGAGATCACCTCACCTACTCGTCTCAACCGGTCATTTTGGATAATCTGCATTGCTCCATTGATATGCTGCTCTCCTGTGCTCTGTTATAGGAGGCTGTGCATTCTAACACTGTCTCTCACCTAATTGTTAAATCATCAGTCTTTGTGAACAAGCACAAGCATCTGCCATTTCCCTTCCCCGCGTGGGACTTCCACGGTCTTCGGCATCTCTAAGCGTAGCGATGGCGGACAACGGCGAGGTTGGAGAAGAGTCGCCGATTACCTTCCTTGTGAAAACCTCAAGTGATGCAAAATATTCTCTTACTCTAGCCCCGTCGACAAAGATTGGGGATCTGAAAGTCAAGCTCTCAGAGCCACAATACGCCGATGTCCCTCCTGCGCGCCAACGTCTTATTTACTCTGGCCGGGTCCTGAAGGATCACGATACACTTGCAACGTATAATGTCAAAGATGGCCATACAATTCATTTGGTGAAAAGCGCTGCCAGTAATCAACCCCCGCAGCAAAGCTCGCAAAGCTCCAGCGCGACAACTGCTGGCCGCTCGGCACCCCAAGCACCGCCACCCGGAGTTCCAACCAATATCGCAGCCGGCACGGGAAACAACCCCCTGGCCGGGTTAACCGGAGCAAGATTCGCTGGCTACAATATGCAACTTCCAGGAGCATCCTTTTTTGGGCCTGACGGAGGAGTAAGTTCTTAAGCATCCTGCCAAATACTGATTAATTCTAACCACCACAACTAGATGGGCCCACCTCCTAGTACCGAGCAATTGATAAATATGCTTGACAATCCCCAATTCCAATCCATGATGAACGAAGCTCTCCAGAACCCTCAGCTCTTAGATATGATGATCCAGCAAAACCCGATGTTGCGCGATATGGGGCCCGGTGTTCGACAAATGATGCAATCGCCCGCATTCCGTAGGATGTTAACGGACCCTAATATGCTCCGTCAGATGGCTCAGATGCAATCGCAGTTTGGTTTAAGTCCGTTTGGAGGCGGAAGCGGGGAGAATGCGGCCTTTCCCGCTCCTGGAGTCACAAACACGACGTCAGATGAGCATCGCCAGCAAGAGAATACACAGACGGGCAATACTGGAGATAATGCCGGAAACGCCCCAAATCCTTTTACTCTTTTTGGCCTTCCTCCTCCTCCACAGGGTGCAGCGGGAAACCCTTTCGGGGCACTTTTTGGCAACGCAGCGTTTGGGGGTGCGCCAACGGGCAATGGCCCTGCTCCTACAGGTACGCAAGAGAATCAACCTCGAGAGGGCGCTTCGACGGGCACCACTGCACCTTCGTCAACCGCCGAAGGTACCCAGCCAGGCCAGAATCAACAAAATCCTTTTGCGGCCTTGTTTAACCCGGCGCTACTTGCATCACCGCCTGCCGGGCAGACCACGAGCCAGCAACGTCAGAACCCATATGCGGCCCTTGCGAATAACCCATTTTTACAAGACCCAACCCTGTTCAACCAGCTAATGCAGGCTGTTGGAGGTGGTCAAAATGCCTCGAATGCTGAAGCCGGTGCCAGCCCATTTGCGGCGCTCTTCCCTGGGCTGATGGGCCAGGGCAGCCCAACTCCACAAGATAACCGCCCACCAGAGGAAAGATATGCCGAGCAACTTCGGCAATTAAATGAAATGGGATTTTATGAGTTTGAAAGGAACATTGAGGCACTCAGAAGAACAGGCGGAAGTGTCCAAGGAGCGGTTGAATATCTCCTGAACAATACATAAGCGACCATTGTTCCTTTGTCCTTTTTTTTCTTTTTCCCCCTCGAATTTGTGTATCAGAAGGAAGTGGTAGTATGATCTTGGTTTTGTTGCATTTTTGCCATGTCCTTTTACGAGTTATGTCTTCATCTTATGCTTGCAACCAAGTGTCCCCTGCTGCAGCACACCCTCCAGCTGTTCCCTTGTGTATTATCAGCATGCTCTTGTCGTCCTCCAGCTATCTTCTCTGTTTGCTCCCTCCACATGTCGAAGTTTATCAGCCTCAAAATCTAAGTTACGCTGTCACGACCGTAATTGGCAGCGACTCCAGCCAATCACAGTACTCTTAAGTTACTAGTGTAATATTTTGCCACTTATGATTCGCTCAACGGGCTGGAGACGGTTTCCGACGAATCAACGCTGGTAAATGGGCGCATCCATGGCTGCGTCTCAACTCTTGTCGCCAACTCCCCAATTACGCTTGTATAACTTATTAATTACTGCTTCATACACCTTCACCCTCATCATCCCTGAGAGCGGCCGTCCCTCCATGCTGGTCTGCAGTCTGTGAACCCTGTATTCAGTACCGCCGTGTAACCCACGTCACCGTCCCTCGGCCTCCCGCGTCGGCAGATATTTGGCAATGGTATCTTGCATCTTGCCATCGGGTTGATGCGTTGACACCACCGTTGATCATCCTCCCTTTTTCTCTATCGTTTTACCCCGGACTTCCGGCGTTTTGTCGCCGATTACACTCGCTCAATTCTTGCTCGCTCTCGCCCAAACACCTGATCGTTTCCCTTACTGTCCAATCTTCCGTCTTCCTGTACTTGTGTCGAACATCTAGATTGCGTTACTCCAGCATATATCTCAGCGGCCTCAACCGCCCACGGGCCGAATTTCTGAACTTCGTTCCGCCCCGGCACCCACCAAAAAAAACCTATCGAAATGGCACTCGATATTCGCGTATGGCCCATGCTGGCTGCATTCGTGTTTCTCCTGTCCACTGCTCGAGCTTTCTATATTCCTGGTATGTGAGAAGGGCCAGATTCATACTGCGAAGTACCCATTGGAAGTTCCGCACCCTGGCACACGAGACGGGAATGGCTGACTGGGCGATATCCTCAAAGGTTATTCAATACGGAGCTACCGCGATAACGAGAGAATTCCCGTCCTCGTGAACAAGATCTTTTCGGATCACTCCCCATTCCAGTATGCGTATTTCGATCTCCCGTTTGTCTGTCCCCCGAGTGGCAAAACACACGCCAGCTCCCCCTTTGCCAGCGGCCACAGTATCTCTCTCAATCTCGGCGAGGTTCTGCGTGGCGATCGCATCAGGAATTCCGATTTTGAAGTGATCATGGGGAAAGACGTCGCTTGCCAGTTCCTATGTCAGCGCAAGGTCGACCGCAAGGACGTCAAACGCGCAAAGAATCTTATTTCAGACGGCTATATGGTGGAATGGATCATGGACAATCTACCCGGTGCAACGAGTTTTGTTTCGGTCGATAGATCGAAGAGATATTATTCCTCTGGTTTCAAGCTTGGGTACAAGGATTTCTCCCCCGCTAGCCGTTCGCCCCGGTACTTTATCCACAACCATTTCACTTTTGTGATCCGCTGGCGGAGCGCACCAGGAAAGGCGGGCGCGCATGGTGGGAAAGTCGTTGTCGGATTCGAAGTTTACCCTAAAAGCATTGGCGATGTTCAGCGTTCCGCCAACGGATGCCCAAAAGAGGTTCACGTAAAGCAAGAACGTCTGGAACTGTATATCGCTCCGAACAATACCCGGTTGGCAGAAAAATATCCAGGTTCGTCATACTTGCCCGAAAACGACGACGATGTTGATGACGGTGCCTCCATCACGATCCCATATTCGTACTCCGTTTATTTCCGGAAGGATGAGAGCATCAGGTGGTCAAACCGATGGGATCTATATTTCTATAGCCATCAAGATGGAAAGATGACGCACTGGCTTGCGATCTTGAATTCATTAACGATCTCCGCGGTACTGGGTTTTGTTGTGCTTGTTATTTGGGGTCGAACTGCGGGAGAAGGCAGAGGACGTGGAGAAGGATCCCTGGAAGAAGGGAAACTAAAGCTATCTTCTCGTAATTCAAGGAGTGGGACTCGAACTCCTAGAACTCCCAAAACCCCACGCATAGACGAAAAGTCGTCTAGCGGTCTTCTTGAGCAAGGCGCCGACGATGACTTGGACCGTTTGTCCGATGACGAGGTAGAGGAAGTGGCCTCATGGAAACGCCTTCATGGCGATGTGTTCCGCGTGCCCGCGTACAGCGGGCTTTTGGCGCCTCTGGTGGGATCTGGAATGCAACTCCTCTTCATGGCAACCGGCCTCCTCGCTTTGAGCTGTATCGGAGTTTTGAATCCTAGCTTCAGAGGCGGGTTCGTGAGTGTCGGCATGGGTCTATTCGTATTCGCCGGCACATTCTCGGGTTACTTTTCAGGGAGACTATACAAGACATTCGGTGGCAGGAATTGGCAAAAAAATACGCTTGTAGTACGTCCCGATGAAATCATGCTGCTTGGTTTGGTAGTACTAACAAATGTATCCTAGACGGCATTGCTCTTCCCAGGCTTGATTTTCGCTTTGGTGTTTTTCCTTAATCTGTTTGTCTGGGCCCAGGCTTCAAGTACGGCAATCCCATTTAGCACGCTAGTTGGTCTTGTTGCCCTCTGGCTTCTCATCCAAGTTCCTTTGGTTTACGCCGGAAGCTGGTACGGATATGAGCGAACAACACCCTGGGAACACCCTACTCGCACAAATGCCATCCCGCGACAGATTCCGCCCCAGTCTTGGTATTTGAGGACGGTGCGAGGTACCCTTCTGACCGGGCTCCCACCGTTCGCCGTTCTCTTTGTGGAATTGCTCTTTGTCTTCCGGAACCTTATGCAGGATAAGAGTGGACACTACTACGTTTTCGGTTATTTGAGCGTGGTGTGCACAGTTTTGATCATCACTGTTAGCCAAGTCACGATCATAGCCACCTATTGCCAGCTAAGCGCCGAAAATCACCGGTGGTGGTGGCAGAGCTTCATTACCGGAGGAAGCAGCGCTCTTTGGATCTTCCTTTTGTGTATTTGGTACTATTTAACGAGACTCCATATACGAGGATTCGTCTCGAGCCTGCTCTTCTTCGGATATAGCTTCCTCGGCTGCACCGTTTATGGTTTGTTGACGGGAACCGTGGGATTTCTAACGGCGTACGCTTTTGTTCGACGGATATATAGGTACGTCAGCTAGTTCTCTCCTTTCAGCGCCTGTGTTAATACCTCATTCTCTTTATGTAGTTCTGTCAAAGCAGACTGATAACGAGTCCTGCATTTGACATTGGCTTCTCTACTGCAGTTCTCTTGGAGGAAGTTTCTTCCAGGCAGAATCTGCAAGTCTTCGCTTTTTGCGAACAGGTCATCAATTCCAATTCTTCCTAACCCTTTTTTACAGCTGAAACAACAAGTTACGAGCCACATTTTCATTTTTCGTTTCTCTCTGTTCTTTGAATTCGTTAGCCCGGCCTTTCCTCGTTCAAAAGCATTCTTGCATTCTGCGATTCCCCCCTGATTCCGGCTAATCCGCATGCCTCTCTCCATCCACGCTAACTATTATATTCTACCGTACATGCATATTAATCAGTTCAACTTTCTAAGTCTTGTATTCTCTTCTTTTTCATTCTCTTTTATCCAGCCACAACGAAGAAAACGAATATTCCAACACTTTTCGTACTTCCTTTTGTTGCATGCACCCATCTCTTTTTTGTTTTCGGGATTTGCGGGTGGAAGGCATTGTTACATGGGATTGGAGTAGTGTTCAGCTGGGCCATGGGCCTGCTTTGCCCGTGGTGTTGATATCTGCTTTATACTCCATCGTCTGATAAGCAGTACTTGGATCATGCATTCTGTATTAAAATCGAGCGAAGCATTGAAAATCCGGATCCATTTCGTCTGCCCAAGTTTCCAGTTTTGACGTCGAAGCGCAGGTCGTCAGTTTAAACATTGCATCGGGGTAATCCTCGTAAAGCCAATAACATAAGCATCATAATGATGATTTGAACTTCTAATCTCACCTCTCGGATCTGACGGACAGCGCCGCAATCATATAGATAGGCTACGTCTCCGCGAGAAATCCCAAACATACGTATAATGACACGAACTAGATGGAAACACGTAGCGGATAACCCTTCAATTCAAAGATAAGCAATATATATAAAGCAGATTTTCCAGGACGAAGCCCAAAACCTGGAGAATTCACATTCCGTAGCGCTAAAGCAATGATTTAGTGCACGATTACTTCCCTGTACTCCATAATAGAAACAAAAATAAGAAAGAAACAAAAATAGACGATACGGTACTCTCTCTATTGATAGCAAGATGTTGAGCATGACCAAAGTCAAGAGGGATGCAAATATAAGCCAGACTCCCGGGATAACGCCATCGCCGAGGTGGGAATCGTGCTGATACAAAACCAGGGTGGTAACGCCATTGTATGATATCGAAATCGCTTTTTAGAAAGATTCTCGTTGCTTCAAAAACAAAGGACCCCATGCCAAACTTCCTTTTGACCACGCAGCTCTTACTTTCATAGACGAAATGGTCGAGATGAAGGCGAAAATTTCAGACAAAAGTCAAACGCGTACAAGGCGTTGGGGTGAACAACTAGTTGTTGCAGGGTACTTGGAAGGTTAATATCGTCTCAGGGCGACACTATCCGACCTCCGGTGCTGCGGCTGCTGCAAATTCATTGTTGAGATTTCTGGCATGGGTCCCTCGATCCTCTTGCCTCCTATCTGTACCCATTCTGCCTTCGAACAATCGTCTCCACCACGCCGGTGGATCTAGCGGCCTATGTCCGCCGTGAAGAGGAGGATAAACATCCGAGAAGAAGTACCAAATATGGCCTACTATGACGCCACATATCTCGTCCTTAGGGATAGTACCGTGCACAATAAGACTGAACGCCATCAACACCCACGGAAGATATGGCGCAGTGAAAACAAGGACACCAAAGAAACTCAACCTTGTGTCTGGATTTCGACGTCCCCAGATGTAGACTAAACTTGAGGAGAGTGCGGGTCCCAAAAATGGGACAGAGAGGAAGGGGGACAGAGTAAGGAGGGCGATGGTAGCGTATAGAAGCATCCATGAGAAGTTCGCTGATGAATGGCCTGATGACTCTTCGAGAAGGCGGGAGTACCGCTGCTGAAAAAAGACGTGGAATAAGAGGTCCAGATTTAGTGGCCCGAAGTAAAGGAAATTCGAAATAAGGCGCCAGTACTAATCGGAAACCACGCAGTTAATTAACCACTTTGATAAATCGAGCAAAGGCGGGACATTCTCACCTGTGATTTCACGAACACAGCTCGGAAGCTATAGAAGAGCTGGAAAGGCGTCAAGATGTGGCATTGTACGAGAACCGATGTTGCTACTGTCGCAGTTGTCCACCATCTCGTACAAGGTGGCATTTCGTAAAACCATTGCTCCAGAGGAAATTGGCCTGGCTGCCCGGCATTCCCCCAAATCGCGGCCATGGCGGATATCCTAATACCTGGTTTGAGGGGCAAACACGTATGGCGGTGCGACACTTATAACTAAACACAGAGGACGAGGCAATTGGCGAAGCCAGCTCTGAAGATGGCATATGAAGACGGCAAGAAGCCCAAAGGCAAATGTGAAAGAATAGCAAGCTGTCCTTTGGCATTCAAATGCGATTCCGACTGAACACCGCATGGCGTAATGGCAGACTCTTGCTTACTAATTGGATATCGGTATAATATTTATCCGTTCTTACGGATTAAAAATGTCCCGTAGAAACACTTGTCCATATTTGTACTAGTGCAGTTACACGTGAATTTTCGCGTTAATTGGGAAAAGCCACTGTGCGGCCAATCAGAGGCAGCGCAGTGCAGAAAACGTCGCGTTCTTTCGCGATGGCTGGGGATCGCCAACCACCGCAATTCACGAGCCTGAAGCTTTTTTTTTCCTTTCAATTCCTTAAGAATATACTCCGTACCCATCCCCTCATTGACCTAGCACGGCGCAAGCTCCAGCTGACTAACATTAACCCCGAACCTCCCAATTCAGCAATTGCGCGAGTTCGCGATCCTTCCTTGTTTACTGCACATGCGCGAAGAAAACATTTGAGACGCGATTGTCCGATAAAACCCCCTGACCTGGCTACCTTTTAATATACGTCCACAAGATATCAGGTTAACCATACACAATGGCCCCGAGGGGTCGTGGGCGTAAAACCGTGCCCGGAGGGTCGACGGGAAGAACCAGTGGTCAGGCGGAAAGCTCAAAGGATGCAGCGCCCGCCTCTTCACCAGCAGCTGCACCAGAGGCTGGGACAGCGTCCTCGTCTCGGGGAGGAAAGTCAAGTCCAGCAGGACAGCGAGGAAGAGGAAGAGGAAGGGGGAGGGGTAGGGGAGGGGGAGGGGGAGGCCCTGGAAGAGCTGAGAAAGCCACATCTTCCAGACAATCGGACGTACAACGTACGTGACACCTTGCTGCGCTCTTTATTTCCCGGCGTGGACACCACCCCGGCCGGTTTAAATATTTCTAACCCAGTCTCTTTTTTCTAGCGGGTGATCCTCTCCCACCAACGCGAAGACACCGATATCATCCAGGAACAGTCGCCCTTAAAGAAATCCGACGATACCAACGCTCATGGGATCTACTTCTTCTCAAACTCCCCTTTGCACGCCTTGTTCGAGAGGTTGCTATGGAGATGCTACCATCCGAAGTCGGTGAAGAGCTTAGATGGCAATCGCAGGCAATCCAGGCTCTACAAGAGGCATCGGAGGCATTTCTAGTTCATCTTTTCGAGGATACGAATCTCTGCGCGATCCACGCTAAGAGAGTCACCATTATGCAGAAGGATATGCAACTTGCGAGACGAATTCGGGGTGCTTGGGGTGGCGTTGGTTAACTTGGAAAAGATGTTCAAAGATGAACTTGAAAAAGAGTTGGCCTTGCATTTTGGGATGGTCCCGTCCCATTGTCCTAATTTAGATTTTTCGTGGGGCTTAAACCGTTGCATTTTCTGTGTTTGTGCCGATATATTTTTTTTCCCCCATTGTTGCGTGCGCGTGTGCGTATGCGTATGCGTGTGTATTTGCACCCGTTTACCCATATACATGTTGCATGGTGTTTATTCGAGGTCGATGGACCCGAGGACGGCGAAAAGAATTGGCGTTTTGGGAATTGGCGGGCCTTTTGCATCTACTTGTTACTCTTCGGCACTGTCGTCTATGCTCGATGTATTAATGTGTGTACATATATAGGTCTTTTTTTTTTTTTTTCTTTTTTTCTTTATTTCCAATTCACGATGCCACTATATCATTTCAAGATTAAGCACATTGATGTGGGGAAGCTTTGCGAGTAATAGGCATCTATGGTCACGCACTACGTTATCCGTCGCTCTTGCGTGTGCTTATAATAATCTCTGGAAGATTCATATAGTTATACTCTGGATATCAACTCGATTCGGCAAATCAGAACATACTCCGTGCTTTATAGTTTCGGAAAACCTATTCCCGTTAGGATACGCTGTGAAAGCCCCAGTAACTCCCAATGTAGAACTCCGTTCACCTGGTGCGCCCTTAAATTCTAACAGCTTTCATCTTCATCTCAGTAGTTGAGCCATATTGGCCCGGCCGTTGTTTATCAGTTTTTGTTAAAACTGGAGGAAGTTTCGCTAAATCGTTGTCTGCTTTTTGTCTCAAAGCAACAGCTTCGCTTGCTTTCCCTTGCCGATCCAGCGTCTCTGCGAGCAGCTCATCCGTCACGCTAATCCATAATTTATCGTCCGTCTTTCTTGCCATAGCCTTGGCAGCCATAGCGCTTTTCTCCGACTGCTCACCAACCACACCGCGGAAGTACTTCCAGCTCATAAAGGTGAGGGCCAGACAAGTCACCTGGCTGTTGCAAATTGCTGTAGCAGCTTGCAACGACTGATGAAGATTGCGTTTTGTCTGCATGGTAGATTCGGTCTGAATAGTGGCGCTTATCAAAGAATAAGCAGCCTGAACGTATCTGTTCGGGCTGTTTTGGCAAAACGGATCAAGGGCACTTAAGGTCTTGGCAGCATCTGAATATGATGGTCGAGAGGGGTCACGGTGAATAAGCACGCAGTTCAGGCCGGCAAGAATTGCAGTATCACGACGAGGATCGTTACGGCTTAACTTGTTGACAGATTGCGACAAATAGAAGATAGGTTGTTCGAAAATTGCGAGAGCTTTGGTCAAATCTCCTGTGGCTTGAGATATTACGCCAGCGGCATACTGTATGAGACAGTAGATAGTCTCATGTGAGCCGTCGCCGAGCTCTGCAGAAGCACTTTGAACTTCTTTCAACGTACGGTTTGCTAATTGCCAGTCCGTCCGGGCACAGGCAAGAAATATTTGTTGAAGGAGCATATGGCAATAAAGCAGTCTCCGCCAGTGAAGACGGGCGCTGGCAAACATGAGAGATTCAGATACTTCTTGCGGAGACTCAAAGCTGCCTGATTACATTGCACGTCAGCCAGGGTCCTTGCGCAAGATTGGGAAGTGTTCACGTACCTCGGATCATCCGCAATCCTTCCTGTAAGTATTTCTCAGCCTTATGCCCGTCTTGGGAGTTCTTTGCGCTCAGCGTCACGGAACTAAGAAAGTAGCACAAGGCATAGAGATCAAGTTCCGGAAGCCAGTTCAATACCAGCACCATCTTGCCATTCTCCGCCTGAAGGATATCCCCAAATTCTACCACTGAATTCTTAACAGCTTCTCGGCTCAGGGGAATTGAAAAAGACCCATCATCCTGCCAAAGGGGGTTATTGATATTTTGATCCATATTCTTCTGAAGAATTTGTAACTTCTGGGAAGCTTGGCCAATATCATATTCAAGGACACTACAGCATATATCAATGATCTGAATCATCGTGCTAATGTGCGGCACGTCCGCGACATTTTCGTTGAGCTGATGGCTCCGTGCTATTGCGATAGCTCTCTGCGCCTGCTCAATTGAGTCGCCACTTGATGACTGCTGTAAATGAACAAGTGCTTCAATTGTTGCGGAAGCGACAACGACCGCTCTGTCCCTAACGCGATTCGCTATGGAGGCTATCTTTTGTAAGTTATGCAGCGCTGCCACGAAGTCTTGATGGGACGGAGAAGAAAGAGAGAGCGTGACTCGTAGGAAGCGAAAGGCATATTCCCAAGCGGTATGGCAGTATCTACAGAAGTTAGAGCGAGATAGCTTTGCAAAATAGTCTGGGAGATGCATACGCTTCAACGTCGCGAATAATGCCGTCCACAGCCTTCATGGCGGCCTTAGGATTAGATTTATATAGTATTCGACATAACAGTTGTTGCATGCTATATTTCAAGTCAAACATTTTATTCTGCTGACGAATTAGCTTGTTAACCCGTACATCCGGACTGATATCTTCTCATACCCTCTCGCAGAGATCGATCTACAAAACGGGGTTAGCGACCGAAATCGACAACACTCACGCGCCAAAGCTGTACATACCCCTTTGCTCAATGCAGTTTCAGCTTCCAAATCATTGTGTGTCTCCTCATACAGTATACGCGCATATCGAAGTCGAAGAAGAGCTTCCGTTCGGGGCTGCAGCCTCCAGTTCTAACACAGCACTTAGTACATTTCCACTCATCGACGAAGAATAGGAATTCCGCAATCTTAAGCTCACCCTCAGGACTGCCTCAATGCAGCATAGCCCTGTCGCAATCAGCTTATGATATTGTTCGATGTCGGCCTCCTGGCGGGAGGCAGCTAGGATAGTCCCTTGACTATGGGCCGCGTCAAAGTATTCGTCTGCCAAGGATAGCAAGAGTACTTGATAGTCGATTGACTGGTTCTCACACTTGGGGCGCGCTTTCGCTGGTTTGGTTTGCTTCGAGGGGGTAGGGCGCATGCTTTGCATATGGTCACCAGTGGCAGCTGGAGGTACCGGAGACTTTTGTTTCTGAGTGTTCCTTGATGGCCCTTGTATCTGCGACGGGGGGGGCGGACGTATCTGAATCCGGGGATATGGCGATGCTGTTGAAGATGGGGCGGGTTGGCCTTGAGCCTGAGGTGTAGGTCGCCGCGGCGGCGGCGGTGGCGGCGGAGGAGGAGGAGGCGGTTGGTATTGAGGAGGGTATATATTGGACGGATTTGGCAGGCTGTAATAGGGCCCGGGTGTGGCAGGGACAGTGGCGCCTGCCGCGCCATACTGCAAAGTCACATTTGGCGGAGCGGGGTGGAATTGGTTCGCTGGACGGGGCGGGTAAGTTCCGGCGGGCGGACCCCCGGGAAACGGCTGAGGCTGGAGGTGCTGGTGCGGCGAAACGTAACTCGGATAGTGAGCCGGCGGTATTTGCGGATGTTGCTCTGCTTTGATAAAAACTGGCGACGTGGCAGCGGAGGAGACGGGACGGGCTTGCTGGCGTTGAGCGCCTTGCAGCGGTGTCTGGCCGGGGAAGAAAGAGCCGCCAGGGGGTGGATAAGACATTTCTTCAGAGGACTAATTAACAAAAACTGTGATGTTTTGTGATGGGGACATCTTCTAGAATTGACGAAGCATCCACCTTTTCCAAACTCCCGGACCCCCGTGTTAACCAGGCAAACAATTCTCCAGGCGCGTGGAGCGGCTGCACCATTTCCGCCCTTCATTGCACGTGATCGAGCCACTGCCAAGCTTCCGCGTGGTCGTCTGGTGGAAGAAAAGAGACAGACTGCCTAAAGTCCGTGCTAAAGCTCGTGAAAAGCCTGCTCCTAGAGTTTCTTTTCCATGAATGTACCCATAATAGTTGATAATACTCTACTCTTGCTCTGTGTGATAGCTTTATACATAGTTATGAACCCATGACGCAGTTCTATGACAAGCGCATTCTGGTGCAACTCGATCGCGATCGCAGTAAAGACAGCTCAAGAGATCGTAGAAGAATTAATCATAGCTTCCAATACTCCCATCAAAAATTGTTAAGAATCTCCCCTAGACACCCTTGGGATTGCTTAAGATCTCGTAGCGTTCAGTCTCTCTGATTGTGATGCTTCCACTTATAACGCTTCTGCACTAGCACGACCGGGAAGCTGGAAAATTACTTCCTTTCGTTATGTGCGTAAATGTAAGCCTGTCGAATGTCGAATCATCTCCCGGCGTAAATAATTGCCAGCCTCAAAGATGGACAGATTCCACGACTTGGAAGCGGATCTACTTCATCTTACATGTGGAATTTTAAACTCCCCACATTTCAAGCACCGAACGGTGGGCGTTAAAGGGGGAAGATGTAAGTGAAATTTGGGGAAATCTTTCTCCATCATCATATGCATCGCAGAACCAGGTCGATAATACCAAAGAAAATGTCGCGGTCCGCATCCAGCTTGTCCAATCCAAGGCCCACAACGAGGAGCCTTTTCTCGCTCGGGTTCTTCGTTGCGATAGCGTTGGCGATCTGGCAAGCATATAAATGACCAATGCTCTCCAACTCGCCAGAGCGTCCGCCCAGCACCGTTGTTGCTGTCAGTTCGGCAAGAGGAAGTAAGCTATCGTCGCCTTCGTCGGGTATCGTATGGTAGCCGCTCGTACCAGGGTTTGTGTTTTCGAGAGGGACGTGCAGCTGCCATATGTCAGTATTCAAGGAGAATTCGGCTAGATTGGGAATCGCACCCAATGCGCTAGTCTCCCATTCTGCGATATTGTCACTAGAATCTTATCCGAAAACGATACTGCCATCACGTCTGTCTGAACGCCCCCTATGACTCCAGCAGCCTGCCTCGTTTGTGCTGGAAACGGGAGATTTTCCATTTCTCCCGGAGCGGGTTGATTGCCAGAGAGGACGTCCATGAGGACCTATCAAGTCGCCGACAAAGTAAGCAACCCAACGCAGCCTGCAAAGCGAAAACTACGGCGGTTGACGGGCTTGGACGTGGTGTTTCGCTTGCGGTGTGGCGGAACTTCAGCGGCGGTTTGGCCGTGTGGGGCTGGCCCGCCGGAGCTTCCTGAGCTTAACTCGTTAGCTTTCACCGCCCTTCTTGGCAGAATATGTCGAATTTTCGATGAAAGCGGCGGAGAGACAACGGCGGACGGTTAGCCGATCGTAACTCTCTCTACTCTTCAAAATGCCGAAATTCGTTCCAAGGCAACGGAAACATAAAGTTCTAGCTAGGGAGGGCAAAGCAGCTCTCCCACAAGAGGATACAAATGCCGCCGAAGTCCTGCCAGTTTCAAAGGTGGAGAGGGAAGAAAAGTTGAGACTTCTGAGGGAAGAATTGAGAGCGCAACAGCCGAAAATATCTGGCAAGAAGCAGAAGCGCCTGGATAAATATATTGTGCGTTTGGCTTTTGTTCAAACTGAGAACTTCGTGAGCTAACATTGGCCGTATGTGTTAGGAAAACAAATTAAAAAAGGACGAGAATCAGGCACTTATCAAGAAGCTCGCCAAATCCAAGATAGATACCTCTCAGCTTCAGAGCTCACGGAACCTAGGCAAGAAAAAGAAAGAAACCCACTTCCGAAATGGAGCGCATGAGGAAACCGTCAGCGCCGGAGGGCCGAAGTCTACACAAGAAAGTACTGGCGAAACTGATTCTGAAGATGAGGCCATCCTCTGTGCAGGGAAGAATTTTAGGGATGTCCTGGCTTCAGCCGTCGCTCCAAATGTACGAATGGGAAGTGGTTTAAAGCGGCCTTTGGAGATTGGCCCAGATGGTTACCCTATACTCAAGAAGCGGAAGAAACGTGTCCGAAAATTTGAGCCAGTCGAGCAGGATGAGCCCGAGTGGGAAGGGTTCGATTCTGAGGATTCAGCGTCACAATCGGCCGCGGTTGAAGACGCAGAGCCAAATGCAGATGAAAAGGCGAGCAGTGACTATGATGAAGAAGGAGTGTCTGGAGATGATTCTACGTCCGATGATGAGAGCAGCGATGAGGACGATGAAACCTCTGCTGGGTTGGAAAACGAGGGGACATTGAAGAAAAAGATTCGTCCGCGACAGTCTGCATTCAAGGCCTGGGCTGTGCAGCAAATCAACGACGCCGCTGGTTTCAAGCCAACACACCACCTCCCTGCCCCCATTCCGGAAGAAGTGTCGCAAGCAATTAAGGAGACGAGGCCTACCGTTCAAGTTGAAGATGAGCCTTTACCGCCAGAACTTCAAATAAGCCAGGCAAATCTCGACAGAAAAGCCTTTTCTGTGAACGTTAGCCGCCCCGATGACATCCAGGAAGCTCGTCTAAAGCTGCCAGTAGTCGGAGAAGAGCAAAAAATCATGGAGGCCATCCATAACAATTCATGCATAGTGATATGGGGAGCAACAGGAAGTGGAAAAACCACTCAACTTCCACAGTTTCTATTTGAAGCAGGGTATGGAAACCCAGAAAGTGACAATCCCGGCATGATAGGTGTAACACAACCGAGAAGGGTCGCAGCGGTCAGTATGGCGAAACGAGTGGGTGAGGAATTAGGGCAGTTTTCCGATCGAGTGTCTTATCAAATTCGATTTGACAGCACTGTATCCACCAAGACTGCAATCAAGTTCATGACAGACGGTGTCTTGATACGAGAAATAGCGCAAGATTTCTCGCTGTCCAAATACTCCATTATAGTGATTGACGAAGCTCACGAGCGAAGTGTGAATACTGATCTACTCATTGGTATGGTCAGTCGAATAGTGGACCTGAGGAAATCCATGAGTGCAGACAATCCATCCGTAAGACCGCTGAAGCTGGTCATTATGTCTGCTACCCTCCGAATATCAGATTTCATCCAAAACCCGAATCTGTTCAAACAGGGAACACCGCCCTTAGTTCAAGCAGAGGGTCGCCAGTATCCTGTCACTGTCCACTTTGCACGCCGGACTCACCGAGATTACGTCGAAGAGGCATACCGCAAGATCTGCAGAGGTCATAGAAAACTTCCTCCAGGCGGCTTTCTTGTTTTCTTAACCGGCCAGGGCGAGATCAAGCTGCTCGCAAAGAGACTCAGGCAAGCATTAAAGTCCACCCATGAATCCGATGGTTTACAGGCAAAGGTTCAAATATCCGCCGCAGAAGCATCTATAGAAGCTGAAGATATTGAGCTTGGTGAAGAACATTTGAGGCTTGAGGGCGAAGAAGACGATGCAAGTGATATCGAAATCGAAGGACTCGACGATAATGAGGACGAAGATGAGTTTGATCAAGAAGAGGGGGCAATGGATTCAACGACCAAAGTCCATATCCTGCCTCTGTACTCACAACTGCCAACGAAAGAACAGCTCAGAATATTCGAACCGGTGCCAGAAGGCTCGAGACTTATAGTATTAGCGACAAACGTTGCTGAGACTAGTTTGACTATCCCTGGAATCAGATATGTCTTTGACTGTGGTCGATCCAAAGAGAAGCAGTATGATACTTCTACAGGCGTACAGAGCTTTCAAATTGGATGGATCAGTAAAGCCAGTGCTAGTCAGCGTGCTGGACGCGCTGGTAGAACTGGGCCTGGTCATTGCTACAGGCTATATTCCTCGGCGCTGTACGAGGAAGCATTCCAAGAATATACCGAGCCGGAAATCCTTCGGACGCCGATAGAGGGCGTAGTTCTGCAAATGAAATGTATGGGATTGCATCATGTCATTAATTTCCCATTCCCAACACCACCAAATCGTGCTGCGCTAGCTAAAGCGGAAAGTTTGCTTCGGTATCTCGGCGCGTTGGCATCGGACGGTCAAATAACAGACATTGGTCGCCACTTAACATTATATCCACTGAGCCCAAGGTTTGGCAAGATGCTGTATATCGGTCACCAGCATGGCTGTATGCCCTACGTTATTGCGATGGTCGCAGCTCTAGCTGTCTCAGACTTATTCATTCAAGAAAGCCAACTTGATTTGTCACCTTTGTCCAGGGATGATGATAAGAAAGTGTATACTAATGCTGACCGACTTGAAGACACCGCTAGAGAGCACCGAAAGAAAGCTTACCACAAAGCTCATCGCATTTTTAGCAAGTATGACGACAAAGCTGATACTTTGAAGTTCCTTGCTGCGGTTTGCGCATACGCATACGCCCCCGATGGAGAGACATTCTGCTCACAGATGTTCCTCCGTTCGAATGCAATGAAAGAAGCCGCTCAGCTCCGTCGCCAATTATCAGAGTTGGTCCGCGTGAATAAACCTGGTTTGCTTGGTTCCTTCGAATCTCGCCTGCCCGAGCCATCAGACAAGAAAATCCGAGCGTTAAAGCAAATAACTGCAGCGGGTTTCATTGATCAAGTAGCAATTCGTGCAGATACAGCACCCGTACCTCCAGTAATGGAACGGAAGCCAAAACGAGCCATTGATGTTCCCTACTTTACCCTCTTCGCATCCCGAGAGGGACGGGCAAAGGAGTTAGAAGAGAAAGCTGTATATCTTCATCCTTCATCCAATTTGGCCAAACTGTCACCCAACGAACTTCCTCAATATCTGGTGTACTCACACCTACAGCAATCAACGCCGACGTACATTGGTGACGTTCCCAAAGTACGCATGTTCCCCTTGACCCCGGTCAGTGGTTTGCAATTGTCGGCGTTAGCACAGGGTACGCCGCTAATCCAATATGGAAAACCTATTGGAAAGACGGATTCTCTGGGAGGTGCACCCGAGAGAAGGGAATGCTGGGTCATCCCTTCAATGGTTGGAGAGCCCGGGAGCGTAGGATGGCCTCTACCCGCAAAAAAGGTAATTCAAAAGAAGGATAGAAAAGAAGGATGGGTGATCGAACGATTTGTTTAGCGATAGAATTAAGCTTATATGTTGGTTGTATTTTTTGGCTTTGATAAGGCTCTTTAGCACGGGAAAAAGTGGTCACTTTAAGTGTCAGGACATAAATTATTATCATGATTCGTCAAACACTGTCGTCTTCTCACACTGAAGCAGCGGCTGTCCGCTCCATGTCCTCACAACTCTGGGTGTAGGAAAGAGAGGCGTGTCACCAGGTAACTTCGGTTAGATAATTCCAATCGCCCCAGGTTTCGCCAGCAAGACCGCTCCAATATGGCGGTCCAAACGCCACCAACGCCGTAAAAAAAAATGCAATCTGTCTTCATATCATCTTGGCTCGTCCCTGTCATATCTTCGTCTGTATCCGCCATTTCTTTCTTCTCTATCTTCCCTATACCTTCCATCTCTCCCATCTCCCCCATCCTCTCGACCCGGCCTATCCCAATCTCTCCTTCTGCCTCCAGTCCTCGGAGAATCTTCTCCATCGGCCTTGATCCCCAGCGCCCTTCTAAACCGTTCACTCTCCTCGATCTTCGCCTCCGCCAACTCATGCACCTGGTACGTCTTAAACTGCCTCTTGCCCCTCCCATCACCACCAGAATCGCCCTGCTTCCTCTTCTCCCCACGGAAACGATCTCTATCCCTCGGATCCGAACCAGATCTTCCCGCCAATTCATCCTCCAGCTCCCTGGTTAACCGCGCGCGCAGCTCGTCAAGTCTCTGCTCGATCTCTCCTTCCGATAACTTATACTTTTTCCGTTCACTAGCACCCTTTTCACCATCGGTACCTTCGTCGGCTTCCTCCCCACGCTCCTCCAACTCCTCATTCTCTTCCTCCAGCCTATCCCTCTCCTCTAGGATCTTGACTTCGATTTGTCGCCGTCGATCATGTTCTAGGATCTGCTTGTCCGGCTGTCGCTGCTTGAATGTGTGCCGTTCGTCGGCATCCGCGTCTGGCTGGAAGGGAGCGCCATAGCTTCGGTCGCGCGGCTTCAGGAGGGAAAGGTTGCGTTGGACGTATCCAGAAGTTCCGCTTCCACGCGGAGTGGAAAGGCCGACGTTTGAGGACATGCTCAGAATCTGGAGATGAATCTAAGTTTATATCCTTTCTCCCCCCTCCTTTTTTTCGCTTATAGTCCAGTAATGCTCAGGGCAAAAGTAACCAAGTGGCAGGATATGATCTGTAGCCGCGATGTGCTCGGGGCGGTTATCGCGTTTGTTTTGGGACCAAAAACGGAAGTGTGTTCTGAGAGTATGTTTCAATGGATATAATACAACAATATCCAGGCATAAGAGGCAATAAACCGTGACTAGAGAGCTGTTGTCAAGCCTCCTTGAGTGCCGCTGTTTCGCTTGAACCGATGCTCAAAGGCAAACCGGGAATCTCACGTAATATCTTGGATGGAATCGGCTTCGGGAGAATATAAGTCCGTGCTTACTCAGGATTACGTTTCGGTGACTTCACCGTGAGAGAGAAACACGGAGACTAAGGGGATTGCCATAGGAAATTATTCGATCAAAGTGTGAAAGTGATGAAGAAAATAAATTTTAGTTATACACCTGGGTGAAGCAACCATATATACGGAGTACACACATCTAATTTGCAGCAATATAAGGAAGACCAGTCAGGGCCAATCCAAGAATCCTTCAAAGCATCCTTCCCAAAATAAATATCCTTGTAAGGAGTATATAGTATTAGCAGATTGCTTCTTCTATCCCAATCGCCCCCCCGGAGTCAAATCTGTCCTCCATCTGGGCGGACTTTATCCCCAGCCAAATACATCGCTGACACTAATCGTGCTCCACTTCACTCCGCCAACAGCGAAACACAGCACGACAATATCCACGACAATAAGCAACGCGGCTCCCATCATAAATCTCGGACAGAAGATTCTATAGAGCATGAGATGCCGTCTTAGCCATCCGGCCCACATCGTCGTGGCTAGATTGATGGTCGCATAGTATAAAATATGCGTAGTGGCTGCTTGGGCAACGTCCGCCAGAAGGCGCCTGGTGGAGTTCTCGGGCCTTTTCGTCACCCCATCGACCACCTGCGGGCCACGTGAATCGATGGGCCGCTTCCACAAAGCCGTCAGCGGGGTAGCGACCGCGGAAAGAATCTGAGCGCCAAAGGTATTAAAGACGATGATGATGGGGGACCAGGGATATCGGACAGAGTTGAGCGGGATAAATGCGCTTTCCCACTGGATGCTGCTGAGCGTGGCCTGGTGGCCGGTTGTGAAGAAATGGAAAGAACCGAGGATGGCTAGCATAACGGGTCCGATGGCCGAATTGCTCGTCGTAAGACCGTTGGTGTCGAGAATTTCGAGCAGAGAGAGAATCTGCCAGAGCTGAAGCGCAATTGTGCCTCCACCCATTGGCTTCTGTAAGAGAATGATGGCGAGGGCGAAGTTCACAACAAGGATAAAGAAGCGGGTTCCATAAATATTAGCGTATCCAAGAATTGTCACAGATGCTTTGGCGTTAGACTGGATACTCGGTGTCATAGCAATACTAACGCACGGTTTCGCCCAGGCAAATGTTGTGGTCCCAGCGGCAAATGCAATAGCAAGGATGATTTGAGCCAGGATGACCTTGATTGACTTAATCGTACTGGACTTAATAACAAGCCAGTTGCCATCATCAGCCGCATCTAGCATCCAGTACGTAGCTACCAGGAGTAATCCTATTCGGAAAGCGAATCCTATCCAAAAGATGGCAGAGCCTTCGTAGGATTTCGTTCCTTGATAGTAGGATCGAATGACCGAAGGAAGGACGAGCGATAGGGCAAATGGGATTAAGAGCTGCCATGGTGCCGATGTTGAGGATGTGGCGGAGACGTAATACGTCGACTTGCAGAAGGGCATCTGCTCTTCTCGGCAAAGCCGCGAGAGGGATGCTACTTTTCCCAGAGCAACGAATATGATAGAATGATATAAGCCAAGTATTCTGTCCTCTTTTGCCTTTTGTCTCAAAGAAGAAATTGCGGCCAAAACACCAAACGTGGTGAGAAAGAAGAATAGGATCTGGTCTTCCCAGATGGTGTAGGAGTTGGAAGCGAATCCCACAGACTGAGCAACGGTGAAAAGAACGGCCAACCAACTCCATAAGGAGTGCGGCAACGGTGACGAAATTCTGTTTGGAATCCAAAGCACAGTTGACAGAGATGCAAGAATCCCCCCAACTGCGGCCCCTAATGCTCCACCTTCAATTAGTGGCATCTGCAAAAGAGCCATTGTACTTGATCCTATCCCCCCTGCAGCACCAACTGCAGTCGCAGCGGCAATGTTTTTCAGCGTTGGGAAAGTAATATCTGTTCGATCGCCCCGAATAGCCCGAGCATAAAATGCCAGGACCGCAATACCAGCGACCAGGATTCCAATCCCCAGAATCATACTCGGGACATCAAACCTAGCCCAGAGAGCCCGACAGACGTTTAACGTGTCTCTCTGGTACTCACGATAAGAATCATAGATCTTGCGGAGGGCAGCTGGGTCTTTGTTTCTAGTTCTTTCAATCGATCTCCATCCATCCTCAGCCTGGGACCATAACGACAACGGGCCCGAAGTATGGCTCTGATCCATTCCTCGAGCATTTGCATATTCGCGTTGGTACCGCTCGATCTGAGCAGAAGCAAGTCTGTTAACAGCGACCAGATTTCTCAAGTCCTTGCCGTCAGGGCCAGCGAAGGCTTCTTCAATAGGCGATCCAAGGTTGTTAAACGGGATCGGAAGCCCAAGTAGCAAAGATAGTGTCGGAACGATGTCGATTTGGGGAACAGGGCGTTCCTTTGCTGTTCTGGGGGGTTCCATGGAGTCGCTACCCATGCGGCCGAAGAGCTTTTTCTTAGAATACATCCAGAGAGTTGCTTCGACTTCATCGTCCGATTCGCCGCCATGGTCTCCTTTAGAATCCATTCCGTGGTCACCCATTACGACGAGCAAAGTGTTATCGTCGATACTCTCCATGAGTTGTCGTATTACTCCGTCCATCTCCTTCAGTTTTGCAGCCATAGCCGCGTGGTCGGGTCCGTATCGATGTCCAGCATGGTCAACGCCCAAATAGTGCCCAAAAACCACATCCCACTTGGTCGCATTCTCAGTGTGTAAGAGTGGGAAGATGTGTTCCGTCACTCCATTGTCGACGGTAAACAGGTCCCAGACATTGAACGAATCATACGCATGCGTAAGATCTTCCTCGAAATAGCCGGGGAACAACGCATGCCATGTGTCATCTCCCAAGTGAACAACCCGTTTACCAACGCTCCGTAATTGAGCCACCAAATTGTCCTCATCAATAGCAGTTCCAGCGAAGTTAGACCCCGCGTCTATGAACGTGGGTAGTGTCCCGGTCGTAAGGCCCTTGAGGCGCTGCAGGGTCGTAGTGGGCGGGTCCGCAATGAATGGGAGCAGGAATGCATTGTTTGGCTTCTCGACAGAGGTCTCATACAGCACCGGAATGTTATGGTGGAACAAATGGGGTTCTTGTCCCTCGACGGTAGGCCGGAAAGGAACGGTAAAGTCGTATCGAAGGGCATCGATGATGACAATAACGGCTTTATCAAACGACTTCGGGTGCCAGCATCCCTCGTCGGACGACGTAGAACGCACATTGGCATCTGGCGTATCAAACGGGAGCACCGCACACTCAGACTTGGTGTTCAGTACTAACCGGGTAAGCAGGAAACCCTTCGTAAAAAAGAATATCCCAATTAAATGTATAAACCTATCCCATCATCTCCACCATCAGCCATTTACCGATGAAGCGCAGAACCAAGAAGGCGAAGAGTAAACGCCAAAAGAGGTGGGGGGGAAAAAAAGGAGCCAAATACTCACAGTACCCATGCCAACAGCCCCAAAACACCGCTATGCATGATCGTGAACTCCTTCTCCTTCGCTTTATTCCTCTGCGCATCCCTATCCTTCACAGCCTTCATCAATTCCTCTTCACTCGCTGCCCCCGGCCTTGTCCGGCGGCGGAAGTGCTGCCGCGCCCGCGCCGCGTTGCGCGCCTCTTCCTCTGCAAGGAGCTGCGCATTGGCCCATTGCGCTTTGATCTGGCGGTATTCGGAGCTCGGGGATTGGCCTGTCGCAAGGGTTCCGGTGGCGCTCTCACCGCCACCTTTGGGCCGGGTGGGTTTCATCGTTTCCGTGTGTTCTGGTAAGTGGGTAAAGGGAGGAGGAGAGGGGGAAGGACGTGTCTGTAGGCGAGACAGGGGTGGGTGAACGAGGAAGTTCGGAGTTTAGAGCAAATACTCGCGAACGAGGGAGGAGTAAGTTAGTGTGTCCATTGAATGAGTGTTGATGACGAGGAATGGCGCTTCGGAGCTGGTTGCGCAGGTTGGCAGAAGGTCGAAGGTCCTCGGTGGCAGCTCCGCAAAAGGCTTAAAGCTCTGCAAAACCAAACCTTGATGGCCAAACTCACTACATCTATTCAAGCAGCCGTAAAACCTCACAACTTTTCAGCATATACCGCCTTTAAAATGATCCAATTGAAAAGGAATTTTAGTGGGACATCTTTTACGAGGTAGTGATATAGAAATTATAACGTGATACGTTCGACCAAGTTTGAACAATTTCAGTTTATCAAAGCGGTAAGAAGGTATATACTCCGTACTCTTGAGAACATCGTGACGCAACGGGGCGCAGGAAATATCCCAAAGCAATTTCAAAGTCCAGCTGATAATGCAACCAATCAAGATCCAAAAAAAAAAAAAAAAGGCTGCACAGTCGAATTGGAAGTGCATATATCCGTATGACGGAATAAAATAATGGACAGGAAGAGCCAAGGCGGTGCCGAAAGCCGCAATTCATCAATCAAACAGCGGGATCCATTATCAACAAGATAGCCCAATGGGGAAAAGAAAAGATAAAGGAAAATAAAAATGAAATGAATAAAAACAATAAGCGAAATTACGTCACGTCGTGTTTTCCAAGCCCTAGGAACATAGCAGGGTACGTGGAATTGTGACGGCTTTACAGGCAGCTATCGAAGCCAGTCGGGAGTTGGGCGCAACTGGTAAGTTTCGATGCCTGGTCTTCGAGTGACAACAGAGTGCGTAGCAATATATGCCAGCGGATTAGCAGTGTTTTTATATCTGTGAGATGGGTATCCCTGAGATTGTGGGTCGCTTCGGGGGGGGGTCAGGTAGCAGTGGTGTGAGGGTGTGTACGGCATAGGAGCAGGTGCGGAAGAGAGAGTGGAGTGGTGAATTGAACGATAGTCTGCGGGCGACCCTAAGAATATTGCTTGGAGTCGCATTTATCCTTCAATCCGCCCATCCGGTCAAGGTCGAGAGACTGGAACCTGTCAGAGCTATTTGCCTGGTATGGCGGCAACGACTCCGTGTAAGGTTCCAAGCCGATGCCGCCCTTCTCGCCGATGCGCACGACGACGACACTCCCTGGCCGTCGTGTGCCATTCGTATCTTCCTCTTCAGGGAACGTGATACGAATCTCTGGAACGGGGCTCGAGGGTGGGCTAGAGGAGTTGTCGACCAGATTTCTCTTCTCATCAATGACGTAGACGGACTCAGACCTGCCGCCGTAGGGAGTCGTGGTGATGGTGAGCTTACGGTGATGTCCAGCGCCGTTGGAATGTTCGTTGTACATGGGTAGACCGGCATTCTTCGCGGCGCGACGTTTCTTGCGGAGGACAAGGAGGGTGCCGACCAAAGTAATTCCCAACAGGACCAACACCAACAAAGTTATCAGAAGATTGACGGTGGTGGAGCTGAGTTCGGTTTCCTCGTCATTGGATCCGTCGGCCCTCCGAACTAGCTTGCGTAATGAGTCCATCATTTTGAGATAGTTACTAAGATTAAAGATGCCGGAATAGAGCGCGGCGCGGTTGTCAAGGATCAAGGTGTCGATGTAGGCTGGTTAAGCGAAAGGAAGTTGCTACTCCTGAGCTGTGAAACAATCAAGCATGCATATGCAGCGGAATAAAGGATGTCGTGTGAAAATGATGCAAGTTATCGTCAAATAAGTTTGAAGAGAGAGATCGTGAGCGGGTGCGTGCGAGGGGGGTGGCAAGGAATGTAGAGTTGTTGAAATGATAGAAAGAATGGACAGCAAGGTACACAGCTAAAGGAATGGAGCCGACACCTGCTTTGGATGAGCGAGAGAGCGAAAGAGAGAACGGAGGCCGGGTTGGTGGGTGATGGGGGGTTGCGGTCGCGGAAGTGCGAGGAGAAAGAGAGAGACAGAGAACGAAGAAGCAGGAGAGGGAGAAATGCAGCGAGAAGAGGAGAAGCGAGCAAAGCCCACAGCCGCCCGGGCTAGGAGATCACCCCCTGTGTGTTGTCTTTACCGGAACAGGTCAAGACTCTCCCGCCTCGTCAGTTGAGCAAACAGCGCTTGCCCGCTTTCAGCCCACGATGGAGCACTCAGACCAATGGCGGCCACTCTACTCAGCCACGGATATATCTCATTGGCTGTGGGTCCAAATGGGACGGTTCGATACCCAGCCAATAAGCTGTGCGACGTGCCTGGATTGCGGTGGATCCCAGCCATGTCACCCTTCCCAAAAGGAAAAGAAATAAAACTAAAAAAGAAGAAAAAATAAAAAAAGGGAGAAGGAGCCAGACGTGCTCCCTCCCCTTTCCTCATTTTTGCCCCCACCCCAACCCGGAAGGAATGCAATGCCAGCAGCAGATGGCAGGTACGGAGTACATCGTATAGTATGTATTATTCAATACATCATCGCCGACTACTATTACGAGAGAGACCATAATAATAATAATAATAATAATAATAATAGTAATAATAATATCATCGTCATCATCACCGGAGGTCGATTGCTCGCTGCTCTGGGCGAAGGGGGGGCTCTGCTGGGCTGAAGGGCGATGTCTCGACTATTTATACCCCAAGTTGGTCCGGAGCCCGGACGGAGAGCGATTATTCCAACACACTCTTCCCCTTTGTACAGAGCACGAAGGGTTTCCATCTCCTTTCGTCCAGCAGCCGGATGTTCCCGTGGGTGTCTCTACAAAGAACTTGAACCCAATCGGAGCCACGCTGCGTCGATCCCATTCTGGCTCCCCCTGCATCTCGACTTTACACGTATGTATGCGTCTCCATTGATGCGTGTGCGCGCGTGCGTGCCGACGGGAGCTGTGCTCCTTTGTGTGCGCACGATCGATCCATCATACGTGAACGGTGAGCGAGTCAGTTGGGGACAGACGGCACAGTGCGAAGACGGCCGTCATTTCCTCTCACTCGTCCCAAGCCAGGTCTTGTCCATGAGCTGGCATCCACATGATGGGGGATATCCAAGTCCTTCCCGATCACAGCGGCGCATCCTTCCCATGCCGCGGAGGATCGTCCTCGCACAGGCGGCGGCTGCCACAATTTTAATCCAGGCATCCAACCAAGTAGACGTGGCTGTCGATCGAAGACTTGAAAAAAATCATTGCAAGCTCAGCCATGGTCGATATTTTTTTTTATTATTATTATTATTGTGAAACAGACGAAGCGCAAAGGGAATGAAAAAGGCTCCGATTTCTTGAAATATCAGAATGGCTGACCCGTGTCTGGAGGTCCTCGAAGCTGTCGATAACCAGCGAACGGAGAAAGGTTCAGAGAAAGTCCCAGCCGCTCATCACGACAGTAATGGAAACCTCGCAGATCTGGTCCCGTTTCTTTTTCTCCTTTCGTCGATGCAAAGCTACCTCTCTCGCATTCATCAGGGAGAAAAAAAAAGAAAAGAAAAAAGAAAAAGGAGCACGGCGGCAATGCTGTACGACATCTGACCACCTCTGGCCCCAAAATTATGATGTCTACTCCGTACTCCGCACAAATGTGATTTTTCACGTCACCACATTGACCTCCAGACTGCCAATGTCTCAGATCACCAACGAATTCCCCAGGATAAATCTAACAGAAACCGCGTGTCCGACACGAATCAAGGTGAGGAGCACACCAGAGGAGGGCTGAGACGAGCGGAGGGAAGCGGAAGAATTCCATGCCTAGGTAGGACAAAACGGCTGTTTGCAGCAAACCAATTCCCAACGGCAGAACTGCAAGCCCCGGCGAGACAGCCTTGGGGGATGACATCTTTTGCTCAGGTGGACATCGCAATTCCCCGAAGTTCACAGATTTTTTTTTTTCCCTCACCTCTCCTCCACTTGCTCGATGATAGCATCTAATAGGTAGCATTCTCGGGCCGCGAGCACCTCATCGCAGGACCAAGGACTGAGTGTGCACGGTGTTCGAGATTTCTTCCAAGGTGCTCAACGTCCTGATTGCCACATAGGAAAAAAAGTTAGGTATCCCGTCGCACCGGAGTCCCTGCGGCATCGTCATCATCATCATCATCAGGTAGCAGAGCCAAATTCTCAACGAAATCTGGGCGCCTCGAGGAAAGATTCCGTCACAGGTTGACAGGGGGTACGGAAAGGCCAAACCCAACATAATTTCTTTGGCTGCTGTTGCCTTGAGCAAACAAGGTTTCGATCCAGATTCTGACGACCCCAAATTGGTGGTACGATAAGCTTATGTTTAGCTGTTCCAAAAAACCCACAAGAGCTCTCCAACATACTGGAGCGGATCGTGGAAAAAGTCAAAACAAAAAGAAAACCCTGGGCGGTCCACGGAAGAGCTACGGAGGAGCTACCGGCTGCTGGTTACTTCCCTTTGTCAGATGTAACTCCCGTACGGAGTGGATCCTCTAACTACATGTGTATGTACAGTACACAAAGTAGAGAGCACTGTACCGGGGCGTCAATAGGAGGAGACCAGTAAGCTAGAGATGATCTTACTCATGGCCTGTGAGACAGGAAGAACATGCTTGAGTAAGACGTGACGGGCTTGAGCGACGAAACGTTGTACAGGAGCTATGCGAGTCGTCCGTTGGCTTCCGCTCGCAGCGGATGGCTCCGGCACCCACGACCATGGTAAGTTGGGAAGGATTATGCCGACCCGCGGCCTGTCACAAGATGGCAACAGGGCGCGTTTGCTGTGAGAGCCTCGGCTGGCTGTGGAGTGAGTGACGGTGATGATCTTGTGGGATGTTGTTTCTAAGTTCTCTTACGCCTTTTTCTTCTTTCTTCTTCCTCTTTTTTTTTTTTTTTTTTTTTGGTAGCCTTTAGATGGAGGTGTGTTTCCCGGTCGGTTCCTGTTTTCATCTGACTTTTGTATGCAGAAAAACAAAAGAAAAGAGTAGCCAAGATAATGTCTTCCAAGTGTGATGTTTGAAACAGGGCAGGTTTGTTTGTAGTCTTTTTTCTTTTATTATTATTATTATTATTATTATTATTATTATTATTATTATTATTATTATTATTATTATTTATTTATTTATTTATTTTTCGATATCTCCACGCTTTGTTGGTTTTCTTTCTTGCTCCGCCTTCGAAGCAAACGTTGAGTGGAAATCTGGTTGATAGGCTCCTCCGTAGAGCGTCGGGTACCGACGTCACAAAGGCGGTTGGCGAGAAGTTATCCTGTTACTACTCCACAGATCAGAGCTTGGGAAGAGTTTCTTTTCTTCTAGGGGCAAACGGAAAGCCAAGCTTGAAGGTACTTTTGAGTTTTAAGATTCAATAACGCCCCCCGGATTGTCAATGATCGGGCCCAGTCTTTGGGTCATCGAAGTGGAGGGGCGGCGAAGTTGGAGTTTGTTTCTACTGTACGTGCCTTCGACCGTTCAAAGGTGCGGTTCCAGTGCATGGGTGCGTGAATGTGAGTGCGATTCTGGAAGGGCAACCCATCCCACGTTGAAAGAAGCGGCATTGCCGGCTGCAGACGTACCTACATACATGATGAAGATTACTGCTAGTAGTAGTAGTGTTAGGGCGTAGGAGACACACACACAGAGAGAGATAGAGAGAGAGAGAGAGAGAGAGAGAGAGGTGGAGTCATGACGCCTTAAAATGATCTGCCGGTGTTTGGGGAGTGGATCTGGCGCCTTACCTTATTCGAAGCTTGGCTCGGCGGGATATTTTTAAACTCAGCTAGCGTAAGTTACTAGTACGGCGAGGTACTGAGGCCTGTACGTCCCGTGTTATGAATGGAAGAGGCTAGGTCGCCAGAAGGCCAGCGAGTGACGACCGCTGCGGGCGTCGTAAGACGGTGTTCCGCGAGGGCCGCCTGCTTATTGGCCGCCGCCGGCAGCTCGGGTGGATTAAGCTCGCGTTATGTCCCTGCCGGCTTGGTACTCTGGTAAGTTTCAAAACGCCCCCCGGGGGGGAAGATCGTGCGTGCGGCCAGTACGGAGAGGTACCTACCGTAACAGCGGGGAGGACTGGGGGCAAGCAAGCTGGCTTCGAAGGTCCCAGTGCTGCTGTCTGTCGCGGTGGTCGTCGACGGGGCCAAAGACAGAGACGGGAGCTGCCAGCCGTTCACCCTGCTTGAGCGTCAGATTAGAGCGATGTGTGTGCATTTCTGTAGAACCTTTCTGTGTACTCCGTACTCCGTACAGCTATAGACTCCTCCTGATCCCGGCGATCGGAACATTTTCCCAGTCCAGATGCGTACTGCGGCGTATCAGCCTGGTACAGTATCTCGACTGGGGCCTGCCCAGCCAGTTTCCACTGCGGTGGCTGGCTAGCGCGCTTATGTAAGGCCAGGGCCCCGTTTTTTTTGTTTTGCAGCCGCTCCAGAAGCGGTAATCCAACCGTTTGATCCCTTGGGACAGGGACTCTGCGAGGATCGCGCAGCGCGGAGGACGACGCTGACCTGGAAAAAGCAAATCCAGGTTTTAAAAAAAAAAAAAAGAAAAAAAAGGAAAAAAAAGGAAAAAGAGGTGCTCGAGTCGCCAGCAAGGACAGCCACTTGGGCTGACAAGAATCCTCCTGCTCCCGTGAAAAGCAACTTCGAAAAAACCGCTCGAGCTTCCCTCCACACCCAACCCCAACTGTAGGTATGTATGGACCATCCCAACTGCCCTTTCAGCTCAAAACCCCCCCGTCACCGTCTATCGTCTTGCATTGTCTGAACCTTGCAGCTTCTCCCAACCGTCCGCTGCTCGCCCCTCTCCGCATCGTGTGTACCTCGCCGTAACCCGCATATTCTGCGGTACAGTTATCGCACGGAATCTGGATCTGAACTCCAGGGATCCAGGGAATGCCGCCCGACTTGTCACTCGACGAATCTCTTTGTACGCCCTCATCTCTGACCTCTGTACCACTCTTTCTGAGCTGTCCATGCTTAGCCTACCAATCCTCGTCACCCAACTTGCCAGCCCCGTCCGCTCCTTCACCCTCTCGTGTCGTCTTCACCTTCAAGTTGCTGACTGTGCTGTGTCCGTCGTCAGGAGATCAAAAATAGACCCCCAGAGGTTACCTTCCCGCAATATCCTGCTGTGTCATGAAGCTTCCGTCAGTGTGACGAGTTTCATGCGTCTCCCGTCTTTTTCCCTCCGTCTTTGTTCCTGGTCCGACCTCTCCCCTCCCCACCTTTGAACCTCTCCCTCCAGGAAAATTTATCGACCTCTCGCCATTCGCCCTCGTCTGCTTCATCCCCCCCATCTCACTCTTGATCGCAGCTCTATCCCTAATTCTGCATCCAACGGTCAGTTCCTCACCATTGCTAAGCGTTTGCCTTCGATCTCTTCCCACAACGCTACATTGCAAATAGAGAGAGAAGATCAAACAAAAAGAAAATAATAGAAAAAAGAAAAAAAAGGAAAACAAACACGTACTCCGTATAGAGCTTGCCCCATCTCACCGCAATCCCTCCCTTCTCGCATTTCCTTCCCCACATCAATATCCGATGAACTCTCCATACCCGCATTAAGCCTAGTCGCGATCCTCAAGGTCATGCACGGAGGGTAAGTTTCGGCTTCGCTCAACGTTTGAATTCCTGTCCTGTTTACGGCTGCCTGCCGCGACCACGCTGGCAAACGAAGTCGGCCCCTTATCCAATCGTTCATTCCTTGCCCCGGATGCACACGCACTCTCCTCTTGACCGTCTTCGTTACTCTTATTAAGGACTCCATATTACTATCCTTTATACCCTACTCTTAATTTTTCTTTCGCGGACTTCTTGCTCCCTTCACCTTTCCCTCACCTTCCTCTATCTTTGTTGTTTTTGTTTGTCTTTCCTTTCACGCATTCCTCACCTTTTTCCTTCTTTTTCCCCTCCCTTTACTGCTTCCGAAACGTACATTCTTCATTGCTGTAAACTGGGGCCCGGCCGGCTTCGCCTGTGAGGTCTGCCAGGGATACTCTCGCCTCTTGCCGGTGCACTTTTCCAGTTGCACATCTGACACACTTCATCTTCCCATTGCGCAACCTCGACATTCATTGAACTGTAAAACTAACGGTACAATCACCTAGCTTTCACCACGGTATATTATATCGGCAGTCGGTCACACCCCCGTTGATGCACATGGTTGACAACAAACAAACATAGTTCAAACCTCCTCTTTTTTTGATTGAAATTTTGTGCATTTCACTCCAACATACATTCCTCTAGATCCTGCAAATACTACTCCTGATCGAAATTCCTTGTTAATATACTTTACATATACGCTTCGGCATATACAGTTACCATTTATCACATTCCAGAACACAAAAGAATACCTGGGTGATGGCGTCAGGACTCGAAAATATTCCAAGTGTGCATGCAGTAAGTCTCAAAACCTGTTACTCTTTCCTTTTCTTTTGCTTTCTCCCCCGGCCGTATATGACTAAATGTGCAAACATTGACATGGATTGTGGTCAGGTTGGAGGGCAGTCCCGTGCATTTGGGACTGCAAAAGCGAGTTGGAAAAACGATGTCTGGGGAAATGGCCACCTCACGGACGCGTTCTCGGACGGCACTAGGGAAAATGGACACTTTAGAGGTATGCCTCCCTCACATGAACCTCACGTTGGCTGTCATTAGTAACGTTTGCCATTTCCACCAGCCTCCAAAAGCATGAGCGACGAGATGATGGAAGGTAAATCCGGCTCCAGCTGCCTCCTGGCCACCTCGGAATCCGACGGGTGGGATGGACGGGCAAATATGCCTTGGAATGTCAGCCCTTCGCATGGGCATTCACTCACTCCTCCGGGGATCGATGCCCAGTCAAGGGACTCTTCTCCTCCTTACTTTTCCGCTTCTCGACCAGCTGCCATAGGCACTGCAGTAAAATCGTCAGCTCAGAGGGCTTTCTTTACACAATCTGATCCCCAGTCGGTTGCTGTGAGTTCTGTGGGCACACCGTCAGGATCTACTGGATATATGGACCATAACACCCCACCACGAAATATCAATCCCGCCGCATTCAAGAATTCCAACCTTGGAGCCAGATTTGGAAGCGGAGCGACACTTCCTCTGACTAACAGCGATATGGGTTCATCTGATAATCTTAATGGCTCACTCGGGTTTCGCCCTTTCCAAGCAGCCAACGTTGGCCTAGCTGGGAAGTCTACAGGACCTTACACACATCTGTCCCGTAATTCTATGAGTTCGTTTTCACAGCGCCCTGCACATTCGTCACATTCCTCCTTTCATTCGGATTCCGATGGTAACGATATCAGAGAGCCACGAGCGCGTTATGACATCGCGCATGAATTCTCGAAACTAGGCCTTGAAGGCAATTCCTACGTTCTTCATTCCCACTCGAACTCACACCGCTCGGCCTACATGGGCCCCTCATTCGACGGATCTGTCCCGCATTTCAAATCTCCCTTTGGAGATGAAGTGTCTGGCTCTGTTCTGAGAGCATACAGCCCCGAACCGTTTTCGGACATGTCTGCGTACCAAAGTATCCCCAGGTCCCGCCATGGAGAGAGAGGCATGGGCTCTCCGTCCCTGAACGACTACGTTAGAAATACGAACAAAGGCTTTTATTCCGCTAACGGAACACCTCCAGCCGCCCCACGCCTTGTTATATCACCGGGAAATCGGCTTGCCGGCCATCTTGCAGATGAGCAGACGGAACTTCTGGATAGGAAGCTACGGAGCTTGCAGCATGAGCAGCAAGAATATCTTCAGTCGGCGAGTCCGATCTCGAGCCGCAGAGCTCTGCAGCAGGCTCAGGGATACGGTCTTTCGAGTTATCATGCCGCCCAAATTAATCAGGTTGGCAATCCATATGCGATGGCGACGTTCTCTGGTCTTCCCACTGTTGTTGCACGGAACCAGTACCGTGAGCAAGATGCTTCGCAGTCGTTACGCAGCCCTCTGTTGGAAGAATTTAGAGCCAACAATAAGGGAAACAAGCGATATGAACTCAAGGTTGGTTACAATGCGACCGTACATAAATCAATTGAATTGTGGATGAAGGCTTATTTTATGTTCCGTTTAGGATATCTATAACCATATTGTCGAGTTCAGCGGTGACCAGCACGGCTCTCGATTTATCCAGCAGAAACTGGAGACTGCCAACAGCGATGAAAAGGAGCGCGTTTTCCAGGAGATCAAGCCCAACGCTATACAGCTCATGATGGATGTGTTTGGAAACTATGTCATCCAAAAGCTTTTTGAACACGGAAACCAAGCACAGAAGAAGGCATTGGCCCAGCAGATGATGGGTCATATTCTAAACCTTTCAACCCAGATGTACGGATGTCGGGTCGTGCAAAAGGTGAGACTGCAATTTTTCTGTGAAATGCGCATACGACGCTAATTCTGACTAGGCGTTGGAGCATGTGCTCCTCGACCAACAAGCTGCAATGGTCAAAGAACTGGAGAACCAGGTTATCAAGTGTGTTAAGGACCAAAACGGCAACCATGTCATCCAGAAGGCCATCGAGCGAGTGCCCCAGGCTCACATTCAATTCATCATCAACGACTTCAGTGGCCAAATTCAACGCTGGGCGGTGCATTCTTACGGCTGTCGGGTCATTCAACGGATGCTTGAACATTGCAATGAAGCGGATCGTGACGCTATCCTTGGAGAACTTCATCTATGCAGTGCTAGCCTTATCCCAGACCAGTTTGGCAACTATGTGATTCAGCATGTGATCGAAAACGGGCGGGAGAGAGATAGATCCCAGATGATTGCCGTTGTGATTTCGCAACTTGTCTTGTTTTCGAAGCACAAGTTTGCTAGCAACGTCGTTGAGAAGACCCTTGAATTTGGTAGGCCAAATGATCGCTCGGAGATCTTGCGTATATTTACTACTCCAAACGAGAGGGGAGAATCGCCGCTGGAGGGGCTCATGAAGGATCAATTTGGTAATTATGTTATTCGTACGTATCCTTGTTCTGGCGTTTTCCTTCCTTTTTCCTCCCCTTTTTTCCTTGCCACAATTTAATACTAATAAACCCCCAGAGAAAGTCCTCCAAGTCTTGAAAGGAGATGAGTACCAAACGTTGGTCGATAAAATTGTTCCACTGCTATCCCATCTGAAGAAACATAGCCACGGCAAGCAGATTGCGGCGATTGAGAAACACTTAGCCAAACCGACACCCCCAACTTCCTCGGCGGCTTCCGAGGGCAATCACCTGTGTCGTGGAAATGAAGTCGACTCATCTTACGAGGACAATGGTCTATCTACCGGAGGCACTCCTAGCTCTCGTGGTAGTACTGCCTCAAGCACCAATACGAGCATCGACCCAGCAGATATTGCTGAGAGCAAATCGGCCCCAGCACCCAGCACACATTCTTCGCGATCAGCCTAAAGAATTCCAGTTCACAACACTGGCCCCATTCTTAGGGCTCCTTTTTTTTTACTCCTCTGTCACGTTTCCGAGGCTTTTTCTTACATGCCACATACCATTATTGATTTAATAGGCTCAAGACTTTGACGATCAGTTGAGTACATATACTCTTGATAAAAATTTTGCAAAAAATTAACCCTGTCCACAAGTACAACAGCGCTACCAGACGCACATATACGACTAATTTGGGCGGTTGATGATGGGCAAAAATATATGCCTACCTAATTCACATGGCTGTCGGGCTTTTTACCCAATGCGGGATTTCAACCGGCTAAATCCCATATCATTCCCCAAAATCTTTCCGACTGTTTCTCTCTGGCCATATTTGTTTAATAACCTTTTTTCCCTTTTTAATCCTCGATGGGATCTCTCGGCGCATCGGTCTGTTTTTATGCCTCAGCTACTCCAGGCTTGTGCTGTGACATTTGAGGTGTTGGTGTGTGCATTTCCTTTGTTGATTCTTTTTTTCCCCCTTTGTTCCTTGCACATTCATAGTCCTCTCTTTCCTTCCAGCGAACTATTTATTGCTATGGTATGGAGGAGGATCTTCGGCAAAAAGACAAAAAACTTTAAAAAAAAAAAAAGAGAGACAAAAAAGAGAGCCCAAAAGATATTATTATTTTGATTGCTATCATCGGCCCGTTTATGCAACATACAGGGTGGTACGGCAGGGAAAAGATTCTACTGAATATTTTCTTTTATTTTTACCTTTCCCCTTCAGCTTAGTTTTGGGATGCCTGGCGTTGGTTGAGGGAAGGGTGTTAATCAGATGGTATTTATTGAACTGGTTGCTTTTTGCTTTGCTGCCCTCGAATTTGAATCCTTTTTTTTTTTTTTTTCAACTACTGCTTCTGTATCATGTGGCCTTCGCTGGTATCTGTTTAGTTGTTTATTCCTTATCTTATTTTTTTTTATCAAGGAGAGTTTCATGGAAATTGCTGGTGCCACTATTTAACGGTGTTTTTTCCCCTCGGTTTTGTTAAATTTTCGACTAATTAATAAAACATCAACTTATCCTTACAACCATATAGCGAGCTGATAGTCCCTGTTTTTCTCATGTATTAGAAGGTTAGTCAGACAACTAGAAAACTATACTACGAGACCGTTCTTCTGGCAAATGTAAAGAGTGGTGTCGCTGGGAGCGATGCGCAAAGCTAAGAGGAGATTGTTCTCTTCTGCACAACATGAGAGGGATAAAGATTTGGAGGGTTGTGCAGGGGTTGATTAATGCTTGCTCCCGGAACCATGCAAAGGTAATAGTCCCTATCTGCACGCAAAAGCTGCATCGCAAAGTTAGTACGATAAGGGCTTGTGTTTAGGGATCTAGATGGGCTAGGATTTCATTGGCGGAAACCCCTCGACACAGGAACTTGAGAGTAGTAGTATATCTCCGGGCAAGAAGGGCATTAAAAGTTAACCTAGCATGTATACAATCCGCCAGCTACACACGCCATACTAGAAAAAGGTCCACGGGGAAGGAATGTTGTCATCAAATCAACTACATAATATCATCATTTCAAAATGCTCTGGCCGACTGGGTTGAAGGGCATTTCGCTCTGTCTCTCATTTTCGTATTTGCGTATTCTGTATGAGTGGTATAAAACATGTGAACGGGACGGGAACTGATTGCGAACCCTAACCCCTATTGTCGTTGTGAGAAAGAGAAATATTTGTTTGTCTTTCTCGAGATAGAGATGCGGGAAGTACGGAGTACATACGGAGAGTACATATATAATATACGCACGCGGAAGTGTGTAGGTACAGGGTAGTTAAAATGCAAATTTGGCAAATAAAGAGAAAAGAGGCACAAAAAAAAAAAAGGGGGCAATAACTAAACTTTTCGAGGAACGGATGGGGGGTATGAACAAAGATGAAACTCGTGAGGAATGCCATGTTGGGGGTAAAACACTGTGGGGGCGAGGGGGACAGTTAACTACATAGCCATGAAGCAGGGACATTAGATCCAGAGAGAATTACAACTTGGATACAAAATAGGGAAAAAAAAAAGGCGTTATGGACGGCTGTTGCTCCAACGTGAGAAGTCCAAATTTTGAAAAACATTGTTATCGATGTAGAGGTTCCGTTCTGCGCCGAAATTGGCCCGGAGGCCCTGTGCCGGTGGAGTTTCTTCGACCTGGACGGCTGCCGCTTTCGTATGGCGTCGGTGCGGAACGTAGACAGTTTCGACGGTTGCATCTGAACTTCCGACCGACGCGTCGAAGGCGCGGTCTCGAAGACGGCGGATTTCGCGGAGTCGGTTCTGCCAGGATGAGACGTGTTCGCCGCCGCGGCTGGAGACGAGAGAGAAGGCGGAGGCGTTGAGCGCGATGAGGCGAACAAACGCAGCGAGGTTCTTTCCTGATATCACTTTGGGCATAGCAGCTGGTGAGAGTTCCGGGAATCCTGGTTTGCTGACAACTTTAACGATGTAGAAGCTTTGATAGAAATCTTCAATTGAGTGAATGGGTACTTCTTTGGGAGACACCCGGCAAACTGGGGAGATGACGACATTGACGAAGTTGAATTGCGTGAGAATGGTGTCAAAGGCAACTTCTTTGTTGGATCGATTGAAAATGATATTGACAAAATCATTGCCAATATGCATCTTCTTCTTCACGCAATATGGATCCGCTGCTAAATCTGTGGGCATCATTGTCGGAATGTGATAAACGATTTCAGTCACTCGGTCGCGCCACGCATAAGTGTATTCGCCGTCAGTCCCGTGTTGCAGTCCCTGGGTGTTGAACTTCGCGTTCTCGAGCGACACCTTTGCCCCTAACCCGCCAAGGAAGAATTCATAATCGCTGCTCCCAGACGTGTTGGCGAGAATCTGGGCCTCTTCAGTTTGACCTTGGTCAATGTAGATCACACCAACTTTGTGTCCGTCCACAATGTCGTTCCTGTCGAAAGTGCTGATTGCCCGTCGAGTGAAATCGTCGTCGGGAAGTGGAAGAGGCTGCGTCACCACAGGGGTGGGAAATGCAGAAGTCGTCAACTGAAGGAGGATGTGCGAAGGCAAGATCCGCGTGGTTTGCTCATCGGTGATGGAATGTGGCGACGCGCTAACCGGAATCTGGTGCGGTAAAACGGGGGCTGTACGTTGCTGGTAAGAAGCATAGGTTGTGCCAGAAGCTTGTCTTTTTGTTATCTGACTCAGGCCGGAGGCACCAGCTGTTTCAACCGTGACGATACTCATTCCCACAATCCAAGTCCTTTTGGACACTGGCCCATCGCTGTCTGACGGTGGGAATCGCTCGAATGGAATAGTATCACCAAGGTCTGAAAATACCACTCTTTGCATAAAGTCCATAAAAACCTGGCTCTGCTCTTCAATGACTTCTTTCCCCGCTTCATCGGTGAAGACGAGACGTTTTATTATCCAACTGATATGATTGGATCTATCCTGTAGCTTGAGTGACAGGAACCAAAATACCATGACATGGTATGTTAGATGGTAGACGTATCTCGATAGATCATCGGAAGTATTCGCATCGACAGCAGACGCCCCAGAGGCTCCAGGAGTGGATGCGGTTTCTTTCGCGCCGCCACTGAGTCGCGTTGGAAGAGAAGCAGACCGCGTGGCCAAAGGGTCCATGGCTTTGTACCGCTGCTCTCTCGACGATTCGATATACCGGAGACAGATCCCAAATACTGTGCGAATCTCCTCATCTCTCAAATTCACATACACATCCGGCAGGCGTGCGAGTAGAGCAAGAAATTCCAAGATATGGGCTGCAATATGCATTCGTGTCATGACTTTCGACATTTTGTCAAGGATCGCGTGCAGGGACTTAGTTACCGAGAGCGGAGTTTCGTGACAGCAAACGGCGAGTGCATGGATGCAGCCACGAGCGGTAGCCTCCCAGGACCCAATTCCAAGCATAAATGTACGAACCGTCTCATCCTGCTCGCTCTTCGCAAAATGCTGGTGGAAACCAATGAGTCTCGTGAGAGCCGCAAAGATGCAAACAGCGATATCGCCTTTCTTTACACCAGTCCAACCATGAGGTTCCTGAAAGCTTTCATTTTTGATTTGCTCACATAGAACGCTTCGAAGGAGCTTGATCTGGGGCATCGAGTTGCGGAAAAGTTCCCTGTTCATAAGCTGTGCCGCCAAGTAAGCAAGAACATAGCTGTATATGTCCCAGTTTTTCTCTCGTTGAAGAAGCGCGATGACCGTTTCGACCCAAAAGTTGACTGGGAGGAGAATTCGAGGGCTTTGTTCGCTCTGCTCGTCCGTAGAGCTTGGTAAAAATGCAAAAGTACGATCGCTAGGGTCATCGAGCGGCTCCTCGGGCAGACTGTTGCTCTCGTCTCCGATCCACACTGGAGAATTCCACTTTACTGCACGGCTCTCGCTCGCCGCACGTGGGGTATCCGAAACCAAAGGACCAGAAGAAGGTTCTTTAAGTGATAGTCTACCGCTTTGGCTGTCGTTCCTCGGCTTTCGGTCGCTCGACGAGTCCTCCGTTACGCTTTGTCGCGAGGTCACATCGATGGTACGAGACAGAACGTTGATCAGAAAGCTGCTGTCAACTGTTGGGATTACATATATGGCTCCTGCAGAGTCACACCGGATTCTGAAAAGGACTTTTAGAGCAGATAGCCGTGCATCGCATGGACGTTGTGGTGACCGCGCAATATCGATCAATTTTTCAAAAACGAGAGATGGATTGATCGACGGGTGGCCCACTAGAGATCTTAAGAATATTCGCACTAAGCCGAGGCAGGACACGTTTGACAGAGAAGGTAGGAGAACGTTCGTCAGAGGAATGGAATGGGATACTGGATGCGATGACACGGAAGTTGGCGAAAGGTCTTCTTTGATCTCATCGGCTTTCATTTGCAAGGTCAAGACGTCTATGAGCCGCTTGAACAGTTGCTCATCACAGCTGAGGGCTACCGTCACAAGGAAAGAGACTAGTTCTCGGAGGAAGGTTGCAGATGTTTCCTCTTCAAAGTTGTGCAGTAGGGCATCCGTAAACCCTTCTGCGTCGAATATCGACGAAGCATCTTCAGTACGATACGCATCTTTGTAGATGTCTAGGGCCAAAATGCGAACTTCTGGCGTTTTATCGCGGGCAAGGATGAAGTTGTGCATCAGCTCCCATGATGTGGGGATCCAGTCAGTACATCCGATGTGACAGAGTTTCTGCACACTGAGCAATCGCAGCGCCAACTCTGCCTGACTGGGGGTTAATTGCATATGGACCTTCATAAACAGATGCAAAACGTCTATCTTCTGGTTTCCGCCGAGTCTTGGCCAGGTGGCTTCCATAGAGGAAGCGATGCGAGTGATATGAGCGGATATATTAGACTTCACGTCATCGGAGGTGTTGGCTTTCGAAGAGGCCGTGTCGGTAGACTGAGGGCGGGGGTTGATGACTCGTCTGGCAGAAGTGAGGATAACGAGGACAAAGTTGGTCCAGTTGTATTGAAGTGCGACGTCCAAATAGTCACCCTGCAGCATATTCAGGCAAACTTCGAGGATGTCGGTGTCGATGCGGCCATCGTTCTTGTTCGTGGCGTGCTGCAGGGAGCTGATGAGGAGATCGAACGAGAGGCTTGGCATGCCTTCCTGGCCGTACCCGGCGACTAGGTCTCTGAAAATGTCGACTGCGCCGCGAGTCACATTCAGATTGCGATCGGGCCCGACCGGAGTCTCGAGGAGGAATGCGTGCAGTAAGCCCACCATCTCTTTCTGGCTCTTCGACTTGGCGAGATTACGGACAACGCGCGACGTGGGGCCGGCTAGAGACTTGATCGAGGCATGGATGCTGCACAGGACGTCTAATAGAGCGCTAAAGCTTGATGACGGGACGGTGATGCTCGAGATGATTGCGTCGAAGACGGCAAGAGAGTGCTTTATATCTCCGGTCACATGCGTGCTTTTGCACACGACAAAAAGGTTTTCGAGGAGTGACTCAACATCAGCTGCGGCCGGCGATTGACGCTGTAAGGTGACAATATCGACGATTAGCTGGAACAAATCGCCAAAGGCTGCTTCTTCTGGAGTTGATGAGTTATACGGTTTTCCCAGCTTTTTGTTTTTAGCCCGAGTTGACGCAAGGGAGTCATAAAGAGGAACGATCCACGGCACGACTGTTGGGAGTGCAGAATCGTCGGAAAAGTCTATCTTTCTGCCGTGGTCTGCCAGCGCCACCAGGGCCCTGACTCGCGAGGGTATGAGATCGGGGGAGCAGGGACGGGACATGGAAGTGTATAGGTCTCGGCGAGCGGAGAGTGAGAGGTCTTGACGTCCACAGATGGTCTCGAGGAGGTTTGAGCCGGCCTTTCTTGCATCGGCGGAGGCATGGTCTAGCAGGTAGCTCGCGGCATCCCAGATGGCTATGGCCTGGTCGGCACCGAAGCTGTGCAGGTGACGGGCGGCGCGTTCGGCTTCATCGACAGCACCGGAGACTGGCTGGTCGCGGTTGATGTTTCGAAGGAGGGTCTCGAAATTCGGAGGTTCAAGGACGTCTGCAGCGATGCTGCCTCGATGCAAGGAGTCCAGGCCGAAGCGGCTCCCGCGACGGCCCTCCATTGTCGGCTGCAGCTGGAGCTCAGGATGCGCGGGCGAGAAAGGTCTTGGGAGAGCTGATGCTATCTTGAACACGTCAACAAAGGTGGAAGATGTGCTTTTGTGTGAAGGTGAAGAAACATCGTTCGAACACATCCGCCCAAGTAGGGCGGATGAACAGGCACGGCTGGCGACTAAGCGAGCAGCAGTGAATGACTGATGGGACCTTGTACAATACTCTTGATTAGCTCTATTGTCTTCAAAGAACAGAGTGAAGGCAACTGCAACGACGGCAGCTGATGACTTGTTTTCAGAAGCATTGAATACTAACGATAGCTATATAGAGGGCGGCAAAGCAGGGCACAGTTAATGCACAGGACAAGATGAGACGAAAGGGGGGGGAGCAGTACTGATCACATATATATGATCTGCGTGTATATAGTATACTGTCCAAAAACAGGTCTTTTCACTAACTAATGATGTAGATATGTCATTACGCGACCATCCACAGGTACCACATCTGAAAAATATTGTAAATGCGTGGCCAAAATACTGGAGCAGAGGAGAGAACCCTGTTACCCCCTCCAAGGCTATATATAATAATGGAAAAGAAAAAAAAAAAAAAAAAAAAAGAGAAAAGAAAAAAGCAAAAAAAAGGGTCTGTGGAAATAAGCCGGCTATGACAGAGAAAAAGGGGAACGAAGGAGAGGGTGTATCTCGGGGAGTCTAAGGAACTATCTGTGAGTATAGGGTGTGAGGTGCGAGTTTGTACCTGAGCAAGGTTGAGGGGGGTTAAAAAGAGATAGCGGAGGTTGGTGGAGGAGGAGAAGGTTGGGACTGTTTAGCCGGGCGCTGCGGTGGTCGGTGGGTTCGGCGGCGGTGGTTGTGCAGAAGCGCAGCAGAAGTGAAAATGTACATAAAAAGCTTTTGGGCGGAGCAGCGCGGCAGATCCGGGGAAGCACGCTAGGCCGCATCGGGGCATACCCTGTTCGGAATATCTATATCTCCGTAAATCCTTGCCACGTGATGGTTATAGAGGATTAAGATAGTTCCGTTCCGGGACGAAATGGGTCTAGCGCAGGATCCTGACCCCGCCTTGGCATCTGATAACATAAGCAACTAAACAAACTGCCCGAAAAAGGTGCGCAGCAAAAGCCGCGACCGCAGAAACGGCAGAGGACGCAGAGAGAGACAAGGGAAGCTTAAGGAAAATTCAACCACTTGCGGCCCGGTGTAGGCAGCGTCTTGCCGGAATACCAGCGCTTCCGTTTACTATATAACCGAGGACCGGTCTCTGTAGATATATCCTCAGCGAGCCGTTGTGCCCCTCCTCCTTATCTGTGCCTGTTGACCTCTCCGAAGGCCCCCACGTTGCTGGGCAAGCTCAACCTGGGAGTCATGGCGGACGACCTTGCACCGATTGTCCAGCTTCTTCAGGCTACTTTGGACCCTAGGCAGCACAAGCAAGGTCCGTACTTCCACCAATGGACACCCTTCCTTTTTCCCCCTTGATGATAAGTTCTAACTTAGCGTTGCACTATAGCCGAAGCTGCCCTCAGGCAAGAAGAGAAGAAGCCCGGGTATTCACTCCAGCTCTTGCACATCACAGCAAACAGTTCATACCCTTACAACACTCGCCTCTCCAGCGCTCTCTACTTCAAGAACTTTATCAAATGGAATTGGACGGACGAGGACGGCAATTACAAACTGCAGGAGAAAGATGTCGTGACCATCAAGCAGGAGCTTATCAGTCTGATGATCTCAATGCCCCCGGGGATTCAAACCCAGCTAGGAGAAGCAGTTAGTGTGATAGCGGATAGCGATTTCTGGCAGCGATGGGATACTTTGGTGGACGTCAGTGCGGTCGCGACCAATGTTTTGTCTCAAGGACCAGGCTAACCTGGCGCAATAGGATCTCGTCTCGCGGCTGTCTCCGGATAATATCGTTGTGAATGTTGGTGTCTTACAGGTCGCACACTCGATCTTTAAACGATGGCGCCCGCTTTTCCGCTCAGATGAACTTTTTACCGAGATCCTCCATGTCCTAGATCGGTTTGGTAAACCATATCTCGCGCTCTTTGAGGTATATATCTCGGTCCGCATTCCACCTCCTAAATTTGCGATGATCTAACATACTTGCGGTTTTTCTAGAGCCTAGACACATATATCGAGCAAAGTAGAAATGATAAGGAAAAAATCACCCAGGCATTCTCCCAGTTGAATTTGATGATCAAATTATTTTACGATCTCTCTTGCCAAGATCTCCCGGCGATCTTCGAGGATCACCTAGGACCTATTTCCTCACTACTTTTGAAATACTTGACGTACGATAACCCGCTGCTCCATACTTCTGATGATTCGGAGTCCGGTCCGCTGGAGTTTGTGAAGGCTGGCATTTTCGAGGCGCTGGTTCTCTACGTGCAAAAGTACATCGATGCCTTTGGCACACATGTCAACCAGTTTATCGGAAGCTCTTGGAATCTTCTCACCACGATTGGCGAGGACACCAAGTATGATATTCTTGTCAACAGGGCTCTTCAATTCCTGACTTCCGTTGCTCGCCTCCCCGAACATTCGAATGCTTTCAAGAACGAAACAACACTCAGTCAAGTGACCGAAAAGGTCATTTTGCCGAACGTTTCCCTGCGAGAATCCGATATCGAAATGTTTGAAGATGAGCCTATTGAATTCATTCGCCGAGATCTTGAAGGAGGCGACAGCGAAACCAGAAGACGCGCGGCGACCGATTTTCTAAGGCAGTTGCTGGAAAACTTTGAGGCGTCGGTGACCAATATCGTCATAAGATACAGCGACCATTATCTTGCAGAGTATTCCAAGTCGCCTTCAGACCAATGGAAGTCGAAAGATATCGCGATCTACTTATTCTCAGCGATCGCAGCAAAAGGAGTCGCTACCACCACCCATGGTGTGACTACCACCAATCCCCTCGTCAGTATTACGGACTTTCTCCAGAAGAATCTGGCTTCCGACCTGGTTGCAACCACCGGTATTCATCCCCTCTTAAAGGTGGATGCCATCAAATTCCTCTACTCGTTCCGAAGTATAATCACAAAGGAGCAATGGCAGGAAATTTTGCCTCTTCTGGTACAGCATCTCGGCTCTTCAGTCTACGTTGTGTACACATACGCAGCTGTTGCCCTTGAGAGAGTGCTCTGTCTCACCGATAACCGAGGTCAGCCCATCATTTCTGCCAGCGAAATTATACCGTTGGCGGCACAGCTGCTGGAACATCTCTTTCAGCTGATAGAAAAGGACCCGTCGCCTCCTAAGATCCAAGAAAATGAGTTCTTGATGCGATGCATCATGAGGGTTCTGATTGTTATAAAGGACGGGGTGGTGCCGATTGTAGACCCGATTTTACAGCACCTCATCAAAATAACCGGGATCATCAGCACAAATCCGAGCAATCCCCGATTCTACTACTTCCATTTTGAGGCTCTTGGAGCCCTGATCAGGTACGAACCACCCTCTGAAAAGAAATCTAAGGTTTTTTTTTTTTTTACTTACTCTGGAGAAAGGTTTGGCGCTCCCGCTCAGCCCAGCAAATTCGAAACCGCCCTTTACACCCCTCTTGTCAATGTCTTGCAAAGCGATGTGCAAGGTAAGTTATTCCTTTCCAAAAGCTGGCATATCATGATCAATACTAAGCCGTTGGCGTAGAATTCATCCCATACGTCTTCCAACTTCTAGCTGCACTTCTTGAGGCCCAACCGTCCAACACACTCCCTGGGAACTACCAGAATCTACTAGCACCGATCCTTATGCCAACGATGTGGGAGACTCGGGGAAACATCCCGGCACTTGTGCGCTTGCTTTCGGCCATGCTTCCTCGTGGAGCCGAGGCGATTGTCAAGGGCAATCAAATAGAGCCAATTCTTGGTATATTCCAGAAGCTAGCGTCATCCAAGCTCAACGAGAGCTATGGCTTCGATCTTCTTGAAAACGTCATCTTGACGTTCCCTCCGTACGTGAATTTTTCTAGAGCCCTCTAGCCTTGTTGCTAATTGCAGGCTAACCACACAATGCAACCAGTACTATCCTAGAGAAATACTTTCCCACGATCATTCAGATTCTCCTGACCCGACTCCAAAAGGCGAAAACGGAAAATTTCGCCCTTCGATTTGTTCGATTCTACCACTTCATTTCGGCTCTTGATGATCAAGGTTATGGCTGCGATTTCTTCATCCGGGTCACAGAAAACATTCAGGCTAGGTAGGTCCGCTCATTTCTCGCTATAAAAAGGCCGTTTACTTTAAAGGTTGTCATATCTAACTGCATTTCAGCGTTTTCACCCCAATCTATCTAAACATCATCCTCCCCGAGTCCCGGAAACTGGCTCGCCCGATTGACAGGAAAGCGGCTTTGATATCGTTTACGAAGACGTTAGCCAATTCCGAATCGTTTGCGAATCGCTACAAGAAAGGATGGGCATTCACCTGCGAAGGACTTCTTAATCTCGTCAGCCAGCCTCCTCTTCCTGCTGCCAAAGACGATATTATCAAGGAGAACGACGTTGAGGATATGTCCTTTGGCGCTGGCTACACCCAATTGAACACTGTGAAGAAGGCTCCAAACGATCCGTGGCCGCAGGTTGGACCGAACCTTGGCACGTGGGTCGGGTCGTATTTGAAGGAGGCTGATAAGAAGCATGGTGGAAGAATCAGTAGTTTTGCACAGGAGAGACTGAGTCCGGAGGCCAAGGCTGGATTGGCGAGCTATCTGAGTGGTTAAAAGGGCCGTAAAAATGGATCTTTCGAGGTGAAGCAGGCAAAAAAAACAACGGAGGGAGATTTTATAATGGAAATACTTTGCAATAGAAAGGAAGATTAAGGCCAAGAGCACGTTTTAATTCAATCTTGAATTTGGATCGAATATGATATTAAGAAGTGATATAGTTAAAAGTACAGTAATTGACATACATGATCATGACGATGCACGCTAATCAAAAAAAAAGAAAAAAAAAAGGGCGTATCAGAAATTGACAGTTAATGGACGACAACAATCAACCCTCTTCTCATCTCCTAGGCAATTCATCTGCTTCTTCCCCTCTCCCCTCTTCCTCTCCTTCTCGTGAGATTTCGGCCTCCTCCTTCTCCCTCCTCTTCTTCTCCTCCAACGCTCTGTACTTCCTCTTACTCTTCTTCGTCATACTCGCCTTTCTCTTCCTCTTCGTCTCCGCCACGATGGCGGCGCGGCTCTCGTCGCCCTTCTGCAGCAGCTCGACCTTCTCGGCGAGGATCTGCAGCGCGATCTTGCGGTTCTGCGAGCGGGATCGCGTGGCTTGGGATTTTACCACGGTGTTGGTGGGCAGGTGGATGAGTTGGACGGCTGAGGAGGTTTTGTTCTAGATGAAAGGGAAAGGGGGGTTGGGGACGTGTTGTTTAGCTACGAATGTACTCCGTTTTGGCTTTGGGTGGATGGGTTTGCAAGGGGGTGGGTTACGCATAGAGAGGGCGGCTGGCCAGGGGGCCGTTTAAGCATATATGTACGGAATATGCCCGCATTTCCCAGATTCAGGGGAGTTTCGGGAAGTGGACTTGTCTGATGGGGTTGCTTGGACATGCTTCGTGGGTATAACTCGTGGCAACTGGAGCAAATGTGCTGATATTGGGGTATAGAAAAAGGCAAAAATGACGAAGGGGGATGTAGTGCCTCAGCTCGAATACAGATAGCGTAACTTAGGATTACTTACAATCTTCTGGCCGCCCGGTCCTGAACCCTTCAAGTAGGTACCAGTGATCTCCGATTCATCGATTGTTGGCCGTGGCGGCATCTGCTTCGCAGCCAAGTCGTTGGACGAAGACAGCGGGCGTCGGCTGGCGGGTAGACCGCGCCATGCAAGGGTGCGCGATATGGGTGTGAACAGCTTGGTGAGGGGCATGGCTTGCTATAGGTTGGGTAGAGGGGCGATCAAAATCCAAGTGAGGGATGGTGATGAAAATGCCAACTAACAAGGTAGATGGAATCATATATCGCCCTGCTTCTTCTTCTCCGGTTGAAGCTTTAGAGGAGGGTGGTGTGCTGGATACCAAAAAGATGGCTGGTGAGAGAAAATATTGAGTTTCACGGCATCAGACAACTTCCGCTGGTTCTCAATTTTTTTTCAGCTCTCAACCTCTAGCCATGCACTGGTGGTCTAAATCACAAGTGGGATGTGTTGTTGCAATTGATCTCACTTCTGCTGTCAGGGATGCTGTCTCAAAAGCCTCGGTCGGCGATCGTGGGAGTTACACACATGGTTACATGCCACCCCTCCTGCAGCTAACCAGCTACTGGCGACGGGGACTCTTGTGTCTCGTCAGCTGCCCAGAATGATGGGCTGATCCGCTGGCTGTTTAAATATCCATCTGCGGGGAAATTTCACGAGATTTCTTCCCCTGCTGCATGCAGCTCCCCAATCCACATCACCAGACTTTGTTACTGTTTACAGTGTTTACAGTGTATGCAGTCAGCTATCAATCCTTAATTCACGGCAAAGGCCTGTCATCTATTCAGCTATCTTTCTGAACACACTTGGAGAATTCTGCTTGCGCATCTGTCACTTCCAATATGTCTATCCCTCCCAACAACCCGCGTGAATTTGCCTCGCAGGTGTTTGACTACTTGATTATCGGCGGAGGGACCGCCGGCCTGGTGGTGGCATCGCGTCTGAGTGAAAAACCCCACCTCAAGATCGCAGTCATCGAAGCAGGCCCGGCGGTCTTTGACGAGCCTTTAATCAATGAACCTGAGCTCTTCGGCGAGGCTATAGGGACCAAGTACGATTGGCAGTTCGAAACAGAACCACAACCTGGACTCGCTGGCCAAAGAGTACCGTGGCCGCGAGGTAAAGTCTTGGGTGGTTCCAGCGCTCTTAATTTCCTGGTCTGGAACCGTGGGCACAAGGAGGACTATGATGCCTGGGTAGCAATGGGAAATCAAGGCTGGGGATGGGATGATCTACTGTTCGTGCTAACCGTCGTTGCCCATTCTTTTAATAGACAGGGGGCTTTTGAGAGTAACAGAGCACTAGGCCTTCCTTTAAGAAAAGCGAAACCTTCCATGAACCAAGCCTTTCAGAACAGGAGAAGAACTATTCATACTTCGAGGCGTCATCGCATGGCATTGAGGGACCTGTGAAAACATCCCATATTCAGCGATTTGCGCCGTCACTAAAATACTGGCATCAAACGCTGGAAAATCTCGGCGTTGAAGTGAATCGCCAGAGCTACTCCGGCGCAAACGCAGGTGCCTGGAACTTGATTAGCGCATTCGATCCTGCTGCGTACACCAGGAGCTTTTCTGCGAATCGATACTATCTACCAGTGTCGCAGCGTCCGAATCTGTTCCTTCTAACAGAGGCGACAGTGGAGCAAATCACGCTCGAGAAGCACGGCGAAGAGTGGATTGCGAAGGGTGCCCTGGTAAGATATGGTGAAGAGAAATTCATAGTGAAAGCTTCCAAGGAAGTTATACTATCGGCTGGAAGCATACAGTCGCCTCAACTTTTGGAACTGTCCGGGATTGGGAATCCCGAGATCCTTACAGCGGCAGGCATCCCGGTGAAAGTGGCTAATCCGAACGTAGGAGAGAATCTTCAGGATCATTTGCGTAAATTTCTCCCCTTACCGGATGTCCCCAATCGCTGACGAAGACTGCAGTAACTACTTTCGTATATGAGATGCGAACGCCCTCCAACAGCCCAGACGTGAACTTACTTCCGCCGCAAAAGGTCGAGGAGACCAGCGATGGTCCCAAAGTAGAAGAACCTTCCAGAGCTTTCCTGCCAGGCCCAGCTGCATACTGTCCTCTATTTAGGATGCTTACGAATGAGGAGCTTGAAGACATTACGACTCGCATATGCCCTGAAATACTGAAATCCACAAAAGCCCGTGAGACGAGGCTGCGCGATGCATTTCTATCAGGCAAGATGTTAGGAGCCATCGAGTATATATGGTATGGCGAGACTATTTGGAACAAAGCCTTCAAAGGTGAACCGGGCAAGAAGTACGCCACGATCGTCCAGATGCTGCAGTATCCTTTCTCAAGGGGCTCCGTGCATATCCCTCCAATGAGGGATTCTAGACCGATTACAGTAGACGAGAAGCCAATTATTGACCCGCAGTATTGTGTTGGTGATGGTAAGATTGATCTTGACGTGATGAAGGTGGGCCAAATGTTCGCAGACAAGATATGCGCTACCGAGCCGCTTTCCCACGTTATTGCTGGGCGGGTGTTCCCTGCAAAAGCGGATAATGATGATGATGATGCGGATGTGATTGATGATTATCTTCGGAATAACATCGGCACCGAGTTTCACCGTAAGTGCATTCCAGGGAACCTTTTTACAGGAACGAGCTTACATGTTGTCTCTAGCCATTGGAACATGTGCAATGGGCGGATTCGAAGGCGCAAAAGCCGGTGTTGTGGATGATAAATTGCGTGTTTATGGCGTTAGGGGTTTGCGTGTTGTGGATGCGAGTATCATGCCGCTGCATATCAGCGCCCACACCCAGGCGACTGTTTATGCGATAGCTGAGAAGGCTGCCAGTATGGTTTTGGAGGATGAGCGATCGGAATAGGTATTATCGAACCGATAGTCGCTTAGAAGTCATAGGTGCCGCACCATCCATAGTTATCAATTCTATCATTAGCAAGCCATGAGTTAGTCCGTTGCAACACTAACAAACACGCCAAGTCCACATGACCTAAAAGCCCTAGCCCTAGCCCCGGCTCGACTGAGCATGTGTTCCGTGGTTCTGGGACTAGGGCTGACTAAGCAATGGCCCAAACAAACTCAAAAATGGGCAGACGGTGAGTGGCTACGGAGTGGCGTCGATGGGCCCCTGAAGGCTTGGCGCATGCTTTGAGCAATGGCGGGCGAGATTTCGAACACCAACACGTCAATAGTGATGGTGCTTCGAGGGGGAAGGTATGTGAAGACACGAGAGCTGTCGCGGTGAGTTTCTTCCTTGCTTTGTTGATATCTTTGTGTACTCCATAGTTTTCATTTCATCCTGGAGGATGTGAATCTGTGCTGAATTCCGCTGTTGCTCGATTCTTGTTTCTGTCTTTATTTTATTTTTTGACGTGTTTGTTGGCTCACTTTTCTTCGGAAGATATACCGTTTCCGCCCAAAGAGTCTCACTACGTCGTACGATAACTTTCGCCCCATGCTCGGTTGTGAGGTTTTACTTTTCAGCACTCGATACGCCCCCCTGATCTGTTCATCTTCCTTTCCTTCATCGAACGCCCAAATATCGTTCGAGAGCTCTCTTCCAAGTCCGCAATCATGGTTCGCTCTCGATCCTCCTCGCCCTCAGTATTCACGACGTTCATTCGCTGGCTACGGCTGAAGAATTACCAATATGAAGTCACCTTTGCGCTCTATATGCTCACTCCAATGGAGAAATTCATCTTCAGTGCGTCCCTTTCCCTGATCCTGTACCCCGCGCCCTTGTTTTGCAGGTTTCTTAACCTTTGTTGATGATGCAGACACCCTGCTGCTCCTTGTAATATCCATGTCCGTCGCCGCTGCGTACATCTACTTGCCGAACCACATTGTTTCCATCTGCCAGCATGTCTGGTACTACTGGACGGGCGGCGATCCGTTCACCGGTTCATCGTCCAAGCTCCGCCTAGCCGCTAATCTGTCTGCCTCGTCGTTGCCCGCTGCTGAGATGCTAGCACAACAGAATGTCATCGTGGACACTGGGAAGGTGGCTGCTGAGACCACCGCAAAGAGGCTTGCTGAACTATAGTCCAGTCTCTTGAGCCGTTTCCTTTGTCCCTTTCTGTTGACTATTTTTATGTACTCCTTTCACTGAACCCGGTGTGCCTTTGCTTTTTTTAGACGGGATATGAGATAATGAGAGGCGTTGCCTTGTTTCCTTTTCAGGGTCTTGTCCTTTTTGTTGTGGCCTGCGTTGCCGCTGTTTTATTTCCTTCTGAGCAATTTGTGGTGTTTTTCCTACCCAGCACTCCATTTTGCATATACTCTGTAATGTATTAATAGGTAATGTTTTTGATTGTTTTATGCAGGTATTAGAGCTAAGGCTGGCTAATTAATATTAATAATTTGACCACTAATATCTCTCACTGCGAGTGATTGAGCTCATAAACCCTTTAAAGCAGACACAGAAAGGCCGTATGAAAATTCTGGTGTTTTCCGTTCATTATATATATAGATAGGAGTTGGGAAAGTATGGAGTAGATAGGAAAGAAGATACTCACTTCCCACGTAACTTGCCGGCGCCTAGAAAAGTATTCCGCGCCGTTATCCGGAAAAAGGAAACAAAAAGAGCCCCAATAGATACCCTGATGCAAAGAAGAACGCCCATATAAAATACAGTAATATACCCTACTTCTCACATTTCCTCCCTTTTGCTGCTTTTCGTCCCCTCTTTCAGCCCTTGTCTTCATCACCTCACGACCTCTCCACTCCGGCACTCTCCCCCATCGTTGCCGCCGTCGCCGCTGCCGCAGCAGCGTTTTCTAGCTCCAAGCGTCGTAATCGCTTCCGCTCCTTCTCCCGGTCCATTCTCGCTAGTTCAGCTTCGATCTCACTTTTCTCCAGCGGAATCTTGTGCGAATGCTCTTCCCTTGGCCAGAAGTCGGGGACGGAGAAGCGTTCTTCGAGGTTGGTGCCAAAGTAGTACATCCAGCCGATGGGGAAGAGGACATATGTACCGAACTGCGAAAAGAAGGAATATGGTTAGTTTTGCGGGATTTCGCGGAGCGGAGGGGGTGGTGCAGTGCGCACTTTGAAAACCTCAAGGTTTCCTCCTTGGAGTCTGCGGAGTATAGCGGAGAGCATTATCGTGGTTCTGCAAGGCGGCTTGTGGACTGTATTTGGGTTCCTTTGTGGAATTGGGAGGTTTGGATTGATCTTTGATCGTAACGAGGTTCCTAAGGAAGGGCTTTTGGTTGGAGGGGCTGATTGATGCGAGGAAGCGCTCCGGAAGTAGATCGTAGTTCAGAAGAAAGCTACCCCGCAAAAGCGAAACAATGTGAACGACTGTGGAAAGCGAATTGGCGTCTTTCCCTCCTTGCGTTTCTGTCTTTTGCTCTTTGAATCTTGACGCTTTTTCGCGGAACCCACCACAGCTTTGACGCTGAACTCCGAGCTCCCCGATCATGCTGACGTGAGAAATGCTTAGTCACCAAACACTATCCAAGCCAGCTAACTATATTAGGTTAGTTTCATTTCCAGATTGCGCCAAACCTGTCTGCAGCTGACATAATCCGATACGTAGCTGGACCTCGGCATCTCGCTGGTTTCCGCAGGATGGAAGTCCCGTCGAGCAAGCGGATAGAGGACGCAGCGGAAAAGCCCTGTTCGTGCCGGGTCGGATGGACTGGCTGGTCAAAGGAGCTCTTATAAGTTTGAAAGGGGTTCTCTGCTTTATCCCCACTTTCTCTCAAGGCCGTTTCCAAGACATTATTATTGGGAATCAGTGCTAAGACAACCACCCGCTTCGGTTATCTGCCCTCGCAATCGATCGAACTAAAGCAAGTGAGGAGACATTTAACCGCGGAAAGACATTCAGCATTGTACCAGAGTAATCGCAGGAATTGCAGTTTATATATTCCTCTATTTTATCTTTCCGTCCTCTCCTCTCCATCCAGTTACCCCGACCCTGTAGTCCAGACTCCAAACAGACTTGACTTTCGAAGACAAAATGTCCGGTTCAAACGAAATCCAGCTCACCTATCAAGGCCGCATCGCCATCATCACACTCAATCGGCCATCCAAGCTCAATGCCTTGAATGGAGACCTTTACTATGAACTCGGAGAGAAGATGCGTGAAGTGGCTGAACGCGATGACATCTTCATCACCATCCTGACAGGAAGAGGCCGCTTCTTCTCCGCGTACGGCCCCCATCCCCGCCAAAGATAAAATAGCAAAAGAACAATCCAATGAAAACAGCCATGCTAACCAATATTCCCGTCTACCTAGTGGAGCCGACGTCCATAGCACCCGTCCTTCCACCGGCAACACCGACGTCCGTCGCCAGATCGCCCGCAACTTCGTCGTCAACAACCTTGACATAACCCGCACCTTCTACAACCACCCCAAGATCCTCGTCGTCGCCCTCAACGGTCCAGCCGTTGGCCTCTCTGCCGCCCTCACCGCCTTCGGAGATTTCATCTACGCCGCTCCCCACACTTTCCTCCTCACCCCCTTCTCCTCCCTGGGCCTCGTCGCCGAAGGAGGCGCCAGCAGAGCGCTGGTCGAGCGCCTGGGAATTTCCAAGGCCAACGAGGCGCTGATCATGAGCAAACGCATTGGCATCGAGGACCTAGTGTCGACGGGCTATGTCAACAAGGTGATTAAGCCGGCCAGTGGGCGGCAGGACGATTCTGATGGGTTTTTGAAGCTGGTGTTACAGGAGGTGGAGGAACGGCTGGGCACGCATTTGAATCAAGATAGTATGGTGAAGATGAAGAGTTTGATCCGGATGCATGAGCGTGAGATTTTGGATCGCCAGAATGTGCATGAGGTGTTTATGGGGATGGGCAGGTTTATGGCTGGCATCCCACAGGAGGAGTTTAGGAAGATTGCGTCTGGTGAGAAGAAGCACAAGTTGTGATTATGCTTTATCTTCTTGCATCCTTTGATGGTTGCATATGTGTTCCTTAGAGGCCTGTGGATAGATATATCCGGATATATCCCTGCCTAGACCATGATCACGTATATTTTGTTTAAGGATCTAAATGTGCATAGTGTTGCCTGCAATTTCATGATAACTTTTTTGACAGCAATCATATTCCATGTGAAATTATTTCATAGATAATGGCGTCTTTTTAAAACACCAACTCCACGCTCTGCGTGACCACACAAAGATTCAGCACCAACCATGCACCATCCGGGAACTCCGTGATATTTTGCACTTTTGTATTCCATGGCGCCATTATAAACTTTTTAGACTATAAATGTGACGGTACCTGATCTATTGATACATCGTTGATGAGAAAGTGAAGGCGGGCTCGATCGTTAGGCTTTCCTTGTCGCGTCCATTCCCGAGCCTTCAAATAATGCCTCACTTTCATTGTCACTTTCGTATTCCTCGTCCGCTTTAATGCTTCTCTCAAGTGCTTCTTTCCAAGTGGTCAAAAGCTCTGTCGCTCCACCAGGGTGTTCCGCCGCATCAAGGACATCCTGGGGCACTCTGTCCTCCTTGATGATTGAATAACCAGACGATGAAAGGCCCAACTCTCCTGGGTCGGTTGCGGGTGCAAGTAGAAATACCGGTTTAAAAGATGAAACAGGCGGTTCAATTCGAGCCCAGTCATCGGGAAAATACCGCTCTGGGGTCGTTTTCCCGTCGTCACCGCTATCAGAATGTCTCCGATGCCGCACCTGTGCTCTCGTAATACACACCTCGGGAACGGTACGTGGATCTCCCTCGTCTGGTTTCTCCATCCGAAGTATGTGATCCCAGGAAAAATGTAGCGGCTCTGTTTTCTGTGAGAAAGGACTGATATCCATTAGCCAGACCCTGTCTCGTGGCACGTATACGTCAAAGACAAAATCTGGGTCAGGGAAAGTTTCTCGCAGGTGTTGATCAAAGAATTCCTGAATAGATCGTAGCAATTTATCTTTGAGTTCATACACCCACTCCTGGTACTTGAAGGATTTCTGGCAAAGGCAAATAAGGCGGCGTGACCGCACGAAACAGCGGAATTCCAGGGCGGGGTTGACGTTTACGTATTTTCGCAGCACCAAATGATATGGAATGATATCTTGGTCGTGCAAGTCTCCAGGATCAACTTTTTCTCCATTAGCTATCGTGGCATGGTCCTTGGTCGGACCTGCGGGCTCCCGGGAGCACCCCTCGAACGCACGATCCAAGTCATTGGCAATGAAACGGCTACTTTTCAGGACCAAGTACACATCATTTGCTGTTTTACATTCCAACCGATTTGACGGAATCATGTATGTCGCGTCTCTCGGCGCACTCCAGTTCAACTTCGGCGACACGCTGCCTCCTAACTCTGCGATAGTAGCCTTGACTCGAGCATGGATTTCTGGCCATTCTGTGGAGGGATCTGGGAGGCCTTCGTCTGCGTCATCGTATCCCCCTGACGACACCCAACTGTCATCATCTGCAACAGCGGGAGTGTCATCCGGAGGGAGAACTATACCATCAGCACGAAGATACTCTAAAAAAGAGTTTGAGAGAGCGATCAGTCGTGCTTTGGGTGTGATGGAACGGTACCTGTTGTCAAAGGTGTTCCACGTTAGCTTGAGGAAAGCATTTATGAATGAATGTAGACTTACATAGGGTGCCAGTAGTGATAGGAGCAATGCAAGACCTGAGGCACGGTCAGCGGAGGCATCCCCGAAAGTGGGCGGCACCGTGGGACTTCGTGGACGCCATCGCCATGCTCGTGGTAATCGTATTGCACCTCGTTTGAATCCATACTGCGCATAGGGCTCCCTCAAAATTGAGGCTATGACGGTTTCGAGAGAATTCCGTACTGTTCTCCGTCGGGCTTGCCGCCGAGAGATGTTACCCGCATCGGTTGCTCATGGCGCCCGCCGCCCGCTTAAAGGAAAAGCTTATCTTATCAACAACGTGCACCATCACATCAGATAAGATAGTTAACTTAACTGGCCAAGGAACTTCTAGCTAACTAGCCATCCTAACCACATTTGGCTAGGGACTCTTGGCTGGCATGAGTTGGTGACGGCCATCGGCTTATCTGTTGATGCTTGAGAGTGCAGGTCATTCACTCAGATGAGTTCCTGTATGCTCATTACACATCTAGATGTTGGATGATATATCCAATGTTGAGAGATTATTCATCACATTGATAAAAAGGTGAAATTAGTGTGGAGGCTCTCAACACGCTCATTGTAGAAAATGTTGGCTTGGGTCAAGCCAATGTTAGCAAATCAAAAAAAAAAAAAAAAAAATTCTTATGACTAGAGTAAAGCTAGCACAGGATGCAGCGAAATTCTCCCTTTCCCAAATTCATAATTGGACATTGAGATTTTCTAGGTGTGTGTGTTGATTTCATTCAGCTCCGACTTGGTCGAAAGTTCCTGACCAGCAAGGGGCTTCTATGATGCAGGCCATAGTTTAGCAACCACATACGGAGTACAAAGTACGGAATAGACCGAGCCATCTCGAAACCATGGCATTCTCCCCCTCATTTAAATTGGAATAAGCCCTTCCAATAACCATGTTCAACGATTAGTGAGGGCTATTAGCAAAGTTACCTGTGGGTAAGTTATCTTATTCTCGGCTTAACAAATTTCCGACGCCGGGATGGACGCGGTGTCCATTAGCTTCCATCTCGACAGTGTATAGAGCTCTATCTTGACTGAAATCCGGTGTTAGATTTGCATTGGCGTACACCAGGCGCCATGGCGACGGAAGCTCCAGATGCGCATTCACTCAAAGCATGGCAGGAGGCATTCCAATATCAGATCCCCACGGTGCGGCGGATCGAACAGGAACTCCGTCGGGATGTCATCAGCAATAGAGAGAAGCTACGATCCCTGGTTGGGTAGGTGGATTTTAAGCTATCGATGATAATCTGACTCTTCGCTCGCACTATTCTGACTTGAATTTGCTCTTTGCAGTTTAAGATACCGGGATCTTCTGGACACGGCGCAAACAATCATCGAGATGAACGAAGAGATAAAGCAAGTCGAGCGAAACTTGTCTGAAGTCGGGAGATGCTGTAATCCTGCTACAATTGCCCAAAAGTCCGCCAGCTTGCATCGATTGCGAGAAGATAATTTGGAAAAAGGTTTGAATGATAAGCTATCCATGCTGGGTGTATCCAGACTGATAGTCGACAGTGTCGAGCGACCGAACGTTTGCATCTCAATTGACCCTCCTTTCCAACTGCGTGTCAGCTATCTCGCGGATCCTTCGACAACGCGGCTCGACAGTTGTCGCCGCAAAACTCCTCGTAATCTCGAGGCTGCTTCATAACTCCCTGTCGCAGTCTACGCGCGCAACACACTACGTGAAGAGGCTATGGAATCAACTAACACCCCTGCGATACACACTTTCAAGACGTATTGATCTACGACTTGCTTCGTTAGACTCCTCTGTTCAGGATATAATCGAATCCTTATCTGCATTCTGTCTAGCTACTAGCTCCTCTGCCGACGATGCCCTTGGCCATTTCCATAAAGTTCGGTCAGAAGCAATCAAACGCAAGATCGAAGGGAGTTGCACTCTTAGTGATTGTATATTGGAAGCCCTGATCCTTTACAGGGACACTTTAAGGAAAACCGCCGATATACTATCTGGCCCGCTCTTTGATGCGTTAAAGAAATTGACGTCTCACCCTCTCCTCGATGACCCGAAAATTCAATGTATGGGTGACCTTGGACTTGATATGGTTCAATTGTGGATCTCCAAGGAGATCAGGAACTTTACACCTTGGATTAAGCATGATCAAATATCTAAACAGGCTTCGGCGAAAGCCATCAAGTCATGGTCGATAAAAGCATTTGAAGAACTAGTTAGTCAGGCAAAGGTCAGGCTGGCTCAGTGTGAAAATTTCCAGGAAATACTTTCTGTGCGCAGCTGCCTCCTGAACGAATGGCTGCCAGTGATGAATCTTACACCGTGTCACAGTCCGATAAAGGTACTGGAAGGAATCCGCGCTTTGGTCAATGATCAGCTTGTTTCAATCCTTCGAGCACAGAGCAAAGATCTCACGTTTATCGGCGACGAATTATCTTCAACACTAGACGGCTGGTCGAATATTCGAAACCATGATCTAGAATTATCGCTATGGGACCCAGACCTTGTCTTTGTGGACTTCTCAGATGGTGCCACCTTGTTTAAGCACGAGCTAGTGAAAAGGACCCAAGGACGGGGCTCTCATGTGCTTGAAATTTTGGATGTGTATCAGACTTGGCTTACAGCCGTCAGTAGTCGTTCGACTATGATTCAGGACCTTAAGAGCGAAAGATGGGAGGACATTATGGAAGACGATGTTGACGAAGAATCCCTTGAAACAGTCACCGGATTGTTGAAGGAAGATGACCCTCACCTCTTGCAAACGGAGCACGCGGAATCTTTGCTAAACGGATATAAATTGTTGCAATCCTCTCTGAGCGGAGCCATAGAGAGGATAGAAGAACCACACGGTGCAACGCAAACCGCATTTCTCCTTCGAATTACTCGAGCAATTCGAAGTAATATTCCGAATGAAGTGGCTGAGCAAAATTTTACCTTTGCTCAAGACTTAGTACCTAAACTTCACCGAATTCTTGGCCAAGAGATATCCTTTCGGGTTTCCGCGTCCGCGTTGACCGGGCTATTGAGCCGTTCTCGAAAGAGATGCCCGGGACGGACACTCTGGGAAGGGGATCCCCCGCTTCCAACGCAGCCGTCTCAAGCGGCCTTTAAGTTTTTGCGAGAATTGGTTGTGGCAATGGAGCAACAGGGGGCTGATCTATGGAATATTTTGGCGGTGGATGAATTGAAACTGTGCACGGTTGGCCAGATCATAGCAGACCTCAGCTCAAGTCTTGCGAAGCAATCGACAACGGCCGAAGCTGAACAGGATACCGCGGATGTCGAGGAAGGAGAAGAAGATGAGCAGAAAGATTTAGAGCCTGATTTTACGCGGGACCACAAGATTCAGCTCCTGTTTGACTTGTTATACCTCAGCTGCGCGTTTAGCACAACCGCGTCAAAGGTTCAGGGTGGATTGGACGCGCTAATTAGTTCTTTGGCGGAAGCCTTGAGATTTGAAGACAGCTCTATGAATTCTCTGAGTAAACGCTCCCAGGAATACTGGAAACGAACTCAGTTGCTTTTCGGATTGCTGGCCTAGACAGGCGGCCGTCGTTTCTCTTGATACCACGCTATAAACGCGCGCGCGACGAACTGCTTATATAATCAACAATATAAGGTCACATGATTCAAAGGTACTATGCGTATTTTCAGCGTAATTTCCTTGTAATTTGCGTTAACTTGTTACGGCATGACGTGTGACGCACCGTTTCGCAGCTCGCAAAGAAACCGACAAACGAACACCCGCAGCGTGCTGGACAATGCGTTTTCTTAAGACCAGATGGCGACTCCAAGGCTTCCGTTTCTATATCCGAATCTCTTGCGCTCGGTGAGGTCGTGTGAGCCGACGACGCACAGGTCGATCCGGTTTCCGCCAGCCCAGCGCTCAGTGGGATTCCACTCCGGTCCGGCATGTGAGCAACAGACCTATCAACAGCGATACGGACCAGCAGCAGAACCGCACCTCCGTCCGCCTCCATGGTCTACCGGTAAAGGTGACATTCTACCGCCTGACAACTCGGCCACAAAAGGAGAGAAACAAGTCAACGGGAGTGCGCAGGCCCAGGGCTCGAAAGGCTCGGGTAAGCAACCTGGCTCATCTGTCCCTGGAACCATAGCATCTTCTTTACCTTCCTCTTCTTCTTCTTCTTCTTCCTCCTCCTCCTCTGACGCCGTCTCCGTCTCTTCCAACGTTCTCTCGAGCGAATTACCAACCCAGGGAAAAGTTGACGGTGACGCAGGTCCAGCAGACTCGGAAGCCACAGCCGAAGCTTCGACGCAAAAGGATACCGATCATGACCCCGATGTTGATAGTCTGGGATCTGTCTTCCAGATGCCAGATGCTGCTAGTATGGCGTCTTCATCATCGTCATCGTCTTCACCACCAGCCGAGTCGATGTCACTAATGCATTCTCCCGGTTCAGAATCGAACAGACCTCCGCACCTTTCGCCTCCTCCATATGTACATCATTTCGATACCTACAGCCTCGTCAAAGATCTTGGCAATGGCGGATTTACGGACAAGCAGTCTGTAATAATAATGAAGGCTATTCGCGGAATATTGGCGGACAATCTGGAGGTGGCTCGAAACGGGCTGATGTCTAAATCGGATTTTGAAAACGAGACGTATCTTTTCCGTGCGGCGTGTTCGGAGTTGCGGAACTCGATACAAACCTCGAGGAATGCAGAGATTCAGGCGCAGCGCGCCCAGCGCGCCCAGCTACAACATGAAGTGGATATTTTAACGCAGAAGATGACTCAAGAACTTTCGGGATTGAATGATAGTTTAAAGGAGATGTTCAATGATCAGAAGATCTCAACAAAAGAGCTACAGCGCTCGCAGGATACAGGGATTCAGGAGTTGAATTATCAGATTACTGTTTCGCTTAATAGTGACGGAAAGAGAGTGGTAGAGAGTTTACGGTGGATCTTAACGCGGAGAGCGGCTGTTGCCATTGCGACCAGTGCGAGTAAGTCTGTCACTTTGTCCACGAATCATACGGGTTCTCCAACCATCCCTTCTATGGCGCTCTTGGTTTTGACTGACCTTTGCCGTCGTCTAGGTATGATAATTCTCGCTCTACGGCTCCATTCATACAAGCAACAGAAGAACGAAAAGGAGAAGGCCGCCGCTGCCGCCGCGCCTCCACCACCATCGGCAGAGGCTTCTTTTCCTAACGAGATCCCCTCAAGCACTTCCCTAGGATCGAATGTTGCGGAATCCATGGGCTAAGCAATTCAGTCATGCTTTTTCGCTGCATATATGACTCATTTTACATATTTTTCGGCCCGCTTGGGTTGGATATTTTCATGTTTATTTGAAATGCATCACCTCATTGGAATTTCCTTTAACACACAACCTTCAACAGCTGAAAACCCCTCATAGACGAGATTGTTGGGTGCATCTACGCGTAGAGACGCGGGTCAGATTACATTTTCTTACACTTGTGCTTTCGGCATCAAGCTTGATAATTAAATTAATATTTTCGCAATTTAAAGTAACCAATGCTAGCCTGCAGGTATGTTACAGCATGAAGGAAAATAAAAGTAATTCTCTCAGAAAGTGGATACTTGCCAACACTGCGGACGAAAGGCAAAGGTGACTTTCCTAGAAGTCCATTCGAAGTGTAATGCTAGGCACTGCAACACTCTGATCGCCTGTATCATTTCCGGCTGCACCTCCGGCTCCTCCGCTAGGTCCGGTACTTCGCAAAATCTCTTCAGTCAACGCTCTCAATCCGGGGTCCATCCCGGCCGCAAAGTTTCTAAATGATATCTGATCAACCTGCGCTAATTCTAATAATCTCGTAGCGGTTTCTTTATACACTGCCGGCCCTTTTCCCTGTGCTCTTTTCAGCAACGCTGGAATCAATAGCGCCATTGCATTTGGCGTAGCACCGGTAGCGATTGCTGCTGACCCAACACAAGATACGAGAGTTTGCACAATTGATGATTTTATATTTTCGGGATCGATTGGTGGTACTCCGTCTGTGCCCAAGGGTATCCCAGCTACGAATGCAATTAGGCGGGGAAATATGAACCGAGCAATGGCGTCATCCACGGATGACCGAGGAGTAGAATGAAGAAGAGATCTTAGGCATCCTGCAGCAACGCTGGCAAGGCCAAGATCCTGAAGACAGTCAAGGATTTCTTGGAGGACTTGTGGGATTAAGGAATCTTGAGGAGGAATCACGTGGCCGCTGTTCGTGAGGAGGATTGTTAGTGACAGGAGGGTGTTTTTGGCGCAAGAAAGAGACGCATCTGATTCTCGGCGTTGCGCTACTCGGAGAATTGATAGGAAGCGCGTTACGCAGCCGCGGATCTGGTGAGAAATGGTTTTTCCCTCATCGCCGGAATCAATGGTTTTGGAGCTTAGGGGGGCAGTGAGGTCACGAATGAAGCGTCGGAAGATAGGAAGTGCTTGGGGCACGATTTCCGCTTGACAGCTACCGGTGGCTAGAATAGTGCCGAATATGTGCAGTATACAGGCGTGGAGGTCGGCCCGAATGATCGAGGGGAAAACAGTTGTGATGTCCACCAACGAAGATAGCGCGAGTTGAACAAGTGGAATAGAGTCTTCTGAGACCACAGAACGAGGCTTCGGGGAAGAGTCGCCAAGGTTAGGAAGAATGCCGGCAAGAACTAGGATAATGTTGCGAGTGAGTTCGAAGAGCTGCTCTATATCATCGGAGAGGTTTTCGGTGCGTGCGTCACTTCTTGTCGCCGATTGGTGATGAAGCGCCAGGTTTCGAGCAATTTCGACAATAACGGATTGGACACTGGGGCCTTCGGTCATCACAAGCCTATCAAGAGCATCGATGGTTTCTGAAAATACGGCGTCTTGATAAACCGCGTTTCCGGCAACTGAAGGGCGTAATATTTTCTGCAGAGCTTGTAATATCGCGAGGATCTGGGAGGATGGTGCGCTCGACTGGCTAACAAGAGCTTCGAATGCTAGGCCAAAGAGAACAAAAAAGAATGCAACTGGTTCATCGCGGTAATTAATGTTATTCCCTTTTCCTTCTGTTCCGTTAATAGCAACTTCGGAACCTGGCTCTTGTTCAAGTTTAGGTTTCTGCCCTTTGTTGTCCAAGGCATCGAAGACGAAATCACTATCCTTTTCAACTAGACTGGCAATGGCATCGACTATATTTAACCAGGAGTCTTGATAAAACTATGTCATTCCATTAATACTTGATCTATGGGTGAAGAACGTGCTAGGGACTTGCCTTTAAGAGAATTTCACGGTTCAAGGCAGCGTATGTGTCATCTAGGTTGTCAGATAGACCAATTGAGCCCAGAGTGCTGGATATATCGGGTTCAAATCGAAGACGGGCATATTCCTGAAGTGACGATAGCCAGAGCGGAGTAAGCATGGCAGTATAAGGTTGTACAACTTTGACCAAATAACTTTGTTCTCCGCTGGCAATTTGTAATCTGGCCCAGGCAGAATATAAAGCTAACTTCACCATAACTCGAGCATTCGAATTAAGGCCTTTAAGGTCACCAATATCGGTTGTGTTCGGGTTGTCTACAAGATGTCAGAATAGACCAACTTCTGAACTTATGGCAATACTCACCTCCGAAATTTTCCAAGCCAACCACGAGAAGCTTGAAAATGCGACCCATTCTCTCCGCACTCGTAACAATTCCGGTCCCCACAAAAGTAGCACAAACATTTATCGCCTCTGAGGCCAGCTCAGGAGAGGAATCGGCGGCGAAAGCAGGAGTCAAAGCGGAGCCAATTTGAGCTTGATACTGCTCGAGCAGAGAAGCCTCTGCAAAGTCCGGATCTGGGGTTCTCCCAAACATCTAATTGTTCATGAGTTGGAAATAGCGAACATAATGATGACAGTATAACTCACTTTCAGAATGAGATCGAGGATCTTGAGGCCCCAGATCCTCAACTCAATCACACTTGCAGTAGAGGCAGAAAATGCCATACGAACCATCTCACCCACCCTTTCCTGTAGTGCTGCTTCTGACGGAATCGTCTGATCCGCCTGTATTTCTGAGCTAACCATGTTTAGAAGATCACTCAAACAGCTCATGACAAAATTACGTGTTTGCCATTTGAGCATTTCCTGGCCCGTCGGTGAATCTGGTTCACCGGCGTCTCTATTCTCTGTCGCAGCTGCGGTGGCAAAGCCGGCCACTTCATCGTCCGGAAGTTCAGCGCCACCTGTATTAGCTGCAGCGGTATTAGGGCTTGGAATCTCGTCGCTTTTTGGACGGGTTTTTGTGAGAACTTTATGGCATCGTTGAACCCAAACCGCAGTATCTGTAAGCCCGGTCTGGTGCAGCCAATTGCGGACAAGATCCTTTAGTAGCCCATTGTCGGGAATACTGTCCAATGCCATCCAGAGTTCATCTTCGAAGGTGGCAGATGCGGTTCGTATCACTTTATCGGGGTCCCGTTTCATGATATTATTCAGGCCTCGCACTGCAGCCTCACGAACCTGCATATCTTTAGAATTCAACTCCTGCTGAAGCCAGTGCACATATCCGGAGAAATCCATATGATCTGGAGCATAGAGGGATAAATGGTCAAGACATTTGGAGCTCACAGCCACGATGGATATATCTAGCTCCAGCTGAAACTCTTTAACGAGGGTGAAGATAAGTTCCCTTGTTTTCGTTACATCGCGAAGGTCGGGGCCGATGACATTAATAAGAGCATCGACACACCGGCTAATGGCAAGAGGGGCAGAAAAGACAGCTTCATGATTAGATGTAGCAATCAACGCTGACTCTTCGTTGTGCGTATCGGCAGCATATAGACGCGCTAGCATGCCTAGAGAGCCAGAAACATATGCAGAGAACGTCAATCCAGCAGAATCAACAACTCGTAACAACCCTTCCAAGGCCCAAAAATGGACAACAGGATGAGGATCACTGCAAAGCGACATGAGGACGCTGATAATAGTTTTCAAATGGAAACCCGCCGCCATGCCGCCAACTTGGGCATGAATCGAGCCCAATGCAGCAGCGCATCCGGCACGAGCGTTGGGGTCACGGTTCTCGACAATTGTATCAATGATAGAATTGATCTGAGTGTTCGTAAACGAGTTGCCCGCACTGTTGCATAATCGTCCAAGCGCTTCAAAGGCTATGGTACGAACAACGTAATCGGGATCTGCAAGAAATGTCTAAAGACACACCTATTGTCAGCGACAATATTGTAAAGTAGAAAAGTTGTTCTTACCTGGAGAAGTTCCTGAACAATCTTCTCCGTTGCAGGATTTTTTAAGTTGCCAGGTGGGAAATCTGTCTCCTTCAGTGCAACTCTGAGAGCATGTAACAGAGCCATAGCAATGTTGACTGTCATAGCAGCTTTTCTCCCTGGGTTCCGAACGAGACTTTGTGAAGCTAAAAGCGTAGCTATTTGTTCGACACTGCTCTCCTGGACTTTTGGCGCCTGCGATGGAAGTGTAGTAGCAAATAGCTTAATGGAAGCATTGACAACTTCGGTAGTTGGAGGATCAGGAAGGGAGCCGTGCTTAACATCTTTCGTCGAATAGAGGAGAATTGAATCGTGTTCTCTGCCTTGGCATATCGGCGAAATTAACTAGGGGGTGTTAGCAGATAGACAATCCAATATGTGGGTAAGCTTACAGTGCTGTCGATCACCCGATCGGCATTGCTAGGGAGCTGTCGAGCACCAATATTGTGACCTTTGTGATCACTGTTTTGAGAAAATTCCATAGCGAGGCCAGTGACGCCAAAACCAAAGTTATCATCAAGATCCCACAAGTTCTCAAAATTTGTAGCGGCGCTCGCCACTGAAGAGTCAAGTGGATTTGAAACGTCTGGATCGGCAAAGGAAGATATTGCAATACCAAGCACGTTTGACAATGACAGAATATCCGCAACATTGGTATGGCTTAGATTTACCAATTTCTCAAAGCACTGTAAAACCCGTCGTCGGACTAGAACTGGATAGTCTTTGAGCTGTAAGGAGGGTGACAGGCGTTGAGAAATATCCTCGGAAGATTTGATGCGAGGGAGATTCTCAAGGAATACAACCGTATTTTGAAGCATTGTCGCGATTCTCTTTGCTCCGTCAGATGTGACGAGTTTGCTGTTAAATTCTAGAAACACAAGAATTGAACTTAGAGCACATTCCCTAACATGAGCCAAAAAGCTCAATTCCAGGGGGCTACGCTTAGCTAGATCGTCTTTAGGTAATGCTCTTGGAAGGGCATTTTTCCAAAGTAACAGAAGCTGTGAGAGATGTATTTTGGTGAAATTTGGGCCGAGCGGCAGGAGGCCTCCGATTAGTATCCATGCCACCTGTATTTGTGTGCTGGCTGTTCTCAGCTCCGAGCTACCACTTGTTTTGAGCAGATCAGTGGCCTGAGACAGTACTCGTGAGTATATATCCACAGAGCCATAAAGAGGCTGGAGTCGTGAGGTGCTGAGCATAGATGCTAGGCCATGGGCATACCCAAGACAACGACGACTTGACTGCCTAGGGGTGGATAGCTGCCCGATCTCTCTATGCAAGCTGTTCATGCATATTGTTATGCATGAAAGGAGCTGCTGAGGGCACGCGAGTACGAAATTCCGTAAACAGTGTGAGACATATATTTGGACAGTGTAGCTGGGGTGCTGCAGATCTTGCAATAGAGCCTCACGGAAACTTTCTGCGATGGTGCCAATAGCGGAACCCAAGGAGGATATCAGAGAGGATAGAGCGCTCACAGCACAGGTGAGCGTATGCTTGCTCGGTTCTCGACGCTCCTGCATCACTTGGGGATAATCCTTCAGCACATCATTGATCAGCCATTTGGCGGCACTAAGCTGGCCACTTTCACTCAATATCTCGGATCCCACCACATCCTCGAGAATATGTTTAATAAATTTCCGGGTCATAAGCAAGCGATACCGATTATTTACTATCGTGGCGTGGTTGAGAAGCGTAAAGAGTAGATGGCGAGCAATCTCAGCGTAACGCTCTTCAACCAATTTTTCGCCCACACCGCGCAAAAACAGCTTGTAGCATACTGCTATTCCAGCTCTTGCGCGGTTTCCAGTTGAAGTTCGGCAATATTGGACGGATAGCTGCAGGAGAAGGTCCGGGAGCTTAAGTGCCAGTGTAGCCTCTGACTTCCGCCCCGACGGAGATTGCGGGCGTTCAGGAATTTCATCCTCTACAGCCGCGGGATCTGGCTTCTTGAGGGGCTTCTTCGGCCGTTTCACAGTGGGTACGTCGACTTGACCACCAACGGAATGCCCCTTGACCAAAATGGCAGCAAGACATGCAGCCGACGCATGTCTCACGGAAGTCACAGGACTATCAATGACCTTCCATATGGTTGACTTCAGGTTTTCAAAGTCATTCAAATTATTGAAATACGGCGTACTCTTAATCAGCTGCTCTAGGCACAGACACGCGCTGGCCTGAACAGAATACGCCTTGTCGCTCACGGCCGCGTTTCTAGCATGCTTCCATATATCTTTCGCCGTTGATTCGTCAACCGGTGTGCCTATCCCAGCGACAACTTTCCTTATCGCAGTATAGAGAGAGCTTCTGAGCCCTGCATGCTGTTGCGAGGATTTGAACAGTTTGAGTAGCACAGCGCAGGTCACGCTTGACTGGTTGATGAGGGAGCCGCCCGCGACCGTGAATATCTCTCCAAGCGCAACGGCAGCTGCAAATTTTGCCTTAAGATCCACTTCATTCTTTCCTGCATTTAGTATCCCTATCAATTCGTTGACTGTATCGTAGAGTATAGCACGGTTCCCCTTTGTGAATATCGCACCAAAGCATCTGCCTATATTATTCCGGATTAATCGTGTTGGGACCGGCGACTGAAGTTTTATAATTTTGAATAGCTCTCGTTTAATAAATTCTTGCTGCGAGAATATTCCATCTTTATCGAGTTTCGCAGTATATTGGACAAGGTCGGTTGTGAAGGTCAGGAGGTAGAGGTCTTGTTGTTCTGAGGGTAGTGCATGCAGCTTCGAGACATCGAGTTCGGCGCGAGGAATCACATTTTCGGCGTCAGCAGGTTGCGAAGCGGGGGCTTCAGGCGCCGACATCGAATTGATCGTTCAGGTAAAATATATCTAAATTTTTGTTCTCTTCCCGATTTTACTGGATTGGGAGCATTTCGTCTCCGAACGGCCAGCTGCTCGCCGCAATGGCCATATCGAACCGGATAAATTCCCGGGCCGAGCATTTTCCATCATCGGGCCGTTCGACTGTCAAGGTTTCTTCCGCGGACATCTAGCGACAGCTTAGACTGCGTTTCCTCCATGATATGGCCACAGTTCTAGGGCGGAGGTTCTTTGGCAGTCCTCGCATTGTCCTGCAACCCTGGACATGCGGGAGTTGCCGCAGCATGAGCCATAGCTCCTCCCTTCAAGCCGGGCATAGCAAATGGGCCAACATCAAGCATATCAAGGGCCGAAATGACGCCGCTAAGAGCAAGGAGAGGCAAATAATCAGCCAGGAGCTTATGCAGTCTTCAAAATGTACGATCATGGCTTTTATCTGTACCTCTCGTACAACCCCTATTGACAATGCTTACGTCTAACCTAAAGTATACGGCCCCGATCCAGGATCCAACACTAAGCTCGCAGCCATCATCGCAAATGCTAAACGGAGCGGAATGTCTAAGGCAACGATTGAGTCTGCAATTGCCAAGGGACAGGGTATATCTATGTCAGGAGCGCCCTTGGAACCCTTGACAATTGAAGCAATGCTCCCGGGCTCCGTGGCCGTGGTGATTGAGTGTCAGACCGACCAGAAGGGCAGAACCCTCCAGGACGTTCGCCACATGATCAAGGAAGCCGGCGGTATTGTGACCCCCACGACATTCCTATTCGAGAAAAAGGGGAAGATTGCTTTTGAAAAGGATCCAAAGAGCAGGAGTACGGACGATTATCTTGAGAGCGCTATCGATGCCGGTGCTATAGACGTGGATGCAGATGCGGAAGGGCGGCTGATTGTGTACACGGAACCTGCAATGACAAAATCCGTGGGCGAGGCAATTTCCACTTCTACGGGGTTGAAGATTGAAACCTTGGACATCATTTGGGATCCTAACAAGGATACAATGGTGACGCTTTCGAGCGAGGAGGCGGCGAACGAACTGGATGAATTTCTCGACAACGTTCGTGAGGAGACAACTGTCCAAGAAATATACATGAATCTGGCTAGAACATGATAGTCTCTGTGCTAGAATTGTACATTACATTAACGTCGCGACCTAGTTAGGCCTTAAATTAATCATAGCGCTTCTCATCAACGATCCTATGCCTTTGCTTCCATGGCTGTCCAACCAATCAAGCATCTTTAACCGGTACTCCTGCCAGCTCAAAGAGATCCCTCCGTCCTTCGCTAATCGAGTCAAGACGTCCTGCGTAACTGGAAGCGGGAGACTCGCAGATAACGTTACGCCATCCTGTTCAGCTTGGTCTTCAAGACTCTTCACACAAGCAGCGGAGATCCGACAAAGAGCAAGGTTATAGCTCAGGGAAAACATGGAGACTAGTTTGAACTTGGATTTGTAGCGGCCATTGCTTTTGTGGCCTAAAACGCCATTCAATTCTTGAATATATCTTGTCAGCGCGGTCACAGTCTCTGCGGGAACAAGGCATCCCAGTGCGTTGAGGTCGCTAGAATTGAGTGCACGGTTTCTCCAAAGGAGATTGCAGGTATCAAGAACATATCCGTTGAACTTGATAATCTCGGACTGGGGTACGCGATTAGACTGCGAGGTGCTATTTAAAGCCTCGAGGGCAGTCTTATACCTCGCCAGTATGTCTCCCAGAAGGGATATACTGCAAACAGCCGGAATAAAGGTTAAGAGATAGATGGTTTGAGGGAGAGGAATCGTTAATGGGATATCGGTATGTGTCGGTGCATGAGAAAACAACTGTGCGAGCTCTATATAGAAGTGGAGCACGTCCAGACTTGCCGAGAGCGAAGCGGATTGGTCATTTCCATGGGAGTTGGATGGGGTCTCAAGTAATGCTAACGAGAGCAGTTCAGCTCTCAATACAAGCTCAGAGAGAGGTGGTACGGCCGACAGACTGGTATTTGAGCGGACTAAACAACCCCAATGGCGGATAAGGTTCGTATAACAGGAAAGAAGTGAAGCCTTTCCCTGATTTGAATTGTTCAGAATAGCCGCTTCAACTTGAGAAAAGTAGATTCGATGGAGATATTCGTATTCCTGGATCGGCAAATACTCCAGAAGTGCCAGAATACTGGCTTGATGATCCTTGCCATTCCAAAGGGGAAGATAGCTGCGGAAAAGATCCAAAACTGCGCAAGGCAACTCCTATACGCCACGATTAGCGTCAAGTATATCACGGATGTAGAATTCCAGATAGTATACCTTTGTAAACCGAACGTAATCGACGAGTAAGTCAAGGACATATCCCAGGTGCCCGGAAGTATCCGCATCTCCCGACGATAGCATATCAAGTTCGTCTTCAAAAAAGCTCGCCAGCCAGCTCTCCATCCTCCGTGTGGCCAATTTGTTCTGTACAAGCAACAAGTATTTCTGCGCCAGAGGGTCCGCAAGTGCTGAAGCAATTTGATTCGGAAGCTGGATTCTATCCAACTTTTGCACGAAATCCTTTACGCTTCGAAGCTCCTCCAGCGAGGCAAATCCATGATGGACCTTAGAAGTCTGCACGGAAGGGATAACAACCTCGATGCGGCTTCTCTTTACTCCCTCACGTCGAACAATCTGGAAAGTTTGTTTGCCAATACCCCTTGCAGAGCTTGCGGCCTTTTCCTGTAAGTTTCGCAAATGTGCAGTCCATTCAGCATCTGGGTGCTTGAAGAAGTACGTTGCTCTTCGCCTCCCGAAGCCAATTTCGCCTACAATTATCTCAGGGTAATAACTTTTGAAGACATGTAGCAATCCCAAAAGTTCTCTTGTTTCATCGCCTGCATTTCGTATCAATTCCATAAGCGCCTGTATGCGATATGGCTTGACATGTTTTCTTCGCGTTATCAGGGAGAGTAGGTGACAAAGTGAGCGCCTCAAACTGATCATATCCAGATTATCGAAGAGGACTGCGTAGAGCTTCGACAAGTAGGACTGATCATCCAGATCATCGTAAACGAGAATCAGCCATCTAAGCAGTAAACTCTGGGTACCAGGTGATGGCTTGGTTTTGGTGGGTCCTAGGGAGCAGACGACTCTAGCAATAATTCCGGATGTAACCTTCTCAGATGGATATAAATTTTTGACGAGAGTAGTCACCGTGTTCTGGTCCAGGTGTTTGGATTTCACAATAACGGCAGTGAGCCTATCCAGAAGATTGGGCCCGATCCCAGATTCATAGGCCAAAGTCGCAATTGTCTTTGCAAGTCCTGCAACATCTGTATGTCTCTGGCTTTTCGGAAGATACGCGACTAGGTTGTTCTGTAAGTACTCCTGCCAATTCATCACATCTTCCTGTGAAGTGTGAAATCTTCCTTACCATTTTCTAGCTGTGTTATAGCCTCCTCAAGATTCCAAGATTTCGTGCCTATTCACGCACTCCTGCGTCAGCTCCTGTGTTGGGACACGCATATTATTCATTCTTAACAAATCTCACCGGAATTTTCCGTCGGGGAGGATGCGACTTGCATTATTTAAAGGTGTGGTCGGATAAGCAGCTTTGCGCAAGTCACTCCCTTTAATTCTCTCAGAAAGTATAGATTATGTGCTCTGTAAAGAAGCGTGTAGTTATGCAGCGATCATTGGAGTAATGCTGGAGAAGGAAGACTCAAAATATACAGAACTACAACGAGCTTGTCGCGATTGATCCAAACCATTGGCTGGTGACTGTTAAGTGACTGTGCGCAAAATAAAAGCAGTCATACTCTAGGTGAATCGAATTAATATACTCTTATGTTGTAGTTCAGCCCGCTGGCTGCTCCCACCGACTGCTGTCACATCTTCAGGGCGAAACGCGTCCGTGTTGGGATGGATGGCCCTCTCGGGGTTTGGATCATAATTTTTCCGCTCCATCTAGGATGAGATCCGGTTCAGCAGCATTCCTCTCCAGCTTTGCCATCCCTGTTGGCAACAGTTCTCAGTTTGCTGTCGCTGTAATTTGAGGATCCCAAAAGGAACCAAAAATTGATCCCAACGATTTAGGAGCCGATCAGATACCCCATACCGAACACCCCATCGTATCACGACCAGAGAAATCAAATCGCGCGACCAAGAAGCTGGTTTCACATGGATAGCACTTACATCTCCTCGCCATTGTTCTGCGAAGGTCATGAAGAATACGAATTTTACTCTCGCCAAGATGACTTTGAAACAGGCCCAAGAACCCATGCCATATTCTCTGCCACTGGACAGGGTTACCCAACTCACTGCGATGTCACTCTTCTTCTCCAGATTTTGCAAACTTACCCCTCAGACATGTGTTTGCCTGGAGATGGCCCACGTCGCTAAAAGATACTGACATCGCGCTTTGTCATTTTGAAAACTAGGTGGCGCTCGGGAAGAGATGATAAAACGAGTAGGTATATCGAAGATACTTCGTATCTCCAAAAGTTCAACTCAAGACGTACATAGGTACGTACCGACAGGGCAGGCATACAGACGAGATTTAAATGTGCCTCACGCTCTTCAAAGAGGAACAACCATGTACGGTGTTTCGAGCTCTGTGGTCAAGATAAGCTCTTTCTGAAGGAAGTCAAAAGAAGCTGATCGTTGGCTATTCAGTCATGATCTTCAGTTGGCAGAGCAGGGAGGGATACTCGGAGATTTAACTACGTAGACTAACTTATTAACGATCCTTTGGATCGATTTACATCCGTTTGGTCGATCAATGTCGATCCATGGCTTTCAAGGTAGCTACGAATTGACACCTGTATCCTGCAAAGCGTTGCAGAGAAAAAAAAAAATTGTACGGAGTACACATACCATGAAAAGATTTTATGGATAAAAAAATGGGTGTTTCGAATATGTACTGAGAATTGAACTGGTATGCGGTAATCACAGGAATGGTAACGACCGGCATACCTGATATGGGGTACATAGAGGAGATACATCGAAAGATAAGTTACAAAGGGAAAAGGAGATCACCGCAGGAAATCAGTCGCGTCCTTATCACCGTCACTCATCAGCCGACGATACACTCTCCGTTAACATCTTCTCTATCAAGGCAACCTCAACTAAAAATAAGCTCAACTAGCCACGAGCGCGGAGCAACATCGGTTGATTCCCCGTTCCGTTTGAGTTAGCTTATTCGGTGCACTCTCTCCAGCGGAAGTGGACAATTTGCTTGAAGCTGGCGTCAAGGGAGTCGTTGGTCATGATGCCCTGAGCATTGCGGTCAGAGCTGGTCAGGCGGATCTGGGAGTTGATGTTAAGAGCGCCGTTAGCACCGCAAGGAGACCACACGGTGGAGGTGTTCTCGGCCTCATCGTGCAGGAGGAAGTCGCCGCTGAATGGACCCTTCCACTGGGTCTGGGTATTGGTCTAATGCAGAAGAAAGGGAGGAAAACGTCAGCGAAAATCTTTAACGCTTATGTAGATGAGGGGCATCGTTAGAATGTACCTGTTGAGTCTGGCCGGAGAAGTAGTAGGTACTCTTCTGGGTACCCGTGATGCCCTTCTCAAGGTTGGCATATCCACGGTAATCGGCGGAGAAAATCGAGAATTGGAAACCACCTGGGTAGCGAAGGTTGATGTTGAGCTGGCAGTTCTTACGGTTCTGGGTGATGGGAACCTCAGGGCCAATGGACGCAACATATTCATCGAAGATGAGAGTCATAACCTGTCGGTCATCGGAGAGGACGTGGCTGACGGTGTTAGAAGGGCAGCCAGTACCGCCATAGGTCACGCCAACAATCTGGACCTTGTCTGGGTCAGGAGTAGGACCGCCAAGCTCGATATCACCACGCTTCTCATTTGCGTCGCGGGTTGGGAATGGATTGCCACCGTTTGGGAAGCCTGGGAGCACCAAAGTCCGAGTCGGAACGTCGTCTGGGATTGCGGCACCAAGGGCAGTACCCACCAAGCCGAGGATGAGAGCAGACTTCATTTTTTCAGAATTCGAGGAAAACTGGAGTGGTTTCTTTGCTAAAAGGAGGACGGTTAACGTTTCCAAGTGTTGACTGATCGAGAAAACAAATTCTGAGAAAGTGCTGCGGGACGGAGGGTTTATATAGAAGAGAATGCAGAGGTCCCCGGCAGATCCTGGCAAGTAGAAATGACCTATATCCCTGAACATCGATACGATTTTCAAATCATGCATTTCCACCCGGACATATGCGAACTCCTAGTTTGGCGCCACTAACGAACGCACCGCTTCGAGTAGGGTTGCATAGTGAGAGCATTGGGAATGGCCCGCAGGTTCAGCTGATCATAGCCAAGGCACTTCATAGAGTCCAACACGGCAAACTCGACTAAAACATTTATCGCGGACAAGTTTGTGCCACGCGGGCCGACATCAGACATAGTCTCAAGCTGACCCGCTCATTCGAGCCGAAAGTAGTCCAAAACAGATCCTAGACATAACATTCACTCACTAAGCCATGGGGGGATCCTTATCCGGACATCACATAGGTATTGGATGAAAAAGAAATGAAAATAAACATAACTGAGCCCCGGTGCCATGACTTCAGATATTCTCCTAGAGGATTCCGAGCAAAGGAACCATGCTAATTTGGCAATTTTGGCCCGGAGGGAAAAAAGAAAGCATCAGGCAAAGCAATCATCTCGTTTGGTTTGAATCCACTGACCGGATTCTGCAAACTCAAACTATCGACAGATCTAGACTAAACCGGGACCGGGGGCGTATCAGGGTTACAAAAACCTGGGGTAGATTCGTATAATAATGCCGGGCTCCTCAGGAAAGATTAAAAAAAATGCGCCCAGGAACACTTAAACTTAACAGGTGTGACAGCGGGAAGCAACAGCACCAATGGGGCGGGGAGCACGACACGTGCCCGCTGCTCGAAAGGCAGGCTTGTTGAGACCTTGTTGAGAGCCAAAGTGCCACAGAATAGAAGGCATTGTGGCCAGTCAACAGACGTGGCAGCCAGTGCACCCTCCAAGCACGTCTCTCGTGGGATTCCCGTGTCGGCGGCGGGTTGGCTGTCGGCGGGATCGAAGCGTTGTCGTCTGGCGATGAACCCGCGGCGTGGGTTGCGGTGGAGTGGATCGGCACTGGGGGCTCAAGCCACGTCGATCACCCAGTAAGCTTAATTCCGCTTAGTCAGTGCCCTGTGGCTGGCAGTCTTATGTCATCCGCGGAGATGGCATGCTGCGCGCCAAGCCGCCCCTTGTGCCGCCGCAACCTCAAACTCCATCGCAGCGCTCTTGTTGCTGTTGCCGCTGCGGCCCCATCCCAGTCCCTGTCCGCCTCGCTTCGACAGGATACCGTGGATGATAATGCAAGGGTTTTCGGCTGTCAAGGTTTTTATCTCTCCCAGAACAGACCTTTCTTCTTTTGATTTGAGAACAGCCACTTTGCCCCGTCAACGGAGGGATTTGCTCTTCCAACCACCCCTGCTCCGACTCCAGCTGAAAGGGACCATCCTCTCTCTCTAGGCCAACTTCTGCTATCGATACCTGTATCCGATCTTACCTCTTAATTCATCCCCTTGCCTTGCCTGTTCCCAACGGTCCCGGAAAGTCTCCCTATTCATATCCCTGTGCTATTCAACCGGGTCTACCCCTTCGCCGGAGTCACATCCCTGGGGTCTGACTCTGCACTGAGTCTTTAACGCCTGCAGCTTCTCTTTTGATCCTTGGGAAACCAGGAGCGTGGTGCAAAAAATAACAACTCTTTCCCGTCCCCTGAACCTATTATAAACAACACAGCCTATCCTATCGTTAATGGTGGTTGCCACATGACCCCATAAACATGCCTGTCTCCATTGCTTTTCCTGGTCGCAGGCCGAAGGGCCCTCGCAATCTACAGAGGTTTTGAACCCGAACCGTGCACCCAGAAAACAATGTACCTTATGTATCCGTTCGTCCATATGCCTATCTCGGCAAATCTTCAAGATCTTACGTCGTTATTCGGTGTGTTGATGGTACTCGTAGAGGCACGACCACCGCTCAATCATCATAGCCTAAACTTGCCCCATTTTGTCGCTGAGGCCTCATTTGGGTTCATCAGGTTTCACAGTCCCAAGGCTCATCATCTTCCTTTTTATGATTTAATATCGGAAGCTTTGCAAGGAGCCATTGACACCACGTCATAATTCTTGGCAGGCGCTTTTCGACTCCACGGCGGAGTACGGAGTTCCGGAATACGCCTAGGATTTTCTCAACTCGTGCACTTCCCCCGATGCTATCCTGAATTATACTCAAAGATTGGCCTCTTGCAGCTCATCGCCGTCAGCTTAGCCGCTGACGGCCTGGCTCGACTGGCCATAGATAGTGAAGGATTTCACATTCTGGGTCAAGGGAAATACCTGGTACCTTCTAACGAATAACTGAAGTCCCGGAGGGACTCTGCATGGTTGAACTGGGATACTGTTACATTACCGTCATATACAAAGGTACCCACGGACCATCTCCTGTTGCTATTGGACCAATATCGTGCCATTGATCAGCAGGCACGTCCAATATTTGAGAAGTCGAACCGAGATCATGGAGGACCTGGAAGGCAAACTTTGCCCGGAGATCCCCGTCTTTGCTCATCAAAGCCTCGATCTGTCATGCCACGCCTCAGACCTAGCTTCTCCAATTCCAGCTCCTGGAATTCACGAGCATGAAGAGAGGGGCCATATTCTGAACTGTATTCCGCTTTGACCATCGGTAACTGTCTGCGAACTTGTAGCTGCCGTCATCTCCACGTGTCCTAGGGATGGGGGGTTGTCATGCCATGCGGTCTGAATACAAGGCCTAAAGTCAGCGTGGGATTTGTTCATTCAGACGAGCTCCAGGCGCTGTGACCGACGGCCCGGGTATGAAGGCATTGCCTCGCGGAGTAACTTATATTTGACGGAAAGCTTAATGCTCCTCCCCAGGGGCAGAATGACCAACTCAATTTCCATTCTGGTATGAGCAGGTTTGATGAAATTGACCGAGATCCACTGGCTATTTCAATGATATCATTGCTGGTTTGGAGATGAATTCAACAATTCTTAGCCAACTCCCACGGAAGCGTCACCCCTGGCGGCCAACGTGGTATTCGGGCCGCACTCTAAGTGTCCTTACCAGCGGATCTGGATCACAATTTGCAGGACATAACCTTCGCCCATAGAGAATCCAGATTTATCGTTCTATGAACCGACTATTACCTTCTATCAGAATACACACAAAAGAAGCAGACCTGCAATCTCGAAAGGCGTAAAAACCTGTCCATCCCAGCATCTCATTCGTGATTACTCCCCATCACTTTCTTCGCCGAGCCGAGCTCTTTGCCGACTTGGATTGAGAGGATGGGGACGCTGTGGAGGTAGTCGCAGATGCAGGCTGGTCCCTCGTGTTGGCTGCACTACCATCCTGTTTCTTTTCCGCCTCCGCCTCCGCCTCCGCTTCAGCTTCATCCTCTTCTCCGCCCTGACCGAACTCGTTGACTCGCTTATAGTCAACTTTGTATTTCCAACTCTGGTACAGCCAGATGAAAAAGATCACATCGTCTCTCAGTGTCGCAAGACGGTGAAGTGTTGGCATTTTGATAGTGAAAGCGAAAAGATCATCGATAAAAGTGTTCAGGAACTTGTACATGAGAGCTTTTCCAGGCATGTGCGCCACGGACTATGACACCTGTCAGTACCAGGATCTCACTGTTTTCTCTCCGTAACGTTTCCAGGATAGGCCTGCTTACCTTTAGGCGATAGTTGATATACAAACTCGGAACCATCATCAAAAATCCATAGGCATAGACGCTACCGACCAGGGTTTCAATGAGAAACGAGTACCATGACTTATGGGTCTCATATACGAGGCTATAGATTGCGTATCCAATCAATAACGGGACCGCAATGATGTACAGCCACTTGAACGCAATCTCGTCATATTCCTTGGTCTTCTTTTCCGTCTCGCTGAGCGTATGCTTGTCTTCGAAGACAACATGGTACGGCAGGAATGCAAAGCGAGACCCGGAACTGGGGCGTCGAATGCGGACATTTACGGTCTTGGTGATCTTCCATGCCTCGAGGGCAACGCCGAATCCCTGACCGGCAAGGATCATCCAAGAAGTACCCTCACTGTTATCTAGCAGGTATAAAAATATCACACCTTGCATGAAGATGTTTGCGAGAATGGTTCGCAGGGACGTTCCCACGACATCCTTCTTCTTACGCCAGTGGGACTATAGGCACGTGGGGGAGTAAGTACTTTGCTTTTTTAGGTAGCTCAGTAGACGGTTGGAAAAGCGGGATTTCCAACTTACAATATCGTTTTTGAAAGCAAGACCTTCGAAAATCATGTGCAAGACGCTGACGATGCCGGTTGTCGCTAAAAGGTAGGCGTTCGTGTCAAGGAGGATCTCTTTGACCATTTCAAACTCACTACCATCGCTACCAGCCGGCATCGGGCCTCCCAGGGCTGCTTGACGTTGGGTTTGCTTCATGTTCTCATCAACACTAGCATAGATGCTGAACTTCCAATTCTTGAGGTTGTTGAGGGAAATTCGAAGAGGAAGCGTTTCAACCGTGGAATTCAACTCAATCATATGGCCTCTTAGTTGCCAAAAGGTATTGACAAAGATAATAGGATAGTACCATCCGTTCTGTCCCGAAGCGTCTCTTGCACCGGTCCTTTCTAGTTGAACGAACTGACGGACACCAGGGTGCATTACTTGATAGTTCAAAGTTCCGCTGTCTGGAATCAGGGAGAGACTGACGTTTGGATGATAGAATGATCCGAATTCAACCTTTTTCGGAGCCTCCTCCTCCGGCTCGGTTTCATTTTTGGCATCGAGCAGGTTCCTCAGCTTCTTTACCTTCTTTTTAGGCAAATACTGGTTTAGTGGCCGGACGAAATGATAAGCGGTCTCAGGGTTGTAGTCCTTTTCGCTCGGGTCAAGCTGGTGCCCCGAAAGTGCAACGTAGAAGTGAGCCCAGAGGGTGCCGTTATTCTGTACTGCCTTTGGAACGAAAATTTCCGTGGCGATCTCCCTGTTCTCGTTCCAGTCTCCAACAGTAAAGTTCTTCTCCTCGAGGACCTTGATATCCTTCGGAACTTTCTTCAATGATGGGATGGTGAGGTACGGCGAAATAAAGATGTCAATGTCCAATCCTATATTTTCTTGCTCCCACATAGGTGCAACATAGTGCGGGAAAACCGTCGCGTTGGTGATTGTGCTTTGATCGGGCCGATCCGCCCAGGACGGGATGCCTGAGCGTCCACCGGAGGCATTTGCGGCTTGCTTCGAAGGGAAGATCCGTTGGATAACGAACTGGGAGAGGGCGAAGATGGCCAGCCCCTGAAGGGCAGACTTGAGGGCAAGCTGAAAACGGATGATGGTTAGCGGATGCTTAGCTGTGCTCGGTTTGGTTTCATTTCTTTGAATTCCTAGACAAAGGAGGCATACTTACGCTCGTAGAGCTCTCCTCTCTCGGTTGTGGTCTTCGCTCCGACATTTTGATGATCTGTGTTGGAGCTGAAGAGTGGCCGACCCCTGAGAAAAAAAGTCAGGGAAGCAAGTTGGTTCGTTGGCAGTTCACATCGAGGAATTCCAGAAGTCCCTTGTCGCCAATTTAGTTAGTTAACTAGCCTCCAGTATTTAACCAAGTTGCCGCCACCCGGCCCAAACCAAAAGTGACGTGCATCGCCAGATCTACAAGCGTCAAGCCGAAACATTGAAACAGCGATCGGCTGCGAATACAGGATACAGAGCACTCCGTACTCTTATTGTCCAGTTTCTCTGCGCTCTTCTCTTACGATCTGGTGTCCCCGGCGATTTTCACCTGGCCATCACAGAAATGGGCCCGAGATCTCGTCGTCAACCACAGCATCCAGGCAGATGACGGATAACCCTTCTCCACCTCCATCATCTGGCTCCGGCCCTCCTCCGCCGTCCTCCCACTTCCCAACTCACGATGGACCTCGAGTCTGGGTTTTGTCTGCCGGTGACTCGCCGATTGGTATTTCGCTAACGCGCCAACTGCTAGCCCATGGCGACCAAGTGGTGGCGGGGATTACTCCGTCGAATCCAGAGAGAGAGGATCCGCGAAGGGTGAATTTCGATGTCTTCTTGGACGAGATCAGCACCGAGGATGAGTACAAAGGGTGGTTGGAGAGGCTTGAGACCGTAGAGTTGGATATCAGGTGCGATTTCGTCCGATCGTGCAAGCACAGTTGAACAGCCCCCTGACATTTTGTCGCAAACAGATTGATGAGTGACTGTCAGGTAGCTATTGCTGCTGCTATCGCTAAGTTTGGAAGAATTGATATCCTTTTCTGCTGTACAAGCCAAGGTTAGTGGTTCTACTGGTTCTTGACAAGTATCTTAATATGCATGCTGATCCAATGTCTAAAACGTAGCTATAATTGGAGCAGTCGAAGAACTCGCGGTTTCGGAACGAACCCAGGCTTTGGTGAGAGACCAATTCGAAACCAATTACTTCGGCCCTGTCAACTTGATCAAGGCTGTATTGCCGCAGATGCGAAAACAAAAGGCTGGTCATATTATGGCCCTTGGCGGAATCAGTATGAGAATGACCCTCCAGGGTTTTGTGGCATGAATTTAACAACTAATTACCCAACAGCGGGACATATAGGGACACCAGGTCTTGGAGTATATTGTGCTGCAGGCTGGGCACTTGAGGGTTTCTGCGACGTAAGTACTTCACTTCTTACGCGCGAGTTCAATTGTCACAACAGATATAGAGTTCCCAGTTAATCTTTACCTTTCCGCAGAGCATCGCATACGAAATCGCCCCTTTCAACATTCGCGTGTCCATCCTCCAATGTAACATCGAAATTGGAATCCTCTCCAACCTCGTCACCAGCGTTCCTCCCATGTATCCCACCTACTCTCGCACAGCTAACCACGCACCATTATTCCGAGGAATCCTGAATGACATTCTCTCCCGCCTCCCAAGCGTCACGGGGTACCCTGATTCACCTGTCCCATCACCAATATCCGATCCATCCCCTTGCTCTGTCTCCACCACCTCCACCAGTAACCCGGAAGCCCACCACGAACAAAACACCATAGACGCGAACCTCCATCCACTTTCCGCAAAGACCATTGTTTCCCTCTATCCGCCGCTCAGTCCTGCACATCTGGATCTTCTCACGGCGGAAACTATACACGCCATCACCGCTATCGGAGGCCATGAGAATCCACCAGCACGACACATTGTTGGTGCTGAATCCGTGGCCAGTGTGAAAGAGAAGTTAAAGACAATAAGCGAAGAGCTCGAGGATTTCATAGGTTGCAGTTCTGCGGTGGATATTGTTAGCGATGAGAATGCCATGCGTGTGGTTAGCGAGGAGACTACGGCACAAGCTGCTATCCCTTAATATGCTTTGCATATCAACTTAAAATGCAGCTCTTTAATGTTAAAACGATTTATGGTAGAATAGTTATCGCCTTTGATTAGGAGCTTTTGGACTAAAAATAGTAATATGTAGATATCTTTAAAAAAAGGGCCCATGCACAAATTTTAAGCCGAATAACAGACGCTAGGTCCTCGCAAAATAGTATCGTATCTAATGTAAGCTCCTCCCAAGTCCTATTCCCGAATCCTGGAAGCTTTGCAAGAAGAGATGGGAGCTAAAAGGAAAGGAGAAAAGTAAAGAAATACCCAATCGTCGTCGCATCATTGTAGAACAATCTCATTATCTAGTTTTTGCACTGACAATGAGCAAAGTCATATAATAGCTCTAAATATTCATAGAATGCTGATTTTGAATACGCGATAGCTGTTGGTAGCCAAGGATATCACGTGTACGACGATTATGCGCGCTCGGGTTCGCTTCGGTTGTGAAAGAACATCTCAGCGACCCCGAAGATACCAAGATTGTCGAATATCCCAAAGAGAGCCAATATCTTGGTTGTTTCTGTAACAGCGAAAATCTTTCCAAGCGTTTCCGTTAGGCGGGTTTTTAATACGTCCATCAATCTCGAGAATCTTGTTGTGTAAACTGGTGGGACCTCGGACACCTCTGAACACGACGTCCCTGATCTGGGGCTGTCCGTTGGTTTCGGGCTCAGTGCCATCGCTAGCTTTAGTTATGTGTTCAAAGGCCTTGCTCTCACCGTCCTTTTGGTTTTCCTCAGGATCAGCAGCACTAACATCACTCTTGATAGCTTTCGAAATTTCCAAAGTATTACCCATAGGAGACGTCTCTTTCGGAAGATCGACCGGCACACTTTCAGCCGTAATCTTGTGGGTATTAAGCTCAATGGAACTCCCACTTTCCTGGGTGTCAGGTATTGCCCTTTCGGCAGTTTGGGACTTTGAATCAAGTTGGAAACGAAAGGTGTCCCATGCGAGATCAAGGTTGGAATAGTCAAATTCCGTGTGTAAGTCCGAAAGTTCAGATTCAGAATCTGAACTAATCTCCTCTAGAATTTTGATAAAATGGTTGCGAGTTGTAATGCTGCAGTCACTAGCATTTGTATGGTGGACATCCTTGGGATTAGTTACTATCTCTGCCTCCATAGTTTTCACAGGCTGCTCATCTAGGGTGTTTTCGTGGGGACCATTCGCTTCCATCTCAGAAACAAATTGCTGTAGGGTAGACATGAGGTTTCCCGTTTGGAAACGCTTTCCAGAATTGCCACTCTTCGCACTCGCATCATCACCCGGATCAGACGACATAGGCACTGCTCTACTGTCGGTGGAAATGATAGCACTTTCGACAGCAGGCTGCGTTGGCTCAAGTTTAACTTCAGTAGTCTGCGAGTCTGGAATTCCATGTGGAGAAGTTTTTGTTGCAATGTCATTCGTGACCCCACAAAGCAGGACACGCTGGCCGGAAGGGATTGCGAACGTAAGGAGTTTCCCATCAGAGCCGATTACCTATCCAACATAGTAAATTAAGATTCTAGGCCGGTCAATGTTAGGTATCAGGGAGGTTACCTTCACTTCCTTTTCAACAAGTATCTTCTCTTTACCTCTTCGAACAACTCTAGTAAATTTCCAAATATCACCAACCTGTATAAGGTCATTTTCAACCAGAGTTTCGAGCTTGATCTTTGAACTTTCTCCGGCAATCACCCCGCGATCGATCTTTTGCTTCTGACCCCAGAACTCCTCGAATTGCTCTTCCTTCCATTTGTCAAATTTCCCGGCAGCTCTTTCTTCTACAGCTTCGTGGGCCTGGCGCTGCCATTCCGGATCGTATCTGCCATTTTGTAGGTCATCCTGAAATTGGCGCACTGCATCGCGCCACGGGATCGAGTAGCGGAGAAATTCGTAAGATAATGGCTCTATCTGAGACTCTGGGTCTTCAGGGTTTCCATCAGGATTAGGGTGGGTTCCGGCAGGAAGTAGAGAAAGGATCTCCCTCTTCTCATCTTCATCGAGGCAGGTCCAAGACTTGGGATTAGAGAACAGCTTCTACGAAACTCGTTAGCGTCCGAAAGCCCTGAGCTTCGTAGATACTAATTTGATCGACTAAGAAACAGAGATAACTTGCCACCAAGTCAATGTCGACTAGCGGAGATTTGTCACTTGTAATCACGAAAGGTTCGCTCCATTTCTTTGATGGCCTTCCTCGACGCATCCGAGTGGCCCCTTTAGCTCCATTGGGGGGCATCTTCTCTGAAGCCTGTGCGGGAGCCTCCGCTTTGTTGGCATTATAGGATGCAGTAGCTCGACGGGGACAGCTATATAGGCCAGTCTATCAGCATCTCCAATTGCTCTCTCCAGGAAAAACGAAGCAAACTGGAACCGGGCTGCGTGGAACGATGGCGTTTGAGCGACTTACGATTCGCGTTTTGGCGCATGCGCGGTATTGCCGTCATTGGCCGCCTTCCTCTTGGCGCTACAGGGCATCGTGATTGGCTCTATGAGCTAAGTGACAACTTCGTTCTTGACAGCTTGATGAATAAGTTAAGCACCTGAAGAGCAGTCTCGCCTGTCAAGCTGCAACTGTGATCCTGAATACAAGAAATTGAAAAAGAGAGACTTTCGAATATCAATTGTGCAGGAGAAGAGAAGTGTTGTAAAAATGGTGAAATCAACTCAGATCTCGAGACTGGATGGTAAGTTCAAAACCGACGGAAGATGAGCTGAGCTTTGAAATGGAGCTTGTAGGAACAAAGAGAAAAGAAGGAGGATGAAAATTCTAACAAGATAACATTTTAGGTCTCATGCTCTCTGCCTCTGTGGATGATGAACAGGTGTGTGTGTTATCCACATTCGCCAAAGCCCTGAATGCCGCAAATTGCCATTCACCCTCACAACACAACAACACATACATACTGTCCTATGTTTGGTCCTAAGTTGATAAATTTTAGGCAGAAGCGCAATTGGCCGAAGTGAAGGGCCAGGCCAAAATGATATTTCGTCGACTGAATAGCAATTCTGAACCAGAAGCTAGCATAGAGTCCGGACAGTACAACCTACAGTCAGTATATTGGCCACCCGTTTCCAACGCTTCACCCAGTACAATGCTCATGTTTTATGTTTTGACATTGCAGTTACATTATCAAGGATGATATTTGCTTTCTGTGCATTGCAGACCGATCATACCCCCGAAAGCTCGCATTCGCATATCTCGCCGATATCGCAAACGAATTCGTCAACATGTACCCTCCCTCCCAATACCTTTCCTCCAACCTCCGCCCATACGCATTTGTCGAGTTTGACAGCTACCTCCAGCGCAAAAAGAAGTCGTACCAGGATAGCCGGGCATCGGCAAACCTTGACAGATTGAACGATGAGCTCAAAGACGTGACCAAGGTGATGACAAAGAACATTGAAGATCTCCTCTACCGAGGCGATAGCCTCGAACGCATGGGAGAGATGTCGGGCCGGTTGAGAGAGGATAGCCGCAAATATCGTAAGGCTGCGGTCAGGATAAATTGGGAATTGTTAATAAAACAGGTAGGTCCCCGGACACAACCACTGAGTGGCCGAGAATCCTTGCTGACGATTTTCGCAGTATGGTCCCTTCGGCGCCGTTGGCTTGCTGGTCATTATTCTTCTCTGGTGGCGGTTTTTCTAGTGCAATAGTCTTTCCTTAATGATATACCCTTTAATGACATGCATATTTGATGGACGGATAAACGTTGTACTGCTCAGTAATCTGGCGGGTTTCCCAGGCATGGATTAGGGCTATAGCGAGGCATTTCTTAAGGACTGACTTATAAACAGGCGGTAGCTGCTCGAAGATTCCACTGGCCGTCGCCATATATATGCCATCGTCCATGCAGGAGGTTATTCGTGAAGCAATGTTTCTCGGTCCGGGGCTTCAGATTTCATCTTCTTCCTCGTCAAAATCATCCTCTTCTCCCATCTCGTATAGAATGCGCCCCCCTTCACCTGGGCCTTCACCCTTTTGCGCATCGAAATACGGGAGGACCACATTTTCTCTATCTCTGCGTTGTCGTTCCGTGAGCCCAAGCTCGAATGTTGACACCGGTTCTTCATCTCCCGTGGGCGGGCCAGGCTCTTCTTCCCGCTTGTAAAGCGGATGGTCGTCAAGCAGTATCGCCACCTCCCGTGCCTGTCCTTGAGAGTACTGCGATGCAGCAGGAAGAAAGTACCATTCAACAACTCCTCTGCCACTTTTTCGCCTGTGCTCCATCTCTAGTACAATGCCGTCATTTTTTCCGAGCCTTTTACCGGAGTCCTGTCGGCCAATAATAACGCCGTCCCTCTCTTCCTCAAGGCCAAACACTGGAGTAACCATACTCCTGTCGGCTGCAGCTTTCCGGGCCAGCACATGTGCTAGCGAGTGGACAGTGAAGATACTTGTTGCTAAGTATGTTAAGAGAGACAGCAGCGATGGTGAATAAGGAAGGGAGTTACGTGGAGCAGGCATATCTTGGTGGTAAACAACGATCAGGGAGATCTGCGTTCTTTTACTTGCAGCGCTGAGCATACTGCTCAGAAATTCGGCTACGTTTACCTCCTGGCCAGCACCTTTGCGGCATACTAGCGGATGAATAGAGTCGATGATCACAAGAGTTCCTGTTAGAAAGGTCAATACGTGGGTGGTGCTTGATATTCTCTAAATACTTAAGGGAGCCTTACTTTTATCGGGAAACTTATCATCCCGGGGCGGAAAGGATGCCACTACTTCCTTTGCTACCTCGTTCGGACTCTTCCTTGTGGCAGAAAGAAAGGAGTCCACCCCTTCAGGGCGTGTGAAAGTCTCAAAAGAGACAAAAGTTACTTGCGACTTGGATAGCTGCATTTGGGATTGCATTAGATAGGATCAACAATGAAGAAGCTCGGAAAAGCCCTAACAAGCTCGCTTTTACAGCAGAAAGCAAAAGGCAAGCAAAATGCATCAGAAGTAAGCACGTGCAAAGCCAAAGCAATGCAAGACCATTTCTGGCCCTAAGGGGAGATAAGGATACCGTAATAACGGAATAAGACGATACATACCCTTGCCCGTCGTATGTATTCCCTGAGTAATGGTGTGGCCGGCTGCTCCAACGAGTCCAGAAGCAGTGTCAATGGAGATGCTGTGTCTCGTTGATTCAAGAGCGAAGACAACAGCAGGAGATTATGCGTCCGGCGACGAGATATGCTATTCCCAGATGCCATCCTCCTATTTTATTTTCAGAAATAAATCGCAGACAGTGCAAAATGATATGGGAAAGCTGAGCTGCCTGAGTATCCGATCTGAAATTGACATTTTTCGAGGTTGATGTCAACCTCTCGCTGCGCGTTGTGGAGAAATTGTCCGCCGTAGTTCCCGCCAGTGTTTGAGCAACAGGCAAAGTGACTGTTAGTGAACAGCCAAAAGTTGCATATTCATGAATCTCTCCGCTCAGATAGTTTTCTTCTAGCATGCCTCATCTACAAACTGCATAATTAGTTTTAGCTGGCGGCCTCAATTTGGTTCCATTCTTCAATCTCCGCTATCACCCAAGATTTCTGGCATATCGAGCTGTTTTATCCAGCCGTAAGGCCATCCGACCTCCATCATGGCTGAGCCACCAGCCAAACGCGCCAGGCGCATGGACAGTTCAACGATGTGGGACATGAACGACAGACATTCAAAACAAACTACCTACGCAGCAGACGAAGTGGATGGCTCGGGAAGACGCGATCGAGATGAAACAAAGCGGCCTACGACATCATCACGAGCAGAGGGACGGCGGAGATCTCGATCGCGAGAAAGGGACGATAAAAGACGGGATCGCAGCAGATCGCGGGATCGATGGGCGAGAGATGGATACAGAGACGGGCGACGAGACGGTGATCGAGATATGCGCAGTGTAAGGGATAGGGATAGAAGCAGAAGTCGTGATCGGAGTCGTGACAAGGAGTATTCGCGACGAGGTCAGAAGAATTTCAAAAGCTTACACTTTATGTTGGAAAGGGGCGTTTATTAACATCTAGTAGATTATTATTCTAAATCTAGTCGATATCGCGACCGGCCCCGGACCAGATCAAGATCTCGATCTCGCTCACCAGCCCGCAATGGCGCAAAACTGCGAACAAGATCACCGCCACGTGGTCCACGATCCGATCGGAAAGATACTGGAAGGCGTAGCGTGCCTCCGGATGCTGATAGAGAACCCAACGGCTTGTCAGATCGGAAACGACAGTCTTCAAGACTTGGAGATGCCGTCAGGATGGATTTGGACGACGCTGCGGATGCCGATGATATGGAGCAGCTGATGATGAAGACAATGGGGTTCAAGTCTTTCCGGTCTACACAAAATACTAAGGTTCCTGGAAATCAGATCTATGGCGTTCGGAAGGAGAAGAAGACAGAGTATCGACAGTACATGAATCGTGTGGGAGGATTTAACAGGCCACTGAGTCCGTCGAGATGATACCTTTAGCCGGCAGTTTCGGATCTGTGGTTTCTTTTGCTTTTTGTTTCTAACTGCGTTGCATTCCTGAGCGACATTCGGCTGCTGTTTCCTCAATTGATTCAAACAAACGGAATTTTGTGCATCGATTCATATCCATTGTGGCTTAGGAAGATAAATGAGTTTTCAGGCCCATTCCACCCCTTGTTGCTCCATTTAACCATGGAGGACCCATTTTGAAATGGACACTTACAGTTAGTACACTGTTTCAACTTTTGTATGATATATCAGCTTGTTTAGAGGTGCCTTGAAACATTCATGCAAGCCCCTCATGCCAGACGCCCTCTCCGTTGAGATAGTAAGGAAAGACACAGGCTGCAATCGAAGGTTGCTGCAAGCGATGGTAGGTCATGAGTCAAAGATCGTGTTTCAGGATAGTCTTGGAACGATGCACATAAAACATACCTCCCTTTTTCTTTGCACTCCATCAACACCGTTGCTTCGGATGCTTCCGAACCATAACCATATTCGGGTAACTTCAAAAACAAATTTTAGCGACACATTGTGTTTACATGCTGAAGCCAGCGCCTGAATACGTGTGTTGAAGGCCCACTCTCGCCATGGACTCTTAAATCATAGCATGTATCCAGAAACCAGGGCAATAAGCGAGTGTTGAACGATTCAAATCAAGCAAGCAACAAGCTTTTGTTAGTGCATACACAAGCTTATATGGAGGGCGAAAATTCCCCTTCTCAGGGCCCCATGGAACGAGAATACGAAAAGCGCCCCATGTCTCGGTGTGATCGAGTGAGCGAGGGGTGGAATATCAGTGGTTTAAATTGAATTTCTCCACCAAATCCTTGTACACCTGATCGTTGTTTGACAAGCCAATCCTCCTTGAAACACACAAGACCCCCATGAAAATGCCAGCCAGAACTAGCTTCAATCTAAGTGGATTTGAGATGTTTGATATGAAATTGTAATGTGGACTTAGAGAGGTTTCTGCTATTATTTAGTGTTTTGAGGCTAAGCTCCAAAGTCATGCGGCATGCCATTTCCCAAACCCCGAAGATGCGCCGCAGTAGTACGGCTGGGGCGGGTCTCTTGTCTGCGGTGATAATGGTGAGACTTGTTTCATTTGTCCCTGCAAGCAAATCCGTCTGTATACTGCTGTATCCTGGGACTATGAGACTGTGAACCAGCAGCAGTGGAACAATTACAATTGCACTGACGTTCAAGTTTCAACGGCTTTCGCTGTTGTAACTCAGTCTAGTTCCGATGATATCAGGAGAGATAGGGATCTTTGAAGTATCGGCAGGAATCCCTCTGTCGGTAGAATCAATTCCGCTGAAGACCGCCATTGTGAACGATAGGTTATATGCGGGAAGAACATTCCGTTGATTGACGGGCGACTGTCCCCGGTCGTAAATCACGATCGGCTGGAAAGTGAGCCACCGCTCTCAGCCGGACAAGGAGAAACTCATGGGTTCGCCCGTTTAATACTCGGGTAGACCGCCAGATCTCGTGCTTGGAGCCGCATGATAAAGCGAAAGATAGCATTAAAAGATCCCAAATGCCTGACAATACCGATGGTGGGCTCGTTGGCGAACTTTGCCGGTGCAATCATCCCATCCGAAGAGGACCTATCGGATCAAAGACGCAAGTATGTTTGCCGAAGTTCTTATCCGCTGTAACTTAAAGCTAAAAGGATGTGTTCGCTTTACCCTTGGGTTCCTGGAGGGTAAGGTACGTTTGACGTTGCCTCCAGGGCGCCTCGTGGTAGTCCATAGAGGGACGGCGAGCGTTTCCATGCCAAACCCATTGTGGATTGCCGCAAAATTCTAGGCCTTCAAAGAGGGCATTGTACTCCATATGAGAGCTCGCCAACCCATAGCTCCTTAGAGTGGGAACAAGTATAAATAGAGCGCCCATTATGGAACAAATGCGTTGCAAAATTCAAGAAAATATGAATTCCAGGCAAATTCTCTTCCAATTATCCGGCGACTATAAATTTTGCAGGGGTGTAAGTCAGGAAAGACAAGGAGTTGATTGGACTCCTAGTTCAAGAATGATGCCAGTCCATCAGAAAATGCCGGTGTTATGGATCGCCGCAGCTTGCAGGGAGAGGAATTGCGAAAGAGGAAGGAAGTAAAAGTTGACGAAGAGATGCTGGCTGTGTTTGCAGATCTCAATTGAGGGCTCACCAAGGAGATGTCAATAAGCGATCCGTCCAGCCAGCAATCTCCCTGGGCTGTCAGAAAAGACCCGATGCTTCCATGGACGTTGATGGCGATAAGAGTTCTTTAACAGTTAACGAAATGATTCCCTGGCGACAACACAGACTCGGAAATTTCAACTCGTCACCACGGGCTTCTCGGCACGGCTTTCTCCTACACCCCTGTCGAACTGCCATCCGCCCTCGTAACATGTGTTCTCCGTCAAGTATGTGCCTGTCCTAGCTTCGATGCCCAAACTTCGGCGAGAAAGAGAGACATCACGCTGACTAACTAACTACTAGTTAACTACTGCTCACTTGGCATGTCACATGATACGTCCCTGAAATAAAGTTCGGTAACCTACTTAAAGGCTCTGCCGCCGCGGTGCTTCATCCAAATGTGGAGGCACAAACAGCGAGCCAGCAAGCTTGCCGTGAACACAACCTGCTGGACGCAAAGCCATCAAAGTTGTATGGATATACGGGTTAGTCCCGTACGGAGGACATGCATAGAATATAACACTGGTGGGCATTACCAGGTGATCGGCGATTATTTGCCCAATTCCGGAACAAGTGGTCAGCTCCGGCTCCATGCCGCTTAAGGCTTTTCTCGAAGACAACCCCTGAGGGGAACGTTGCATTCTACGAGGATCCTCCACACATCAAGGAGGACAAGCGCTGAGCTTGTTTTTTTGGCCATGTTTTCCGAAGAACAGCATTCGCATTCCATTCAATGACACTTGTTTCCCTCGGAAATCCTTCAATAGCCTCTCAATTGGGCTGTCCATGGCGTGAACCTTTCGTTCAGAACGCCGTGTCCCTTCCTTTCTTCTTTCTGCCTGTGCAGGGCAGTCAGGGATCACTCCGAATCTAGACTTTTGAGTGTTAGGGACGGACGTATGGATGTGCACAACGCTTTCATGGCATGTGCTTGGCCTATTATGCTACGTAGCTGAGTTGGTACCACTATATGAGGACCAAGGCATCCCCGCTATTACCTGTCACTTTTATGAATGAATATGACCTTCCCGATTCTTGCTTCCCGTGACCATTGAAGTACATACATTCCGTTCAGCCTTGCATTATGAGCATCCTTTTTAAACTTTTTGCCAGTACCCTGGCAGTGGTATCTGTTGTCAATGCGGGGGAGCTTCTCAACTTTGAGAATGAGAGGGACATCATCCGAGGCTCGTATATTGTGGTGATGAAAGATGGGACCTCATCGTCGGACTTGAAATCTCACATGAATTGGGCAGCCAACGTCCATCATGGAAATCTAGCAAAGCAAGGTCCAAGCCGCTCCACCGGATTCCAATTCAGCTTTGATATTGGTGGTTGGAGAGGTTACAGCGGAAAATTCGACAATGATACATTAGATGCGATTGTCAACAATGCTCATGTGAGTTGGGTGCTCTTTTCCCTTTCGTGGCTTCGTATTTCTTAAAAAGATCAACGTATCCAGGTCAAATATGTGGAGCCCGATCGTATGGCTAGCGCGACTGTCTTGAAAATCCAGAAGAACGCTCCATCTTGGGGACTTGGTAGGATTTCACATACATTCCGTGGCTTTAAAAACTACCTCTATCATAGTTCCGCCGGTGAGGGTGTATTGGCCTATGTAGTGGATACTGGCATTGACATTAACCATCCGGAGTTTGAGGGTCGGGCTGAATGGGGGATCAATGTCGTGGACGAAGTGGACACGGACGAGCACGGTCATGGAACCCATGTGGCTGGTACTATCGGCTCAAAGACATTTGGCGTCGCTAAGAAAGTGAAGCTCGTCGCAGTTAAAGCCTTAGGAAAGGATTCTAGGGGTCCTGACAGCGGGATCATCGCGGCCATGGACTGGGCTGTGAAGCATGCGAAGGAGAAGGGCATCCTTGGTAAAGCCATCATGAACCTGAGCTTGACAGGCGACACTGCGACTGCTTTGAACGAAGCCGCGGAAAGAGCTGTTGAAGCGGGTCTCTTTCTTGGAGTGGCCGCGGGGAATAACAATGTGCGTGAGAAGAATTGACTTTACCAACTTGGATCCTTCTCCCTCCACATGTCTTGAACAGGCGCGATGCTCACAGTCTCACCACAAACTTTTATAGCGCGACGCCATCAACGAGTCACCAGCATCCGTAGAGACTGTATGCACGGCCGGTGCGAGTGCCGAGAATGATGAAAAGGCCTCCTTCTCCAACTTTGGGTCTCTTCGTATGTCTTCCCTGTGGCTCTTTGCTTCTGACAGCCGGAGCTCTGCAAAAATGAATGCTAACCACAAATAATAATCAGTTGACATTTATGCTCCTGGAAACAAAATTATATCAACCTTGCCTGGTGGGGGTAATGGTACAATGTCAGGCACATCTATGGCTGCGCCTCACGTCTGTGGTGTCGCTGCTCTTCTCATGTCTTCTGAAGGTATCAAGGCGCAGGAGGCCTGCGATCGCATCAAAAAGTTGGCACGGCCAGCCATCAGGAATCCTGGGAACAGCACCACCAACAAGCTGCTCTACAACAAGAGCGGCTTCTAAAGACACAATTCGACTGCATATATGGATGGTACGAGGGAGGAAAAGTAGGGAAGAGAATATCAGCAGGCTTTGGGAAGGGGTCTGATCCCTGAGAGCCATATTTTTTCGAGTTGACCATAGAACATATGACCATAGAGGGCTGTTGCGGTGAGAACGCATAGGAAACAAAACAGGAAGTGATCGTAGCAGGCTTAATATCACTTGAGTGAGCAGGGCGATATCCTGTCTCCCCGCAGATATTTGCCCCCGAAATTGTAGCCCATCATCCCAACCGATTCAGCAAGTGAAACGTATGTATGTAGTTTGTTGTCACCTTCATTCGACCGACTCGTCATCCTGGGTGATCTGCTGTAAATTTTTGAGAATTTGTTTCTCGCACCGGATAATTTACAGACAATATTTCACATTCCTTGGAGATAATCGATCCTGCCAGCGGTTGAGATCCTGGGATAGATCAGATCCTTGCTCAATCGATGGGTTTATCGAAGTTCCTGACGGCCGACGCTCTGCCTTCCCGCACGATAGGGTGTCTGCTTGCATGCACATACATACATACATACATGCATTCTGCATTTGCAGTGACCTCTCCACTCGTTAGCGCTGGCCAGATAACTAACGCCGTGTAACGCAATCTGTGGGCGGCATGTTGGGCTCGCCGCGCAGCTCTCGGAACATCATCTGATGAAGACGCGATCAGCGAGATGATCCTCACGTTGGATGGTTGCGTCGGGCCGACATGGACCGATTACTAACATCGCTGTGGAGGGGAACTCCATCTGATCCAACCGACGATGATCATCAGGGACCATGTTCCTGGCCGATTTACCTAGGTTTTAACCAGGTCTGGCGAATCGTGGGATCTGACTGGCCTTCCCGCGCCCGCTAGCGACGCGACAGGCTGGGTCTTCAAGGCCATTTTAAGTTTTCGAAGGATGGGGGAATGGTCCTTCTCCAGATTAGACTAATTTTAGGGTTGCCCAACGACACAGCGACAATGTTGCTCGCGCGTCCTCGATCACCGGGGTGTGTCATCCCCAGAGTTAAGATCTGCAGAGGACAGAGGCTGCTCGATGAGCTATTAACGACGTTTCTGAAAAAAAAGAAAAGGAAAACGGGTTTCCTGTGTCCTCCAGCGAGCCATGCAGGTATTGCCGGCTCGGACATCGCGAGAGAAGGCCTCGCGCTTTCTCGTGCTCCCTTTGTCTTCTTGTTTCTCTCGTATCTCTATCGTCTACGAGACTTCGTTCATCCTTCGCTTCTTCCCCTCCCCACTGGATCTGATCTCGCCATTCTGCCAATTGAGAAGGTTACACCCGCCCTCCTTGGCTATGATTGGACCTTGCAACCTTTCCCCAGGAACAACCATGCTCACTCCACAATATATCCTTAATTCCCATGCCACAGGTTTCGTTTGCTGTTCCGGAAAAATCTAAGGCCTGCCCCGGCCATAGCCGGCTCTTGCTCACAGACAACGATCCCATGTATCCCTGACAGGGGGTGAAGGGGATACGGAAAGTCAAAGAGGTTTGACACGGAGTGAACGGAACGCAGCGCTGGGTCCCATGGGGGATACGTCATGTGGAATTTATGCGGGACACATGTTATGGGATACCAGCATGATGAAGAGGAGGAGTTACAAGGCTTTACTCCGAAATCTCGTAGGAGCCGGGGTGTGGGGAGGTTGTGGGCGTGGGAAGCACGTCGCATGCGATATAAATTCAAGGTGATTTCCGTGAAGACTTCGAGGAATCTGAGCTATAGTCTCGATCTCCCTAACCCCTCAGAGACTGGTCCCTATTGTTGTCTTTTTGGGTACATTTCGGGTTACAATCATGCACGGTCTTTTGCTCGCCGCCGGGCTTCTCAGCCTGCCCCTTCGCGCTCTTGGGCACCCAAACCCAAACCCGCAGATGCACACGCTCTCTCGCCGAGGCGCTGTTGACCTAGATGCTTTCCGCCTGGGCCAGAATGCCGAATACTCAAATACCGCGAGTGTAGCTTCGAACCCGCCCGCTTTGTCCATCAGGAGCACCCAGAGCTACGTGGATGTCGCCAAGGACCTTGTCAAGACCACTCTCCCAGACGCAACTTTCCGTGTTGTCGATGACCACTATGTTGGAACCAACGGCGTTGCCCATGTTCACCTCCGCCAGACTGTCCATGGCATCGACGTCGACAACGCTGACTTCAACGTTAACGTAAGCGAGCCAGCCTTTACAATTCCGCAATCAAGACTGACAATCAGTGATAGGTCAAAGACGGCAAGGTGTTCTCCTTCGGAAATTCCTTCTACAAGGGCAAGATCCCAGAGGAGAACCCAATGGTCAAGCGAGACCACGCCGACCCCGTTAAGGCATTGAAAGGAGTCGTCAGCGCCCTCAAGCTTCCCGTCAAGACTGAGAAGGCATCTGCCGCTATTTCAGCGCAGAGCCAAGGCCAAGACGCCGTTGTTTTCAAGGGAACCTCCGGAGCCCTTTCCGACCCCAAGGGTGAACTCGTCTACCTTATCAAGCCAGATGGAGAGCTTTCTTTGACCTGGAAAGTCGAAACCGACGTCGGTGACAACTGGCTCTTGTCCTACATTGATGCCAAGGATGGCAATAACATCCATGGTGTCGTCGACTACGTTGCTGATGCTACTTATCAAGTTTAGTATGTCTCTAAATTCCCACGTTCAAGTTTGCGGGTGAATAGCGAAGGCTAATGCATACATCAGTCCCTGGGGTATTAACGACCCTACTGACGGCGAGCGCGAAGTCCTCACTGACCCTTGGGATGGAAATGCATCTGAGTTCACCTGGATCAGTGACGGAAGAACCCGCTACCCAACCACCCGCGGCAACAACGGAATCGCCCAAGATAACCCAAGTGGTGGTAACCAATATGAAAACAACTACCGCCCAATGAGCGACGATCTCCGATTCGAGTACCCTTACTCCACTGACATGAGCCCTCCAGATTCTTACATTGATGCGTCCATTACCCAGCTGTTCTACACTTCAAACGTTTACCATGACCTCCTTTACATCCTCGGTTTCACCGAGAGAGCCGGAAACTTTGAGTTCAACAACAACAACCAGGGTGGCAGAGGAAATGACTACGTTATTTTGAATTCCCAGGATGGCTCTGGCACCAACAATGCCAACTTTGCCACTCCCCCTGATGGCCAACCCGGTCGCATGCGCATGTACACCTGGACCACCTCCCGACCTAACCGAGACGGCAGCTTTGAGGCAGGTATTGTCATCCACGAATACACTCACGGCCGTAAGTACATCCCTGAACATACCGTTTCGGACCAAACTTATACTGTTTCTAGTTTCCAACCGTCTCTGCGGTGGACCTTCCAACTCTCGCTGCTTGAACGCTCTCGAATCCGGCGGTATGGGTGAAGGTTGGGGAGACTTCATGGCCACTGCCATCCGCTTGAAGGCCGGTGACACACGCGAGACTGACTACACCATGGGTGAATGGGCTGCCAACGAACAGGGTGGCATTCGTCAACACCCCTACTCCACCAACCTCCAGACCAACCCTCTTGTCTACACCACCGTCAACCAATACAGAGAAGTTCACGACATTGGTACTGTCTGGGCTAGTATGCTCTATGAAGTCCTCTGGAACCTCATTGATAAGCACGGCAAGAACGACGGCCCCAAGCCTGAGTTGCGCGATGGCGTCCCAACTGACGGCAAATACCTTGCCATGAAGCTCGTTATCGACGGCATGGCCCTGTACGTTGAAGACCCTCATATCCCCCTCCTCCCACATTCGCGGTAACTAACATCAGCTGCGTGTAGGCAACCATGCAACCCCAACTTCGTCCAGGCCCGTGATGCGATCCTCGATGCCGACGAGGCTCTTACCGGCGGTGAGAACAAGTGTGAAATCTGGGCCGGATTCGCCAAGCGTGAATTGGGAACTGGCGCTCGTTATGACAGGAGCAGACGCACTGGAAGCACCGACGTTCCACAGGAATGTCAATAAAATAAGAGCTTTTGTTTCTTTGTATATACTTAGCTATCTAACTGGAGATTGTGTACCGTTGCAGCCAACGGACATTCCAGTTTTTGGAATTTTATTTCTAATTCCTTCACTTTCTTCTCTGACTCTCCCTCGGAGAGCTTTATCCAGAGTAGAGCGATAGAAACGATTGGATATTCAAGGTCTCAACATGGTGGAAGTACTCGTGCTCGCCTTTAGTGTGTGTAACATACGGAGTTCTATGAATCGGCTGGTTAAAGACGTACATGTGTAGGCTAGCTTAACGAGAGTGTCAATAATTCTCTCCATTGCTGATTCCAAAATGTGCTTCAAGCTGCCAAGGCTCTTCTCCGTGTATGTATATACCGTACGGAGTACATATATTCGAATTATTTTCGCAAGCTAGCCATAGAGTGCGACCGCCTTTCTGAGAAGAAGCGGCAACAAAAATTCGATGCTTGGTGGAAACTCTCCCTCGACAAAGCTCCAGAATTGTATTCTACGCAGATTGCTCTGGAAAATCGACCTGGGAATCATCCTGCCCTCAATATTTGATACGAGGTCAAATCACTATCAAACGAGTTGGAACCCGGGAAATTCGCAATGAGAGGAGACGAAACAATGTATACGCGCAAAGTCAGTAGCGAAGAATGGAGCCATACCTGCTAGCAGATCAGCCTGCGCGGACTTTGCTGTTTCTCCTCCTCAGCCTCATTCGCGACGAGCAGGATGGAGGTGTACTAGGTCTAAGGCGATCATACCTACATGTACTAGAGTCATGGAGAGAATGTCAAACCTCTTGACGTCGACTACTTTCCATGATGTATATCAGCTTGCGCGTCTCGCGATCGGCAGAAGTCTGAACGCGTTGCGTACTGGGCAAATCATGAGCCGCATCCTCGTGCCGAAACTCATGCGCAGATGCAAGAAACGTGTCAGTCGTGGTGTCTGAGGGTGATTCGGCGGCTTACTGACAAATGAATTGCTGAAAAGAGATGCAAGGATGGTTTGCGCCGTTTGATAGACTCACATATCTTGTTTGAGCTTTCAAGCCATGGAACAGATGCACATGCATGAAAGGTAATTTCATAGTTAAACCAGGGGGTTCAGATACAGCAAGTTTCGAGAGGGCGAGGCGAAGGCTTTGGACGTGATGCCACTGAGGTAGATGGCGAAAGGATAAGCCTGAAGAAGCGAGGGAATATAAAACGTAGCCAGTTCAACTGGGAATTTTGGTAGTGCATTGTTAGTGACACCGGTACAAGATGCTGTAAACGCAAGCTGTTGATGGAGATGCTAGAATTTGGGTAAGGACGGGAGGATCACAAGGGTTGAAGTGCAGATGACCATTGATAGACTTATTCCTTTTGAATGTCAGCTGAATTGCCTCGAAAAAGGATCGGAGGAGCAAAGCGCATATTTCCTAACTCGGACAAACCAGCTATGTGGCCCTTTGGTTCTGAGAACGTTTACACTGAAAGATAGTATAACTAGGTTGCTGGTATGTAGTATGTATGCATTTTTCGGCTGACAGAGTCAACCTCAGGCTTTCTACTCTGTACTTGCTAAGCTTCCATAACTCACTTTTGATAAAATAGCAAGAGTTTTGCATGGCCGACAAACAATATTGTGGTTGACAATAAACACCCTTGGTAGGTAAAAGGCGCATTCCCATACAATTACCACACTCCTCCATGGAGGAAAAATTTAGAAATACAACTGCGCGCTATGGCCATAAATCGATGGCCTCAGGCATGGAAAGAAAGCGTGTAATTTCTAAACATCTAGAGCCCATATTTGAGACGATGACCCTTCGCATATCCGCCCTCGATGTCCCGACTGAATGTGCTGAAATACCATGGAGGCGCACAAAGGCTTAGTCGCCTAATCCGAAAGAACACTTAAGGCCACAGTGATCGCTCCACTTGTGCTCCCGTTCTTCAGGTCGGTTCTCGGCTGCATATGCGTATGTGCAAGTTCCTGGTGGTATCACCTCGATTTCGTGGGTTTTCAATCCGAGTTTGGCAACCTTGTCGAGCCGGTTCGCCGGGTATGCCTGCTTACCGTCGATACCCCAGGTGAAACCAGGGTCATTAGGGCGGAGTTCGGTCCACACGTCCACAAGGTTGTTTTCATTAATGAGCGAGTCATCTTCTGGAAGCACCGGGTTGAAGTCACCAGCCACAAGACCACGGCCGGCTGCGCGAAGGTAAGAGGCAATGATGGATAGCTGGCGAGGCCGATAGGAAGGCTGAATCGCGAGGGAGTCGAGGTGAACGTTGACGAGACGAATGCGAGCATGGGATCCGGGAACCGACTTCTTACATTCGCTCGGGGTGCAAATTGGCAAGAAGATGTCACAGCAAAGAGCGTCCCTCCCAAAATGGCTGGGAAAAGGGACTCTCCAAACCGCACTAAGCGCTGCCCTCTCAGGAGTACATTTTAGGCCGTGGAAGCGTGATTTCGAGAGGAGTGTCATCGTCGAGATAGACTGGTGACCCCAGCTGGTCGCGTCAGCTTCGCTAGAATACCATTGCTCACGAACCCAGGGCATCGCTAATAGAACTGAAAGAGTAGTCCGAGTGACCTCCTGGAGGAATATAACATCCATGACCGGACGCATATCCCGAATATGCGTGACAATGGCGGACGTACGGATGTCTGGAGCCAGGTCTGTGCCATTGATATTCCAAGTAACAAGCGCCAGAGGGATATCTTGAGCTGACTGGGTCGAGTACGATCCGGCAGTGCTCTTCTTAGCGCTCAGCTGGATCCATCGGCTGGAAGATGAGTCGAATTCATGCCAGGACTGAAAAATCACTGCGGTATCTTTTTCATCCAACTTCGGCAAGGGAGTGTTGTGACGCCACCCCATGAATCGTGCTTGAAGGCGCGAGCGAAGGCCCATCTCTATCAATCGAAAGTTAGCTTTATGATCAATGAGCTAACCACCCATGTGGACTGCAGAGCATTTGCAATGTTGACGTTGCTGAGATATTTGGCGCCTGGGGCGCGTCAGGAACGACTGGCTGCGAAGCTGGCGCGAACAAGAGCTGATGGGAGGAGTGTTTAACTATGCACCATGCGACATCACAGTCCATCCCAGCAGTGAGTCAACCAACTAACTAGTTAACTAGTTAGCTATTAAGAGATGAATAAGTCTTGCTCTCTCACTACAATTATGAAAGAATATTTTACCGTGTAACAGAAGAGCTCCCTTGTTCACCACAGGTTCCTTTCTATTATTATTTCTTCTTGAGCTCAGCCTGTCCACTCCTGATCTGGGGGAAAGTGGGCCAGGGCAAGATACATAGCCGGTACTTGGCGTCCAGGTCGGTCACCCACAACCCTTGTGGGCTTGTCAGCCTGCCAGCCAGCTGTTATCAGGCTCATTTTGTGATCTACTGCTCTTTTCATCATCATTATTTCATTTGCTAAGCTGATTCCACTGACTCAAGAAGCCCTGGGGTTTTCTTCTACATATTGAGCTCCCACTGCATCCTCTCTTAGCCCTGAAAATTCTGCTCGAGATAAAAACATTTGCGAAGGTTCTCTTAGAACTCGGAATTGAGATTCTGGCCTCTGTGGGTCGTCAGAGAGACGGCTCACCTGGCATTTTCTCGCGGGATCATAGTCGGGCCGAGAGTTTCACGTGAAGCAGCCCCTTTCGTGGGCGTCCTGCTGCTTCCTGGCTATTCTCTGCGTGATATGTTCGTTTCGAGCAGCCGAACGACAAGCGCACTTTGCTGCAGATGGCATCAAAGCCCTCAGCGAAACACGATCATCAATGCGTGTTCTCGGCCAATTGAGATGGTTGAGCCTCCATACTGGTTGACGAACAAGAGTGTTGATGAGATGCTCTCGGAGGAATATGATCCACTGCGGAAAGAATTTATGGCTGCTCTCGCGGAGGAAGAAATAAAGGTACTGAAGTACATTACGGGAGTGGATTCTAATATGCCACGCTTGTCTGAGGTCATGGAACAGGCATGGACTATGGGAACATTCTGGTATACTCTGGCATTATCCAGTCCTACTGGCCTCTTCGGATTGTTCTATCAGCATATCCAACCATTATTATCAGGAGGGGAATCTGAGGAATTTGGCGAGGTCATGCCCTTCTTCTGGGTAAAGAATGTGGGTGAATTTGTTGCCCGAAAACTTTCTGACAAGAAACAGTGTGATGCTGATCTTCAGCTGGCGTTCACTGAGAGCAAACAATCATGAATTAAATACATTGCACATGGACACATTTGCGGCGATAAGCTTACTCTGCTATTTCACAACATTGTCCTTTTCTGGGCTACTTTTCAGTGACTTGCTTGATTTTCAGACTGAGTCCTACTGCTTTCCCCCCTTAAATGCCTTTCCCACGGCTTCACTCACGGCCTGGAACCCCTTTTGAGCCTGGTTGTCTTCTCGCTTTTTCTGGGTAGCCCTGCCCGAGGAAGTAAGTTGAAGAGATTTGACATCTGCTTTCACTCCCACCATGGCTTCCTTGATTTTGTCAGAATCTTATCTGTCGGGCATTCCGAAGCTTATCGTTCTTTCTTTAGATCTGAGATAATTATGTTCAGAAATACGAGGTAGACAGTCCACTTTTCCTTGTGAGCAGTGAGTAGTGCAAACACCGCATCAGGATGCAGGTTTGGCTTCAAGCTTTCGCTAGTTAGCGGCCGCCCCGCCAATGACGTCCGCTCCCACACCCCGCCCGAACCAGGCGTGTCCCAGTCCCGAGCGCCAGTGAACGGGGTGCTGCCCACTCTTCCTGCTATACGGCTGCTTGCCCATCGATACATTGATTCTATGAACTGGACTGGCCTTGAACCAAGCTAGACGCTAGCATCGGCTTCAATTACTTAGGTTGTCAAAGGATGGAGCGAACCATTGTTGTTGTCGGTAAATTTGCACCCCGCGCAAAGAGACGAACTAGGCCCGCTGGCTGACATCTGGCTGAAAATCTCAACAGGCGGCGGCATTATAGGATCCTGCATAGCCTACTTTCTGACAAGACACCCATCGTATGACAGCTCAAGACACAAGGTCATAATTCTCGAGGCGACGGAAATCGCCGGCGGTGCGTCGGGCAAGGCTGGAGGCTTACTTGCGCTCTGGGCATACCCGAGCAATATCGTCCCCTTAAGTTTCCGCCTCCATGCTCAGCTGGCGGAAGAACATAACGGAAAAGAAAAATGGGGTTACAGAAAGGTCAATTGCGGGCAATTGATGGCGCATGTGCTACCCAAAAGGACAAGCAGCACGGAAAGCTCAAACAAGAGCAGCACCAAACAGGCTGTTTCGCTGGAGAAACGGATTGAAGAGGCGATAGCCTTGTTAAGGGCGGCAGGTGTGCCTTCGGACCTTGACTGGTTTGATCCGCTTACATTGTCGGGATATGAAGAGATGGGCGATCCGGGCACCACCGCGCAAGTTCACCCATATTTGTTCACCACCTCGATGGCAAAACTGGCCGAAGAGAAAGGCGCCAATGTAATTTTTGGTTTGGTCACGGAGATTGAGCAAGTAGAAAATGGAGCCAGCACTGTAAAATATACAGAGAAAGAGACCGGTGAGTCCAAGTCGATTTCCGCCACCGATGTTGTCATCTCCGCGGGACCCTGGACCAGGTCAATCTTTCCACGGGTGCCGATCACGGCTCTCCGTGCGCACAGCGTCGTTATCCGCCCTACACGGCCGGTATCTCCCTACGCCATATTTAGCAGCATCACGCTTGCCGCAGACTCCGCCTCGGGCCGGCCGAGCCAAACATCATCCGCACCTGAGATCTATGCCAGACCTGACAATACCGTATACGCCTGCGGTGAAGGCGACAGATCAGTTCCACTCCCCTCAACAACTGCAGAGGTGGAGGTAGACGACTCCAGATGCCAAACCATCATCAACTCTGTCAGCGTCATATCGCCGGAACTACGAGATGGAGAGGTTCTGGCTCGTCAGGCGTGTTATCTGCCGAACGTCGCGGCGAAGGGGATAGGTCCGCTCATAGGTCCAACTGACATCAAGGGCGTCTATCTCGCGGCTGGCCATACTTGCTGGGGCATCCAAAACGCCCCGGGAACAGGGAAGGTGATGAGTGAGATGATTTTCGATGGGGAAGCGAAGAGCGCGCATATTTCGAGCTTAGATCCACGTAAAATTTTGTGAATAATTTTTTGGTAGTACCTGTAATAATAGTTATTGCCAGCTCTGGACTTAATATTCATGAGAGCGGGAGTGCTGTGGAATTTGTTCTTGTTGATTTATGTATCTTGTGGAAACATTACGTAGCACGGCCAGGAGAGAGAAGCTCGGCCGGAAATGAAATGTAGCATCATCGCAGCTTGGAACGAACTGGCTGCCCCAGCTCCTTTTGACGTTTCACCTCTCCCGATTCACAATTTAAATAAAACTAAATAGATATAATACTCATGTGCAGTCCGATTTGCCTCTTGATGTTCGAATTCGAAAAATGAGAGGTGTTTCCCAGTCGCTGTGGATCAGCGCTCTGGCTATCCTCAGCATCAACGACAGTGTAAACGCCCACGCCAAATGCACGACGCTCGAGCCGCCGACGCTGAACGATGGAACTCATCAGGATTCGAATGAATCATTGCTATGGGGCCCTTATAGGCCCAATCTTTACTTTGGCGTCCGCCCGCGGGTGCCGAAGAGTCTGTTGATGGGGCTGATGTGGGCAAAGGTGGATGAATATAGCAGCGCGCAGGGGAGTAAGTAGGTCAATTTCTCTCTTCCTTATTTCCTTTTTTTTGGCTTTCCTTCATTTGGTGGTGATGAATTGATTCTAAGCTCTTAAAAATTTCAGACTTTAGACACACCTGCGAGCAAAACGAGGGCATGGCAGGTTACGGCTGGGACGAATACGACATCCGAAAGGGAGGCCGACAGACCATCCACGATGCGGGAAACACGCTTGATCTCACCATTGACTTTATAAAAGTACCGGGTGGAAGCCATGGTGGAAGTTGGGGGGCGCGTATTAAGGGTCAACCGCGCCCTGATGCTCCGCCAGATCAACCGACAACCATGATATTTTACGCGGCAATGGAGGGATTAGGCAAGCTGGGAGTGGCGAATGAAGGAGATCCGCTTGGATTTAAGGATAACGTGAAGCTGTCTGGGAGTACAATGGAGCTTGGGGAATTTACCATTGATATCACGCGAGGCCCGGATACCAACAGTCATCCGCCAAATACGCATCCCAGTCATGATGTGAAGCCTCTGGATAGGAGCTTTGTGGCGAGTCTTCAACTTCAGCCGGATTTATTATGGCAAGCGAAAAGTACCTTTTCCCCCTGGCTATTCTACTCTATCGGGAATACAGCTTCTAATTCTGAGCAGGTATCCTTTTTGCTCACATGAAGCAGGAAGTCGATCCGTTGATTCGGAAATACGGAACCGAGAATCCTCCTCCTCCAAGTCGCTACTTTACTATTGCCAATGGCCCGGGACACGGAAACTTTCATATGGTACAAAAGGTCTTCCAGGGAGCGTTTGAGGTAGGTGTCAGCCCGCAACGTTCAACGTTGGTATTTGACTAACGTTGGAAAGTTTGATATCCTCTTGTCATCTGGTTCTGCCGGCCAACCTTTGACATGTAAGTGCTTCCTAGCGATCATAACTTTGTTCTTGTCCAGGATTGATGATTTCCTCCAGCCGATGTCCTCAGCAAGGAAATCAAAACCACTGCTCAGGCGTTCGAGGATAAATTTAAGGAGATATACTCCCCTATGAAACCGTTTGACTCTCCCAAGTATTTACCTTTTTCAAAGGCGATGCTCTCCAACCTGGTTGGCGGGATAGGATACTTTTATGGAGACTCGATCGTTGACCGGTCCAATGCCCCAGAGTACGATGAGGAAGACGAAGGGTTCTGGGAAGGGACGGCTGAAGCGAGAGCGCGAGCAAAACTTTTGCCAAGCGATCCTGCTGAACTTTTTACGAGTATTCCATCACGACCATTCTTCCCTCGCGGGTTCCTTTGGGATGAAGGTTTCCACCTGATGCCGATTGTTGACTGGGATCTTGATCTCGGGTTAGTCTGTTAACCAAGTTGACTTGGAGGAGTTATGCTAACCTGAGTGTTTAGCTTGCAAATTGTAAAGAGCTGGTTTAACCTTATGGACGACGATGGCTGGATTGCTCGTGAGCAAATTCTAGGGCCCGAAGCTCGTTCTAAGGTCCCCCCGGAGTTCCAAGTCCAGTATCCCCATTATGCCAATCCCCCAACGTTGTTCATGATTCTAGAGGACTTGGTGGACAAAATGGAGGCTGGAATTTCCACATCGGGTTCTGATGCTGCTTCAGGAATATGCTCAAAGGATTTAGAAGCTGCCAAAGCATACTTGCGATCCCTATACCCTCTGCTCAAACGGCAATACTTTTGGTTTCGAAAAACGCAGTGGGGAGATATCAAGTCTTATGACCGTGAAGCATTCTCGACAAAAGAAGCATATCGCTGGAGAGGTCGGACAGTTGAGCTTGTTCTCACTTCGGGGCTTGATGACTACCCACGAGCACAACCTCCGCATCCGGGAGAGCTTCATGTCGATTTGATAAGTTGGATGGGCTTGATGACTCGATCTCTGCGACGCATTGCCGGGGCATTGGGCGAAACCGAAGACGTGGATGAGTTCGGCAAATACGAGAACGCTATTAAGAGAAACATTGACGACCTCCATTGGGACGAAGCCAAGAAGACATACTGTGACGCCACAATTGACGAGTTTGAGGAGAGCGTGCATGTATGTCATAAGGGCTACATATCTCTGTTCCCATTTTTGACGAGAATGCTGGAGCCTGATAGTCCTCGCCTTGGACATATTCTGGATCTTATCAGCGATCCAGAGGAGCTATGGAGTGAATATGGCATTCGTAGCCTGAGCAAGAAGGATGAGCTCTACGGAACTGGTGAAAATTACTGGAAAAGCCCGATTTGGATAAACATCAACTACTTGATTTTGAAGAACCTTTTGGTAAGTGTCTTTGACTCGTGTTCACGTAGTGATACTAATCTTCGTGATACAGGACCTTGCAACTGCCCCGGGCCCCTACCAGAAGCAAGCCAGTGAGATGTATACTAAATTACGGAAGAATGTGGTGGATAATGTGTTCAATGAGTGGAAACGAACCGGATTTGCGTGGGAGCAATATAACCCGGAAACCGGCCACGGCCAGCGGACGCAGCACTTCACCGGGTGGACCAGTCTGGTGGTGAAGATGATGGCCATGCCTGATCTTTCTGCAGGTTCTACTGAGGCAGTGCGTGATGAATTGTAAAGGCGCTTTTCATATTGTTCTGAAAATAGATGTTTAGTTAAAGGCCCTTTTTAAATTCTAGACCGGTCGTAATAAAATGGGTATCTCTCAATCCTGTATTGCCAGAAATGCTCCCTCCATCCCTTTGTTTTTTTGTGGTTTTCCCAAATACTTGCGCCAATGCCATATTCAACGCCGCGTCCTTGATTCCAAATTGATCTAGTTTCAATTCCGTGATTTATGCTAGTTAGCGACGTCGCCTGTAACCATTGTCGTCTGCTCGACGGCGATCGTGTTCGCGATTTTCGGGAGAACGGCTGCGTTCGCGACGAGAGCGCCTATAGTCTTCCCTGCGACGCCTGTCCCTGTCCCGAGAGCGCGAACGTCTTCGCTCACGCGCATGAGTTGGGGATCGGGGCCGATACCTGCGACGTTCGTGGCGGTCATGGTCGTTTTCATACCGGTGGCTGCGTTCTTTTCGATCATGGAAGCGACCTCTCTCTCGGCTGCGGTCACGCGGGCGATCTCGCCTCCTGTTGATTTCAACGTCGTCGCTTCGTTTTTCGCGTGGTTCCTTGCGCTTGGTATCATTGGACATTCCGACAGCTTCTAGTCTGTCTGCGTTGGCATCATCACCTGCGTGCTTTAAGCCGTTATAACCGCCGAAACCGATGCCTTTGGGAAGTTCCGCCTCGGTCTCATTTGCATCGCCAGTAGATTCCTTGATGAGCTTCTCAACATCCCTGCCTGAGACGGCGGTGGCGTTGGCACCAGTAGCAGATTTTGGAGCAACGGGCAGGCCCAAAGCTCGAGCCATAGCCTCTTGTTCGGCTTCCTTGATTCTCTGCAGCTCGGCTTCTTTCTCATTTTTTACAGCGTCGGCTGAATCTTCATCATTGTGTTTGGCGTACCAGGAGAGGTCGCGACCTTGCTGCCAGCGTCCCACAGGAGCCATGAGGGAGTGGCCAAGATAATTCTCGCGGTGAGAGGAGTCCTTGACATCAGACCATTTAAAGGCGTCGCGGCCGCCGCTGTGAAGGAAATGGGCGTTAGCATGATAAAGAGTGAGCCAGGACGAGATGCATGAATGCTGCTTACCGACTACCTTCCTTGCGGACGCTAGCCACCAGATCCATCTTGCTGGGCAGTGGTAAATTGTTCTTCCTTTCACTTGAGCTGGACTCTCCTTTAAGTGAGTGAAGTGATGTAGGCACTGGTGAGAAACATGCAAGCTGCCTTTATGCCGGCTAGCCAATGCCAATCACGTGGGCGCTAAGTTTAGCGCAGTGATTAGCGCCATTTGGCCCGTGCGCTCCGGGGAAGCTTGAAATTGAGTTCACGCCTTCAACCGTCATGCATCATCATCATCATCCAACCTTGCGGAAGGCGAACGATGTGAGCAAAAGACAGCCCAAGAGGATGCTATAAAAGACACATTAAAAGCTCCCTGGGAGAAGCCAATCTTTTGGATATATGATGGTGACTCAGCACTCAGGTGATTTCTGGTTTTGGTCAAGTGCGATTCTCGGCGGAATCAGGAACTTAACCTGAGTTCCTTTTGGGATGTCCATCCCACAAATGTCTTGTCTTCTCTCTTTGCCAGACAAATCTCATTTCGCTCAGCATAGCGCTCACATACAGCGAGATATCATACAGGCTTAGCTCTTTTTGTTGCTCCCAGTGATACTTTGGTTTACCATCTGATACCATGGAGCCCTTCTCTTTAAGATCCAAGTACCAGGAGGTCTTTGTCAATGATAACAGGCAAGACCAGAAGATTGTCGTCGAGGAGCATGGAGTGGAGCCTGGATCCCGTAGAGTACATATGCCTCACTCGTTAACCGTTGAGATTAGTAGATTCTGACTGACTGTCCGCAGTTCCCAAAGTATGTCTGTCAAAATACTGTCGGGAGATGGTTCCTCAATTGATGGCTGACTCTCCTTATAGCAAGAGGGAAATCCCCGCACCTCAGCCGGCTACTTGGAGAAATAACCTTGTAAGTAGACCCGTGTGTCAGTAGCAGCTTATCACTCACAGTGGGATTGCTAGACGGCATTGTCACAGCATCGCAACCTCTACTTTGTTGCGTTCATGCATGAAATTTATGTCTACCAACCGACTATCCACTCTGTTGGCGTTACGCCCAAGCTGATTCTCACCCCTTTACTCGCAAACCCTTCGGCTGCTGGGTATATCTCTCAATCTCGTCCTCATTCTATCAACCATATTGTGGTTGGCGATTTGGGGAACGAGGAGATTCTACTCCTTTCAACGGACTCTGGAAACGTATCTGCTTATAGAACAGAGCGTATCTTATCTGCTATTGAGCAAACCAAGGGCAAAGAGCGCCAGAAGCCGACGGACCTCGGTGCCTCCGTACCGTGCTTCTTTACTGACTGGGTCAGGCAAAGCGCTTGGGGTTTAGCTATCCATAAATTTGCTCGCCTTATTGCAGTCAGCGCAAACACTTCTGAAATCACTGTCTGGGCCTTTGCCCTGGTCGACCAGGATGTGAAGGGCCATAAAGAACCAGAATCGGGCAAGCAGTCCTGTACAACTGACTGGGCAAGAGTTATATCACCTGCGCAGTTCGAAAAGCTTTGCCGGCTACCTCCGCAGCATCGTCGCTCCCGTAATCTCCGCATTACCTTGTGTGGGCATCCCAATAACATTCCATGCGTTGATTTCTTAAATTGTGAGCTAGATCCTCACGGGGAATGGCTTCTTAGCACGGATATCTCGAATAGACTTTTGGGATGGAGGATCTGGGAGAGTCCAATTCCCGTTACTGGATGGAACTTAAATGCGATATGGCGCAGTCAAGGCCAGGATTATATCGCTGATTCGTAAGTGAATAGCTCCTCTATTTCGAAAATTGGGTTGACCGGTCTTGTCTAGCTATGAGCGCGGATGGGGCGTGCTTGCACTTGACCCAAGATCTTTTCGACTGAAGTCTTCCGTTGAGGAAGCCTGTGGTGGCCGGCCGTTCGTGCAAAATAGGGGTGACACTTATGATATAACTTCGCTCATAGACCATGTTCCTCGTGCCTCGACGCGGTACACAGTCCTTCCGCTGGAACATCGCAATGGTTCACAGCCTCAAAATATCGGGAATGGACCTGCTCCTGAATCTAATCTTCCTGTGGACCCAGATGACGATCTTAATTTAGACGAAGGATTTAATCAATTGGGTCAGATTCAAGAGTCACTGGACGTGGTTGTTGCAGCTAATGAGGCCGACAGCGGAAGCGATAGCGAAGAACCTTCTACTCTAAACACCCAAACTGGCATGCAATACCCCCCGGTCTTAGTGGCATCCCAGGGAACTTGGAATGAGCCGGAGGAGTCGCTCATACCTACTGAAGAAATAGACGGACAACTTCAAGGGACCCCGGATATGGTAATAACCGAGGTGCCAGATATCTATGGATGGGATGATTCCAACGAAGTAGATGATGATATGGATGAAGGTGAAGAGCAAACGGCGGATGAAGATGCCAACGCTTATTTAGTTGATGCTCTGCTTGAGAGTCTATATGGCCCGACGGATACTTCCTCACAGGCTTCTGATTCCGCTCTTGAAGATTCCATTGATCATGCGAGAGCAAAGCCGGAGGCCTACGTTGAGTTCCCAATCCTTCACTTCTCCGAATCTGACATTCGTATGCTCTCGGGTCCATATAGCGAAAAAGCCAGTGTTGTATGTCGCATGGCCCTCAGACAAATGATTCCAGAACTGGCCCCAGCGATTACAAACCGCGATCGTCTCAACATGGTTCACCAAATTCCCGAGTTGGGGGTCGTTGTCGCAGCTTCACAGAAGGGCCGCGTTGCAATTATCTCGCTGACAGAAGTACTCAATGTGGGTAGATTTATGAGAATCGATCACATTGTTCCGTTTGAAAGTCAGGAGCAGCTCGGAATGAGACCACTGGTCCCGTTGGTCGGAATAGCAGTCGGACCGGTGGAAAGTAACCTAGTCCCCGTTGAGGGGGAATCATCCGACGACGAATTCGATGGATCTTTCGCCGAAGACGTCGAAGGAATGGATGATCCTATGGACGGGAAGAAGCCGGTGCGTGGTTATGAGCGTATCAGACGGCCTCCAGGCTTAAGAATGCGGACACCTCGCGAACCGTGGCATGGCTCCCAATATTCACGCAAGTATCGGCTGATTTTGATGTACTTGGATCATACTGTGCTTCGCTACGAGCTCTTTTACGATTGGCCCAATGGTGTGCTTGGAGGTAAGCAGCAAGATCGTGGGTCGTTTACTCTGGCTCCTTGGACCTAGCCAAGGAAAAGGATCAGGCATATCCAAGCATCTAAGAGGTCCCGTGGTAAAAGCTGATTTAAAGAGTTGCCAGGGGGGAATGGAAAAGGGAGCCTAATCCTTGTGATCCGGCCCGATTTATGCTTAAATATAAGACGGCGTATGTAAACTTGATGAACTGGGACCTTTAAAGGGCATATAGAGCGGAGATTATAAGGATGTATTCGGCTGAATACGCGCGACAGTAGTTAAGGCTGTCTAAGGGTGCCTACGCATGGCCTTGAATAAGCATGTGGATTGGAAAATTCGCTATGGACGACCATAATGTATGTATGTACAACAAGTTTAATATGCAGAGGATATGCGCTGGTCATAATGAAGTTATTGGCAAAAGCAAGGAAACACAATCATTTGCGCGCTAGTTTTCCATTCTGTCGTTAGACATCGAGATGCGTCTATTTAGTATAGCAACATCAAAGTTGAAGAAAGTGAATATCGGAAATGTAGATAAAAATGCTTGAAAAAGAAGGATCTATTAAAAATCCTCGTCTAACTCATCGCTATCCCATTCGTCTTCTTGATCATGCTGGACCAAGTATAAAAATCGCTGAAGTCCGCGTCTCTGGCCTAGGTCTGCCGCAGGAGGTTGCTGACGTTGCTGGCGTTGACCCTGGTCTTGGACCTGGGCATGATTCTGAGCGGGAGGGGGGACCCCGATGTCGTTCTGGGTTTGGCCTGCGGGACGGGGTTCTCTCTGGTCGATTTCTATGCGCTGGGGCGGTTGCTCTTGTTGCTGTTGTCGTGGCGGTGGAGGGATTGCTCGCGGTGGTCCTGGGTGTGGAGGGTCGGGAGCGGCGGGGGGAGGTCGATGGTGGTTGGCATCATTTAAAGCCAAGGCGAACTGCCATGCGCCATGTTCTTCGTCTTCTTCGTCATCCGGTTCTTCAGCCCAGAAGGGATCCGCTAGCTGCTCCTGGGCCGGATCGCCGGTTCCATCTCCTCTCTCGAGTTCCCATAATTTCATGTAGCATGAACTGCTTCGCTCGTTGAAGTGCTGATATGGGTTGGCGGCGAATAGCCAGGAGGAACATAGATAGCAGAAGTGTGTCTTGCATCGGGAGCAGATCATGTGGTTGCAGCCCATAGCCTTTTGGCAGCGAAAGTCGCAAGTTGGACATCGTGTGGTGTAGAGTTGCATATAATCCTCGGTAGCCTTCTCTTCCGCTGTAAGCTCCGCAGCGCGTCTAGGGTAACAAAATACGCTAGGACCATGCCAGCCTCTCTTGCACACACGGCAAAAGGCATACCCACAATCTTCGCATATCGCTACACGTTCTTCCATTGGGGGAAGCTGGTCTTCAGGGCCAAAAGGATCAAATGTCTCTGCCACATCTTCATCGTCCGATAACTCCAGGTTGCTGATATTTAGAGGGTCCGCTGGTTTAGGAAACCGTTTTGAGCGTGCAGCTCCCTGGCACCACTGACGAGGGCAATATATCACCGACTTATCCGCTTCTAACTTGAGTTTTCGCTTTAAGAGGGCATAACGTTGAACGATCTGGGGCTCCAGGGGTATCTGAAGAAGTTCAGCAGGTGTGAGAGCTAGATCCGGTTTCCGATGTCGTCTAGGTCTTCTTTGTCCTTCAATATCCTCGTCTGCTGGGGCTGACTTCGTCTCTTTGCCGCAGTTTGGATCAATACACTTGACGTTATCAACATCACCTTCAGCGATACAGGTATTGTAAAAGTCCTGAAGACATGCGACGCAGAAGACATGTGAACAGCGCGGAAGTCGATGGCAAACCTTCCCTTTCTTCGGTTCTAGGCAGATACCGCAAACAAAGGTTTCTTGTTCAAACTTTTCCCTCTTGACGCGAAGATCAAAGTCTAAAAGAGGAATTTTGAGGCTCTCCGGAAAGGAAAGAGGTTTATCTCTGCCGACGGTTAGTAGCCCAAAGATTGTCTCTGCTGCTTGTTGGAGGTGGTCAATATAGGAGTAAACCACCAAATCTTTTCCACATTCTTCCCAAAGATTCTTGCCTTCGGTCACCAATCTAGATATTGTGGGGCCGGGAAGCCAGTCAGGGTACGTTGATATTGTGATCTTCGGAGGTTCAATAGCTGGATACCGCTCCGGCAGTTCTATTTGTAACTCCAGCGGAGGAAAGTGGGATATGGGATAGGTCTGAACGACCACTGCGCCTCCACGCAAAGAATTTTCCAAGCCGTTTTCTCTATTTACATCGTCCACTGGGCTGGAAGTGGTAGGGATATTTATGTTGGCGTCTTTCGAGTCTTCGAATACCACGACGGCCGGATCAAGGGGGGTGACTGGTAGCGACAATGAGGCCTTGAACGGGAATTTAGGGTCGATGACAATCTCTGGGTAGATAGCAGCAATAGAAGTCAGCTCGACGGCACGTTCATCGTCTGCCCATTCCGCATCCACCTCCACATCCACATCCATCTCTGTATCTTAATTCCGATGTTTTCCACGAAAAAGGCCAAAGGAATTCTCGAAGTGACTGCGTCCGTGGATTCGATGTCGAAAGTCCAGTGGCTTATTTTTCCTTTCCTCTGGTATTAAAGAAATGTATCGAAAAGAAGGTATCCGTTTGCTAAATCTGCAGCATTTGCTCGCAGGACCTGATCGTTGCCGGATGATAATTTCATAGTAGATTCAGCGAGAACTGAGGGGCAACAAAGAGCGCCAATAGGGAGGGTGGGAGGAGTTTAGACGCCACCTCGGCTTTGGAAGCCTGCTGTTTTACTGAGCTGAGGAGTGTTTTTATCTCTGCTTGGGAAAATGATCTGACAAGTGAGAGGAAGAAACTCTGCGATGACAGACTGGAAGAGCGCGAGAGGCGGGATGAGCCAGAACTAGAAGTACCACTCCAGCCAAATTATTAGCGGTGGTACCTGTGTAATAATGGGGGCTATTCCCGTTCTGGAGTCCGAGCTTAATCGAAATTCTGCGTCATCGCGATCAGTAATTCGCGCTCAAAAGACCGGACTTATTGGACCGGCAGCCATTGAATAAGTTATTACTTTTCACTGGTACTTCTACCACTACCAAGGGATTGAGGCACTGTTTAACCATTTGAAGGCTTGTTTTCTCCGTGGCCAATCCATAGCTTATCCGTCATCGCTGAGCATGTTGGGGCTGTCCATATTCTCCATCCAACAAGTGCATGTTTCAAGAAACTCTCCCACCCAGGCCCAACAATGGATAACAATAAGATAGACACACCTTTGGCTTCGTTTTCCTTAACACATGTTCACTATGTGAGTTTCTGCAAGCACTCTTCGAACTATTTGCAGGAGAGCTAACAAGAACTTTTAGAACCCGGAGGACCCTTTATCCTACCTTTGTGCTTTCCTTTCGCTCGTTCCACAAGCAATTGTTGTTGTCTATGTTGCGCTGATATGGGCATCGCGGGAGGTTGAGGTCCTCTTCATGTTTGCTGGCCAAATCCTTTGCGAGGCGTTAAACTTTGGGCTGAAAAGGGTGATTCGACAAGAGCGGCCGCAGCGTACGTTACCCCAGAACCTTTCTTTGCTAAGATTCTTGTCGATATGGAAATTCATTTCGGCTCCGGCTAAACGTCAACCTTCTTTAGAGGTTTACGGCAAGGGTTATGGTATGCCCTCTTCCCATTCGCAGTTTGTGGCTTTCTTCGCTTTCTCCGTAGCCCTCTTTCTTCTCGTGCGACACAAGCCCACCAGCTCCTCCACACTACCCAACGATTCCCCATCAACTCTCACAGAACGAGTTATTCTTTCACTTCTCGCTTTTTCCGGAGCCGCTGCAGTAGCCTCAAGCCGTATATACCTCAATTATCATACCCCGAAGCAGGTTATGGTTGGTATCGCGGCGGGAATTGCGTTCTCTGTGGTTTGGTATTTGTTTGGAACGCATCTTCGGCGATCGGGCTGGATTGACTGGCTTTTGGAAGTAAGAATGGCAAAGCTGTTGAGAATGCGCGACTTGTTAATAGGAGAGGACTTGGCTGAAGCCGGATGGCAGAGATGGAAAGTGAAGCGGGGACAAAGCGTTGTGAAAAAATTCGAATAGACGTGATACCCCTCGACACATTTAGACATCGGCTTAACTTGAGGTATGTAAGTGAATACAGGTACGACATGTGTCACGTTGACTTAGCAAGCATGTCAGAATACGCGGGATTAATAGATAGCCTGAATGGGAGCTAAGGCTGGAAGATGTACTTCGATTGGTTTGCCAGTACCTTTCTGGAGTCGTACCTGCAATGCATGCCGGTAGCCAGGGCTGTGACATGAGGTTATACGCTCCCAAGTGCCATCCTGTGAACTGGAAAAAAAAAAAATAAAAAAAAAAAAAAATCTCTTGGGGCTTGAGCTGCTTATACTCTAACCACATAGATACCATAATGATTAACTTTATAACCTTTTACCTCAGAGTTTCCAGACCAGGATCGCATGTCAATGATCCGAGCGTATACACTAACAACTCATACTCCCAATGCCCATGGAGGATGGATATGATCATGGCACTCTACATCGCAATAAGCGCAGACCCACCAACGAGGACCGTTTGATGAGAGCCTTTCGTTACATCGAGAACAAGCCAGATGATCTCGGGCTTCTCGCTGCAATTCTAGCCTATCCTGAGTGTCGAGGATCTCCTGCCGCTGCTCCGGTGTCTTTACCTCGCAGAGACGGCACAATCTGCCCTGAATAGCATCGTTAGGACGTTGCGCAAATTTTATGTTCCCATGGGCGACTTTGCAGGTTGCACGATGATCCGTCCGCTTATGGCGACGCTCTCTATCTATTCGGCAATACGATGTGTAAAAGCATTTGGTACAGCACGGCTTGCAGATTGTCATGTGTCGGTATGGCTGTGATTCCCAGACAGGGCCTAGTGTAGAGCAAGACTAGCAGCCATATCAGTTGCTGTTTTAATTCCATCCTGGATGGGTGAAAACGCACGTTACATATCTGAATTTTGCAAACACGGCATTTATCCTTGCTAATCCCTTCGCAAGTGTACTTGCGAAGTTTCTCCAACTCAAAATTTGTGCCAAACTGTTCAATGGGAGTGGGACTGAGCTCGACAATGTCCACATAATGCCAGTTATCAGTGACTTTCGCAGAAATCAAGGCCAATGCGGATTTTTCGGTTAGGTCCTCGTCTTTTGCTCGAGATGTTTGAAACTTTTCGTTGCTAGTTCTCCTAACTGCCTGTAGACATTTCGATAAATACCTCAGTGCGAAGCGAGCGCCCAATTTGGTATTGCAGAAGAGAATAGAAATTGGGCGAGAGATCCAGCGGGTTGGTATATAGCAGGAACAGCAATCACTATAATCAGCAGCAGGATGAAGAAAGCTGTCTCTGGCTTCGACATAAGCGAATCCAAGTATAACGTTCAGCAAACCACACACCAAGTACAAGATGCTAGTTTATGCACTTTTATTAGCTGGGATGTTTGCCGAAGAAACGGAAGTAATAGCCAACTTACATGACGGCAATGCCAACGGCCCAGTTCTGAACAAAAGAACGGCAGGATTTATGTGGGGGAATGACGGTTTCTAGATTTGCTTTGGTGACTTCCACAAAAAGGTTTCGGCCATCCGTCCCATTTCTCCAGTCCACCGCATCTTTGCAGCTGGCATAGGAACGTGGGAGGAATTGAGATTGCCAGGTTATGCCGAGGATAAGAGCGGCGGAAAGCCCAAGGTCTATGAAGCCAATTGTTGCTAGTAGGAAACCCTTGGTGAAGTTTGAAGCCGCAAACATGACGAAATTCCACGCAAAAGTGGCAGTTCCCTAAGGGCAGTTAGAACGCACGTATTGCATCCGCATTCGCATGTAATTAGGTCCTGTCATTTTATGACATACCACTGTCCCGACAAGGTGCAACCCCTGAAGGAACGATTTGCCGTTGGGTAGAACATCGTATATGTCTAGATCATGGACAAGATTGTATAGGTTGAGGCCGATAATACCGACCATTCCTGTCGGAACATGACAGACAAAACGAATAATAACAGATGGAAGGCCCGGCCACATGCTTCATATGATATCCCAAACACTCTAACAGCGCCGTATAGGGTACGAGTATTTGAGGTGAAAATATGCGCTCCAAATTTGAGCGGATTTGTTCATTATACCAAAATTTTCCCGAGGCCATAGACGACCAGTATTTGTATGTGCTTGAAATCCGGAGCAACATACACATCACCTGCGAGGTTGCCAGATGGGCGATGCTCAGGCTTGGCAAGCTTCCAAGTCTGCCTTTCGAATACGTGCGAGGCTGTGCCAGCGCCAAACGAGAGGCATGACTAAAATAAATAATATCGCCATCTCAAAAGATGAAGAACAACACTGATAGGTGTTCAACTTAGCGTACTTGACAGCCTCTCGTATGCTGGCCAATGACTATTTAGCCTTTTTACGTACATATTCCGGCCAACACGGTCCTGTACGGGTGTCGGTGGGGTGAACGACTCTTTTGGCTTGCATTACTCCGTACTCTGGACAAGCAAAGGATACCTCGGCCCTGCTCGGTCCCAGCATCGAGGCTGGAATGCAGCCAGACTTTTTAATACCCTCACAGGCTCTCTCCAAAGCCAAGGAGCCGCAGGTCCACCAGTAGATGAGAACGCCCGGCAGTCGCCGCGTTTATAGTAATCAAAAGGCATTGCCCAGCCTTTTATCACTTGGTGAGCCGTCATACGAGAGGCCTTCAAGAGGCAGAGGGGTCTGATGCTAGTCTTCGAATCAGGCTGAAGGGACGGTTAATGGCATAGTCGTCTGGTTAGCAATTCTCGTCGATCCCATCATCTGTGAAAAGGACATAACGCTAAATTTCGGAAACTGCAAAGTCTGCAAGGGCATATCTGGGTTTATGACTATAGTGTTATTTGGGTTCAAATCGAGCAGAGAGTAAGCAGTGGGTGGGGGTTCAAAACAAGCGTGAGTATTTGTACGTTACCAATCGGTATTGAATGGCGCCGCAAGCACTCTGAGTGTTAATTTATCATGCTTTCAAAGAAATAAAGTATAAAAAAGGCGATTCGGTATCTGGGATGGCCGTCGACGGCCGAGAGGTCCATAGCCTTACATGACAAGGTGAAAGTATGCAGACAGAGATCCTCTAGTCCTTCCTGCTCGTTAAGGTTGCTGTGCGTGGGCACAGGACATCTTTTGCAATATGGACTCATGGCCGAACTTGTCGTTATATCAACTGGTGGTCGCACGTTACCTAATGGTTAAACCTCCGGGTTGACCAATGCCAGAGTTCTAACCCTCCTAATACCCTATTGCTTCCATGCTCTTGATTACAGTAGTAGCCTTGCAACTTTGAGACGAGGCTCATACAATCATCATGATGAGAGGCCAGCCTTATTAAAAAAAAAGAAGCGGGTCCTCGCCACTTCTCTCTCTTATATAATTTGAATAATAGGTTGTTAGAAATGGGCTGGGAGTGGCCCTTCGAAGGGGTCAGAGTTCGAATCTGGCTGCTAGAGACTGAGTCTTCTTCCAGTTTCTTTTTTTTTTTTCTTTTTTTTTTTTTTTTTGGGCTATTCATGCATTACTTTTGGTTCTTGTTGGCCTCCCTCCTCTTCTTTTCTGATTGAATAGTACCAATGCGCCGGTCTGGGTCACTGCTGATGGATCGATATATGCACCGGGCCCTCAACATAATTGAATTTAGAGAGACGCAAGCGGCAGTCATAGATGACTTGACGCTCTTTAGTTTTCAGCGTAACCCTGCTGGCTCGAGTAAGCGTTATATTCCAATGATGCGAACTATGGAGAAATATTCATAGAGCAAAGCTCCTGTAAATAATAGGGCATACAAACGTACAAAGCTGATTCCTTTAACGCCTTTTATCTTTACATATATCCCTCCTACCTTTGATGGGTGGTCTCTGTCATCTGGGGACGGAAGTTATGGAATAAGCATAACAATCCTGTGCCTTCGGCGGCCGATCGGAGAAAGTTAACAGACAATTGCGAGGTACTCCAAGTTATGCAGCTTGTGACCCGAGATTTACGAGTGGATCGGCTGGCGCTGACCCTTTTTGTTGGTGGGATATATGCAGGATACGCCAACGGGGCTACTGGGAGGTGCTCTGCGCCATTAGGATGGTTAACTGCGCCAGTTGACCTATCACAATCCAAGGTAAAATAACATTTGCTCTTTCTGTTCAATTGATAGTTGTAAGAGAAGTTGTGGCATTGGCTGCGAACATTCGCTGTGAACCATAGCAAAAGTTGTCGACGTCGAAGGTCCGACAATTTGCGGCTGAGATTCAGAGTTAATTCCGCGCTCAATGCAACTGCTGAGGAACATCGTATTCCCGAACCCGGCTGGTTGTCAGATGGATGGATGCAAGCGGACGGCGGGTCCAAACTCAGATGGGCGTGGACTTACATCAACAACAGACGAAAGTGAACTGGCATGCGACAGCCGGAGAAAAAAGATCTCTCGTGGTCTCATTTGGCTCTTCTTTACACCCTGAGTGCCGCTTGTGATTCTTTGCTTAAAAATTGTTCATCTTTGTAGCCAAATTAGGTGAATGTTTGCTCTTTTGCTCTTCCAGAAGATACCCTCAAGTTCTCTAAGAGCAGACAGAAATTTACAACTCAGTTGAGGATATTGATTTAGGACTCTGCACGGCCACCTGATGCCAATGGCTTCGTCAGAAGAAAATCAGCAAGGCCACCATATTGTTCGCGCAGATGAGGTTGATCAGACGGGGACAGATATATCGCCTGTCCCAGACGAGCAGCTCATGCCGAGTCTATTCCGCGATTTCAAAGAAGAATTGTCTAGAAAACAGGATGAAGAGTTTCCAGAGTTTCCCCAGCGTCATCCAAGACAGCCGGCGCGTCCGGAATTGAGGCGTGATGCAGTTGCACCACCACCACCGCTGCAACCACCCCCACCTGCCCCGGCTCCAGAGAGTTTGGACCCCGCGACCGACTCTTTAAGCCTGGCTCAATTGCGGAAAATTGTTCAGGACCTTCCCAAAGCTGAACAGCAGCCCGCGTATGCTTTCAGCTACGCGGATTGCCAGCCCTTCCCGGACGAGTTGGATGAATGGTTTCAATATAACGAATCTGATCGGCTGCTCCTGCTTGGATCAAAGGATTCGTTTGAACAAAACTGGTCTCACTTTACTTGTTCACTTCCAGAAGGCAACGGGTCGGAAATTACGTGGCTCAATGCCACCGAAGATTTGAAAAAAACTTACCTCGGTGGCACAATCTCGACTTTGTCAAAGGGAGTTGATATCCTAGCACGAATTGAAGCTCTCCAAAACATCTGCTATCTTGTTACTGGCGTCTGGGGTGTTACAGCGGGAAGGGCCACTGATGACTACCCTCAGGAACCAACCGAAACAGAGGCGGCTGAAACGCCTAAAGAAAGGTCGTTACAAATTCAATGGATAGAGAGAAACGTGGACCTTTTCCAGCAGGTCAATGGATTGCCTATACTATTTAGCTACTTGCAGCGCGTCTTTGACAGTGACAAGTGAGTAATCCACATTGGTTCTCACACTGATGTATTTTTCTAACTTATCCAGAATGGCTGGTGATGATGTAAAGGTTTTCAATGGAGAAAACAACACAGCCGCGTATTTTGCGGCACGGGATCGTGAGGTCAATCTAATTCTCACTATTTTTTATTTCCTTGTGGAAGTTGCCCGGAGGCAGGAGAAACTTCGCCCTGATAACCCTCAATTAAGAGAGTGTTTTGGTACGTAATGCCTACTCTATTATGCCAATTAAATCTGCTGACAACGTCTGACCTACAGCTGCATTGAATCCGAGCTATCTTGTCGTGATCGCCCAGATCATTGCGGGGTTGCGCTGGGAAGATGTCACAAATTTTCCGTTGACAAGAGTAAGTCAAGCGCCATTTCCAGGTGAAACGATCATTAACAGACATAGCTTATTCTCCTGTTCTGGAAATCTGTTTTGCTGCTCTTTGGCGGCTCCAATGACCTCCATCGTGCTAAAACGGTATTGGAACCAGAGTACGATGAGAAGCAAATCAGCTCGAATTCACCGCTACCAGTTTTGACAGCTTCTCCTCTCGACTACCATGCATTTCGACAGGAACTTACATCAAAATATCCCGCTTATAATCCCCCCCCTCCCCTTTTTCCTTTAGAGCTGGAACATAATTCAATCCTTCCTCCATTTCCTAACGTATCTAATCGAGTTAATACGCCGACACTGTTTTCAGGCACCTCCGTGTCCTCCGCGTCAGGTAATGGCTCAATACTTCATAAATCCGTTCACATCGCAACGCCGGCACCGTCTCCTCCTCCTTCACCTGGTGGGCCAGGAAAAGCCGGCAAAAAACAGAACTATCAGACAAACCAGAATTTTCCCTTCATGTACCCTCCGCTTGATAGCACAAGCAACAATATCGGTGGAAAAGGCTCGAGCGTCCTTCAAGACGTGTTGGTGGGTCACAAGTGGGAAGGCAGTGATGTCCCGTCATCGATCATCGAGGCAGGGAAGCTGTTTTCCAGCAGGATGCGCATGACGAGAGCCCTTAAACAGCTCTGGGATGAGCGCGAGAAGTTTATGAAGTACGATAGGGGTTGGGATGCGAATGAAACTCTTAGGAGGTCCAATGAGGAAGCCTCGTCTTCCGTTGAGAGGTCTCCAGGAGAGGCGACGCCGCCGGCAAAGCAAACTGAAGATAAAGACGTACAGCGGCGTTTGGATGCAGTTGAGAGCTTTTATGTATGTGTTCCAATGTCGGTTCAAATTAATGAAGCCTACAAGCTGACGGTGTCTTAGAGCCAAATATTGCCGCATCTCCAATCCATTGTCATTGTCCTGCTCAAGGAAATATTAACAAATATTACTGCGACAGCTGGTCATTTAAATGGGAATGGCCAAAATGGGCATAAGCCTGGGTATGTATGCCCTATTTGGGATAATTAATCTACTTTGCATACCGGATTCGCTGACCCCGGTAGAATGATGACGAACGGAACAAGGGAATCTCAAGTTCCATCTAATGATGTCTCAGAGAGCCTGGACGACCTTGATGCTGTTAGATGCCGCGAAATCAAGTCGAAGGCCATTTCGGGCACACTATTGTTATTATTGAAGTGGTTTAAAAGATCCCGTACGTTTACCCCTGTTCCGAAGTACGCCGCTAATTTCTAATAGATGTTTTACAATTCGAATATATGACGCAGCTGTTGCTTGATTCGAATTATTTACCATTGATTCTAAAAATGTTTATACACGAAGATGTCGATAAAGCTGTAGCCAAGAGGAACGACCGCGACGACCTAAGGTGAGGAAAGCCCACTTTCTATACACTGAGTTATTGCATTTTTTTTTTAATCAAGATGGTAGCTTTTCCCATTTTTGCCACATTCACTCGGACCATGCACCGCAGCCTTCTGCGTCACCTGAGCCAGAACGGGTAGAGGATAGCGAAGAAGAAGCGGTGCCTCCTCCAATCTCTCGAAGCCGATCTTCATTATCGGTACTCAATATTTCCGCAGCCCCCAGTGAGAGAAGTCAAGATTCACAGGCGCTTGCAGAAGGCCCGTACCTCCCTGAAGTTGACGAATTAGGCTTTCCAACTGCGCCTCTCCCTGATGCGCCCATCACTGAGTTTTCCTTTAGGAATTTCTTTTCCGCGATTAATTACCTACACATCATGCAAAAGATCACCCGAAACAAAGCTCACCGATGCCTTCTTCTCGTACAATATAAATCCAGCGCTGTCCTACGCAAAGGGATTAAGATCCCTAACCCTCATCTCCGCCTGTACACATTGAAACTCTTTAAATCCCAAGTCCCTTACTGCGGTCGCAAATGGCGTCAAACTCATATGCGCATTATCACTGCGATTTATCTTTACTGCCGTCCAGAGTTGCGTGATGACTGGCTCGCTGGTGCGGACATTGATGCCGAAGTGGAAGATTCACTGCCGATGGAGCAAGCCTTGAGAGGGTTGACGCATTGGTGGCATTTAAGACGCTACAAGGATGCCATGGCTGTGGAAGGAGGCCAGGCAATGATGGACGAAGAGAGAGATTTCTTTTCGCGAGAACTGGAGAATATGGGTTGGGGTTTGGTAGACGAGGACGGTGATGTCGGCGCTGTGGAGGACGGAAACGTTGGTTCTGCAATGCCCGGTAGTGGTCCCAATCAGCTGGAAGGTGCCCCGTTACAAATGGAGTCATAGGACATGATGTTTGGGAAAATTCGACCTATTCGCCGCACTCTCTTTCAATATATTCATTGTTTTTATTCCCAATCCGAGCTTCTCGATTTAGGCTCCGAATTTCAACTGCATGGTGACTGCTTAGAGCCCTTGGTCACCACAGCACTTCGCCTAAGCACGCTCATATAGCACGATAAGCAAATATGAATGTGTCTTCCCAATCTATCCAAATCCTTTGAGATGATACTCGCCAACCAAATCGGCCTCGCGATTCAACGCCTCAATTTCCGCCCGAACGTACGGAATCCCCTCTCTTTCCCTTTCTTTCGCCGTCAGAAGCTCAATCTCCCCCGGATAATAAATTCTTTCTACCCCATTCATCTTCTCACATTCCACGGCCCGACGGTATAAATAATCCATCCGCCCTTTGAACTCCTCTAGCGTCATGAATAGGTCAGGCTTGATTGCTACGAAGAAATGGCCCACATCAGCCGGTTCAGATGGGTCGTGCGGATTAATGACGTGTCCTGCGAACGCAGAGCCAGATAACACACCAGAAAACACGTCCATCATTATAGATAACGCGGATCCCTTGGCTCCGCCCATAGGTAGCATTACGCCTTTCAACGCTGAAGCGGGATCGGTGGTTGGCAACCCATCTTTGTCAAGAGCCCAGCCTGGCGGTATTTGATCACCGCGACGGAGCGCTTTGTATATTTTACCCCGCGCGGCTATAGAAGGGCACATATCGAGGATGAAAGGGATTGAGTTTTCTCCGGCGGGCGCACCACATGCAATGGGGGATACGCCCATGAGTTTATCCTTTCCACCCCAGACCGGTAGTGCGGGAGACGAATTGGTGAAAACTAAACTAAGCATGTCCGCATCGATGGCTTGCTGGACGAACGACGCCGACATGCCGAAGTGGTTGGAGTGCTTTACGGAGACCATTCCGATTCCGTAGACTTGTGCTATCTTGATAGCTGTATTCATGGCTTCGTTGGCCGCGATAAAGCCGAAGCCGTTCTGAGCATCGATCTGGGTTACCACGGGAGTGATTTTGTTGACTACGGGCGAGACGGAGGGATCAAGGACTTTCTGGCGGATACGGGCTAGGTATGAGGGGATTCGATTGATGCCGTGGGAGTCTACACCACGGAGATCGGCCTCTACGAGGCATTTTGCTACTATTGCCCCGTTTTGGCTGGGGACATTATATTTCAGGAGGAGAGATTGGACAAAGTGGCGGGCCGCGGAGGCTGAAACCCGGATAAGTTGCAGCGGAGAGGGCATGTGTGTTTTGCTGGCGTCTTGGAGCGTATTATCTTATAGCGATTAGTGGCATTTGATTAAACCCAGCCCTTTTGGTGCTCAGGGTGCACTTACAATCTGCAAAGCTTCCAAGGCGGTGGCGCCCGGGCTCGCATGGAATAACATTTATCCACATACCCGGAATATTAGATTCGCCGGACCGCCTCCAAGATCGCACTTTCCAAATTAGGAATAATAATAATACGTTTAGATCCGATCTTCTATTGGATAAATTAAACGCGCAGCGGCTCTTTCACGTTCGCCAAGCCCAGTATGACCTCATACACGGCTTGGTTTGAGCTCTTGAAGAAGCGAATATAAGTCACGAATCAACCGTTTCAAATAGATTTCATGGATCCTGGAAAACAGTGACGAGCGTGAAATCAGTGATAGCTCTTTGCCGAGAGCCACAGAAGCTCGTCGACAGGTATGACATCCTGTGTTGCTATGACGGATTCTACATGGACCGTTGAGCGTTTGGCTCAAAGGCACTGTCATAATATAACTAAAAGCTCGAGGATATCAAATTAATGCCATGGGTAAGTGTTGAATTTCATTGTTCTCTTCCCTATAAGCCCATTGCTGTGGTGCAGTGATTATACCTAGTCTGGTAAACATAGCCTCGGGCTTTATGATAGGAGTATCAGATATAAAGCCTGAGATCTAGCGATGCTGTACCCCAGCACCCCGTGTTTCTGAATGCCAATTGTATACCAATTGATTTCTTTCCTCGTCACAGAGTGTCCTTCTGGTGCTAACTGAGTGATAAGTAGAAAATATTGACGTCTAGTCACCATTTTTCCTCGGAGGAGAGCACCGATCATTCGATGATGCGGTTCGGACTGTGTGGATTTTCGGAGAGAAGACTTGTCTTCGAGTTAGGCATTCTACGGCCATAACTCGTTAAGTCAATTTTTGAAGGTGGAAGCATTTCAGAAAGTCTCATAGTCAGGTATTGGAACGATTTCACAAAGTCATATAGCGTACTAAATAGTGTATCCGTTCAATAGCAGCAGAAATTTGGAAAAAATAATTAAAATATCTACTTTATCAGTCTAGCCCTGATTGTCAGATCCTTTCTGACGTCGCATATATTATGGATGTTCAACCGCGTCCAATATGTTCAGGCTTCTGCAGTAAACTTTCGTGCTTGCGATCTTTCGCTGTGGATTACCTAAGTTAACTAAACGTAGTTAACTAATCCACCCCCGAGCGCGACGAGGAAATCTTGTATACTTTTGCTTCTCTTTCTCATTTGCAGCAAATATATCCTGATATTGCTTCTTCATTATAGTGGCGTTGACCATCCCATATTCACAGGCCTTGATAATTTGATCAAGACCTTCCACTAGGCCATGAGGTGGGCTCCCAAGCCCCTGTCCCATAAGATTCTTGGCCTTATTCGCCTGCTGGTGTAATTGGCGAAGGTTGCTAGGTGTTTGAAGAACCCAGGATGACTGAGAATTGCTGGATCTGCTGGCGCGGGGGGGAGGAGGGGTAGGAGTTCTGAGTTGAATATTGAGCCGCTGGATGACCTGATCTGGGTCAAATGGAGCTATACCAGTAGCAATAAAGCTGTTTTGAATGTTCTGAGTCTTGAAGACCTCTGTACGCGCTGCAAGATAGGCCTCTAGTAAATAGTATTGAATCCAAGCCGCATTTGCTGTTCAACTAGAGCCCCATATGCCATTGCTTCAAGACTGCAAAAATACTGACATCAAGAGGCTGGAAGAGATGTGATGAATGTGCTGGCATGCAGAGAGAAAATAGAGTGGTATCCGGTTCCGGGATTTCCCGACCCGGTCCCGGATTCCCGTCCCAATTCCTGTCCCAAGGACGGGATCAGGTTGAAGCTCAGCTCAAGAGAATGGGACTAGGTTGTTTAACAGCATATTGAGATGGTTCTGTGGGAGCTGAGATCAGGATGGGATTGGGACCAGGATCAAAATCTAGCTTGTAGGACAGGCCCGGGACCTGGCGTGACAAAATGGGATAGGACCAGGATTTCAATATTGTATATGGGACGGGACCAGTAAAGTGTAGGATGGGACTGGGAATCCTGGTCCCATTTGTGTTGTCAAAAGATAATGAAATTTGGTAACAGTCCACGCAAAATTTGATCAGTTTGACTCTTCTCTATGAATTTGACATAATGGGGCCGGGAAACCTGGTCCCATCCCGGTCCCACTATGGACCCGGCCGGGACAGGAAATGGGAGCCTCCCTTCTCTGCTGAGATGGGACGTGGGACATAATTTTCTATTTGAGGATGGGACCGGGAAATAGTTTATGAGATAGGGACAGGAATGGGACCTCAAGCTCTTGGGTGGGATGGGACATGGGACTGAGATTTCATATTTGGGATCCCGGCTGTTTCGAAATTCGGGACCGGGACCAGCTTCAATGGGAAATGGGATCCCGTCCCGGTCCCGAATACCAGCCTAGCACTGAAACTGCTTGTGTTGTACAGCCAGGGAGTCTGTTGAAGGGGTGTGATAGAGCAGGGTGGAGAAGTAGCTGGTGAGACATCTGTAATGAGGGTAAGGATGGTGTTCCAGATGTCAAAGTCAGATTCTTTTTGGATGACAAGCTTCACTAGCGGGCAGTAGTGGGTGTAGCTGAAGTCACTGTTTCAAACATGCTCAAAAAGAATTGCTATTTCCAACAATATGTCATGACTGCTTGTCTTTGACCGAAGAGCAAAAGCTGCTCCCGTACCTTGCAAAGCAGAGAGAAGCTGTGATATTGTCATTTGACAGGCCTTGTCAAGGCGAGCACCATCATCAGAAATTAGGTGTAGTGTATAGGAGTCTTCCGTGTCTTGAAGTAAGTCTTGTAATTGATCAAGGGAGTTGTTTAAAGGATATTTTTTGATGGTGTTCCAATCATCTTCTGAAAGGGTCGTCATATTGAAACAGAGCTGGGCTGGATTGTTGTGAATTCTGGTGTTTCAGCCAGGGGAAATGCGAGATCACAGGAAGAAGACTCAGGGAGGAGGTGAAGCACACGGGGCTATACAGAATGTCATGAGGTGATGGAAAAACACTTATTCCACTAGTGCTGTGTGCCAAGCATGGCCGGAGCTCCCACCAATAAGTCAGTGATGCCTTGTATTGTTTGAGGAACTCTCACATTTCTGTAAAAAATAAGTGTATCACCGGCCTGAAGTAGTATGTCATGAACACGACTTGCAACACAGCACCGTTTCATTGCCTCTTTTTTCCAGGCCAATTCCATAGGACCAGGGACAGGTTGCCAGGGGGGGGGGGGTCCAGGTTGCATTGATGGTTCGTCACTCTTTGTAGGCTTCTGACTCCGTCTGATGTCCCAGTGCCGCAATCAGCCACGAAGCTGGTTTTCTCTGTTATCAAGTCAGTGAACTGAAAGTTCTTTTGGCTAATCCAGGTCATTCCCACTTATCATTACCGCAGAATAGTTGTTCTGAAATTTTAGTCAAGGTTAGGTGCGACCCCCACCATCTTTCGGCCGCCAGGCACAAGCTTGGAGGAAAGAAAACCAAGGGAATACAAAGATCTCTTACTAATATCCAGATTTGCTGCCCTTTCCTCCACTGGCTATTGTAGTTTATCAATATGCCTTTCCGCTGTATTTACTGTAAAACAGACATTGTGAACGTCTTTGCGATAGTTGGCATAGTCTCTTAGCTTTGATTCCACAATTGATGAATTTGATGTCATTCCAGGTGTCCAATATGGAGATACAGCTGCGCGGAGGGACTCTTTAGGTACTTCGTCAAAGAATGGCTGAAGGTGTGTTCTGAAAAGGTTAAACAAACCCTTTGGGGTTTGCAGCGCATTCAGGTACCAGTTTTGCCCATCATCTAAAGCCCGCTTCATGACTTTTGCACGGGAGTAGAAACTTCCTTTGTGGTGTAATGGTGTGTCTGTCTCCTCTTGTTCAAATATTGTTGTAAATTGCTCATAGCATGCTTTGAACTGTTCATACTCTGGGCCATCAAGTCCATCAACACTTTGTCCAGTTAGCCAAAATGGAGGCAACAGGTTCCCCAGGGGCAGGCAGCATGCCCATTCAAGGTCAACAACATGCTTGATGTTCCAATCCTCGTCAACAAAGATATTGCTAGCATGCATATCTGCCAGTTGCATGACAAATGGACTGTTATGAAGATGCCGGTCAGTAAACAGATGAAGGAGCGCTCTCATAAGGACTAGGTCTTTGGCTTGTCCACGTGCATCTGCTTCGTCAAAAGCAGCATTCGCCTGATGCCGGAGACGGTTGTCGTGGCCAGTAAGTAAGTCAAGATAGAAACCATCAGCGCCCGTGTAAGTCATATTCCGTGGAATACCAGAAGGAATAGCGTAATTCTCTAGTTGGTGGAGATGACAATACATGGGACGAATGGATAGGCTAATTCGTCCATCGTTATCAATCGTCCAGGAACCAATTCGGGGCTGTGAAATTTTGGCAAGGGAGATCATGATCTTTGAAATGCTTCGATAAAGATTCCGGGTCTGCACTTCGGTGTGCGGCATGGTAAATACATTAGAGCGCATCTGAGCATCGCTGTTTTCTATCCAGTCCACAAGGATGTAAGGATATCTCAAAAGCACAGGTCTATGTTGGGGGATATATCCAGAGAACGCCTTGCTTCCGTGTAGACAATAATAGAGCTGCCAAACATAAGACTTGATCCTTCGCCAGAGTGGAACACCAAAACCAATGTGTTGGTAGTGGCGTTGCTATTAGCGGGAGAGTTAACTAGTTAGTTATATTTGCATTTGTCCGTAATCTACTCCGTACTCCGTCCAGGCCACCCCATTAACTACCGATGATCCCCGCACTTCCGAGATCGAGTCGCCTGCTCGTGACTAGCATTTCGTACCAACAATGATTTTGAAAATACAAAATCTTCTATTCAACTCTCCGTAGTATGACCGTAATTCGAGTTCCAGTTGTGTATAGAGTAGTTATGTGCACTCGCTGCTCGTGTTTAACTAGCCGAAAATCGGGTCTACCCCGCCGGGCTGATGCTCTCAAACGACCGAAATGCCGAAGCTCGTAACAAGTCAACCCCAAGCTCCCCCACACCACCGGAATGCATACACCTTGTTTTTCTTCTTCCAAGTTTGATTAAAGCTCTTTATATAGCAATTCATTTTTTGGTTTCTTTGACTTCCGTCCCTTAGATTCACGTTTTCCCAGTAAAAAGTTGTTAACAGTAGATATAGAGCGGAGCTCTTCTACACCGAAGATAATGACGCAGCCTCATTGGAAACCGGCCGTCTTAGAAAAGCGAGCCCAGCAGAAGACTGCCATTCCCAGAGAATGGCATCTCTCCTCTTCCGTTCCACCAAACGTAACGGACGCCAAAGAGTTCATAGATTCCTCTAATTTGCTCACCCCAGACGAGAAAGCTATAACCAGTATCCAAGATGCAACAGTCCTCCTGTCTAAGATCGCCAGCCGCGAGCTATCCAGCGAACAGATTGCACTGGCATTTTGCAAGAGAGCTGCTATTGCTCATCAACTAATTAACTGCTGTACGGAGCTGTTCTTTGATCGAGCACTGGCTTGCGCAAAGGCCCTCGACGAACATTTAGAGAAGACGGGGAAGCTTAAAGGGCCGTTACATGGATTACCAATTTCCATAAAAGATGGATTTGACGTTGAAGGAATAGATACCACGTTGGGTATGTGATTTTTCTACCGATCACCTCTGCCGCTGTAGCAAATTAATCCTTTTGTTTCTAATATCGAGTTAGGATGGGTTGGAATGATTGGCAAGCCTGCTCCAAGAAATGGTTGCGTGGCAGAGTTGCTTCTCTCAATGGGGGCAGTAATATATTGTAAGACCAATATACCCCAGTCCCTCATGGTACGTTCATACGCCCCAGCACCCTCGCAAAACTATGGCTATTGACAGCTAGAATATAGATGTCGGATTCATACAACCATGTGTTTGGGCAATCAGTGAACGCTTTCAACATAAAGCTCATATCTGGTGGCAGTTCCGGGGGCGAAGGAGCCATCATTGGTGCGCAAGGCAGCATCATTGGAATCGGAACCGATATTGGTGGATCTATTCGGATTCCCGCAACGCTGCAAGGGCTGTACAGCATGATGCCGTCCGTCGGCCGCATCCCATGGGAGAAATCTATGTATGATGCGTCTTTTACCATATTCGAAAAAGGTCTTGTATTCTAACGGGGTATTCTTAGGAGCAACCAAGCCCATATCGTGCCACCGGTCCCCGGCCCCCTGACAACCACTTTAAACAGCTTGGAGTTTTTCATGGACGCATTTATTTCTGACAAACCCTGGGAACGGGAACATCGAGCTCTGCCAATTCCATGGCGGAAAGACCTCGCCAAGGTCCCTGATCGCCCGCTTAAAATAGGAATCGTTTTCGATGACGGGGTCGTCAAACCACAGCCCCCCGTGGCGCGCGCGCTTCGCGAAGTGGCAGAAAATTTCCGCAGAGCTGGACATGAAGGTATGTCGCATGGCGGTCAAATGTGAATATTCGAACGGCTAACATATATCGCCTTTGGTAGTTGTGGAGTGGGACACATCTTCCCACGTCAAGGGCCTCCATTTATGGCTCAAATCCGTCCTCGCGGACGGTGGAGCCGAATGTGAAAGATTATGTAAATTGGTCAATGAGCCACTCATCCAAGGAATGCTAGTTGGCCGGGAAAAGGATAACCTATCCCGAGCTGAACGTCAAGAGGTGCTTATTCCATTACCTGACTTTGCATTCAATACTGTGTAGCGCTAGATACTGACTTTTCCCAAATCTTAAAAGCTCGACAAGGAGAAGCACGAGTATCGCACGGAATTCCTCAGTCAATGGAGTGAATCTGGCATCGATGCGCTGATCATGCCTGTGTTGCCCTGGGTCGGCTATACCCCGAAAACCTGGGTCGAAAGCAAGCAATGGCTTGGGTATACTGCTATCTGGAACCTGTTAGACTATGCAGTAGCCACTGTTCCAGTGACTAAAGTAGATCCATCCCTCGATGTTCCAGGTGATGAATGGGAGAACCATAAGCCAAGGAATGAATCCGATGCATTTAATCACCAGCAATGTAAGTGACAATACTCAAATGGGAGATATGAAAATATTAGAGCTAACATTTGCTCGTAACGCAGATGATTTGGATCTTGTGAAGGGCATGCCGATCTGTGTTCAGATAATTACAGGCAGATTTGGTGAAGAAAAGGCTGTTGCAGTCGCAAAGGTCATGGAAAGCCTTTAAGGTCTTGGACTTGTTTACTTCCTAGCCTTGTTAATAAGACATCATTTGATCCTTAGCAGCATAAATCCGAACCAGTATTAACCATACCTCTTTTTGCCTAAGGAGAGTTTATCATCTCTCTCTGTACTCCATACCTTTCAAGGAGGTATTTCCAACAAAGTCAAGCCATCTGAGAATCAATAATCTAACTTTGTAATCATCAGTGCCTGGAAAAGGATGTGGGCCCTTTAGAAGGGAAGATGACCCTTAAATAACCTTAGGCTTTGGTGAAAATCCAAATCTGAGTGAAGAAAAATGAAAGAAGCGAAACTGATTATCATTATCACAGAAAGACATTTTTTTAAGAAATTTTTACATTAAGGGAGTGAAAGCATGCACATCTATCCTTAAAGGCAGAAAATCCAGGGGCCCTAAAGACTAAAAATTTCTATGGGTGGAAGGACCTAAATCACAGGAAGGCTAAGCGAAGAACCTGGCCAGCAAGAGATGGCTATTGAAGGACAAGTTAGCTGTCATCCGGGACCTTGCTTATAACGATAGAAGGAATTGAGTATGCAGGACACCGAGCATCATTCGCCTCGCCTTTTTCATTTTGAACCTCCTCCTTAGCTGTAGGATCCCCATTGGTGGGTGCCGCACGACGGGATTCCACGATATTACGAAGGCGAATCTCCATGTATTGAACTAACAGTCCAACACGTGCACTACCGCCCCAGTAGCCTGCTGGACATGTTCTTGTCTCTGAGTGTTGAAGAAGGTCGCACATCCTATTGAATCCTCGTTGACAATCTCGACAATAGAAAATGAAACCATTGCTGTCGGCCAGGTTGCGAACATAGCCGGCCGCGATATTTTGGATATCCTCAGAGGTTATGCCTGAAGGGCAGCGATTTGACTCGAAATGGCCATACAATGCCGAAAGGATGGGAAACTGAAAATTACAGCCAAAGCAGCGGACACCAAATGGCCTGTGGACAAAAGCATGCTGGAAGGTTCAGGAGAATTAGCGTTATGTGATCCGGATTTAATGGGATGTGTAAGTGCCTCACCACACTGAGCTGATGCTGGTTGTTAAAATAATCCCCGCAGGTGACACACATGAAGTGCCTTGAAGTATTATGTTGCCGCAGGCCCTGGGTAGACGGAGCAAACCACTGGCATGGTTCGCAGTATAAATGAAAAGCTTCCAGGTGCCGCTGGAGCCCTGTAAAAGAATTGAAATCCGTTCGATGCCGGCAGAGGTTACAAGGGTGGTGGTCAAAAGAATTATTGATATGACGACTATACTCCACTCGATTGGCAAAGTCGAGTCGGCACCTGTGGCAGTGAAAGGATTGGGCCCGAGGAGTATTGGTGCGGATATGATTGACCATTATGTCTTCACTGAGAAATACCACAAGGTCTAACTGGGGTGAACAGGGCAACAAGGTGTCGGTGTTCGAGCGGTTCCGCTACAGCTTTCAAAAGGAAACTGAGCTAAAAAAAAAATCGGGTAAGTTGGGTTTTGGTAAGGCCAAAACCTATCAAGGTTGCACGAGACTCCTGGAGAAAGAAGGAAGAATACAGAAAGCTGATATCCATGTGCCTGGCATGTGGATATTTTGAGTGTAACGAAAACAAAAAGATTGAAGTTGGTGGGAGTTCCCGATGCCTGCTGGCCCCTAAGGTGAATGGGAGAGAATTGATCAAGAAAGAGTGGGAGAACATGTTCACTTGACTGAGTGAACAGCGACTCACATTGCCAGATCATCATGATATGATATGATTAATAAAACCGGTCTCAAATCTCACAACAGATGAAAATAATGCTAAGGCAGCAAGCAGAATTTGACTCCAATACTTATGGTTCTTCTCTTAATATCTCTAACAAAGAACATCGGAAGGGTATCTGGAAGGTTAAACTGGCTTCGAGAGGGACCGGCCACATGTGGGGGGGTCACGGACACCAGATCTTGTTATCAAAGCCTCATACCAGGCAAATGGAAGAGATATATTGCTCCGGCATATCAATGCAATGAGGACAAGTCATTCGAGATACACCATGGTTTTCACCCACGGTACTCCCGTACATAGGGATTGACGACACATCATCAATCCCTCATTCATGAATGGCTGGGCGATATCATTAGTGTTTTCTTCCTTAACAAAATAAACATAAGAATAGCTTGAGAATGTGCTTCTCAAGACCAGGTCGACGGGAGGTGGAAGTCGAGAGAGAAAAACAGCTGGGATGAAGTCGAATTTGAGTTTTAAGGGGGTGTGGATTCATCACGTGATTGGGCAGTAATATTATATAATCGAAACTTTAAAAACTTTGTGTTTATCAAAATAATTTTGCAGCTGCCGGACTGAACAGCCTGTGAAGGAGCGCATCCACATTCTTTCTGCGCACCGAGGCATATTTTGGGGTCAGGTAGTCAGACCACACGTAAATATGGCTTCAGACGAAATTGTATGGCAGGTGATCAACCAGCAGTTTTGTTCCTTTAAGTTGAAGTAAGCTCCCCATTCTTGACCTCCTTTTGCTTAGGACGTCTTGATGAGCTCTCACAGTCGCGAATGTCTGACGGGCTGCATTCTGACCCTATTTTCATCTAGGACAACCAAAGGACAAAACTTCTGTCGAAATGAATACAATGTCACTGGTCTCTGCAACCGTCAATCATGTCCGCTCGCAAATTCCCGTTACGCCACCGTGCGCTCTGATCCTGCGACCGGCGCAATGTACCTTTATATGAAAACAATTGAACGGTCTCATATGCCGAACAAATGGTGGGAGCGAATACGGTTATCGTCGAACTACACAAAAGCTCTGGAACAACTTGATGAGCGACTCATCTATTGGCCGAAATTTTTGATCCACAAATGCAAGCAGCGTCTCACGCGCCTCACGCAGGTGAGCATTCGGATGAAACGGCTTGCCAAGGAGGAAGAACGGTTAGGAGAGAAGATAGTACCGAAACTTGCGCCAAAGATTAGACATAGAGAAGCGACCAGGGAGCGAAAGGCGGAAGCTGCTGCGAAGGTGGAAAGAGCTATAGAAAGAGAGCTTATTGAGCGTCTAAGGAGTGGAGCTTATGGTGATCGACCACTGAATGTCGAAGAGAATATCTGGAAGAAGGTACTGAGGGGACTGGAGCGCCAAGGCGAAGGTGAACGTGACGAAGATTTGGATGAGGGTATTGAGGCAGACCTGGAGGAGGAGGAAGAGGAGGAAGGCGTTGGTCAAGTTGAATACGTTAGCGACTTTGATGAAGATGAGGACCTGGAGGATATCGAGGACTGGATTGGTGAGGGAAGCGGAGATGACAGTTTCGACGAGGACGACGAGGAGGAAAGTGACGAAGAAAGTAGTGAAGGAGATGAGGAGGATAGCGAAGATGATGCGCAGCGAAAGAAGCCTACTCCCGGAACCAAGAGGAAACGTGGAGCCCCTACTCCTACGGCACGCAAAAAGGGCGCTCGGATCGAGATCGAATACGAAACGGAGGGTCCGGCGAAAGAAAGCATCTTTGCATGATAATCTTTATGGGCATAGAAAAGTGTTTCAATTACTTCAAGTGAACTTTGAATATGGCCTGGCGTTTATGGGGATTGTTGATAGCACTGTTATTTCATTGGACTATGATATCTATGGCTACCAGATCTTAGACAATATGAACCAGTTTGAAAGCAATAATTTGCTTCTCACCTCCCTGTGCCTTGCCTCTTGGGCCACATGTTATCGAGTATCATATATCATTGGAACCGAATCAAGGGGTAAAGCCAGATACGTGGTCATTAGAGAGGGCACTTCAACTGGAGCCCTTGATGCGAGAAATATGTCCTATTGGTAGCGCCTAGATAGCCCGTAGAGCTTTTGCTGCTTAAAAAGTTCTATCGACGACTACTTGTTAATCGTCCGAGTTATTTCTTAGGGACGCAAACAACTCCTTCGGTATATAGAGGCCGACACAGTTACCAATTAATCCTAACCACAGTGGCAGGTATGTTTCTGCTGTGGGAGCTTCCTTCCCTTGGACAGTTTGCAAGGCACTTGCTGTATTGCAAGGGTGAATAAAATATACTGGGATACCTGATATCGGATGGTTCTGTGTCATTATCAGCTTTGATCGCGCGGCTTGTTACCTGGCTAATGGTGCCCCTTGTCGTGGATCTACGCACGGTCATGCTAATCCCGCCCATCACTCCCACCTGCTTCAGGTCCGATCGATAGGCTGGAGGAACAAGATGCTCGTATACGATCTCCAGTGCATTTGGACCAGAATATAGGGTATTTTTGAAAAAGAAATGTAAAACAGGAACTTGATAAGTCGGAGATAGAAGGATGTGATATTCCATTTCTACCTTGCTCGTCCCCGAAATAGATGACGGCCTAATCAACATTTCCTGTGAAAGAGGTGTTAGTAGGCTCCGACATCAATAGACGAGTACGAGGAATATGGTATGCCCACAGGATCATCATCTTCTATATCATCTTGGAGACAGCTTCCTTCATCATTCTGTTCGCCATTGGCCCATTGAGGCAAGTCGATGATCCGAGAGATAATCAACATAGCACTTCCATCCTGGGGAGGACGAGAGAAGTGAAACATTAGCCGACACTGTCTTGTGATTAATCCCAGTGCAATCCATCCGCTGTACCTGGTAATCTTGCTTTACATTGGTCCAGCCCAATGTCCGAAGGTCCCCCGAGTATCCAGTGACACGGTTTACAAACGAAGAGCATATTGACCGGAACTCTCCTGGGTTCAGAAAGGGAAACGATGGCAACGGATCCGAAGACATTCGCAGTCATGTAAATATTTAGTCCATGCTTTTGTAGCCAGGGAGATACACACTGCTGGATGTGGTTGTGAATAGGCCTGTTTGACTTTGGTGTGACGTGACATCGGTTTCAATTTCACCACCAGCACCCCTTCATATCTCCATGCAAAACAGCCACCAGCAAAGGCATTATAGATCTTGAACGGGCAAACATCGTCAAGATAGCAATCCGAGTTGCTTCAAATATCACATTCAATACGAAAATAGCCACTTGTTATTTTTTCTGCCAACCTCGCGTTCACAACCTCCATGATCCTTGGAAGGCATTTCAGATTGTGCAGCGGCCAGAAATTATCCGTTCTGACGGCGGAACAGAAGACTTGCCGCAGAAAGTAAACTGAAAGAGTTGGTCATTGAAGCAGGAACTATACCACATCGCAAAGATGTCTTCATATTTCTCCTCTTTCACCTCCTCCTCTGCAATCTCCAACCTCAGCACCCGCTTCACGTCACTGCGTCGCGCCATCTCCTCCGGCGACGAAACCGATGACCCAGAAAATGAAGATAACTCACACATTTCTCACGTCCTACGGGCATACTACACCGAAAAAGGTCGCCGTCTTCCTCCCTGGCTTCCTCCTGATCCGAAATCCCCACAACAACCACCACCACCCACCGTCGCCACACAGGCCTCTTTCCAAGGCTATGGAGGCCAAACCAGTACCCCAGCCGGCCGCGGTCGCGGTGGTCTAGGTGATCTGTGGAGCGACTCCGCACCGTCTTCTGCACCCCCAGCGCAACCGCAAACCTCGAGTCTGCGACTAGGTCGAGGCGCAAACACACCACAGTCTTCCGGGTTCAAGCCATCCGCGTCGAGCTTGCCCAGCCGTCCCTCGCCGTCGAGTACTCCCCGCCACCCTTTTGATCGATCGCAGTCGGCACGTCAGCCGGGAAGTAATACAGGGAATGCAACAGGGGGTGCGAGACCGCTTCCAAGCCAAATGGCGGGCTCTTATCAGGCATCCCAAGCAGCGCAGAATCGTCCCGGGCCAGACCGTACGCTTTCTGCTGCTTCGGCGCAGGAGAGGTTGAGGGCGAGACTCCATGGAGGAGGCGGTTCCGGCGGCTACGCTTCGCGCAATCCTTTGACAGGGCCTCGGTGAAAGCGGCACCTACTCGAATTTCTTCTCTACCCTTTATTCCCTTTCCATTATGATTTTAACTACTGCACGTGGCGTTATGGTGGCTTTATCCTTGCATTTGGAGGCAAGCCCGCATACTGCATTTTACCATCCGGTTGCTCCGTACTCCATACTTGAGCCTGATAGCTTCTGCCGCGTTCGTGCGTCGTTACCTTTGCATCACATTTCTCCTGCACCCTTTAATGCTTCTAGTTCCTTATCTGTATATATGTTCAGGAGCTTAATGATACATGCCTTTTCTAATGTAGAATATGTGCTGTTGATAGGTGCAGCTAGAATGCATTGCAATTCTTGTAAGTTACCAGTTGGGGTCTGAACTAAATTGGGCCATAATGTGGCTCGTATCGAACTATTAAATGGCGTTGTTTATGAAGTTTTGCTTGGAGACACCGTATAATCTAAGAATAAAAAAATACATGAAACCAGGGATGTATAAATCTAAATCCAAAGCAGATACGGAGTAGTACATTGAATATCAAGTAAATCGGGGTAACTCACCGCAACGCTACGAAAACAATTCTGACACCCATCTTAATTCCCCAAAAATAACGCCGTGCAATGTTTTATGCAAGGTCACATAGGCTATCCTCTAACCTTGCGATAATTGGGAGGACTCCAGGTCCTACTGATAAGCTTGACAGCCCATACAGGTATCAACGATATAGCACACACAACCGCGACTCTCCAAACCCACCCTACCGTGACCACGTAACGTAAATCAAAATAATCACCCAAAAACGGCACGCTGGCAGCATAGACTAATCCGGTGCCGATGATGCAGAATATCATAATCGGGTGCCATGTTGTGATTGAAATGGCAACCATGGCAAGTTCATTTAGAACTAAAGCCGTGAAAGAGACGCTGATGAGCCTGGGTCCGGAAGTCGCGTCGACGAGAATCTGGGAGAAGCCTTGGATGACAGAGCCTTGATATACTGATACAAGCACCCATGTGAAAAACGATCGGTAGCTGAGACTGCGGCCTGATTTTAATTCTTTGTATAGTTCTGGGTAGAGATTTGCGAGTTCTTCATCAACGTCACGATCAAGCACCAGAGAGAACACGGGTGCGTTGGTGTAGACCGTTGCGTACCCAACGAGGAGCCAGTTGATGAAAAGGCCTTTGGGCTCAAAGTGTTTCGCGATACTATACATGGTTTGACACGCGCTGATGATCAAGCCTCGGTGCATGATGAATTGGGCCAGTTTCGCGGACCGTTTATAGGAATTACGGCCATGCCATACGAGAAGTTTCGTGAGGTGGTGGAATTGGGTGATGCTGAAATCAGCGGCGAGAGACGCTTGTCGGCCTTCCTTCCCCACGATACCAATCCCAACGTCCGCGGCTTGGATCATAGAGACATCGTTTCCACCGTCCCCGATGCAACAGACTCGTTTCTTGGTATGTCGTCGAATAAGAAGCGCAATTTCTGCCTTTTGCGTTGGAGAACAACGGCATGCAATCACAGTTGGTAAAAGAACAGCGATGGATATAAAAGTGGTGCGGAATTGGCTTAGCATTAACGTTAAGGAATCACCGTCGATGAGCAAGCAGGCCTCAGTCTTGTTCCGGAGAAAGTCAAGAGCTTCCTGTGCTGATTCTGGATCTTTTAGCTTTGAGACCGTGTGGATATATTGGCCACGGGACACAAGCTTTGAAGAAACAGCCACGCATCGCGCGGTTTCGATCTTATCACCGGTAAGCATCCATATCTTGACGCCGGCGTTTCGAAGGAGCTCAAGAGATGGTTTCACATCCTTTTGAAGCTTGTCCTCCACACCAGTTACTCCAAGAAGTTCCAAATCGCACTCCAAGTAGCTGTGAACTACCTTTGCCATGAGGGTATCCCGGGAACTAAGCGACAAGGACGCTTGTTTATAGTTCTTGGAAAATTCATGGTACCGTTCTTGTGAGAGCCTCTTTCTTCCAACTACCAGTGTCCTTAAGCCCTCCCGAGCCATATTGGCTGTTTCTTCATCAAGCCAGTCATTGGTTGCTACGATTGAAGACATAACCGTATCGGCGCCCTTCTGGAAAAACCATATCTCGTCCTGGGCCTGTTCTACCCCTTGAGTGTGGGAGAATTGAACGACTATACCCATTCGTTTGCTGTCCGATGTAAAGGGGAAAATGTCTAGGATCTGGGCTCTCACGACAACCTTGCCTGTCTCCACGGATCGCAGCAATATCTTTTGCCTGTCGCGGTATGCGAGCTGAACACCCACTTCCTGTGCATATTTTACGATTGCTATTTCGTCGGGAGATGAGGCTTGATAGGTCGTGATTGCTTGGCCATCCTTCTCGTCTAGTGTCGGTGTAACGTTATGGCATATGGCGAGAGCCATTATTAAATCCCTGACTCGAGAACTGATTTCTCGCCGCGTCCGGGTACTGCCAGCCATTCCAGAGTGGGCTGTATTCACCGAGGATGGCGTAACAAGGGCCGCCAAGTGGGGGTGGTTGGGATTAGATGCTGTAGAGAAACCTTGTCGAACATAAGCTGCAACTTCTTCCATCGCTTCATTTGCATATGATACGGTCCCAACGTGTATTTTTTTCAGTTCCATCTCTGATGAAAGGTTAGCGTACGTACAAATCTCCTTGGAGGCATCCTAGCAAACCTACCATTTTGGGTTAGGGTGCCCGTTTTGTCGGAAAGAAGATACTCAATCCTCCCTAGGTCCTCGGGGATGGTGCTAGTTCTCACAATTGTATCGGGAATTCCTTTGTCTCGTTCGATAAATCTTCCATATACCGACTTCGCCATATCCAAATTCACTCGCAGACTCATGGGAATGATAGTTGAGAAGAGAATGAGATAGACCATGATAGCAATGTACCATTTCTTATCGCTTGTAGGTTGGAATCCTTCCAATGCAACGAGAATGATAGACAGAGATAACGTCAAGACACACAATATTTTTGTTAGGCTGTTGATTTCGTATTCCAGGAGGCCAACTTTGGATCGCGAAGGGGATGTCGACATTGCTGAACGAGTCTGAGAGCCTGTATATATTACACAAGCAAGCGTTGTAGTATTTGAGGCTAGAACGGTGTTTGCCCATGCCGTATTATCGATAGTGAGAGGGGCGGATTTTGTTTGGGAGATTTTGCAGGATTCATTGTTATTTTCTGAACCGTCACCAGCTTCCATAGGAGAGTCATATAAGACGGAAGCGGGCGCCAGTTCCACTCTCCCAACAAATTCATTCACGCTTCTCTCCGGAGCTCCAGCCGTTATTCGAATGCTCCGAAATTCTAAGAGGGGGAGAGTTTGGGTAAGGGGAGAAGCAATTCGTAACTTCCAGTCAGTCTCGCCATCTAACTGATCGGTACGAATAAATGTGTCCACAGAGCCACCGGCTTCCTGGCAAACAGCGTCTTGAGCGGCATCTTCGCTGTTAGGAGTCGAGTTTGAAGCGATGGAGGTTGAAGATTCGTGGTGTAGGGATTGCAAAACAACGACGTCGGCAGGAAGACGTTGATTCTTTCGTATCTTCAGAATATCCCCGACTTTTAGATCCTTAGATTTCTTCACAACCTCAAAAGGGCCGCTTCCTTCATCGTGAGGATCAACCGTGGCCGCACGGGATGGGCTTAATTGAAATGTCAAAACTGTGTACTCCTCTGAGTTTGCCTCTGCGTCCCTTCTCCGGCGAGCGATATCGTCTAGTGCTTCTTTGCCTAGGGATATGGTTACCACGAAGGCTAAGGGGGCGATGTAAGACGACATATAACCAATTCTCAGCACGGGAATGATCTGAGACAGGGCGACAAGAAGGAAGTAAATGTTGAAAAAGAATGAGAATTCATTATACAAAGTACGTGGAAGGAAACTCCAGGCGGTATATTTGGCATTTGAAACAATGTTCGCGGGGTATCGAACGCTCTGTTGTTGGCCGACGAGAACTAACCGAGTAGGCTTGGGCTCTGAAGAGGGAGGTCTGGCAAGGCTGCCTCTGGGATCCTGGGGCGAAGAGTATGCGTTAAATCCAGGAATTCGTAGCTTGGAGCCCAAATTTGCATAGAAGCTGTCCGGCTTTGGAGGATGACGTGAAGGAGGGTCCTGGTTCGGACCGCTAAGGAGAGGGGCGTTATCATCTGCAGAACTCGACGCAGCACGGGATAACCTTCGTCCATCGTCTTCTTGGTCAAAGAGCAAGGCATCCAGATCATCATCTTGTAGCTGTTGTCCCCTGCTTCCCAAGCCACGATTTCTCAAGCGATTTCGAGCGGAGGTCCTGATATTCCTTAGGGCAATCCCAGGGCTGGACCAGTTCCTTTCATGACCTCGTGAAGGTCCATAATCGTGACCAGGTCGTAGCCTCGACGTTCCGGCGCCGAGCTCCTCCAAATCGAGATCATCGTCAGAGTCTGAGAGGACGGAGGGGGTTCTCGAATTGAGCGGACGGTGAGAGTGTGAAGACGTCATATTGAGAGGCGAGATTTATCGCAGTATGAAGACAGTATTCATATTCATATTATTGGATCCCGGTCCCGGCGGACCGTGTTTGGCTGTTCAGAGGAGCTTCAAAGACATGCAGCAGGCAGTTTGTTGTCGTTGTTTGCAGTAGTTAATTAGGGCGAGGTGACCGAGAGATGCTTGCGGAACGTAAAACCAAACCCACCGTATTTTTAGCCGAACACGTCAACCGATCGTCTCATTCGTGAATTCGTAGCAGCGTCGCGGTTGCGATGTCCAGCTGCCTGCGGTGCGCTTCGATCCGCTGCTGGTTAACGACAGCGGTGCCACACACTGGGCATGGATGCAACTAAACTAGCACGTGATTCGTAGGCTCTGTGTGGCGCAGCGAAGGCCGAGCGGAATTATGATGTTCCAAGGAGCTGAAACGCTTCAAATTTGAAAGATTTTTGCACGCGAAGCAGCGGGCTGTGAGGGCGAAGAGGATCGCTCGGGTCAATTTTGGCCTCTTTTGAAATAGCAGTCTTATTTTATTGTTCCATCTCTCGAAGTGGTTTTGCGGACTTCCCACCCTCGAAACCTAGTGATTTAATGTTTACCTGGCCAGTTTCGGGCCGCTGTTGTTCCGTCGCGTGTCATCGCCTCTCATTGGTAGAGCGTCACTTTTCTTACGCCGGACTCGAGCAACAAGACGGGAACCTCCTGATCTTCAAGGTGTCCGATAATTTCTTCACGAGGCACATTTGTGAGACGCTCTACTTATCATCATGATCGAATCCCGGCTTGCCTTGTTCTGAGGGTTGCCAGCGTTACCGTCCTTCCTTCAAGCTGGTCGCGCTTCTCTTCCTGCTACGTCAGTCGCTCTTTCGCCCCCTTCTCTGCGAACAAAACTTCAAGCACACGGGACACAGAGCCGAGATATCGACTCTTGATGGCAGAAGATCGGGTGTTGGGCCATGAAAGCGGCCTGTTCACAGATGCGATCCATCTCGGGGCATGGAATCCGGCGCACAGGCCCGAAGATTTTTCTGACTCCGTTCTACATGAGGTCGCTACCCAAACCTCCGTCCCTATCCAAACTCCAGATCTTGCCCCGTGCCCACCTACAGAATTTGAACTAGAACACCGCGATCCAGAAGCGTCCCCTCCTGATAACGTTCTCGATGAGACTAAGGATGTGGAATACCTACAGGCATTCCCTGAGGCTCCGACAAGGTTAGAAAATAGTGGCCATGTGGATATAACTGGCTCTGAGTATATGCAATCAATTGAGAAGACTCGAGAGGGTGCTGTTATTGACTCGAACAATGGCTCACCGTTCATTGATTCTTTCAAAGGATCAGACGATGACACGGGAACAAACACCTTTCCTGACGACAACATCGACTTTCAGGCGATGATCGGACAAACACATGACGATACAAGGGACGTTTGGGATCGGTCTACTGATGCCCATGTGGAAGATCTATCTACTCAGCTCGTGACTGAACCTTATTCGGCAGAGAATGACAAGGTCAACTCGTGGAACAGCGTATTCGCAGACGACGAAGGTGGCGGTGACTTTTTTAGCCAAATAAGCTCTCAATCAAAACCAACGGTCGCCCACTTAGAGTCTGAACCACGTTCTGATGATATGGCTTCCCACTTGAGCAATGGCAATGTCCAGCCTTCCAATGAAAGCCAGCAAACCAAAGCGATCGACTCACTATTTCAGGAGGATGAGTCGACAGGCGAGGCCGACTTTTTCAATTCACAGGGCCCGGCTCACGTAGAGCCTAGTCTTGAGCTACTGTCTGAAACGCAGCCCAATTCTATGCCAGAAGACCACCCGTTGCCAAGTCTTGATCCCGGAAAAGAGTTACCTCACCACCAATCCGTGGCTGTGGTCCAAGATGAAAAGCCAGAAGTAATACGTCCGGCTGAACCTGGAGTAGCCGAGAATCTTGGAGAGGAGGAATTAGCTGAGCGGTGGAAAGCATTTCTAGGAGACGATGATATATTGATCGAAAATGAAACCCTCGACGGATCAATTGAAGGCGCCAATACGCACACAGCAGAGTACCAACGCCACCCGGTGCAGCCTGCATCACAGGTTGGGTCCGAACAGCCTCCAGTCAATACTTACACTCCACATCAGCCATCATCGTCAGAAATGCTTGGAGGTTTACCAGCGGCAGGTTACTCTTCGACCCTCGGAAATTTAACCAATCCAGAGAAATCGAAAGTCGAGAGCTTCTCAAATCAATCCAAGGCTGGATACCAATCCCCGTATGACTTGCCATTTGACATGCGCCCAAAGCATGCACCTCCTCGCAAGATTGCTCCCCCGGTCGGAGTAAATCCTCCACCTCGCAGTAGCTCCATGTCAGGATCCCGCCCGCCAAGTTCATCCTACATGGTTCCAGGCCCGAACTTCTCTCCTGTGGCAGCTCCGCCGCCCGTTTCAGGTCCCGATACAACCCCTCCATCAACCAAGGAACCAGTTAGGACTGGAAGCTTTTTCGAAGAGCTTCCTGTGGTGTCAAGGTCCCGCCCGTCGACTCGCGGGCGCTACACTCCGCAGCCAAATATGTCTCAACCGGCCAGTAATTTGCCGATGGCGCCGGTGGCACCACCACCTTCTCTCCCACAACAAAGTAGTGACCCTTATTCTCAATTTCAACTGCAACCTCCTGCGCGTTTGGATCCGTATTCAAATCTCTCTGCGCCTCCTCCACAACCGGCTCCTACAACCTCTCGTTATTCACCCCAACCTCCGCCGCCAGGCACGAAACCTGCCCCTTTTCCCCGTTATTCCCCTGCCCCACCTCAGTCAGCATGTATGACAAGCTCAGCGACGTATGTATCGCAGTCACCTACTGTGCAATCCTCTGTCAATGCACTTCCATTCCAACCCCGAACCTCAAGCCCCTTAGCCCAACATGAAACAGCCAAGTCATATCCATCTCCACCACGAAAACGGGGCTCTTTACCAGTTACGTCGATTATTCCAACGTCCAGTGTTCCCCAGTTCGGATCAGATTCACAAATTGTTCCACCCAAACGGTCCATGACTCAGTCCCCAGGGAGAATGATGCCTCTTCAAAGCTCCGTTGCGTCGAACCAAAACGCCTACGTCAGGCCGGCATCAGCTCATGGTTCAAAATCATCAATACAGGCACCCCTATTGCAATCCGCCTACGCCCCAGCTGCCAACAATCGTCCTACTCAAGCTCTGGATTTTGTTGTACCAACGGATGGCCAGGAGCACGATCCTCTTGAACGTTGGAAAGGGGCTCCGATTTTCAAATTTGGATTCGGCGGAACTCTCTTGTCCACTTTCCCAAAGCATATCCCCCGATATGCCACAGGCCAGATGACCCCTCGGATCAAACCCACACTTGGTGATATTAAAACATGCCCAATCAGCCAAATTCTCCCGCATAACGAACCACTGGACAAATTTCCAGGACCCCTAAAGTCCAAATCTAAGAAGAAGGACGTCTTAACCTGGCTCTCTACCATGATATCCGCCCTTGAAGGTGCCCCATCAACAACTGATGGCCATGTCGATCCTGTGCACCAACACCGCCGCGAAGACGGTATCTTACTTTGGAAGGTCGTGAGAGTTTTAGTGGAACATGATGGAGCACTAAGAGGTTCTACAGCGGCAGAGGCTAGTCTTCAAAGTATATTCTCTCCTGGAAGCATGGCGATGAATTCTCAATTCGAATACCCAAGTACCGGCGACTCTGTTAGTGGGTCATTGAAATCTGAGTCTGCCAGCAGTTTAGGGATCGATGTTATCCACAAAAGCCTCGTGGCCGGCGATCGACAAAAAGCCGTATGGGACGCAGTCGATCATCGCTTGTGGGGTCATGCAATGCTTATTTCATCTACCCTAGACAAATCGGTGTGGAAGCAGGTTACCCAAGAATTCATTCGTCGCGAAGTTCGATCTTTGGGCAAAAATACAGAGTCTTTAGCAGCCCTGTACGAGATATTTGCGGGCAATTTTGAAGAGAGCATTGACGAGCTCGTACCTCCCTCTGCAAGAGCTGGTCTCCAGATGGTCAGCGTGCATGCTGGCACGGGCGCCCCCAAGGATGCTCTTGAAGGCTTAAACAAATGGAGGGATACGGTGAACCTAATATTGCAAAACAAAATTGCCCAAGACCACCAGGCCCTCCGGGCGCTCGGTCGACTCCTTGCGTCTTACGGAAGAGTCGAGGCATCACATATTTGCTCTTTAGTGGCTGGGACGGCGGCTGGCCCCATCTTTGGTGATGCGCGCGACCCCCAAGCTAGTATCGTTCTTCTAGGTGCCGACCATTGGCGAAACCCAACAACTTTCATGGTGGAACGTGAGGCTTGCTTGCTGACAGAAGTGTACGAATTCGCGACATCTGTTCTGGCCGCTTCACCTTCCCCTAGCCTGGCGCACCTTCAAGCTTTCAAGCTACGGCATGCGATGTATCTTGCTGAGGAGGGTCATAAGTCCGAAGCTCAACAATACTGCGAAGCAATTGTTTCCATTGTAACCTCGAAGTCGAACGTGAAATCACCGTATTATCATCAAAGATTTTTTGCTGAATTGGATGAGCTGTCACACCGTTTGAGACAGGCTCCTACGGACGGTTCGTCGTCGTGGATATCAAAGCCTAGCATGGAGAAAGTGTCCGGATCGATGTGGGCCAAATTTAACAGTTTCGTTTCCGGTGATGATAACGAGGTGACATCCAATGGATCAGGGAAGGGAGGAGACGGAGACATTGGCCCATTTGCCAAAATTGCGGGAACTCCCCCTATCAGCAGATCTCCCTCAGTTGCGGAGGGACATGGATCATACTTCCCTTCTCAGCCGGTTGCTCCATCGTCCTCGGGTTCTCGATATGCTCCTAATAGCCAGTATTATGCTCCCTATTCTTCTCCCGAACAGTCTCGTGGCCGTCGATCCCTAGATGCCCAAAGGTCCCCTCCCCAAACTGCAGGTCGTTCCTATTCGCAGCGCCGCAATTCTCAGGATCCTTCGACGCCGTTAGAGGGCAATGCCTACGGATCAATGCCAAATCATATTTACGCGTCACCTGCCACTATCGGCTCTCATATAACGCCTCCTCAAGCAAGTCATGCACCTCTCGCACCTGTAGAAGAAATTTATTCTCCCCAAATTCAATCTCCTACTAGTGAAATGCCTGCTATACAAACCCTTCCTGATGGTTTTGGCATAAACCAGACGGGATACATGCCATTAGCGGAGCAAGTTACAAGAGATGACGAAACAAACCTTAAAACGACGACAACAGAACAGAGCGGATACCAGCCACCCACTTATGAGCCGCCATCCTTCAGTACTGGCTACGAACCTCCCTCGTACTCTGCTAATGTTGAAGACAACGAGCATTCAGATGAAGAGAAACCAAAGAAAAAGTCCTTTATGGATGATGACGATGATGATTTTATGGCTCGCGCAGCCCAACTCCGAGCTTCTGAAAAGGAAAAAATGGATCGTGAGGCAGCTGAGGCCTTTAGAAAAGCTGCAGAAGCTGATGGTAAGTGTTTTCTTCCGCGGGGATGAAAACCAATCGCTAACTAAGTTGCCGGTAGCCAAACGACCCCTTGCTACGGAGAAGAAAGGTTGGTTTTCTGGATGGTTTGGAAAGAAAGAGAGCGGCGGTGCCGTTCGCGCAGACCTCGGCGACGAGAATTCATTCTATTTTGACAAAGAGTTGAATAGGTGGGTTAATAAGAAAGACCCCGGCAGTGCCGCCACTGCAGCGGTTACTCCACCCCCGCCCAAGAGCTCTGCACCATCAAGCCAGTCTGTGAGCACTTCCCAAACACCGACAACCCCCAATCTTACGAATGGACGACCGGGTCCTTCAGCTGTTCCAGGAGGGACATTATCAGCCCCTCCACCAGGCATCGCACCATTACCCACTCCGCCGTCAAGCTCCTTGGGACCACCATCCGACAGCCCACGTGCAATCCCAAGATCTGTATCGGCCGGCGCTCCCACAGGACCGCCATCACGCCCTGGTACATCATTGAGTAATGCAAGCTCCATTGATGATCTTCTTGGAGCCCCCCAAGCACGAAAGGGTGGTACAATGAAAACACGGAGAAAGGGCCGTGGTTATGTTGATGTCATGGCGAAATGATTTCAATGTTTTCATCCTATCTGACGAGTTATTATGCACACTTGCATTAGCTTTTGCTCTGCTTCGGTCTCATCTATGCATGATTTTAGTGCGCGGCATTCACAGCAAAACTATTTCTTACAGGTGTTCCTTCGAGGTGAAAGGAACCATAGATATCAACTGCATGTATCAGGGGGTATTGCTACTAACTTTTGGACCTTTTTTCATGTTAAAATTCCTAGGCCACACTTTAAGTCGAGCTTTTTGGATACTAAGCACATATGTCTTGATGAGCGATGGTGATTCAATGGCATGGAACTCATGTCCTTTGGCTTGATGTTTCCTTTGCGGAAGTATTATTTTTCTTTTTTTCTTTTTTCTTTTTTTTTGGTCCATTGTTATTTGCTTGTTCCCTGGAGTCTGTTGCATTATAATTCTCATTTCGAATACCATTTGTAATAAAAGGGATCTCGAAGATTCGGGTTCATCCTTACGGACCCTTAGTTTTATATCCTTCTACTTGACGTTTGTTTTTTTGCACTTGAAGTTCAGCCTGTGTATTATACGAAGCTTCCAAAGAAATAACCATGTACTTAATCTTCATAGAGACCATTTCACTACATGTCTTTCTGATTTGAGTTCCTTTGAATCTCTGATGGTCTTTTTTGTCTCGTGCAGACATTTTATCTAGCTCAGACCAACTCATGGGTGCGAGAAAGGCCGCCCCCTTTGCCATAAACCTGAAGCCTATTCGTCTTTGTTATATCCACCGTAAGCGCCAGAAATATCTTCAGCTAGTGTGTTTGGTATGCAGTTTGGGAAGGTATTGATTTACTGCGGTTTTAGGTGGCATAAGAATTAATATAATACTAGCACATGGTTAGCCTTTGTGGTCTCAATTGCTGATTTTCGACGATTACTTACGGTTAAACAGGAGTCGTCTCCGCTACAGCTATCCTGGAGATATACATATAGAATCAAAGCGGTATTATGAATGAAACCTAGGGACCAAAGTAAGCGTGGATATCGAAAAGCAGACGCAACCAATGAGAGTTTAAACTCTGGGCTGTGCGTCTATAAACTCACAAGCAACGACCCTTGGGCTCAGTCGCCCGACGCTTAAGACGCGTCCCCAGTCTTTACCATCTATTCGTACAGTCGCCCACCCCTCCTCGTTTTCGCCATTCTCCCCACCTAATGCCCTCATTCGCTCACTGGGTAGCACATGCGCCTCGTCTTGGGATACCTGCGCGGGATCAAGCTCTGGATTGACCAATCCTGTCCACACACTCGAGATCTTCAGAGTATCCGTCGCAATCCCCAGTCTCAATGAACCGTGCATATTTGCACTTAACTCCAGTTTTGGACCGGTGCTAACGCCGCCGACCAAAGTGGAGCCGGTACTCTTCATGGTGTCTGCAGCTAATCTGTTGAATCGCTCAGAGATGTTTTTGAGCTGGATTAAGCTGGGAAGAATAATGTGAACGTCAGGTTCGCGACAACGTGGTTCGTGGAGTGTCTCCACGACGGATGGATGGAGCACGCGGACGGGTACTTCTTGGGTGATTAATGTCTCGCGTTCGCGTGGTCCTAGCTGGGGACCTTCTTGTTCCGTGGAATATGGTGGCTGCGTAGGATTTCCCGTTTGAGTTCGGGAGGTGGACCCGGGGGCAGGAGAAACGCCAAGGGCGTTTTTGCCATCTGTCCAGGAGGAACTGACAATTGTTAGAGCAAGAAGGGGCTGAGATCCTTTTTTGGTCAGGCGTAAAGTTGCTGACGCCGCATCAGTCGCCGATTTAAGGGCCCGGTGCAGAGCCGCTATCGGAACTTCGAGGTTGATCACACCTGCAGCAGCCGAGAACGAGTAGGAATCGAATATTGTTTCCTAAGAAATGCTGTTATCATGCCAATTCAAGGTCGAGGACGCTAGGGTGATCCACGCACAATTGGTAACTGCGCCCATACCTGGGTTCCTTGGTCGGGAATGATTGTGAAGCGTACATGCTCTTCCTCAAGCCGCACCCAGCATATTTTCCCCAGAGATGAGAGTGACGCTGTGAATTCTAGGAGGAGTTAGTTACCTAGATTGTGTTTTTCCAAACAATGGTTACATACTAGTGAACGTGGCAATATTTGTCAACTGGCTCCGAAACCTCATCATGTCGAGTCATATCTTGGACCTTGAGAAAAGGGTAAAATGGTACCTCTTATTCACACTTGACAAGAAAAGAAACCTCTAAATCCTCACAGTGACTGATAACATGAACCTTTGAATGGGCATCTCCGTGTATCAGGGTCGCCCACCGCTTCCCCGTCTTTGATCTGATAACGTCGCGTTCCAGCCCGCGAATCTCCCGACGCGATATGATTACTAATCGAGGCTGGGTATCGTATGATTTGCAGCCGGAGTGACCGGTCCTGAAACTAGTATCCAAGGTATCTCCGTCTCTGCTGTGACGTAGTTGATAGTTTCTCAGGGAAGATGACACTCGTCTCCTATTTTTACAGCCCCCATGCCCCTTGAGCTCCCTCCCACCGACGCGTCTTTCATTGCATCGAGCAATTAGGATGTGGTCTGTGTGTCGCGCCAAGGACTTTCGGTGCTTGACCCGAAGCGGCTAGCTCCGCGAGCTTGATTCAACGTCACGCGCCCGTGCTGAGCTAAGCTCGCATCCCTGTAGCTTCACTTCGCTTTGCAGTCGACGTTGCGCTTCATCTTTCGTTCCCCGTGTCGTTTCTTTGTCAATTGCACCCGAGGAGGCGGTTTCTTGCATCAGTTTGTTGAACTTCCCGTCGTTCTTTATCATCTCTCGTTCTCATGTATTCATCCACCTCCGCTCTTTTAACCCAACGCTTTTTCCCCGACATTCTTTTGTTACGCATATTTCCAATCCGTGACGTATCTTGAATAAACCATTGTCGCTCTCTAACTAATTTAATTGCACTCGTTTCACTATCGTTAAAACAGGACTTGTTGTGGACCCATTCCTTAAGCCAGAGAGCCGATCGAGTGTTCCTTGCTCCGGAATTCCTGACGCGGCATGATAACATCGCTTCGATCTTAAGTACAGTTGATTGGTCCACGTTCTTCTCCGGGTCTTCCGCCGTCTTTCGTTCCCGCCTTCGATCAGGCGTCCTGAATTATACCCCGCCATGCGCCTCTCCGACAGAGAAAATGGCTGAAAATCCATTTGAGCCGTTGACACCGGCGCTTCGCCTTACTCCTTCGGCCTCGAGAACGCGGCCACAGTCTCCGCAGCGCCCTCGTTCGCCTGAGCGGAGAAGCCGGTTCCTGGCCCTCGAACTTGACCCTTTGCTATCAAACTTATCTCCGGAGTACACGCTAAGAGCGCTGTCTGCCGCGGACGCGGTTCCGTCGACAGAAAATACACCCTCGAATGCTCTAACGAAAAGCATTGCTAATGTGTCGACTATCGACCGAGCATTCGGGATAAGAGCCGCGTTAACTGCCCAGAAATTGAGAGAATGGTACACCGAAGTGCTTTCATGGCAATGGCCGTCAAGACGCGATGCTGGCCTCGGCAAAGGCTTCCTTCTCCCATCTGCATCTCAAACGGATGCCGACGAAGTGGAAAAATCCCATTTTGGAAGTCTCCCTAGAGATGTTATGGAACAATACGAAACCAGGATGGAAGAAATCAGGGACGATATGGACGCCTTAGACGTTGAGGAACTTAAGGACCACGTCCTTAATGTTCATATACCATCTCGTTCGCGCCCGATATCATCGCACAGCACTGTGTCCATTGACATGAAACCGCTTTCTTATGTACAGCTAAGTGACTTTACTGCAGTTGTGACTGCGACAATTCTCCAGGCTCTGCCCATCCTCTCAAGGTTGAATAGTCTACTTGCTACGTGGGAGGTTCGTTTCACCGTGCTACGACAAATTCCTCGGTTGCTTCGAGGAATCAAACTCGCAAGAACAGATGTTGATGCGGCGTTGGGTCGACTAAAACTCGGTTTGTTACCCGGACGTGACGATCGACTGCTTTCTAGGGAATTATTTACCACAGTTCGTCGAGAATTGGAACGCAAGGTCTTGATGTTGGGAGGCCAAATGGACAGAATCCTTGACGAACTCGAAGGACGCTCGGACTCCCTTCCGGAAGCTTGGATTGATGAGATGGAAGCGATTGAAGGGGATTTTGCAACTTGGGCTTCTCAAGCGCAGAAAATGGCCATTGAAAATGAGTGGAGGAGATCCTTACCCGCATCATCCACGCCCAAATCTCGAATTCCTGACACCAGGTCAAATGACGCCAACTCGCTCTTAGAGTCTCGCGACCCACTGGCAACACCAACTCCAGCAGATCATCATTCCGTCTCTAATAACACCGTTGCTGGGGCTGATAATTCGCTTGCTACACCAAGCCCATCTGCGCTCTCATTCAATGTCAGCAATAAAGTCGCTAACCCAAAACAGCCTGTGTTCAAACAGCCCAAGAACCCCAAACTCGAGATAACTCCTCTGGAAGTGCCAAGCAATCTTGAAGCTCTTAACAGCGCAAAGTCGAGTGAAACCGTCATTTTCCGTGAATCAAAAACTCTTGACTCCCATTCAAGTCCCCCAACAGACCTAAAACATGCGCCTCCTTCTACCAGTGGTCTTCCAGGGTCGCAAGCAAAAGCAATCAAGTGTTTCTCAAAAGGGCATGATATGGAGCAAACGCCTCATGCTGCAATACCAGATGCGGAAAACCATATTCATTGTCATACTGAGTCATTCACGCCTGTTGCCTCCCCAGTTCGATATTTTAGCCCCGATGAAAAAGCTGGCCATATCCCAATTGCTAATCATTCCGGGAGCCCAATTGTCGCAGACTCTCCCGCTAGTGTTATTAGATATAATGTTGGCGAAAGAAGTAATCTTTCCCCGTCAGCTAAAGAATGGGCTTCAGTTTCAAGAATTATGGAAAGCAATCAGCGAAGCGTCCGACGAAGCAAAAGCTTACCGCTCGAGCAATATAATTTCCAGTCCGCTCCTGTATGTGATGACAATGGCATCTGCAATGCTCCCCCTGCACCCAACTCTGAGCAGACTCCCACCTACGCTGAAGAGCGTTCAAAGTTACAGCAGGAACCCAAAGCGTGTGGTGATGGACTTCCATCTCCAAAAGGCAAGTCGCTCGTCGGTATACCTTCAAAGAACGTTTCGGATTTAAATAAACCTCGTTCTCGCGGTGGTATCACTTCCGACGAATCCCCTTCCATTTCACCTAGCCCGGTGGATTTTACAAGTAGCACGCGAGGCTCTACTCCCTCAATTCGAGAAATGTCCAGTCCTCCCAGCCCGGCCCCTGTGTTACCGACCCCTCCAAATTCGGGCCAGCCTGTAACCCCTTCAAGCTCGTTCACCACTCTGTTGCCTTCGACTGTGGTTAAATCCGCTTCTCAAGTGCCATATATAACTCCAAGCAAATCACCCGAAGACCATCTGGAAGAAAAAATCAGTTCTATCCTCACCAGCATTCCCGGTCGCATCCATCTGAGCTCCACCCCAGTTAGTTCCGCTGCCTCAACTGTCGGGAGTCGCTCACAGGCTGGGCAGCAACTTAGCGGAGAACAGTCGTCCTCTCCCTTCCCTACTCGGCCAAGTACCCCTACAAACACGCTTACTATTACGCCCGCCTACGAGCGCCAAAAGCGACGACGTGCACGTATGGATGACGAAAATCCCGTCCGGCTCTACCATCTCCATCGCGGGGGGAAGCTACCACCGTTGAAGCTTTTCGTACGCATGGTTGGCGAAGAGGGGGAGAGAGTTATGGTACGTGTTGGGGGCGGCTGGGCAGATCTAGCTGAGTACCTAAGGTCGTACGTGATGCACCATGGACGACGAAGAATGTCAGAGAGCAAGCTGGAAGTCCAGGAAATTCCTAATACGTCACCGTCTCATCGTTCTTCGCCTTCCCACCGTTCTCCTCATCGTTCTCCGGGTAGAGCCATGAACAATGGTCGTATAACTCCAATCTCTCGGCCAGGATCAGCATTTGATACCCGACCTCCCTCCCCTCTAGCTGTCCGCAAGACTCGGGCTTCTAATACGTCCACACGTCCCACATTGACTGCTGCGAATGTCGAAAAGGCCTCTAATGCAGCCGAGTCCGGCTCTTTCCTACTTTCTCAGCGCCGATTATCTGTCTCCTCCACAACCTCAATGTTTGCACATCCTACTCCACTGGGGCTCGCCGGCCCAATTCCCAAATCGAGGAACGTTTCCATGAGCCCCGAAAGTGAAGCTTGGGTAGAAGACGTCATGGGTCAAGCACGCAAGACGTCTGCGACTCTCAAGTCCAAATTATCTACAGGATCTTTACGGGGTTATCGCCAATCGCCGATGGCAGAAAATGCGCCACAATTTAAAGGCCGCACCGACCCAAACACCAGACGTGTTAGCGATTTTGCTGGCCCGTCGATTGGCACCGGGGTCTCTGCGAATAAACGGGTCTTTTTGAAAGGGTTGAACAAGGCAAGGGTTTGAAAATTCATAATGGCTCCCCGTAATAATCCGTGATTCGCTCCCTACATACCTCCTACTTAGTGAAGAATGCTTACTGTCTCTCTTCTATTGCATACTCACCTTTCCTCTTGCATTTTCTTGCGTTTCCTTTTATTTCGGCATATTTGTTGTTAAGCGGGTTCTTAAACACTAGAATTTGCGGTCACATAGCTGGCGTTGACGGGCCAGAGGTTTGATCAGGTTCGGGCATTGCAGGAACATTTCTTTTTTATTTGTGGTTTCTTTTCATATTGGCTGATTTTACTTACATTTGCCTGGTGCATGCTGTAGCTGTTTTATATTTTTTTCCTGTGTGTTCGGGTTTCTCGTCCAGACGACAAAATTGCCTGGGCTCTCCTCTGGCTTTTCAACAAGATATCCTTTTTGTCTCCGCTAGGCCTTGTTTTTATGGGAGGATATTTCTTTTCATCCATTTTGCCTGAACCTGCTTCTTCCATTCCGCAAGGTGCATTGACATTCAAACCAGCTGCTGCATCCTCACTCTATACCCTGTGAAACCAACCGGCTCCTTTGGCGTTATTGATTTTAAGGTGTGCTTTTTCAATTGTCCATAAGAGATTAGAGTGGCGGTTATCTTTCATGCCTCAGTTAGCCGATATAGTGGCAAATAATTAATACAAGCAATTATATCTAGAATACTCTCATCTCAGAATTAGTAGTAAAGAGAAATCAGAACCGCTTTAGCATAATCGTAACAATCCCCATAGCCTATGATCCAAGCAACACATTTAACTAGAAACTGTATGTATGCATAAATTGCTACCAAGACAATCATACTCAGAAAACCACCCTGAGTAGCCGCAAACGGCCCTCGTTCCGGATACTTCGAGATCCATCTCCAATGACTAATACAATTAGAATAACTAGAGCCGCGATTGAGCCATCTCTATTGCCCAGAGCTGCGTTCACCTCTCTCGAGACGCGACACTTCTTTACCCAACAGCTTCCGAAGCAGCGGTGAGATAACTTGGACAGTATCATCGCCGGCGCTTGGAGACTGTCGATTGCTGGAATCACGCCTGGAAAGGCCCTGGACACCGCTGGCGGAAATCACTTGCGGGGCTGATGGTGAGGGCTGTGGAGGGTTGGATTGCTGTGATGGGGGGGATTGCGATTGGGATGCCCTGGCGGACCCGGACGGAATAGGCTTGCGTTGACGCACAGGTGCGCTGGGAAAATTGTATTTCTTATCGATGGTCTCGACTTTTTTCTGGAAGCGGTAAAAAAGTGCTTCTGCTCTACTTAGGATGGGGATTAGGTCTATTGTGTTCGAGAGCTCGTTTACTGCATGTGCATTTACGGTTAGCTTCCAGGCGACAAGATGTGAGGTGGAAACGAAACCATGGCAAACTGAGACAGCAACGTACCGTATTTCAAGATTTCGTCGAAGTGTTGCAGGTGAGCAATGATGATATCCCGGTGTTTGTCTAATATAGCGAGTGCAACGAAAATATGAAAGCTGCTGGACAAATAATCCGTCCAGAGGGCTTCCCACAGCCGTAAGACATCTACCCACTCAAACTCTCGCTTGAACCATACAAGGAACATGCGGAAGAAGAAAAAGAAATTCGTGCTATCTGTCTTTTGGAGGTGGATGTAAAGCTGTGGGTCCATGAGTTGGACAAGTTGGTCGAGAGTAAGCAGCTGCTCCCGCATACCAGATTGATCGCGAAGGAAATTCCGCTCCTTAAAGGTCGTTAGATGCTTAATCCTGCATTTTAAGAAGAATTAGGGGCTGTAGACATTACCATTCTATCCATGAAGCCGACAAAGCCCCAAAATGCCACAGCATCGTCTTGCATGACAGCATATATCGGTGCAAGGAGATCACTCATTCCTTGAACATAACCCAGGTGGCGGTTATATTCGTTGTACGTAAGAAGCATGTCTTTCATCTGTTCTAAATGGACGTTTGTTCCTGTCTCCGCAAATGGAGAGTCTGGGTCTGGGTGAGGAATGTCCTCTCCCGCAAAGAGCGGTATAGTACGGTCCGTGCGATGAACATCTTTCTCTGCATGTCGAATCCCCAAGGATGGTTGTCGGTTAGCCTTCTGACTGTGTAGATTCTGAACCCATGGATAAAACTAAGATTACCCACCTATTCGATTCTTTTGCTCCTTCCACCATTCATAATCCTCTGCGGTCGAGGTACTTTCGATCATGCGTTCCCACCAGCCTCCTTTAAGTCGCACATATTCATCCCTTTTCGAATTCATCATCGCCTTTCGTTCATCTTCGCCGCTATCCCAAGAGTATACTCCGAGTAGGAATAGCCAAGCTTCCTTTCGCACTCCATCGTTGGGATCAAGTCCACCATGGAAGATGCGCTCTTTCGCCTCATCAGGGGTAATCTGCAGCCGCCCAGTAATCGAGTCGAACCAGCTGTTCCATTCTTCCTTTGTAACAGTCTTCCGCCTCTCGCTTATTGTCATATTTGCTGCTTCCATATTCAATATTTCAAATTCGCCAACAGAGCTATCTTCCATGGCTAATACGTCCTTTGCAGTCCATATTCGCTGATTTCTCTCACGCTCGCTCTGTTCCGCGATGCCCATGGCCCACCTAGCAAGATACAATCTGGCACTGTCGAATTCATCCTGAAGCGTCTGGATTTCTGGATTTCTCATGAGTCGCCTCACCTGCGGTGGTACCCTGGGGTTTTCGGCTAGATCCTGCGCCGTCCGTCTGGTGAACGTGGTGATTTTGCTGAATTGTTCCAAAACCTTCCATCTCGTTTCTTTTAAAGCTTTGGTGATTGGGTCCATTCCTGCGTCCCTTTGTGGCTTGGGAGCCGTTTGAGTACTTCCAGGAGGCCGGGACGCCTTGTCTATTCCAGGCAGATTTCCAAATGAGGTCTTGTCTTCTTCTGATGGGTTAATGAGATAGACATTTGGATCCACGCCTGAGCGGTAGACTTCCACATATCTTTTCAACCATCTCAGAACCTCGTCGCCTCCCCAGAACATATGGCCATCTTCAAATGGGTCAAAGCTCTCCTTTGTTTTCTTCTTTTTCTGTAGAATGGTTGATTCACATTCACTGTCATGGAAAAATAGAGCCGGAGAGCTATCCCCGGCCTTTGTATTTATAACAACGCTTCCAAACCACCAACCCAGACTTGGTGGGCGTACCAACAGCGAGTATATCTGGGTCAAGGGGATAGCAAAAGCATATAAACCGATGGAATCGCCATGAGACGTCGTGGTTGGCAACGGTGGCACAAGATATGACTGGCGCGGAGGGGAAGAGCTATCTGAAAGATCGACTTTTACATATGTGTTGTAGGCATCCCCCAAAGACGATTCGGGGACCCAAGCGAGAAGATATGAAGCGGCACTGACCGATGTTGAAGAGGATGACGAACTAGGTCTATTCCCATCGTCGGTTGGAGAGGGCTTCTGCTGAATCAGGGCTATAAACCCCGGTATGTTGTCTTTCGAAGAGGGAGTAGGGTGTACGTAGACCTAGATTGTCAAGGCATCAGCCATAGGTATTCATTCGAATACTTGGTGTGATTGTGTGGGAAAGGGATGGCCAATAGCCCGAAATCGCAGACCTTGCTCTTAGAGAACAACAGCTTGACCCCCTTCCCCGTCTTTGTATGGGTGATGGTGTTGTACTCGCCCTCTTCATCGTCGCTGATATCATAGAACGATGCTGATGGAGAAGGCGGGGAAGGCGGCGGAGTGAACTGGGTGGAACGGCCAGCCATGGCCTGGCTGGTTTGATCGGGTTGTCTCAAACGGTCAACCAGATTGATAAATATGTACAAAGTAGTTAATTGATCTCTCAGACGGAATATTGCTGGCTGGCAAGGTTGTCGTTGGCTGACGATGATCGCGGCATGTGACGCAGTGACGCAACCGGACATTCCGCGTCTAACTTGAGCCGTTCCGTACCAGTCCCAGTAGAGTTATACGGATTCCATGTCGCTGCTTCGGTTATCTTGCCCTCTTTTCTGGCCTCGACCTCACCGCCCAGGCAGCCAGCTTTTCTCTTCATGATGGACTCTGCCGGCTTGATGCCCCTGACTCTGGCTGGTCTACTCTGTATTTGCCCTCTGATATCGCTGCACCGTGTTTTCTTTTCCATTTTCCTTTATCAAGTGCTATGCTTTGCGCTACTTTCGCTATAGCGAATTGGGCCTTCTTTCTTTGCTGCGACAGCTTTCGGGCTGCACAATCAAGAGAAGGAGATTTATGTCTCTCTTTTTCTTATTGGAACTTTCTCTGTTAGTCCACCTGGGCTCTCTTATGTGACAGAGAGACCAAAGAGTGCAAGCAATCCGAAATATGTGGCCTAACATCTCTTCTAACCAAATCCCGCACGAATAGGGATTGGAGAATCAGTCCTATGATCTGGGAGGCCACGGAGATATGGCGGCTTGCCAGGATACAAAATCTGCCGACAAGGACTCTGCATCAGCTTTCGCTCGCATTATTATATTTGGCCGAGCGGGTCAATGTACCTGGCTTTGTAATTTTCGGTTCATTGGGAACGCCATGCCTGAGCTGAAAAGAAATTGGCCAGAAATCCTCCGTGGCCCGATTTCAAGAAATCTCACGCGCATGCCGAGAACTATTCAGTTAGGTCCTATTCACTCAGTAAAGTACCTATGACAATTCTCCCGGTCAGCTTTGCCACCATTTCTCTAGGGGGCTGACCGTTTTTGTTGGTTCTCATTTTGTGCGTGAGGCCTCACCGTGAACGAGCCGCCTTTATATACTTCAACTTTTTCTCCTTTTTTTTTTTTTTGCTCCTGCTACCGAATCAAGGATCACCGTTTGATTTTCCGACCCCCTATCATATTATTATCTGAACATGTCGCCCAGCCGGACTGAAATCTGCTCTGAGGAGCCAACGTTCACAGGGCCCAAAGCCAAGGTGGCTTCGGTTCAAGAGGCCCCGAAGTTAGAGCCTGTGCAAGAACCATGCCTGACCCCGGTCCCCGTCGATGGCATCCTCGATGAGGGGCAGCAATATGACGTTCATACACACACCTCGGAGAGAATCCTTTCTGTCCTCAAGCCATACCTCCTCGCCAAATCACCCGACGCTCATGATCTCTGGGTCCGGGGTGCCCCAAAATTCATTTCAGTGATCCGCAATTTCGTTGAGAAGGGCCAAGTGGTGCAGATGTGCCTGCCGGCCTTCCCTTGGAAGTCTGCCAATAAGGTCCACAAGGTGCTCGGCACTCTGCCGGACAAGGCCGAGGAGGTGTCCCTGAAACGCTTAAATGACCTGTGCGAGGCCATTGGCGATGTCTACAATCCCGGGGCGGAGCTGCTCATCATTTCCGATGGGCTGGTTTACAATGGTGATCCGATCTAAACCTCATAGCTCTTTTTATCCCCTGCGCGTTGGTCCCAATGCTAACTAGGCATTTCCAGATCTCTTCACCATCCCGGACCGCGACGTTTGGGAATACGGTGAAGCTCTGCGCGCCCTCGCCGTCGAGACGAAGTGTACTCACATTCGCTTCACTCGCCTAAGGGACCTCATTGACGTCCCCGGCCTCCCAGAGAAGCTTGACGAAGTCACATACATCGCTAATGCGACGAACTTTCGACGAGCGCTGCTAAATAAGTTCAGCAAGCCGGATCTAGACGTGCCCAAAGAGATCGCTGAGAACGAGGACACGAGATTGACGTACTGCGGCTACAAGCGCTTCCTGGAGAACGATCTCCGGTACATCTTTCCCCTAGGCAAGAACAGGAGTGTCAACAAATATCGCAAGGACGTCAAGTATGTGGCCCAGCAGATGATCAGCCGCGGACATGTAAGTTTAGGAGCCTGTTTTGTTTTTACTCGTTTATTACCTTGACCAACGTCGATGGGATGACACGCTGACCTTTAGCCTATCAGGCATTCGCGGGTGCTGTTAAGCACAACTTCCCGGATTACCTCCGCCTGAGCATCCACCACTCCACGGGCGAACACAAAGTTTCCATTAGCCTGTTGCCGACAAGCACTTCTTACACGACACCCTGGCACTGCTGCGTGGCGATTCTGGCGGACGGGAACATCATCAGCGGGCCAAAGGGAGATTTTGAGGAGGATCCGAGGCTCGAACTCGTCCGGGACGAAGATGGGAGACCAACTCACTTCAGGGAGAGGGTAAACGAAGCTGTAGTAGAGAAAGTTTCAGTAGAAAAGACTTGAGTGATAGGTACTTGGGCCTTTTTGATGGTTTTGAATTTGCCTATCTAAACTACATTGATGAGCCGTTTGCTTCATCGTGCGGTATCCTTACATATCTATTGCTTAATATTTGGAAATTTCTATCACTCCCTTTTAGGCTCATTTTCTCTCTTCCTATTTTCTCTGAAATAGATTTCAACTCAAAACCTTACATATTATATTCCTTCATTCCTTACTTTTAAGAAATGCTTTGGGCGCTTTGTAATTAAGCGACTTTCCAGTAAATATTAGCCACACTGACTATGAACTCTAGTTCTCTCGACCTAGCGAAGGAGATCCGTCAATAGGGGAATATATATCTATGAATGAGAAGAGTCTTGTATTTTATTACACACTTTCTACTATACCCATCGAATAACCTGAAATGTACATCATACAACCATTTTATATATCCAAGCGCACTCGGTCACCCTACCCCTTCAACTTTAGTCTCTCCCACTTATTAGCCACGGCGAAAAAAACCGCCACGCCAGCATAGGCCGTTACGATCAAGAAGACGGCACGCAGGCAGTAGAGGTAGGCCTCCACAATGCCTGGAACAACATCAGCGGGGAATGCGCTGCGGATTTCAGTGGCGCCCGTAACGATAACGCTGAGCGGGTCTACGTTGGGCGCTAGGGACGGAAGCTTGGATAAGAGGAGGTTGCTCAGCACGGATTGGCCAGCACCCAGGGAGGTCGATGAGCCAACGCAGAAGGAGACTAGAGTGCAGGTTAGGGGCCTGATATAAATGGGTTGCATTTTATAGAGTGAATGTGTGGGGTTTCACTTACATAACAACATGGCTGTGGTCGAAGCAAGGTCTTCAGCCCGCGCGTTGGCCTGGCCCGCGATGATTGCCAGTGGCAGACCGGACCCGTAGGCGAGGCCAGCGAGGAACTGGTAGCCAACCCACTGGGCCTGGGGCGAAGCAGCATGGAGGGTGTATATCAGGCCGGAACCGATGCATCCACCGGCGCTGGCCCATAGCATGAGTGGGACGTAGTGGCCGAACAGTGAGACAAGGACACCCGCAAGCGCGGAGCCAACGCCGCAGCTAATGAGCAGGGGGAGATTGTAGACACCGGCCCTGGAGGGCGAGACGCCCACGACGACTTGGAAGTAGATGGGGACGTAATAGAGCAGGAGATAGAAGGCGCCCTCGTGGAAGAAGCCGAAGGCCATACCCATGGCGACAATGCGCTTTTTGAGCAGTCGTGACACGAGAAGGGCGTGGTCGCCCTGGAGGTACTGCGAGACTACAAAGGCGACCGTGGAAACGGCGCAGGCGACAAGGAAACCGACGACCTCGGCCGAGTTCCATGCCTCATCAATGCCGGCTACCTCGAGCGCACGCGTGAAGAAAATGAGCGAGGCGAGGGCGAAGGTTATGCCGATGGGATCCATGTGCGACAGCTTCTCCTTCAGCGGAGCCTTACTCAGGTGGGTAGCCTGGGGAGGGCGGAATAGCAGGAAGATAACGAGGGCAGAAGCGCCACCAATAGGCAGATTAATGTAGAAGCACCACCGCCAGGTCGTTTGTTGGGTAAAGATGCCACCCACGACGGGGCCTAAAACGTTGGCGATGCTATAGATGGTGGTGATGAAGCCTGTAAAGACCGGCCGGAGCTGGGGTCGCACGACGACGCCCAGGATAGCATATCCACCAGACGCTATGCCTGCGCCGCCTACACCCATGATGGCGCGCCCGACAATGAGGACGGTGCTGCTGGGCGCCACGCCTCCATTGAACAGGCCAATCAGTCCCGGGGAGTGGTAGATATGGATATAGTATTAGCGTTCTTACCAGCAACCAGTGAGCCCAGGTCGAAGATGAAGACGGCGAGCAGAAAGGTGTACTTGATCGAGAAGTAAGGGTAGACCTTGCCCCTGCAGATTCTCGAGTCAAGAGCAGTCCGGGTAAGAGGCGCAAAGGACTCAACCAGTGCGCGAAGAGAGGGAGCAGGAGGGTACGTAGTTACCAGAAAGGCTGGAAGCAAGCTAGCGCAATAAAGTAGGCCGAAGCGTACCAGCCGACGAGGTTGATGCCTTTGAAATCATCGGTGATGCGAGGAATGGCAGCAGCAACGATAGTCTACCGCGACCAGAACCATAGGGTACCGGCGAGCATGAGCCAGGGAAGAGAATTCAATAAGGCATCATCGCTTACCATATCCAAACCGACCTGTGGCATTAGAGTTAGCATTGTGTATGCTACGGCAAGAGATTCAGCAAGTACCAGAAAGAGAGCCAAAGCAACTCCGACAGAGACGCAAGACGCCCAGAAAGCGCTGGGATACTTGACACTGTCGTTGTCATTGTCATTGTCATTGTCATTCTCATTGCCATTGTCGCGGACGGGCGCCGCTGTGTCGCTATCGGGCAGAACATCTGCCTTGTTTTCAGACAGCACCTCCATAGTGGCCTTGGTTGAAGTGGGACGGAGCCTGGGAGAGGAACCGCCAGAAGGGAGAATGAAACCAAAAAAAAAGAAAAGAAAAGAAAAGAAAAAGAAAAAGAGAAAAACAAGAAGAAGAAGAAGAAGAAAAAGAAGAAAAAAAGAGAAGGGAAAAGAAAGAAAGAAAGAAAGGGAGGGAGAGAGCGGTTAAGGCATTTCCATCTTGTTGGAATGCAAGTGAAAATGTGCTCACTTTTTGCCAGGGATCATGACACTACTCGAGCACGTTGCTTGCTTTTCCTCAGCTTTCTCTCAAGGAGGGTAGCTGAAAAGCTGTTGCAACCAGGATTTTCTCGATGCCCGGGAAACTCGCCAGGGGGAATACGGGCAACCAATAAGGACAAATAACTAAGGCCTCAATCGGCCAGGCCGACGACCAGAGAAGTCAAGAAAAAAAAAAAAAAAAAAGGAGGCGACTACTCCGTAGATATCACGTTTTGTTCAAAATACTTGAAATGAAGCGGTGTGGACTCGAGCAGTAATAATGATATTCTGAGAGCTTTTATGACCCCTTTGATTGAGCAGGATTGTGCTGTGCTCTGGGCCTACCAGGCCTTCAAAACCGCCGGTTGACTGGCTAGTTAAAGGCCTGAGAGTTAGTTATCTTCCAGAGATCTTTCCCTTCAAAGAAGACGAAGATCGAATTCTGAGATGTTGCGAATGAATGAGCAAAATACTCCCGTACGCGAGAGTGAATGCGTGACAGACGTGACCAGTTGCAGAGAGACGACCATCCCAGATTCCTAGCGACCCCATCCATGCGCTTGCTAGCAATCCAGGCCATTCCAGACTTCCCGGCGGACCCGGCGGCACCAGCATTGCTGTTAGCGTTCACCCGCACCCGCCAACGCCAACGCCTCCGATGGGGATCGACATCGCGGCCATCTCCGGCCAGGTCCCGGCGATCGTGCTCCCGATGCTGAATGACTCGCGACATAACAAGCGTAGGTAACTAACTAATAGTTTAGGCATGCATGGAATCTTGAGAAAACAAAACCAACCTATTTCGGGCACTCTCACCCACTCACTTGCTCCTAAGGACTTAACAGGCCAGACGAGAGGAAAAGACCCTGCATCAGATCAAGAAAAGATCCGAGCTGAGAAGCCAGAGAGTCACTAACTACATGGAGAATAGCATCTTGACTCTGCGCTCGAGGCTTCAGCCAGTTGAGTGCGTCGGATGCAGCTCATTTCCGCTTTCCATAGGGCTGCTGGCATGATTCGCGATTCGACATCTTCCGGCCAGTCTACGGGGCAGCTGAAATAAATATCTTCAGACAGTTTTCAAATAATATTACTCCGTTCTCCGTAGCCAAAAAACAAATGTTCGCGGGATGGACAGCTAATTCGTACAAAAGGTGTTCCTTCGACCTTATAGCCTCATTTGGGTTAGGCGTCGACAAACGATAACTAATATGGAGCCAGATCTCTCCTTTGAGTACTAAGTAACCAGCTTTCCTGTATGGAAATTGCTGTCTTGGGTCATATGTTTAACTAGTTAACCTAACCGATCAAAGTTGATTTTCAGCCAGCAAAAAGACATGATTTGAAACGACTGTCGAATTCTATGGGTGTGATCAAGCAAAACACTGCTTCCGCTCGAAGAAAAAAAAATTAAAAAATTAAAAAATAAAAATAAATAAATAAAGAGTCCATTGAACAGCTGAGGCTCATTGTGCTCTACTCTTCAAAGAAGCGTGTACTCCCAGAATGCTCGATATTTCTTTATTTCCCTAAGAGTGTCCTCCCCTCACTCGCTTGCTCCTAAGAGCTTACATGGAGACTAGCATCGCGACACGGTACGGAGCACGGATCCAGATAACCCGGCTACTTGCACATTCAGGGAGGATCGGCTAGTTTCTCTGTACTTGTGAATGCGTCGAGTCTCAGTTTCTGGACGCGACGCAATTGATTTCTCTTACTGCGTTAGACGAGTGCATCCCGTGAGAATGCAACCTCCCTTGGCCACCGCGGGCGATTTTCGGCCATATTGAGGCCGGTCCGACGGGGCATCCTAAAGGGGTATTCCTCCGCAGATATCCTCCGTCAATGTGCCGCCCTCAATCGGCCAATTCGCCGCTTTTTTCCTCCGATCTAAATGAAAGACTACATCGAGGGAATGCCGCCATCATCGATGTCGCCATTCGTCACCTCTCTTAAGATGCGTATAAAGATAACCATGATGCAGTCACAGCACGGGCACCTGTCGCTCGTTTGTTAAGGATTGCAATCCAAGCCCAAGTTCTAGCCTCGATTGTTCAGTATGGCCGTCTCCAAGGACTATGGCAGACGCCTCGCCATTACGATTGTGGATGAAAGGGCCCGTGACGACCCTGAGCGGGTTTCATATTCGCTCTCACTTTCGAGCGATATCTCCAAGGGATTCCGGGATATCACCGCCAAGGACTTCGCAAACGCTGTCAACAGGACGGCCTGGTGGCTAGAGTCAAAATTGGGGAAGGGCTCGTCGTTCCCGACCGTCGGGTACATTGGTCCTCGTATAGCCCCCCCCCAAACCCGCGGGAAGACCGCTGGCTCGTTCCATAACCTATACTGATACTAAGCTAGTAAACGACTTTCGATATATCTTGCTTATCCTTGGTTGCGTCAAGGCGGGCTACAAGGTCAGCGTTACTCGCCCCAATCCTCTCAGAGCCCGTCATGGTAACTTCTGTAGGCTCTTTTACCGTCTCCGCGGAACAGTGTCGAGGCCACGGTGGCGGTACTGAACGCGTCCAAATGTGACATATGGGTATCTCCAAAGGAGCAGCCGGAAATGCTGCCGCAGCTCCTCTCCCGGCGCCCTATGAAGGTATTGGAGATCCCCGAAACCGACGATCTCCTATGCGCGACACCTGTTCCACTCTATCCATACAACAAGACTTTCCAGGAGGCGGCCAGAGACCCTTTTTGTGTGCTTCACACCTCGGGATCGACTGGCCTTCCGAAGCCCATCGTCTGGAGTAACTCCCTGCTCGGCACTTTGGATGCCACTCGTTTATTGCCAGAAAGCGAGGGACGGCCTCCTTGGACTGTCGTCTTCGATGAAGGCGACCGGTTCTACTCAGCATTTCCCCTCTATCATGTAAGAATGCCATTTGTCTTAGACTTTAATATCTGTAAAAAAAAAAAAAAAAAAAAAAAAAAAAAGAGAGAAGGAGCTTGAACTAAGTCGTACATCAAGCTAACTTGAGCTACGTCTTAGGGCGCCGGATTGATTATGAATATCCTGATCACGGCCTTTTATGGCACCAGCAACGTGCTTGGCCCGGTGGGTGTACTTTCAACAGTTAACCTTATTGATTCTCTCCTCGACAACACAGACATCAAAGTCTGGAGCATTGTCCCTTCGATAGTGGATGATATAGGAGACACGCCTACCATATCCGCGAAGTTTGCAAGTTCCAAAATCATAATTGCATCTGGGGGTGAGACAGCTAAGGCCCAATCCCTAGCAAAATACAATGTAGATATGTTCTTTGGCTGCTAACCAGAAAAAAAGGCCCGGTCACTTACGCCAGCGCCAACAAGGCCAACGAATATGTTCGAATACTAAACATCACCGGTACCTCTGAAGGTCTTTTCCAAGGAAGTCTTCTCGTGGAGCGTGAGGACTGGATATACTTTTCCTTCCACCCCTATGCCGGATTTGACTTCAGAAAGATCGACGATGTTATCCACGAGCACTGGGTGATTCGAAACGAGAAATACACCGACCTCTATCAGGGTATTTTCCATACGTTCCCTGATTCTAAGGAAATGACCCTAAAGGATTTGTACGCTCCACATCCCACAAAGCCAAACTTGTGGATATATAGAGGGAGAACGGATGACATGCTTGTGATGTCAAATGGAGAGAAGATCCACCCTCTGGCTGCTGAAGCAATCATCAACAGCCATCCAGCCGTCAGCGCTTGCCTTATGGTTGGTGCAATCCAGTGATCTCTACACCTCTGAAGAGCTAGCCACTCTAACCCTCCATCTACGTGTCGTGATTAGCTGAATCTTTTCACTGACAACATGTATAGCTTGGAGCTGGTCACGCAATGACCACGCTTCTTGTCGAGCTGATAGACCCCGAACCATCATTAACGGCAGAGCGCGAGGCGCTTCTAGATAGCATCATGGAAACGGTCCATGTTGCGAACGCCAGTGGGGCCAGGGAGGCACGCATATTTCGGGAATGTATCAGGTTTGCGAAGCCCGACATGCCATTCGTCCGAACAGACAAAAACACCGTCAAGCGCCGCGACACGACTATCCTGTATGAGAAAGACACCGAGGACTTTTACAAGGGGCTGCTGGAAAATGGCAACCTTGCAGCCCACATCGACATTACCTCCACCACCACAATATCTCAAGGCATCCTACACCTGCTGGTAACGGCTTTACCTACGGTAAAGGAAATCGGACCGGATGACGATCTTTTCAACGCCGGAGTCGATTCCCTTGTCGTTTTTAGCATCTCCAATTCTCTTCGCTCAGCTCTTGGGAAGCACAATGTCAGTGAAGAGACAAGATCTGCATGTACCGCCAAGTTTGTGTATAGTCATCCAACCATCAACTCACTCACAAAGGCCGTCTACAATCTGGTTCACGAGATAGCTGATACCGTTGATACCTCCGTCGATTTGCAAAGGGAGATCGTGGCCAAGTTTCGTGGTCAATACACCGCTGACTTGCCATGCGCCACTCCCAAGCGGAAAGCATTCGATGCTACAGCAGATGGCTGCACGGTTATTTTGACGGGAAGCACCGGATCCTTGGGGTCTTACTTGCTCGAATCTCTCGTGTGTCAAGAGCAGAGCGTGAACAAAATCTACTGCCTCAACAGGGCAGAGGATGGCAAGGCGAAACAGACTACAGCCAGCGAGTCGCGAGGGTTGACTACAGATTGGCCACCACAGAGAGTCGAATTCCTGCAGGTCGACGTGTCGAAACCAAGATTCGGACTTGGAGAGGAAACCTACAACTGTCTTCTTGAGCAGACAACGCATATAATTCGTGAGCTTCTTCCTCTCATTTTACATCGCTGATACACTAGCGGTATGCACGTATATACCTTGGTAGACTAACAGAACTCGACCCTGGCAGACAACCAGTGGCCGGTAAACCACAACTGGGATATCGCCTCTTTTGAGCCTCAGATCCGCGGCGTCCGGCACCTGATTGATTTCTCGCTCAACAGCAACCGCAACGCCTCCTTGTTCTTCGTATCGACCGCTGGCACCGTCAGTCACCTGAGCCCAGACGGTGTCGTTCCTGAGGCACCGAACCATGTCCTAACCACGAGGGTTGACGGCTACGGTTCCGCCAAACACACATCCGAACTCATCCTCGAGGATGCTGTGGCCAGGTCTGGCGTAAATGCCTCGATATGTAGGGTGGGACAGATCGCAGGGCCGGTGCTACGAGGACCCGCAAAAGGCATGTGGGGGAAGCAAGAGTGGCTGCCGACGGTATGTTGATTTCTATTTTCCCCAAAGCCCACGCCTAGACCGGCCACACTACATACAGTACGATATTGTTGCTAACAGGGTGTCCTGCGATGGCGTAGATGATTGCAAGTTCCAAGTACCTCGGCGTCCTGCCTTCGACGCTCGGACCCCAGAACCGAGTCGATTGGACACCGGTGGACCTGCTCGCCGACATCGTTGTCCAGCTAGCCGGAGTAGCCCTCGGCGGCATTAACGGCGTTAACGGCGCAGGCGCCGCTGGCACAAGTGCAGCCAACGGCTTTTCGTCCACCACCGCTACTACCACTCGCTCCCTACCCGTCTATCATGCTGTCAACCCCAATTCCGTCGACTGGTCAAGCCTAGTCCCAGCGGTGGCAAGACATCTCGGTGAATCTGTCAAGATCGTGTCATGGGCCGAGTGGGTGGACCATCTGCGGAATTCCCAGCGTGAAGCGACGGGCACGCTTAGCTTGAAGCAGAACCCGGGGCTGAAGCTGCTTGATTCCTTCGAGGCATTGGCCGAGGCAGCGGTAGAAGGAAAGGATTGCCCTCGTCTCGAGACCAAGGAGACGCTGGCGAAGAGCCCCAAGATGGCTATGCTCAAGCCGGTTTCTGAGGAGTGGATGGACTTGTGGTTGGAGCAGTGGAAGTTTTAGATGCCCTGGCTGCTAGGACTGCCTTCACTTCGCAGGAAAGGCGCAGTTTGAGAAGAAAATAACGTGTTGCAATTGTCGAGTGGAACCATAATTGTGAAGTTGAACAGGGCTTCAACCTGACTATGCTATGAATTTCGAGATAGAATATGTGGGGTGCTGCAGCTGAATTTCACTTAATGTGAAACCAACAGATTCTGCTGGGACTTTAGTGCTGTTATTTGTTTTAACATAACTATTATGATCTGCATTCACCATCATATAACTAGTTTGAACTAGTAGCCTGTTAACCGCTTTTCGTAGCTTAAATTTTGTGCCCAGCAACCCATTATATTCTTAATCACATCAATTTATACCATTTTCCATCTCAGTATTTTTATGGAATACTATTCACAGAAGAGTTAAGAGATTAATTGTTCCAGGGGTTATAATTGATAGCAAGCCCTAGGCGATCTAGAGCATTGAATGGAAAACGATTTGCAGCGTCCGGTGTGAGATATTAAGCACAGAAAACTTCTGCCAGCGAAGGTGTCTGGTATGCGTTGCACTCACTCCATAAAATACTGGTGCGAACCTTGGAAGGTGAAACAAGGTTACCATTTGGAACTGAGGGTGTTTCACTGAAGCTATATCCTCGGAGACTCCATGTTTTCAGGTTCAGCAACCATCCCCATGGAGCCGCGTCCACGCTGGCTAGTGAATCTTTCCTCGATTTGCATGGCCTTTTTCGAAAGTTCCTGCGAAATCAGCCGCCTATTCTGCGTCCACTGCTCGACCCGCGCCGCCACAATCCTTGCCTGGGTGATGTTAAAGTCAAGTCTCTTCTGGAGAAGAACATCCTTCATGGAGCGCACTCTCAGGCCCTGGCCGCTGAGCAGGACCTCACAGAGCTGGAAAACTTTAAATATAACGGCCGTTATCAAGGATGCAGAAGCCAAATCCAAGGGGGGGTTCGTCCATGTCGAAGAAGCTGGCTTGGGCAAGCTCCCCTCGTCACACACCTCAAGCAGGAGTTTGCAGCTGGAGTCGATGTCTTCCAGGATATCTTGCAACTGGTCATCCGACACTTCGAGTTTCTTGGGCGTTGGCAACGCACCCTCTTCCGAGGTTGTAGACGTATCCTCGTCAGTCGTTATGAGATGTCGCTGAAGCCTCGCGCAATGGTCCAGCAAGCTAGCAAACCCCCCTTCTCTAGATTCTTCACCTCGGGATCCACTGCGATCGTATGGTTGCTTGGGAGTCGTTGACCACATGGGACATCGCGACACAACGTCGGGTTGTACGTCTGTAAAGGGGCGACGGGTTGGATCAGCAAAATTCGAGAAAGTGGGTTGCATGCCCAGGAGAGTGCCGTCCACGGCCTCAGAGAATCCTAGCGGCTGACCGGAGTCTTGCAAGCCGGAGCTCGGTTGCTCTGTTTGTAGTGCGAAGTCTTGAGGACGGACCCAATCGAAGAGATCATCATTACTGCTTTGGTGGCTAGCCCTGGGAGACTTTCTTGCTGGCGGGCTTGCGAGCGGGTTTTCAGACGTGGGCCACGGGGAGATATTAACAGTGCTGGTGGGAGTGGCAATCAAATGATCCTCGATCATGTCGGGCGGCGAGTGCTCGCGTAGGCGTGGCCTGCCGCTTCTATACCGCGGCAGAAAGTAGCATGAAAGGCCTCTTGACCTGCAATTGTGGCACGGCCCGCCGTTTCTCGACACGATGCAACGGATCTTGCGCTTGTGACAGGCATCGCATGCATTGCGCACATGTGATTGCGAGGCAAACATGTATTTGCTGTTGTGGTCGATATTGTGCGACGGCATTCTATCTAACAGTCTTCTCTTTACTCTTCCTCTTTTTTTCTTTCCTTTTTTTTTTTTTAATCCCCAGATGAACACTATTTAAACAACAGGAAACCGTCTATGGAGAGAAGTCATTTACCTTTCGACTCATAGGGTGGTAGCCCAGACTACTATGCAGCTAGATACGTACGTCAGGAGGATCCGACTCCTTAATCCAACTGAAGTCAGCTGAAGAAACAGTGCTGTTGTTGGAGAGCCATGCTAATCCTGGCTCAAAGAGGCACCAGCTCTATAATTCATGCATACGGCTGGGCTTTGAATAGTTGGTTTCTGCAAGCATCTTGTGATGGTTTGGATATATTCCATTTTCCCAGTCAAGCGGCTAGAAGAGGTTTGACGAGGTCTCGGGACACACTGAACTTGAAATAGTATTGGCTGGAGCCTCGTTATCGAGTCAAGTGTAACGCTGCCTGGGACTTGGCGAAGAATATCCTCTCAGCTACCGGTTATGTGTGCATGTTTTTTTGAGTCCTCCGTACCGTACTCCGTATATGCGCCATACAACAGAGCAGGGCAGGCATTTGATTCGTATAAGTTGGATGTGATGTTCCATCTAAGAGTACCTCAGAGATTCACCGCCCACACAGCTCATCGAAAATTCGAGGTTTGCACCATGGTTCTACCGTGAATCAGCTCGTTTCTTTTATATGCATCTCGCAATGGGCTGCATGCCTTCGTTTGTCTCCTGATTCGTCCGTTGACAACAGAAGGAGAGGAAACAAAGCCTGCGTTCAGCCCCTAGCGCAGAAATCGGCTAAATCTGGGCTGCCTTTCCTTGCTCTGACATCCCATGCTTTCCATAGAAAGTTCCGGGTTGGATGTCACTTCGGTACTATTTATGGATGGCTCTGTTCCAAGTGGTTAGGTACGGATTGGCGATCGACAACGGGATTTATATCTGAACCGGGATGCGTATGTAGTTTCTCCGTAGTCGCTCGGAGAACTTGTTCCGCCGTACGCCCCCGCTTTTCAATGTTTGTTCTTGAGACAGGACAAACCCTGTTGCTATTCACGTTGCAGGCTGCCCGTCATGCTACTGATCAGCAGCAGGTCTCTGCTAGCCAGAGCGTTCACTGTTTGGCTCGGCGAGTGCATCAGTTTGTCAGACTTTTTAGATATTTAGGATGTTTTGTACTGGTTCTTCTGGCAAAATATCAAGAAATGGGTTGATCACGAGCAATCCTGCAACAGAATTCTTAAAAAAAAGGGCATTTTCAATGCAGGTTAGCATCGCACTCGATGGTCTACAATTCTGGTTGACCGAATGGGTGGCAAAAGACGCAGAGAGGGCCTATAGAGAGCATAGCCGAGACGTCATGCTGTTGTTGCGAAAAGGAGACAGAATAAGATCAGAGAGTGCACAGACTCCAGCTGTCATTTCAGGAGCTGGTAAAAAAAAAAAAATAGTCATAGCTGAAGCACAGGAATCTGGACCTTATTGCAGATATACTCTGAAATCCATCATTTCCCGGAACTTCATGGACCGACATCCGCTCTTTCGAGATCCGCAACTAGGCCCGCCGAGGAACTCTCGATGTCGTGGGGGGTGTGAAGATATTGGTTTGTGTTGGTTGACGAACTTAAGGCTGATGGCGGATTCGAACGGAATCGCCGCAACTCTGAGTCAATTGGCACCAACACCGTTAACCACTTCGGACAATATTGTGCAGGATACGGAGGAAAATGGAGTATTTTCTTCCTCAATTCTCCATTTTTTTCCCCTCTTTTTTTTTTTTTTTTCAGATTTTTGGTATGGGAGAAATGGGCTCCTTTTCTCCCTCTCTATACCCATACTCTATTCAGCCGCGCCATGCGGTCAATATTTGCCCGAGAAATGCAACCAGGACAAGGGCGTAGAACCTATAGCTGTTTCTCCAGGGCTTCCAGGCCGCTGAAATTCTCCTTCAGGTGCTGCGTCCTTGGAAACACAGAACGTTAACTCGGCCCTTGCAGCCGACTCTCCAATCACGGAGCGGCCAGTTCTCTTTTTTTTCAACAAACAGCTGAATCAGGATCTTCCGACTGGAAGAAAGATCCGTGGCCCTTTTTGGGACAACCGAAGAGCAGAGGAAGCATTTGGTATTTCGGCGAAGCTATGCTTTTTATTAAAGAGCCACGGCCCACCATGATTCTCCAGGAGTTCCATTTCGCATCTTCACACCATAACCTGTTTCATTCCCCACACATTGCACCCCAAAGAGTTACTCGTCCACCGAAGTCATGGCTGCTGTTGGCTCAGAGCACAAGGAAGTGAGCGTAAGGGGCATGCAAGCTTATCGAGCACCATCGCTTCTTCAGCCACATAGGGCTCGTCAGGCCTTGCGAGATGCATATGAGGGCAAGATTGGGCCCTTGCTCGGTTTCTACTTGGCGTTCCCGACCGTGCCCACTGCCAGAGTCGCGGCCCAGCTGGGTGCTGACTTCGTCTGGGTGGATTGGGAGCACTCTTCCTGTGGTGTTGAGACCATGACGAGTGTGAGTTACATTTGCTTCGCGGCCATACACCAGGCATGCAGCTTACTTTGTGCCAGGTCGTCCACGCGATCCAAAACGTGAGCGAAGGAAGAAGCATGGCGTTTGTTAGGTCAGTATGCCCCGGACTGTCCATTTAGCTGCAATGAGTGACGACGGAGAGAAGCATTAAACACTGGCCTTGTTCACAGAGTCCCGGGTCATGATCACGCGAATATCGGCTTCGCATTGGATGCAGGTGCCTCCGTCGTAGTCCCGCAAGTCGACACCGTCGAGCAAGCCGAACACGTCGTCTCAGCCACCAAATTCGGCGCAGTACGGAAAGGAAGCCGTTCAGCACCTCCCGCCCGCTGGCTAGCGGGCTCTAGCGTCACCATTGACTCATCGCGTTCCATCTGGGAGAACGTCAACAACCAAGCTGCACTCATCATCCAAATCGAGTCCGAAATCGGTATCAAGAACCTAGACGCCATTCTCACACTCTTGGGAGACCAGATAGATGCTGTCTGGATTGGTACGCTCGACCTGCGCGTCAGCATGGGGTTGGACGGACTGTGGGGTGAAGAACCTGAGTTTCAGAGTGCTATCCGTCTGTACGAGGAAACGTTAAGGAAGCACGACAAACCAAACTCCGGCGGCTGTTTCACGGGGAACTGGAGCTTGGGTTCCAATAAGTCCTTTGTCGTCGTCGCTGGGGACTGGCTGGGCTTGTTGGGGCAGCGGGACAATATCCAAACCGCGAGAGAGAACCTGCCGGCTTCAGACAAGCGATCGAAAAACACATTTGCAAAGGGGAATGAGAACGGAACGAACTTGTAACGCTTAGTATTTCATTGAGATTGATAGCTAAAAGATGGGGGCTGTCATACTCCTATAATATGAATACAAATTATAGCTTTACAGGCCCCGTCTTCCAACAACCGGGCTACATGTACCTTATATTCAGATGGCTGATAAAGGGGGAGATAACTCTGTGCATGGAAGCCAATATTTGGGGGGGGAAGTGAAGAATATTCTATTAGATGCTAGCAGCAAAGATGAACTAACTCAGAGGCATATCTGACACTAGCTTAATAGAATTAACCATGTTTCAATGAAAGCCATATCTGTCATGCTACACTAACATATGTAGACTAGATGGTACATAATTCTAGGGATCGACAACAGCATAGAAATTTGACCAAAGGAAGGACCAGGGATATCAGTCATGAGAAAAGTGAACGACCGCTCAACAAGTATACAACATGCGAAAACATTCAAATATATATACGGCCATAATCATCACCCAAGAAAAATACACAGAAACAGTTTGCCCAAAAGAAAAGGAGCATGGTACACGCGGATGTATACAAAGCACAAAAAGGTCCGATCAAGCCCACCTCCAAGTAGGCCTGTGCAAAAGGCCCGTACCCGCTGTCGTCCTTGATTTCTTGACATGGAACTTCGGGCACGATGGCGGCGAGTGCCCGTTTAGTGTGCACCCTCGGCCGCATCCTCCAACGGTGTCACTGCCAATCCCGCTTTTAGGGAGCAGTAATTCAATAGCGGCTTCGACGTCCAGTGACAAGCCTGTGTCGGTGCATTTAAGTGCCCATTTGGCATCCGATTCGTTAAAACCAAGTTCATATACGAGCTTATGGAGCGCTTTGTCGGCGGGGTCGATGAAAGTGGGGACCGGAGTTCGGCTGCGTCTTTGGTAAGGAGCTGGCGAGGGGTGACGGCCTTGGGAAATCTTTTCTTCGGCCTCAGGGCTGGGGCCACGGGGAGCGATATGAATAGCAGGAGTGGTGCCTGTAGCAGTATGATTACGATTAGAAGGGGCGGATGTGGGCTGTAGAATCTTTGATCTGCTATCACTGGAAGTTGGATTGGATGGGGAGCCGTTGAGTCTCTGAATAACCTCCTGGAACTTTGAAATTGGTCGTTCTTCAGTATCTTGGGCCAGAAGTTTACTTTGAGCTTGCTCTTTCATTTCCTGTCTTCTCCGACGAAGTTCCCGGGCAAATTCTCGGCGACGCTGTTTAGGAATGCTGGCCCCAGCCGAATACGATCTGGGTCGTCTTCCAGGGCCAGATGGTCGTGCGATTTGTGGTGATTGGGACTGCTGAAGGTTCGGAGTTTGGAATCGAGGGACCTCTTTTCCTCTCACCAGCCGATTATCATATACGCGAGAAACAGCTTCTTTAAGAAAAGAACGGTTGGATCCGCTATTTGCTTTTGTGGGGCTGGTCCATTTCGTCCAACCCAGTGACTGCGCACGGGCGAACATAGTCTCAATTGGTGTATCCGGGTTCAAGCTGCTGAGTGTGAGTATCGCTGATGGTCCAAGCGTCAAGAGATATTGTGTCCAGCTTTCTACAATCTGTTAGCAAAAGCTATAATGTAACCGGAGACGATGGCCCTGAGAGGGATCTTACCAAGCAAAGCGTCTTCTTCAGCACGATCTCCCGCTTTAACGCCCAAGCTATCGAACACGCCGTACTCACGAGCTTCATCGTTCTTCCCGTAAAAAACTTGGACCAAGACGCCCAGACAAGTCCATATCTCCATCATATCGTACAACTGCGTCGCCGTCAATCCACCTTGGTTGCCTCCCGCAAACCCTGATGGAGGGTCAAAAAGAACGCTGTCCACAGCTAAGGGACAGGTAAGAAGAGCGCTTGAGTTGCGGTTATGGGACCGCGCTCGACTTCCACCGCTCAGCCAATCTGCCTGAGCAACGATATCCTCTTCGCGGCCCTTTCCACAACCAAAGAGTCGGCAAAAAGTCCATACTCTCCAAAATGCATCGTCAACCTCGGCGGACCGCTCTTCATCCTGACCCGCCAACGCACGAATTGTCTCCGGTCGAAGTAGAGATTCACAGCGGACCAATATCAGCCACTTCAAAGAAACCATCGTACACATATCTCTCATGTAATGGCGAATGTAGAGGTCGGGAGTATATTCGGGTACTGGTCGGTCCACAATTCCAACATCGTAGTCATCATCTTCCCATGGCGGGCTCATCTCTCGCAGTTCCCAGGCAGCAGGTGACATGCGAAATAAAGTGCCTTTAATAAGCAGTAATTCATTTTTCTTGAATATACTGTAAAATGCCCGGTTAAGAACAGCAAGGTTAAACAGCTCTTCAAGAGTATCAACGCTTTGAAGTATTCGAAGAACGATTTTCTCTGCTGCTACCGCAGAAATATTATTTATCAGCTGCTCTGGTACCCTAGACGCTCGAGATGGGGCACATGAAGCAGTATAGATCTCAAGCAGCTTTGGAAACAGGGCCAACTGTTCGGGTGGACTTTGCTCCACTAAAGGCTGGCCTTCTGGTGTTGGTGGGCGTTGGTGGGATTCTTCTGCATCGGAACTGCTGGGTCCAGGTGACCTGTCTTCGGCCGTTGATGACGAAGCTTGATCGTTCATAGAATCGGTCCGATTATCGCTCTCACAAGGCGATTCGACGACCACACTAAGGTTTACAAGTTCGCGGGCGGCCTCCGATGGATGTTCGGTGGCTCGCATGCGAGGCAATCGTAAACGAGCAGGATGTTCTATACTTGGTGCTCGTCTTGATAATGTTCGAAAAGGTCCACAGGAAACCGGCGGAGAGCTTTCAAGAGAAATGCTTCGAGAATGAGACGAGGTAGGCAATGAGATTTTGGAGATATTGTCGCAAGAATGGTGGTGTTTCAATTGCTGAACATTGTTCTGCGCTTCACAGAGGTTATGTGCAGATAGCGTAATGCTACGGCGGAGAGCGAAATCCTTAGCCCCGATGTAAGAGCTTGATTTCTTGACGGACGAGAACCTCGACAGTGCATCTAAATGTGATTTGGTGGTATGGAGAGGCTTGGCATGCTCATCTTGAACCAGGGACATGGCCTCTTCGCGAGCAGAGGTGCTAGAATCCCTGTCCTTGCTAGCTTCTTGGCCAAAGTCGGGGAGATCTTTGATGAGCGAGGTAGCTGAGGACATTCGAGACAGTTGCTTCTCTAGCTGCTCCGTGGCCTCTTGCAGAGATGGAGAACGAGCGCTGCTGGGTTCATCTTCAAGGAGACCAGACCGCCGAAAAGCCTCGTCGAGGCTATCCAAATCGGAAGGTTTGGGGTTCTGGGGAAGAAAGACTGGTTCATCCACCCGTGACTGTGGGCGCGGCATGTCCAAAGGTTTCACAAGTGTGCCACGGCGGATCACCAAAGGAGCGACAGGCATACCCGGTGCTGGAGGAAGTGGCTTCATTTGGGATTCTCTGATCGAGCGTTGTTTTATAAACGTTGGGGTTCTCTTCAAACGCGGACAGTCGTCGAAGACTCCAGCAGAAATGGGAGAAATGAGATCATAACCTTGAGTGGGTGAAACACCATCGGAAGTATTAGTAGGGGATATTACATCCGGAGAATCCTCAATGCTGGTCCTCGAAGAGATGAAACCATTTATGTTTGGTGTGAAGCCGGCACTGAATCCTGAGGTCGATGCACCCGATCCTAAAGCAGGAGAATTCTGATAAGGAGAACGATCATAGACTGGAGACTGACCGATCTTCGCAGGGATAAAGTAATAGGATTGCGATTGGCTGGCAGCAAGCGGAGACAAGGCAGAGGCGTGGCGAGCCAAGGGTGATGGGACATTCCTCTCAAGCGAATAAGACCACATCTGTTCCTTTGGGGCTGGCGAAGTGGATTCCGTGTTGATTTTTGGGTGGTGTAACCCTGACGTTTTGATTTTTGCCAGTGTTCTCTCCGGAAATTGTGCTGGGTGTTCTGGGGCTGCAGGCACATGTGTATAGTGCGCTAGAGGAACATGGGACCCGCGCACTGTTGATAGCTGCTCACGAAAAAGCCCGGATTTTACAGTGGTCATGTTCCTGTGAATTCTAGGCCTGCCGGGCTTCGTCCGCTCTCCGTATAAGCTCTTGGTATGTGCACCTCGATGAGAGAACCGAGAATTGGTCTGGCGCGGTTCAAATCGTGCCCCAGCCATCCTTGGGCAGTCAATTTTGTTGAAGTACTCCATCGCTGTATCCACAGGACCGTTTGAATGTAACAGCGGCATGTTGACCTGCCATATAGATTTCACAATTTCGACCTTCTGCATACCCGTGAGATGCTTTTTCGTACCCTTTAAATCTCCATGGACCGATTTGGTTGATTTCCGGGATGGAACCTGTGGTGACTGAGGACGCGAGTTTCTTGACCAAGCTGCAGGGAGAGGAAGCTGCTGTTTTTTCGTGAATTTGCCCTCTTGCTGACACCCAGGGTGCAGCATTGGGTTTGGAAGGTAGTCGGAACAGGGCATCGTTGAACCAGTACCTTAAATTCGCTCTCCCTATAGACAGCCAAAGTCAGCGTGGAAATCCAAACGATCCTCTGTACTTTTCCCAATACCCGAAATATAACAAGAGAGAAAGATGAGACGCTAAAGCTGACAAGCCTACAACATGTAGCTTCGTATCTTGGATTTGAGATTCAAGAACATATTTGCATCTTGGTACAGCTTTTTAAAAAGGACAAGTCACCGGGAGCCTTCTACCAGGCGGGACCTGGCTTTCATAGGACTGGTCCAAGAAAGCAACAATTCAATAGTGCTCTCAAAGAGGGAAACAAAAGGAAAAAAAAAAAATACGCAGATCCCAAACAACGCAGCTGAAAAAAGAGCACTGTGCCATCCTCATCCTTTCATCCTAGAAACATTAAAGACCACTCACCCTTGGCATGATCAGTAGATAACCGTGAGATGAAGTTCTATGCTGGCCAGCAACCCTATCAACCTTCTCGCTGAATCTGTTCTGAAGCGGGCTGAACCTCTTTTCCTGGCAGATGAACTGCAGTCCCTGGGGTTTGAATTTTTTGATTGAACGTCAATTTACGAACAATAGTAGAAGATAGATATGCTGGAACGAGGATGAAGAGATGGAAGGGATGCTCTATACGTATGCAGAAAGAGAAGAAGCCCATGCCTTTTTGTTTTATGTATATTCCCAGCAAGAGACAACATCCCATATCCCGGGAGGGATCATGGCTATAGATATCGTCTTATTCCTGGGCTGATGGGCGATGCTCGACAAGGGGCTGCAGGAAGGGCTCAAAAACCGGCCTGTTCTGCAATAAGCAACTTCCTCCGCAGAGGACATGCGTCTTTGCTCCCACGCTAAGTTAGTTACAGAGTTAGATTGCTGCGGTGTCATGATTATTTCCATGCCGGCTGGATGGGGCCAAGGATCAAGCTGGGGTGTTCCCCGCCACAATCCTTCGACCCGACATGCATTGTCATGTCACGAAGGTTTTCATGCAAGGGCTAGCCTGCTAAAAATGCCAGTATCTCCGGCCACCACCAGCGTGATGGGAAGAAGACGTGTGGCTAACCGACGACAACGTTATTTTAACTATTCAGCGAACCGCTGCAACCTTTGCAGACCCGACGCGAGGATTACACAGCACACGGACTCTCGTGCGACCGCTAAACGCAATGGTGGGACGAAGCAGAATAAAGATGGACACGAGAGATTTACAGTGTAAACGAGAATAGAGGTGTTATTAGTCCGTAAAATGCGAGATGATCGAGTATTCGCATGGCGAAGAGTGTCGCGAAGAACTGGAGCTGGGCCGAAGAGGCGCTGGTCGAGTCGCAGGCCCGCTTTTGAGCCACCAAAGTCAGCGCCGAGTCAAGTGAACGTGCTACACGCATATCTAACTTGGTTAAGCTGGGGAGCAAAGCCAAGCGGAGTAATGGAGTTGGCTGGCGATTAACCCGATGCTTCACTACGAATGCCCAAGGTCGCCGTTTTCCTCAGGTTAATTGGCCTCTCCCCAGCACGAGACATCCTCTGCCGCTGCTGGCCTGGACGGGGATTATCAAAGCCTTGGTATTCCTTCAGGATCGTGGACGAAGAGACATAGTCGAAGAGGAATGCGTTTTGTGCTTCTTACCCGTATCACATCCGAGCACAGAATACGACACCCATCTGAGAGAAGGAGATACGCCATAACTCTGCCCTCATGCTTATCCACCTGCGCGTGTGCTTTTGTTTCCTCAGCGTTAGTTAGCTCGTATCTTCACTTTTTCTTCCCTCTCGATTCACCCCCTATGTCCGCAATCCTAAGTGTTTCATGCCCTGCTCCCTGCGTCACGAACCCCGGAATCCGAAAATCGTTCCCAATACCACCATTTGGTTTGGATCCCGGGGTCTTGTTACCCGGGAAAGTCGTATTCCTTGTCCTCGAGAATGAGTCGGGTTTGTCGCTCTCGGGGATAAGTAGTGAGTTGGTTGCTAACCCGGCATTCTAAACCTTCTATTCGCTGTGCAAGCTGTCCCGTCGTTGATTGGAATCTTTTTCTCCGCGACAACAGAAGACACCTGATTACTCTGCTCACCAGCCCTTTGCAGTTAACCAAATTCTTCTCGAATGGATGGCGCATCATGCTAGGCAGCACCCCCGCGGACCCGCGAACTCTTGTCACCTCGACCTCCGTCAGACAAATAAAATTGATTCGCTGGGGAGTCGCTTATTCAACCCGCGGCGATCACATTCTCCTCACAAGAATGAGGTCCATCGAGGCAAGCGCTGCGCAGTGGATAACGACCCTGCCAAGTGCCGAGCTCCCAAGCGTTCCCCGTGCTTCTATTTCTGTCTGGAGGCGCAGCGGGTAACCCACCGCAAAAGGACAGATTTGCTGTCAACCCACGCTAAAACGGCCAATCATGTCGATGGTTAGTTAAAGGGAGCACGGAACCTAGGAAAATCCCGTGCAGATCCTGAGATTTCTGCACGGCCCAGGACGTTGGGGTCCGGTACATGGTATGCTGATCCAATCACGCTGCATGTTTCCGCATGGGCAAACCATCTGAGCTCTTTTTCTGAGCATTTAGCCCCTTAGAAAAACCCAACATTAATGGTACTTAATGGCTAAATCATTACTCGGTCCGCCCATTCGCAGAAAAAAAGGTATGTTTTGTCAAAAAGCAACTGATGCCAAGTTCCATCCTTGAGCCGAGCGGAAAGCGGTCCTGCAGCGCTTAATCGCCATATTTCATTGGCCAACGGGAGGCGAAGAGAATCATGCTTGATGTTTCCCGCGTTTCGCATATGTACAGGGTACAACCTGAGGCCTGTTACGTGCCGTAACAAGGGAGCTTGTCGCTAGCTCTACGCCAAAGGAGTTATTTCCGTAAATGAATGCTTTCGATGCCAGTTCACCAACGGACACGGAGTAACAGCCCTGCCTTTGTCGTTGGATTTGGCTCAAGCCTGCGGGTGAGTCGCAAATCTGCGCATGAAGCTCAGGCGTCGGATTATTAAATTCATGTTACTACTCGGCAACATCAATGCAGACATGGACTGAAAATTCCATGTGAGGACATGGCTTTTTGTGTTGCTGCTTTTATTGAAATCCACCGGTTCCAACAAGGGTCCTACAGCTCATAGAGTCCGAGGTCTTCTCAGGAGACTTGAAGATATTCGCTATGGGCATCGAAAGGTTTTATCAATTTAGCCTTAGAGATTCGGTGTTGATTTTGATATGAAATGTATGGAGCACTGATATGTTTCGATGCCGATTTCATTGAAGATCCTCAAGGTGACACCCGCCTTACGATGCATGTGAACGTGCCAGCTATTTGTGTAGAGCGAAACTCTTCTCGCTCAAAAACATATCGACGCAATTCGGGATCAACCGAGGCGACGCATCAGCGAAACAGGTCTAATCGCGCCCGTACTGGCTCCGAATCCGCCTCCCGATGCTTAGTCCCCTTTCGCCGCGATCCTCCAGCCAATGTCGTTGTCTTGCAAGGTGCGCTGCATTGTACAAGTGCTCCAGAGCCTCCTAAGTAGTCGTCGAATGCGAAGATCCCGGAGCCAATGTCTCAGCAACCATTCCATCCCATTTTTGAGTGGCCAGTCAGGATAATGACAATTTACTGTGAGCTCACGATGCCAGTATCGAAGCCCCGCAAATGGTGAAAAAGAGGCACATGTTGCCTAGTCCGTTTCTTCGGCTTGTTCCGTCTTCCTGGGACAACGGAGATTATACCATAATCACCAATCTCTTGAAGTTCTTGCGTTTCCCAACATTGACTCGTGGAATTCCCAGCTGAATCCGTAGATCCTACTTCTACCTCAGGGAGAATGAAATGATCACCGGTAGCATCCTCAGCAAAAGCACGGCTGTTATTTCCATATTTTGAACTCGCAAAAAAATTCTTTCCATATTCACCGTGTTCGGATTTGTTTTTCGAGTAGCTATTCGGAGGATGACGCCACATTCAGTCTATCACAGTGCAGAGCCGACCAGGTATACCGTTGGTTATTTTTGTTTCCTTGATTCCTGTCCCCCAGCTGACCGCGCACTTGATCCGGACAACGGTGTAGATCAGTATTTTGCATATCAATTCGTTAGAGAAACTGTGTCACTGCCATCCGTCATGCATCCCCACCAGACATCCCACAGTAACGCCCCAGGGGGTCAGCTATCGTCGAAGTCCGCAATCAGCACGACAACGATAATGGTCTCTTGCAGCTATGCTTTCAGCCATTGGACTCTGCATCCACAAACATCATTGTCTAATCAGAGCTGGGAAATACTTCAATAGCTTAGCATGTGTCAATGTGGATGGTATGAGATCTCAGCGGCGATGTTAGCCTTGAACCAGGTTTTCAGTTTTGGACGCCAGAGAATCCGCACGTGACCAAGCTATGCAAACACAGCCGAAACGAGTTTAAGCAAGAGTGCTGATGATGTAACCATGAACTCATGCGCGAGTTACTTTGTACAGACGAATCATAAATAAGTGTATGGGGCTATCTGCTACTAGTGGAGGTGTGCTAGGCAAGGCAAGCAAATGGAACAAACAAAGGCAAACAAACTCAAGTGGTGGGACTTATTCTCATCCTCTGCTCTTCAAAAAAAAAAAAAAAAAAAAAAAACACACACAAAGGACACTCTACCATGATAACCGGTGACTGGAGTCACACTCCCTACGATAAAAAGGGCGGCCCGATATTGAGTTAAGACAATGCGAAATTATCCTACGCTTTGAGAGTAGGCAACCTTATCATACCTTGTAGATCTCAAACGCTGCAAACTTACCGAATGATTTCTACTCAAACAGCGATGTCGTTTGGTGGATCTACTCCGTACTTACTCCGTAGCTGAACTAGCTTCTTTTTTCTTTTTTTTCGAAAAGAGAGAACAGCTGTCATTCTTGTTTTGAGTACAACTCCGTACGGAGTACTCCGTACAAAATCCAGAAAATACGTTGGAAAATACAATAAGCCAATTTGGTACCTCGCGCTCGAGTAGTGGGCTCTTGCTAAAAAGCAACCTTATCAACCAACCCGTCCATCTCCCTCTCATAATTCCTGGACTCATAAACTTGATAAAAGAACTTGCCCAGGAAGTCGCTTGCCTCCTTGAGGATCCTAATACCTTCGGCAAGACTCTCCGGCTCATGCAATTTGCTACTTGTCACCACACCATAAGACTCGACCACTTTCCCATCAGAGGCATCCGCCAAGTCAACTTCCGGCACCGCACTTAGCGCCTGAGCGACAAGATTAACCGCTTCTCCCGTGGCACCTATGGGCTTGAGATGTCCAAACGACTCTGTGATCCAATGTTGGATCTGTCCGATTCCACCCAGCTTTTTGATATGGGACCCTCCAGGAATAAAAGTCGCGTCGAACAAGGTTGAGCGCTGGCCATCGTAGTGGTGATCAGGAATCAAACCTTTGTCCTTGCCCGGATCTTCGTGGTCTGCAAAGATAGCCTGGCGTTTTGTGCCTATGATGAATGGGATGGCCCCGGCGGCTTTGATTGCGCCTTTTGCAGAGATTAATGCCACTTGATCGTAGCCGTCGCCGACGAGGATGGCTATACGGCGGGATTTAATAGTCGGCTCTCCGGCATATTTCTTGTTAAGTTCTGGTTGGCTGAGGCCAGTTGTTTTTTCGCCTTTGTTTGGTCGACCTTCTTTCTGTGGAGTTGGTGCACCAACCATCGTCGCGACGGATTGGGCGAGATCGAGGTCGATTTCGGTGAGTCGCTCAACGAGGCGGTTGTATACGATGGGGTCATCGCAATGGTCCAATTCAAACGCGAAAGCTTTCTTGATATGATACTTTTCATGATCGCTCATGGAATTGTAAAAGAGTTGGGCCTGGTTGATGTGTTCGCGGAACTTCTTGCTCACACTACGGGCTTTGATACCAGATACCTTCGATGGGTATGACACGAAACCGCCTTCGTTTGGGTTTGCTGGAGGAAGGGCTTCGAATCTATTAGGCCAGTAGTTCACTGTGCCTTGCATGATCCGATGGCGCTTTTGCCCATCCCTATGGTGATTCATAACAGGACAAACGGGCCGGTTGACCGGAAGCTCTTCCCAATTAATTCCTAGCCTGGATATCTGAGTATCAAAGTATGAAAAGTTGCGGCCTTGAAGCAGCGGATCGTCTGAGAATTCTATACCGGGAACGATATGGCTCGTGCAAAAGGCAACTTGTTCGGTTTGTGGGAAGAACTCGTCAACGTTGCGGTTGAGCTCAAGTTCACCAATCCAACGAATCGGAACCAAGTGCTCTGGCCAGATCTTAGTAGCGTCTAAGATGTCGAATTCAAAATCGTGCTCCTTCTCCTCCGGAATCACCTGAATTCCGAGCTTCCACTTGGGATATGCTTTATTGTCAATGGCCTCCATAAGGTCCTTTCGATGGAAGTCAGGGTCTTGACCCCCAACTTTGAGGCATTCATCCCACACGAGTGAATGAACACCTAGTTCTGGCATCCAGTGGAACTTGACAAAGTGTCGCAGCCCATCTTTATTAACCAGAACGAAGGTATTGACGCCAAATCCCTGCATCATTCGAAATGACCTTGGAATGGCTCGGTCAGACATGGCCCACATGAACATGTGAGTAGCCTCTGGGTGTAAGTACACAAAGTCCCAAAAGTTGTTATGTGCCGTTTGAGCCTGTGGAACTTCATTATGAGGTTCTGGCTTCACAGCATGAACTAAAATAACATTAATATTAGCTGTACTTTTTAAGGCCTCCTATCCAGACAGCATACCAAAGTCAGGAAACTTGACAGCATCTTGGATGAAAAACACCGGTATATTATTCCCCACAAGATCCCAATTACCTTCATCGGTGTAAAATTTAACCGCAAAACCTCGGACATCACGAACACTATCAGCACTGCCCCGGCTCCCCTGGACAGTCGAGAATCGAACAAATACAGGAGTTACCCGAGAGGTATCGGTCAGTACACCAGCTGAGGTGACATCGGCCGCGCTTTCGAGGACTCTGAAATGGCCAAAAGCACCAGTTCCACGGGCATGCACGACACGCTCGGGTATGCGCTCGTGGTCGAAACGGTGAACCTTTGCAGCTGGTTAGCTCGCAGTGACAAAACCAATGTTTTGGGGTTGATATGGCTATACCTTTTCACGAGCAATCTGATCCTCCAGCAACGATGGCCCAGTTCTGTGGTCGTCTACTGCCTTGAGCCAATTGTCCGTATTGCTTACTTTAGTGCCATGATCTGTGGTAAGTGTTGCCGGAGCATGCACGTCGGAGGTGTCTCGAGCAAGGTCTTTGATCTTCTTATCCTCTGTCATGCCCTGCACCGCCTGCTTCATCTTGTGCAAGCCTCCTGCAGCAATATGAGCCATGAGAACAGTTGATCGGAATCGCACGCAATTTGGGATAAGATTCGAGCAAATGGGCGAGATTTCGATATGGTTTCAGCATATGTAGGTCGGGCTTGAACCAGACCAGGGGCAGCCACCCAATATATTGTTATGTACGGAGCAGGAAACTAAATGTCAGCATGACGTTGATTCCAGTCATTGAAAAAGCGGGAGCTTGGTAATACACTGTGATAAGACGTCGACCCGAGGCAGAAACCTGGAAGGAAGCGGCATGCGGAGCAAACCCTGGTCCCCAGAAAAAGCGGGCATCCAGCGGCACCTGGGTCATTTAGAGCTCTAGGGTGGCACGTCTGCTCGTCATTGGGAGCTTCCAGCCTTAGGCTCTCGCCAATCATTTTGATATTTCACTACTCCGTAGTTCTACGGATCGAATGGCTCGTGAAACGGTCTTCCTGGCTCCGCCCGATTAAGCGCGGGAAGACGCTGGCACTCTCACTAGGATAATATTTTGGGGAATGATGGCCATCGTGGCATTGGAAGATCCTGGCTTAAAATGGCTGGATTCCTAGTGATTGCCCACTTGATCACTGCCAACCATCACATCATAGGTATTCGAATGTGCTGCGAGAACTGGCGGGATGGAAATCCTAACCTTAAGGTTAACGGCGTCATACACGGAAATATTCATGTTCCGGAATTCCGACCTCGACGTTCAACGGATCTTAGTTTATCCGATTATTTATTTTGGAACCTTAGTTCCAGTAACAACCTAGTTACTTTGCGTTGAGCATGAGCCAGGATTCATTTGTCGGAATGAAAGCGTCGAAGCGATGCCAGCAGCTTCTGGAAATACCTTGGAGTTACTGGGAGTCTAGTAACAACATACCCTATTTTGGAGTTGCTGTCACCATTGACTGAATACACATGACGACCATCAAGTTTATGCGGGGTGCTCTGTGTTCCATACCCTTAGGTTATTGGTGTGACGTGTCGTGAGCCTTGAGGAAGGGCATACATATCCAATGTACTCGTTGGGGGGGCTTCGATTGTACACCTCTGTCTAGTGCACGTCTTAGACAAGCTGGAGCAGACAAGGCCTGTCACTCCCACATAGTTGTTCGCAGACGGATGGCAGCAACACTCCTGACCAGCAACTATCATTCCTGGCTACACACTTTGTGTCCAAACAGCACTCAATGTATTCACAAACAATCGCATGTTTATCCATAGGCTCTGCGCTTTGGCCTCCTCTATATTGAAATTCTTGGCGCAGGATCGACAGCTGGCTCTTACCCCACAGAATGTCATCTGTAGTAATGCAGGCAGAAGCCTGTCTTTTATACATATAAAGTCCTGATTCATCCTTCTCAAGCAGATTCAATCTCCTCTTCATTGTCCATCAGGGAGAACCTGTGAGTGGACGCCTCAGCTATCTTCAACACTTCCTATCCTTGATAATACCTGTGGATTGTGGCCTTATCACTAGCAGCTTGCAACATCTGACTTGTGGGTTAAGAATCGGATTAGCAGAAAATGCCTAACACTGCAGGATCGACAAGGCGCCGCTATTCTAAACCATGCAAGGTTGCTTGTCTTCGTTGCAAAAGGATGTT